AATCAGGGCTCGGCGTTCTGACGTCACCGCTAGCCCCTGCGCAAGGAGCAGACGAACTTGCCCTCCGCATAGGATGGGATGAAGACGAAATTCCCAGCGATTACCTCCGGGAGTTGGGATTTTAAGGTATCAACGTTTATTGAAGAACCACTGATTTGTGAGTTTTGTTGCGGGACACATTAATTAGTATTGACAATGGCGACGGTGCAACACCGAATCCGGGCAAAGAAATGTCATTTGATACAAGTGCGTCATTCTACATTTACGACACATTTATACCTGGATATTATTTATTTTTATTCTTCAAAAATAGAAAACGCCACAAAACTAAACATCTTAATTTTCGGAGAAAATTAAGAGGTTTTCTAACAAAAATAAACTCCGATAAGCTTGGGATTTTCAGCAAAATATGAACTCTGAAAAATACCTTCTGAACTTGAAAGAAAATAAACTCTGAAAACACGTAACGCCATGGTCGGTGGCAGGTTAAAAGGGCACTCTAGCGATTTCTTCGTGGTCCCCGATTTGCCTCAAAATTTCCTAAAAGCACCAACAAACATAGCTGAAATAGTATCACAAATATTAGGTCAATGTACATTTTTTTTCCGCAAAGTTATTGAATTTAAAATTTTGGTCCTCATCGTGTTTTGCAAACTGGAAGCCTCTACTGGCCATAACGAAAATGAGACGCCTGCGGAAGGCAGTGGTTCACTCTTTGGACTCTAGAATTCGTTCCCAACTGATTCAAAGCAGTTTCATGGTGTCAAATAAATGCTTTAGAAGCTCACTACAGTACCCACGCACCAGCATGAGAGAAATTATTGGCATAGTCTATTTTTTGACTGCTTGCTCCACCGGCAAGCCTGACCTCACATCACGGCACTCCAAAGTGAGGTATATTTGGACGTTGGTTTTTGCATCATTTTCATTTGCAGATTGTCACAATACAGTTGAACCTCGGTCTAACGAACCCCAATCTAACGAAATTCACTATTTAACAATATTTTTTTCGTCTCCCTGTCTTGGTTCCATTGAAGACAATGCATTTTATCTCTCGATGTAACAAGCACTTTTGCGCCGCAGTTTCGATTTAACGAAGTCTTTGAAAATCCCACATGCACATATCAACAACCTCCGTGAGGAAAAAAAAAAAAAATTAACAGGAACAAATATTATTGTTGAAAACTAAGCATAGAAATATGCAGTCATAACCTTATCCCCAAAATAAAAAAAGTACACACCGCTGGTGGTGATGATGAATAGCCTTGTAGCCCCTGCCTCTCGTGGAAAAAAAAAAATGTCCACCATTACATTTACCCAGGTATGCCCAACGAACTAGAGCTCTTACTCGTCTGCAACAACAAAAATCGTCTCGTGCCTCGAGTGTTGTGCTGGAAGTGGTTGTGTTCTTCTTGAAACAGCAAGTTGCACGCCGTGCAAAAGGGAAGTTCTGTCGCTCGACATCAAGGCGAAAATAATGGCTGAGCTGACGAATGACGATAAAAATAAAGACGATTTCGAAGTTGAAAGACAGCATAATGGCAACTGTACCGTAAGTGCCAGTGGTTGCTTTTCCCAACGCATGCTCTTTTGCGGTGCTAGGCACTGCTCCCATAACCGTACAAAATGAGGGTCGATGAACTGCATTCTTCTATTACTGCCACATTTTGTAGTGGAATCTTACTTGTAAACGCTCACTTACAAGATGTGAGGCAATTGGAGGGTGTTGGGAGCCTAAAAAACTAATTGCAATGCCCCCCCCCCCCCCCCCCCCCCCCCCCCCCCCCCCAAAAAAAAACAACCTCGGTCAAACGAAATTTGCGATTTAACAAAATTTTTGGTTCAAAAGATGACTTCGTTAAGTCGAGGTAGAACTGCAACTATTTTTAATTTCGCGATACTAAATATCATACCGAAAAGGATGAAGGCCGGGGATGCAGAAAATATAGCTAGTTTGGGGTAGCTTAAAAATCGCCAGAGTACCCCTTTGTAATTTCAGAGGAAACTATTTCCAGCCCTTTACACTTCAGCAGAGCAAATGCTGGAGAGGAGACGACCTCCTCTCCGGCGTTCACTCTGCTAAAGTAGAAAGGGAAGAGAGGAGCTTCCCCTTCACTGTTGACCGGTCCCCAACCATAGTCATGAACAAACATCCCGCTGCAACTGGATCTGTTGAAACGTGGTTGTTACACTGGGGGCTCCGCGCCATCGGTAAATACCGATAAACCCAGAAAATTTATCATCCATGAGCTGGTTTTATCAAAGTCGGGGAAAACCAAAAAACTCAGAATTGGAGAAGTCAGCGAATAAGAAAAATCATGAGGCATTCCCCTCTGTCGAGGTGGATGACCAGCGAATCTGTTTAGCACACGACACATACCCGCCCCGAGGAGCCGGAGGAAACTAGACACGCGCGACGGGACCGCCACCCCGGGAGAGCGGAAGAAAGGAAACTAGGCACTCAAGAGGCTTGGAAAGACGACAAAGAGAGGGTGGTGCAAGCGTAGACATGGCCGACGCGGGTCGCACAGCGGCATATCTTTGAGAAACCTTCATTATCTACCTGAGAGTCTACTGATGTTGAAAATGGTGCCTATTGATAACTAATCTACTGAACAGACCTATCGCTAAATTACCCAAGCATCGAGGAGAATGCAGGGAATGGTGTTCCACGTGCCGCACGTGCCGGCATCTGCAGGAGTAACTGTTCTAAGGCAAAAGTCTAAAACAAATGGCATCTTACACGCGCATTCGTCAACGCTTTATTTTGGTTATTTACTACGAATAAAGCTTGAGCCCGCCTGGGCTCAAGCTTTATATGCAACCTTAAAAAATAACTATGCTTCTTTTTTTTTTTTTTTTTTTGAAAGAACAATTTTGGTTTATTTAGTACCGCCTAGGAAGACCACAGATCAAATATGACAACCTCATTCTGTCTAGATGTTTCTTAAATAGTTCGGCAAACTTTGGAAGGCGCCAAGTTGCCAAAATCGGCATACTCGAGTGGGTGAACTAAGGCGCAGTCAACAGCATAGTCGAGACTACGGTCCTGGCTCAGCCAACATCGAGCTGAACGTCAACATTGATCTTTTCGTTTGTTTTTACTTCTCCAGGTAACAGGCAATGTCAGCAGCGTCTCCTCTCGGCGCTCAGCGGTATCCCCACGATTGGCCTCCAAGGCTTCTCAGCCTTGGGAGCCACCCAGCAGTCTCACTGTACCGCCGTTTCCAACGTCGCAACTGCCGTCGTCGTCTCGATGTTCGATTCTTGTCTCTCACAGTTTCGTTCACACTACGTGCGCAGATTGACGTCGCACTTGTGCTGATCTTGTCGGACATCGTTGACACCAAAAAGTGTCAAAGTGTCGGAAGTGTCGTCTGCACCGCACTCTTTACGGGTGCGGTGCAGACGACACTTCCGCCTTGCACGCGCCCGCCCCGATGGTGGCCTGCTCCAATATCGTCCGTCGTAGCATAGAGGATCACGTGACCGCTCGTACCACGTGGTAGCCACGTTTTTGGAGGCCCAAGAATAATCTGGCCGACGGAGCCGAAGTTTCGGTTTCTGCTCATCTTTAACGCAAGATTTCCCAAAATACTATAGTATAGACCACTTACAATGTAACCGCTTATAGTGCAGGACCGGGTATAACGCGGCTTTTTTAAACCACCGGTTCGCATCCCATAGAACTCCATGTAATTAAATACCGCTTAAAATGCAGGCGCGCAAAGGGAAATACCGGTTATAGTGCAGTTTCTGGAACAACGCGCCGACGACTGGAACAGCGAGCACGCTTCCCTGTGCGACACTAGACAACGGCGACGACGTTGGCCGATGGCGCTACCCGCAAGCGGCACTCACTGGGGCAAAGAGTTTTCCCGAAGAAGCGGGGAGAAGCGAAGAGAGAGGCTTCAGTTGCCATAGCGACGGAGGGACGCACGCATGTGTCGTTCATATGGATGCGTCCCTCCGCTGCATTGGAAAATGGAAAAAACCGCAACGACAGACCAATCACAGGTCGAGGAGAAGTGTTCGCGCGCGTTGCATGCCGGTCACAGGACGGCTGCTTCTATCCGCAAACATGGCGTCGGTTGTAATCGTCGATGTAGACGGCGTGGTGGAAGCTCATCGTTCCGCGGAAAAGCGCTATCCTTGACTGTGAATTTTCATTCTGTGTCGCTATGATAACCCAGCAAGTACTAGAAGGGATGATCCACCTATTCGTGTGGCAATGTCGTGGCGGCACTCTTAAGACGGCAGAAATGCCCGTGTCGTGTTTGTTTACTTCCGACTACAGTGGTGCTTAGTTTTCATCACCGGAGAAAAGTGATTAGGGTTAGCAATCCATGAACGCTCGCAACGTCCTTCCGCAACCTGCGACGCCGTTAAAAGGCTGCACCAGGCAAAAGTCACTCATTTCTTTCAAAACGTGACACACTTGATAGAGAAGTGTGCTAGTCTGGTGAAACAGAGACTTTCCTTAAACTAAGCTTCATTTTTCATCTAATATAAAATAAATTGTTTTACAAAGGTTAGTTGTCTCATGGCATGAATTTTGGCCAGAAAAATGGATGTTTTGGTTATAGCACGGTACCGCTTATAGCGCGGATTTTTGCGACTCCCGCGACATACGTTATATGCGGTCTACACTGTATATCCTATTTTTCGCGAAGCAATTGACATAGAGACTTTTATTGGTGCTTTTTAATGTAGAATCACTCATAATCCCGCAATTTTCTGAACTGAACAGAGTTGCCCTTTAACTTCTGGAACACTTCCAGCATGTCACTCGTTCATGACACTCACCGTGACGTATGTTAAGAAGCTCGTTCGTGATAATTTTTCCATTCAAAACGCCATGTAAAACACGTTCTGCGTTAAAAACTAAACTCCAAACTAACACCCCCGGATTCCAAGAAAAAGAACCCTCGAAAACAGAGAAGCCCAGTTACACTCTACTCTGCAAGGGGAGAAACTGCAAGACGAGACGAGGCACTCACCGGCGCTGGGTCCGCCGCCCGCTGTGCCAGAGGGGGGCCCGTTCCAGGGCACGGAGTAGCCGTAGGCCGCGAAGCCGGCCTGGGCCCCGGCCTGGGCCCCCGCCCGCTCGGCGGCCGCCAGCATGGAGCCCCTGAGGGCGGCGGGGGCCCGCCTGGTCGACCCCCGGGGCCGGCCCCTGGCCCGCCCCGTCCCTCGCCCGCTCCGGCCCTTGCCGCTCCCGCCGGGAGACACCGTCCCGCCGCCTTCTGCAACGCGTGCCGGAGAAAGGTCGGACATTGAAAGCGGCGGACCGACAAACTACCGTAACATCCTGAAATGGCTCACTTAAAGTTGAAAGCAAAACGGTGCGACATAAGAAATGTAGAAAAAAAAAACAACGCTGGTTTTGGATTTTGCGACCTGCAAAACAAAACTCGTAGATTGCAGTAGCTGTCCAGTGTTTTGCAGTGATGTGATTGGCCTAAGCCATTTTGGAGCACCTTTTGGAGCAGCCAAAACAGTGTTTTGGAGCAGCAAATGTGGCTTTTGGAGCAGCCAAGACAGCGTTTTGGAGCAGCAAAAGTGGCTTTTGGAGCAGCCAAAACAGTGTTTCGGAGCAGAAAAAGTGACATTTGGAACATATATTTTTAAAAAAACATATATATATATATTTGTTTTAAGTGCTGGACAGGCGAAGGACACTTTGTGTTGTGATGTGACGTGTTGGGGCGGAATTTACTGCTTGTGTTTTTGCTGCTGAGACATCCCACAAGTATACAGTGCTGTAAGCGTTGCCAAACAATTCCGAAAAAAAAAAACAAAAAAAAACACTTGCTTTCGTTTTACTGGTTCCGAACGTGGCAGATTTTTATAAAAAGTAAGCAAACGTAAAACAATGGATTGCAAGCGTCCCTGCTGGTGCCTCTCGTGCAATCATGTTCACATGCACGTGAGGGCAACTTTGGCAGGCTTGCAGTTAGACGTGCTTCGTCGCGCGAGCGGAGACAAGGGCTGTTCGACCGAAACCGAAACCATGCCACTCCGCTCCGTCGCCAACTGGTTCCCAAAATAATATACATGTACAAAATGTAACTGTCCAGCATACGACAATAAACAGTCCAGCGGCGCGTGCTGGCCAGGCCGGCGGGCGAGGTACAAGCTAAACACACAGAAAAAAAGAACCTGAGCGTATCGATGCAAGACATTGCGAGCTGCAGGGTCAAAAAGTTCTTGGAGCGCTTTGTGCAACGACTGAACTCGAGACAAACAAGAGCGCTGTGCGGGTTCAGTGTGCAGACATTGCCTACTTTGCTTTAGCTCACTTCTCTTCATCAACTTTCTTTCGCGGCAGATTCTTTACGTACCGGGGTCCCTCTCGGAAGAGAGCCCACCGTGAGAAACCTAGGTAATCAATACTTCGACACAGCAGTCATTGAGTTAAAGAGGGATTTTTATAGCAGCGTATGATTTAAACATGAGCAGAAATGTCGATGCGTTTCAGTTTAGAAAGCGCCATATCTGCAGCGACGTGGCGACGGCAACACACGACGTCGCGCGACCACGGCACTGTGGTCGTGCGAGCGCTTCAGCTCACAAAATAACTCTCGCCGCGCAAAAGCGTGGCTTTGTTTCACAGCATGACAGCCTGTCTGGAACCCGGCACACTAACGTCGGAGCGTCCACACACGCCCGCGTCTATCGCTAAAAAATTAAAAAAGAAAAAAAAAAAAAAGAAAAAGAAAAAAAGACGCGAGACGTGATTTCCGAGACGACGAGAGCGCGAAACGCGAGACGGTGGGAAAAATCATGCAAGACCGCATAAACGATTGATGCAGTCTACTTTGTGTCGGGCGGCGTCTTGTGCCACCTAGCCAACGCATGCTCAATTCCGGTTCTCAGTTTAGTTTGGTTTTTGAAAGGCGACCAAGATTGGTCCTTTGGCGCAGGCTTGGCGCAGATTAGCCATATTTTGGCGAAATGTAGCAGGATGTAGCAGAGTTCGCCCCTTGGCGCAGTTTGGCGCAATTGGCGCAGCAATCACATCACTAGTTTTGTGTCGAGATTTATTTGTCCATGGACACGAAACTGGTTCCTAGCCCATAACTTCTGCTGTAAAGAACGAGACCAACGAACTTGCCAAAGTCAACGGTGCACATGCTTACGGACAACTGAGTTGGCTACGAACAAAAATTGTGGCGCCCTCTCCCGCCTGCGGGCTGCAAGCACTCACCCGGGGTGGCCGGGGTGGGTACGGGGGTGGCCGAGGGACTCCCGTCGTCGACGATGAGGGGCCCCTCGCTGCTCGACTCATCCTGGGCCACAGCCACGCTGCTCAGGGACTGCTGCAGGGGTCACAAGGAAGAACGTCCCGGTCAGCCATTGCCAAACAAATCTTCTCGTCAACAAAGAAATCGACGAGGCACACTCGACGACTCATCGAGTGCGCTCCGTCATCTTTCCGAAATGAGGTTCTCGAGGGGCCGGAGCCAAACTCGGGGCCTACCTCGCTGTAGGGGCTGGGGGGCACCGAGTCGAGGCTGACCACGGACTCGGTGTCCTGGTGCAGCGCCAGGGAGGGAGGCGGCGCAGAAGACACAGAGGGGATCGTCGTGTTGTGCTCCACTGGCGCACGCTTCTTGCGGGGGCCACGCTGCATGCGCGAAAGTGAGAGAGAATGCAACGGCTCCGGTTACTTTCAGGCGAGCGGCCGTGTCCGGCTAATCTGCAGCTACATCCGATTGTTTACTACACCCGATAAAATTCGCTCTTTGCGTTTATTACGAGTACTGACAACCACTGTTGCGACGAGAAGCGCAGAATATTGCGAGAAAGAGGTCACGAGGATATATCACCCTACGCCTACGCTAACAAACAGATAGCACATTGCCTCGATCGCAAACTTTTGTGCCCGCGACACATTTCCGAAATTACACTTTGCAAAATTCACAAAGTATTGAGCGTGCGAAAGTGAGATCATTTACGGCGTGCCGCCACCTGCAAAAAGAACGCAAGTGCATCGAGGACACAGACACAAACGCACGTCCAACGCCCACGGAAAGCTGTTCGAGCGGCACCCACCTTCTCCCCTTTGTCGCTGCGCCTCTTCCGCTCCTTGGGCTGCTTCTCCGGCCCGTCCTCCAACTGCTTCCGCTCCTCTTGACGCTGACGGACTGCCGTGGTCCATTGGAAAAAAAGAGACGACAACGTTCGAATCATCTTCAAAATGTGTCACAATATTCAAACCTTTAATGTTTTGCTGCCATCGTTTACCGAGAGGGTCAGTAAAGTGGCAAATCAAATTTTCGTATAAAGCATCTTCATTCCATCGCTACATCATAAAAGAATTCGTATTGGTGTTTCCGCTATCAATTTATCTCTAGTATGTTACCTCTCAATCCTTCTTTTATGAGCGTATAGTACACAGGCACTCTTCGAAGACATATTGGGAATTTGGGTAATCACCACTGACAAGCACTGGTGTCAGAACAAGGGGGAAAGGGGGGAGGGGGGGGGGGGGGGGGTGATTGCCCCCAGTATAAAAAAATTTCCTGCAAACAATGCGGGAAAGGGGGCAGAAAGTCGCTCTCACCTCCCTCGACCCCCAATCTTCCGGATAGTTTTGTCGCCTATGCTTACGAGAGACATCCAGAGAAACGAACAGCCCCAATGCACGTGCAAGAGCACGGCAAACAGCAACGATTGATGGCAGAACACGGCCTCTCGGTCTCACTCACACTTGCGTTCCAACTCGGCGTCATCCAGGAGCAGCGAGACCACTTCCTTCGGCTTCAGCGTGTCCGGCTTGAAGTTGCCACCGCTGATCACCATCCGCTGAATCTGCACGACAGAGCACACAAGAACCAACTTAGTCCAACATCCTCCGTTAGGAACTTCGACGTCCACCCGAGGAGTCGTTTCGTACAGCTGCAAAATCTAGTCCGAACTTCATCGCACATTCCTAGGGCTCAAGCACCGAGAACGAGGCCTCCTAAAGGAACGGTCCAGCTCCCTTACTGCTAAATGCGACCATTACGCATCTTCAAACGACGTCGGATGCAGCGGTAAGCATTGCTGAAAGCCGGGAACGATCTGGTTACAAGACGACGGATTCGACAAGGGTTCCTTCTGACCTTGAACATGAGTGTGGGGACAGAGGTCAAGACCGCCCCAAGGGCAAGCTCGTTGCAAAATTTCCGTTGGCAGAATCCCCGCGTAACCCACTGTCTTGGGATTTGCACTCTTGGGGTCAAGTGCGTTAACAGGGGGAGCTTTGAGCCTTTGAAGAAAAACCTCGTGCTGCAGAGCCCTCTTGGAAACAATCCTCGCCCATGCCCGTTTCGACCCGAACGAGCATTACACCGGCATGTGTTCGTTTAATATCATTTCGCTGCGGTGAAGGTTAAGGACCTCGGGCTAGCAGAGGTACAGCACTGGCTAAACTTCATCAGCCCATTCAGGCTGATGAATTTCCTGCAGCCCATTTATTTATTTATTATGCCCTCAAGGACAAAGCATTACGAAGGGGGCGGGGATATGGCAATACAAACAAGATTAGAAGTTGTTACGCAAGCCCGGAACAAGAATAATAACTAGCTACCACAGGTTTATACCCCTGCCAGACGGGCTAATTTAGTGCACTTTAACCGAGTGCACTTCAGCTTAGTAAACGTCACTTCAGGTGTTTCAGTGCCGCACGAGAAAAATCAGTGTCGCTCGCAAATGATGGCGGTAACGATGGGTAAAGTACTATTAGACACGTAAAATGTTAACAAAAAGGCATGTCTCGGCAATATTTTGTCTATTTAATAAAGACATGTTACGAAACAACATTGCACTAATGAGCAATCTTTACGCCAATTGGATTGATTCTCATCAATCATTGCAAGCCAAGGTTAAGAAGAAGATCCAACCTTCGCTTCGTCTGACGGAGGTCTGCAAGGAGGCCCTGACTCTGCCTTATCCGGTCATGATTATTGCGTATTCTCGTACAGGTACATGCTGAAACAAATGTAGGCTCCCGCCTTCTCTGGTAACCAAGTTAGCATTGTAATGACTGACTTTGTCGTTGTTTTTTAACGATTCACCGCAACGCTAATATCGGTACAGATCAGCCTAAAATGTAAGGCTAAATCCAGCCTACTATTTTTTTTTGTACTGACACACCTTTCTTTACTTTTTCCCAAATTTCTCATTCTTCCGAGAAAAAAATTTACGCCACATTTTTGGTTTTTGTGTTATGTTTCACTCTTGAAAACTGCCATCAAGGCCATGCACTCAATTGAGTAATGTGGGTTTGTCAAACTTGCTTGAAGCCAAGTGTGTTCTTCAGGGGGAAGCCATGTGGCACACTAAAGAAATGACACTAAAAGCAAAGTGAACTAAATTAGCCCGTCTGACAGGGATATTAAACACGTTAAAACCACCTACAGTCGCTACAGAAGGGGGAAGGCGGTTCAAATCCCAAAAGGTTTTGGGGATGAAAGAACTGCAAAAAGAGGTAGTGCTACACTCAGGTATGCAGTTATGGTCGAGGCGGGAAGGTGAGCTTTTAGACTTGAATTTTGGTAATAGATTTTACGAAATAGACATAGACAAGAGATCATATGCCGCTTAGAAAGGAGGGAGTAATGAGAGATTATGTTTTACTGACGTGACACTTCATGTGCAATGAGAGTTAGAGAAAACATGCATGCAATAGGATTACGTGGGCTCTGCAATGTGGGGTCCCGGGAGTTAAAGGACCTCTGACACGCCCAAAAAAATTTTTTTTTTTTCATGCTAGGCGTTGAAATGGCATGTCAGGACATTACAAAAAAATTGTTTCACTATAGAGGTGCATAGTTTTTTTTATAAAAAATAGAAATACGAGGTCCGATGCAAAGTTCCTGCCAGTACACTGTGACGTAACTGTGTACCGCAAGGTGTCGGGGCGGTCAGAAGGGAGGCCTAGCCGGAAGTCACGTGAGTTGTATCCCTCCTCGTGCTTACCGCCAGCGCGTGTAACATTTGTTAAATATTTTGGTTATTCTCCGCACCTCCACGAGCGATCCAAGCAGGCAAGGTTTCTTTTATTTGCTTTTCATCGCTTAATGTTGCTGTAAAGGTAGAAGAAGAGGAGTCAGCGAATTGACGTGATCAACTACAATGCCTAGAAGGTGCTGTGTAAGGGACTGTCCCGGTATTTCAGCAACTGAAGAGGAGATCACACTGCATGCATTTCCGAGAGACGGTAGGCATCTTCAGCCTGGAGAGTATACAATGATTCGACGACCTCGGTGTCCGAACCTACAGCGATGTAATTGGGCGTGTCGTACGCAAGCAATCCTAATTTCTGCGAGCGTTCTAAAATTTGTTTTTTCAAAACTTGATAGCTCCTTTTGTGCCCAGTATAGCTCTGTATCATCGGACTGACGGCATGCACTCGTACACTGGGTTGTACTCGCAACGCTTTCATCATTGACCTCCATCACGTCGATCTACCGACTCTTCGTCCTCAACTTTTACAGCATGCAAACTAATCAACGGTGCAGCAATAAAGAGCTAGGGGAAATGAAACTTTGTTTTCTACAATCACTCGTACAAAGAGCAGAAAAAAAAAAAAGTCTTAGGCACGGTCACGGAAAGCACGGAGTGAAACTCACGTGACTTCCTGCGAACCCACCTTCAATGACGTAGGCCGATGCCTCCCTTCTGACCGTCCCGACACCTTGCGGTACACTGTTACGTCACAGTGCACTGGCGGGAACTTTGAACTGGGCCTCCTATTTCTATTTTTTATAAAAAAAAAACAAAAAAAAAACTACGCAACTCTATAGTGAAAAAATTTTTTTGTAATGTCCTGACATGTCATTTCAACGCCCAGCATAAAAAAAATGTTTTTTTTTTTTTTTTTGGTGTGTTGGAGGCTTTTTAAGAGTCACCGCGAAAGACATGCCATACAGCAGAGTGAAGCCTACCTCGCTCTTCTCCCTTGCCCTCTGCAGAATCCGCTCTTCAATGGTGCCCTTGCAGACGAGCCGGTAGACGGTGACCTGCTTGGTCTGCCCCAGCCGGTGGGCCCGATCCATGGCCTGCTGGTCTACTGTAGGGTTCCAGTCGCTGTCGTAGAACACCACCTGGGCACACGGGGATTGGGTGGGACTGTGGCAGCTTACCGTTCGGATGAAGCAATCGTGGCTTAAAAAAACGGGATCTAGCCCAAAGAAACTCCCGGAGAAGGTGCCAGTCACCCGAAGTTGCCTGCCTGCTTGCGTCTCAAGAGCTGTCAAACTCTTTTGGCATACCTTTGCAGCCTATTTGGCATAAACATTTTTGTATAAAAGATAATGTTGCACCAAATGCAAAACATTTAGAGCCCTTCCAATTTGAGTGAATATGGAGGGCCAGCCAAGCTGTTATCTTTACAACATTCAGGACGATGCCTAGAGGACGTCTAGGACGACCTCAAGGATGACACCTAGAGGACGACCTCGAGGAAAATGTCTAGGATGACCTCAAGGACGACTTTTAGGGCGACAACTCGAACGACCTCAAGGACAACTTCTAGGATGACCTCGGGGACGACGTCTAGGACGACCTCAAGGACGGCGTCTCGGACTACCTCGAGGACGACGCCTAGGACGACTTCAAGAATAACTTCTAGGACGACCTTGAGGACAACCTCAAGGACGACGTCTAGGATGATTTCAAAGATGACCTCAAGGATGACTTCTAGGACGACACGCCTAGAGAAATTCGGCCTTTCCACTCTGGTGCAAATCAGAGTGGAAAGGCTGGAAAGGTTGCCACCACCTATGAGCGACGGAAGCAACCAGACAACTGGCAACCCAGTTGTCTGGTAGCTACCGTTGCTTATAGATGGCAAAAGCTGTCTGGAGCTATGTGTCGACACACCGTTGTTTGCGAACACGATACAGGGGGAACTAGCCCTTAACAGCTCCTCTGTAAAAAGAAAAGAGCACTAGAGAGGATTTTGACGAAGTAATTATTTCTGTGCTTACCACCCCCCTACACTCTCAAATATTGTAAACGACTTATTTTTCGCGGACTCAACATTTCGCAATTTAGGTCAAAGCTGAAGTTTTGGAATAATTCGCGGGTTCTAATTTTCGCAACACAGTGGTATCTCAATATAGATCTCAATGTGTTTACATTTTACCAATATTGTTCATGGGAGCTATTTTCCGCGAATTGTAGGCGATTCGTGAAAATTAGGTCTTCGCAAAAATTAAGTCGTTCACAATATGTAATGTTACCCTTAGTGCCTCACTTTCGGCAAGCAGACAAGCGCGTTGACATCGAACGACATCTCCGCATTCCCTCCCCATCATTTTAAAGGTCGATACGCGAGCAGAAAAAAATAGTAATTTCCAGACGAAATTTCAGACCGAGCGCCAATACAGGCAAGAATGGTGCAGACAATGCAATCGACATGACGGCCGGCAACCAAAGTGGGACTACCCAACAGCACCGGAGAAAGTTCCACGCACGAAAACACGAGATTCTACTTAATTCCTTCGAGAACTTCTTGCCACATTTTCAAATTTGACCGAGTCATGAAGACCAATAAAATCCAGCTCCAACCTAAACCGCAGTGTGATTTGTGGAGAGAGTGATTTTCCCCCGACTTGTCGAAACAAGATCTTCTCGACTCACCCCACATGCCAAGACGCTTACCGTGTCTGCGGCAGTGAGGTTGATGCCCAGGCCTCCTGCCCGCGTGCTCAGCAAGAACACAAAAATGTCTGACCTGAAACGTACAGAAAACCGTCTTTAACCCGAAGCCCTCAGACGCGCAGTGCTCGAACGGACGTCCTCCAAGAGTGAAGGAGGCAGAGCAGAAAGAAGAGAGTGGACAACAAACCTAGTCTGGAAGTCCGCCACCATGTCTCTGCGGTCCGAGATCTTCGAGGAGCCGTCTAGCCGCATGTAAGTGTGCTTCCGATGCCACATGTACTCCTGAAATCGGGGAATGATTTCCAAACAAAGATACAGCAGCATATAGGTAGCAACAGCTGTTGTGTACGCCTAACATATGCATACTTTGTAGCATATTTAACCTCCCTCTCTGAAACGGATGCCTCTGTTTCTCCCCAAAAATTATAAAAGCTTGGTTGTGCCGACAAAGACTGGCAAGCTTTCAGATAAATCCAAAATACTTCGAGAAACACTCGCTGGTAAAATATGTGTCAGTTCTAATTTATCCGAAAAACCCAAAACCTCACAACCACAATGGCAAATAAAAAAAAAAAGCAATGCTTTCGGTGTTGGCTTTTCCTTACAGCCAAATATTACGCCCAAAATATTCAAGATCTCCACGAAAATCTGCTGATAAAACATACTCCGTGTCAAAATATAATGTGACTCGTCCAAATAACAAAAAACTTTTTTTATTCAGATCGTCCCGGAGAAATTCGTCTATAGTGGGGTATTTGTAACAATGGGGTTTCTATTAGTGAGACATTGCTATAGTAATCTACGCACCATTTACGAACATCAAACATGTGTCTACTCCTCCTGCAGATCACAAATGCGGCCAATCACTGCGATCCACATAAGAAACAGCGAATAATGGGTTCAAGAAACCGATTGTATGCAAAAGTGCGATCTGTACAAATAGCATCTTCTCGTGAGGATCTCATCTGTGTCCCGCAAGTCGCTTGGCTCCTTCTGTCGATTGCAATGGGCGGTTATAGCGAGCTCCGCGTGAAAGTGGATACGACAACTTTCTCCATCAATGGAGTGTCTACAACTAGAGTCCAGAAAATATTCCCTTTCCTCTTGACCTATTCTGCAAAGAAACTCTTTCCATAGTTGTATGTGAACCGTTTGCAAACAGCGCCGGTCAAACTCCATTAAAAAAATGGACGCATCTCCACGTGGTGAATGATGTTGATTGGGGCGAAGCTCTGGTGCTGCTGATGATACTGATTTTGTTCATCGGTAGTGCTGATGGTGCCATTTTTTTTTATTGCTCATAGGTAGTGCTGAGTTCCGGGTTGCGTTTCGACTTCATCATTACTGCTTTATAGTCGGTGAAATGCAGAGCCAGTGGTTCTTCTAGCGGATCGGCTTGGATCCGCTAGAAGCCGTGGGAACGCATCTTGACCGCTTAAGTCAACGGTCCATGTCAGAAAGAAAATGTGTGATATGGATCGTGGTTATATACGCAGTTGAGCATCTGACCGCAGCGCCCTCTCGTCTATAAACGTTGAGCCAATGCAAGCAAAGTTTAACGCAATTATATACGCATTTGACTGCAGCGCCCTCTCCTGTATAGACGTTGAGCGGATACATGCAACACTGGAGTGTAGCGTAGTGGGACGACTGCCACGTAAGCAAGCGGTCTCGAGTTCGAACCCCCGTGCGGGCGTACGTTTTTTTTGTTAGAAGTGGGCCGGTCCCAGAGGCAGTGCAATTGATGTGAGCACAGACGCCGGACAAGGCTAGACCCTAAGAAGCTTCGCCCTTAAAAACTTTCAGCCTTCCCCTCTGGTGAAGAAGGCAGAGAGTGGAACTGTAGCTTCTGTTCTCGGCAGTGGCTTTCCAGGCGAGCGATCTGCTCTTTTTTTGCAAGAGAATCTGAAGTGCTCGACGCAGTGGAACTATAGGCGATAGCTGCCTCGTGGCGGTTGCGCAACCATTTGCGCTGCTGCACACATCGCCACTCATTCTGTTCCCGCTCTTCTTCCGAAAAAAAGTTGCCGCCATCTATGAGCGACGGCAACAAGCAGACAATCGGCAAACACAACACTCTGGACAGCTACTGCTGTCTATGAGAGACGGTGGCAACCAGAGTGCTGTGTCGCCAACGGGTGTCGACAATTGTTTGGCACCGGACACAATCCTGGGGAAACTAGCCCTTAACAGCTCCGCTGTAAAAAATTTAAGCATTTCTTCACCTTATCTGATAAACTCCAAGATGCAGAAAATCTGTCGCGATTGAGCTGGGCATGTGTGGTGTGCGACATCACATGACATCATGACGCAATGTGACGTCAGGATGCAACGTGACATCAGTCTCTTGCAGGGCACTCTGACGACAAGGCCGTAATAACAAGAATAATGCTAATCGTTTCTTCCTTCAGCGGCCCAGAGCAGCCGTGAGGTTTCAGTGTGGTGGCACAAACATACAGGATATGCTAAAAAAAGAGGGAATCAACAGTATCTCACTGAGAGACACATGTCCCAACCATGGCACGGCGCATTGTCAAGATTACGCTCGAAAGGGTAAAAAAACATCCAAGTCCGGCGAGCAATATAGTCCGAGTGTCGGTTGAGCGTAGTACGTCGCCCTCTCGTGAAACCCGACCCCGTAGCACATTGTGCGCTAAGAAATGTCCAAATGCAAGTAGGACTTGCCTCCAAGAGGTCGATCATGCGCGTCATCTGCGAGTAGATGAGAACCCTGTGCCCTTCGGACTTGAGCCTACACAGCAGAGAGTCTAGGACCTGGAGCTTGCCAGAGTCCGTCACCAGGGTCTCTTTGTCTGCAGGCAAAAAGAAGAGGAAGACCAAATCCCCCAATCAATAGGAGAATCAAAGCTTAATAAATAGAATTTTGGAGTATTCTCGCTGCAATTTTAGCACCTCCAACAGATGTCCCTATCAGGGCTGCCAACCCGAGAGAAATTTCCCAGACTAGGGTAATATTTAGGTCTATGTGGGAATAAGGAAAATCTTGCTAGTTTGAGGGAAATTTGGGCACCGTACATATCTGGAATTTTATAGGTCAATTATGATTCTCGCTATTAAAAACGCAATCCACAATAGATTCAACGGAGTTGACTCATTGCTCCTTTTTTAACTGCTACTTGCATTTCAGCCTTGGTTGGTGAACTCATTTCAAGTATGTACCGCACGCTGTTTCCGTTCATTCTGTGTTTTTCAGTCTAAATTAGGTTACAGTAGAATCTTGTTGATGTTTCCCAAGAGAATGCAGAAAGAAGGAGTATAATCAGAGAAAACGGAAAAAACGAGAAGCCCTTAGGGGGCTGGGAGCTCGGTGGGACCGATGGTCTTGAACGTAAGAGGCGGGAAAACATAAAAACCTGGAATGTATCAACAAGGTTCTACAGTATTTTTGCAGCATTTCAAACTTTAAAATACATTCAGAAAATGTTCGAAGTTGCAAAGTATGGCAATATTCGCTTCGACACTAAAGTTTCGAAGATTGGCGCAACCCCGTTTGATGGCAAACGTCGACGAGACAAACACAACGTTCCCCCCGAAAACGCGCTCACCTGGGATGCAGATGTGGGACCACCCCCTGAGCGGCCTGGCCGACGCCAGGCCTCCCTCGGGCGTTGGAGGCGGGCCGAAGACCGCTCCCTGCGCGGCGGGGGTACCGGGCAGCTGGCCCGTACGCCACCACCGGTGGGCCTGGGGGCTGCCGCACGCCTGGACGCCCCGCCACCACCAGAGGGCGCTGCTGGAGTGGCACCACAGCTCGGGAGGCTCGGCCGTCACCTGCGCATGGGGTCTCGAGTTTAATGGAGACCAGAGAAATGTCGGACGGTCGACTTTGACGGCGTCGGTTTCAGGATGCGACAGCTCCGAGCCTCCATTGTGCTTTTTACGCCCAAGTCGAAATTGTCGACGGCAATCGAAAATCCCGGTCGTGACGTCACAAATAAGAACGGCAAGAGGAAGCCAGCACACCATATCGCTGCAAACAGTTGTTGGCAGGGCGAGAACAGTGGGGCGAGTCTTTCGAACAGCCGGCTTTCAATGTGCACTCCGCCAAGCTTTGGCTGCGCATGCGAGTTCGAGGTGCACAAAAGGCCAAAGCGCCGTCGAGAGGAGGAGGCTTATGCTGAAGGCGGGACGACCGAAGCTCCTCCTTGCTTTTGGGGTGTGTTAACGCGTGCGGCACCTGTTTACAGATACAGTACAGCACTATCGACGCAGCAGCGCCTTCGCAGAATACGAGTTCATACACACGATGCAGCGCTAACCGACCACCGACCTTAGTGCCGATGCGGCAATGACTCGGTGCTATCCCTGCACCACACCGCCTGTGTCGACTGCCGTCTGCGTCTATTTGCATCTATGGACGCATCGGCCCGTTTGGCAGTCCGCAGGAAAAAAAAACGACGATGACCGCACAAATTATGGTGCAGTCGAAGACGTTCGAATACCTTGAGACCCGGCACAATTTCATGTCCGGCGACGCCAGAAAAAGAACTGGATCCCGGACTACTTCGCGCACCGACACGCTCCCGTCGTCTGCTCACCGCTGGGTCGGCTATGTTAGGCTTAGGTTACGTCACCTCCGTGCCTGCGATCTGCTTCCTCCGCCCGCTGTTGTGGCTGGCTTTGTATACTATCGGCGCACCAAAAGAGGCTTCGATGAGCACGCGCATTCTCATCGCGACGGAGGGAAACGAATGTTTGCTGGAAGCAAGGCTTGTAAAGTCTTTCTCAACCGGGAGCCACCCTCGGCGTTCGTGCGCACGACACCGGATACAATCGCTTTCCAAAGCCGTGCTATGACGACTGGCTCTAGAAGGTGCCCTGGGTGCAGTGTCGAGAGCGTCCGCCATATGCTGACTTCCTACTGGAAAGGCAAGTGTTGGGCTCTATATCTCACCTGCTCGACACCTGCTCGACACCGATTCAGAGGACGGCGCCATGTAAATACAGTGGACTCGCAATAATTCGAACTCGGATATTTCGTGCTTCCGGTTAATTCAAACAAATTAAATTATTTTTGGTTGTTCCGCTTATTTATAAGCTGCTTAATCCAAACGGCATTTTCGCTTAATTCATACTATTTGTTCATCGCGGCGGGTTAGCCCCGTTGAGTGCGCTTCTCGCCGAGCCCCCGTGTACTGTGGCAAAGCAATACCCACGAAGCTCGCAGTCATTGCTTTTCCGCAGTACGCAAAAGCTCGGTAAGAAGGGCACTTGATGGGTTCATTATACGAGTTCCCTAATCGTGATGGAAATTACTTGAGACTGTGGTAAAATATAGAGAACTTAGTGAAAGAAGAAAGACACGGGGAAAGGATTGTCTCAATAACCGAGACTGAGGGGACATTTCATGACCACGCCTATTTTTGTTACACTTTGCTCCACGTATGGAGAATACAAACACCACCTCCTGCCCACTATAACCTCCTTGGCTGCGACTGAAAGCGGCAGCCGTTGTGTTTTCATGAAACAATGTGCTTCGGGAGCTTTGCTTTTAGACCATGTGCTTTAGTATACATTTGCTCCAAGGGCATTATTTTTAACAGAACCGTTGTAGGAGATGTGTGCTCTCGTGGAACATTTTTATGAGGTGAGAAAATGACACCGAGAGGTGTTTTGGTTGGAATGCTCTCGTGAAATGCAGTTTCGGTTCATCGGTTTCTTTCAGATGCGTGGGAGAACCTTCCAGAATCCCAAAGCGGTGGCGAGGGGGGAAAGCAACAACGCGCGACAATGGGGCAGCGTGCGCCCCGCAATCGCGTCGGTTTTTGGATGCGGATGCCACCAGATTTTGCCGGAACAGGGCTTTGCTTCAGCTCCCATCTGGACGCAGCCGACGCCACGAGCTCGAAAGACCAATCGAACAGTGCCAAAAGTGCAAGTCCCCAGGCCTCCCTGTACACGACTGGTTCAGCAACGATCGAACGCTTACAGAGACACGACAAACAGCACATTGGTGCGTTTTCGAAGACGCCCGATCGGTCCCGTCGGACGCGTTTGGAGTTTGGACGTAGGTCGAGACAAAGCGTAACGGCCGCGGCCATAGAAGTGCCCACTCACCCTGGGGCTTGTGCACGAGACGAGGAAGCGCGGCACCTCCGTAGGAACACACTCCAGGACCTGGACCGGCAGCGGGCGGTGGGGGAATTCCGGCAACGCGGGAGGGCTCGCCGGGCCATGCTGATGTTGCGGGGGCGGTTGCTGCTGTTGCTGCTGCGGGGGCTGGGGCTGATGATGGTGTGCCTTCTGCGTGCCACCAAAAAGTAATCGTGCTGTGCGTTTGATCAATGGCCGAGTAAGTTAACGCGAGCGCATGGAGCAAAAGCTCGAGCTGCAGAATCCAGGGATCCCGATTTCAATCTCCACCCCTACCCGTTTCGATTTGGACGAGCATCGTATCGGCGTGCGGTCGGGTATCGCAACTGCGTGATGCACGTTAAGACCCCGGGCTAGCGTTGGTACTGCACGGGCTCAATTGCTCATCTGCGGCGGAGACACCAGCCACCCATTGGGGCCCGACTGACCTTTTGGGTGTCTAAACATACGCGCAACTCAATGACGGGAAGTTAGTTCACTTCGATAAGTGTCAGCAGCGGCGTCTCCGCAGCAGAAACAAGAGCTTTCGCCGGCAAGGTACCACTGCAAGTCTGGGGCCCTTGACGTGCCATAGTAGTGATATACGAGCACGCGCCGGTACCGTGACGTAACATAAGCACGCACATCCTAGTAACACCCAGGGTGAGAGCAATGGCGCCTACACATCGACGACATTCTCTTTCACGGGCTGCGTTCACACCGTCGAGCGGCCGCCACTTGCTCCGGCGTATGCTTTGGCTGCCCCATTCTTGTGCGCAAAGGCTTAGAGCGGCGAGGGAACGGGCGATCGAAGGCGAGAAAGAACAGGTGGCAAGGAGCGCGACCACACGACCCCTGGCGCAATCACGATCGGTCGAACGCGCTGTGCCACAGCCACGACTATTATCGGCAAGAGACTTGGGGTATCACTGCTGTACTCGCCCTCTCCAGATACCAAAGCCACCTGCAACAAACGCAGGCATGCTCCTTTCATTTTTGGCCACATTACACTCACCCAGCACAAACCCGCTACAGCCGACGCCGCAAAACGGAACAGAGTTTTTCGACTTTATTCCGGAATGCACCGGCGACTACAAATCCCTGTACGAACAAAACAATGTGTAAAATGCTCAAATAAAAAACATTGGTAGAGAAAAATATTCTATTTTTAAATAACCCTTTCTCCTCATCAATGAGGAAGATTAGAAATTTTGCTCGTAAGACTTCAATGCAACTTGGACATATTCACTCGAAAAAGGTTAAAATGTGTGCGTCCCCAAGAGAAATGGTTAGGTTGAAAAGTGCCGGTCTTTTACTCCAAATGCTAGTCGATGAACGTACCTCGTTACGAACGCTTAAGTGCACTTCTCTTCTTCGAGCAAAAAAAGAAGGCAATGTTTGCTTCACACTATTCGTCTCTCTGCCAGCCTCCTCAAAAACGGTGCTTTGCACCTTGAAAGACCATTAAATCGAGGTATTCGCAAAGAAGTAAATGAAACTGATAAATTACATACACAGCCAGAAGTTTGTAGCCCATCAAACAAAGCAACAAATAATTCCTCAAGAAATAGACTATCAACACAGTGACCTTTCAACCAACTGCATTCCACAACCAAAAGTGTATAGAATATAAATAGAGTTCCGGTTTTCCAGCCAATACTTATGAACCCTCGAGGACAAACACTCGAGCAGTTTTAGTGTTCAAAATTGACAAAAACAGGAAAACATTACTAAATTTGAGCTGTCCTCGAGTTAAAAAAGAATATAACGAGCTTCACGGGAAGGAAACTTTTTATCACAGCTTTACTGCGCGTCGACTCAGGCACAGCCCCCTTCGAATCGTGTGCGAAGATGCCTCGTTTTTCGAGAATCGCACCCCTTCGTCCGTTTGCTTCTCTTATCGGTACAGAGACGTTTTGCAAGTATTCATGTTACGTGTACGGTCTCTCAAGGCTGGGCAGTCCCATGTCCGTATCCCATTTTCTTTGGCAGAATCCCCGGTAAGCCCCGGTCTTTTGGCAAACGACGAAAATAGATGCCGAAAGACACGGAATATGCGAGAAGGAAATAAACTACCCAAAAAAACGCCCCCAATTCGAAAAAAAAAAAAAAAAATGAGCCCCAGACATGCAGAATTTTACACATAAATTAACTACAAGCAACGAGCGAGAAAATAACCAGACAGTAACTAACGAGCCAATCAATACGCCAATTAATTCGGAAACGCATACAGTCGTAAGAAGTATGAGAGGCAACGGCTCGCCATGCTCGTAGAAGCCCCTGCCCGACATTAAGGACGTTCCGATCTAAACTAAGACTAGAACTCGGAAGTTTAGGTTCGAGCCTCTAAACTCTGGAAAGTTGAGAGATTATGGCAGTTGTCAAGACTGCAGTTATAGAAAAAGGCAAATGGGCTGTTCCCGCTCGTACAGTGCAACCAGCTCACAACGACACCACATATGACGATGTACTGCTTCTAACAATCAGTTTCTAGAGCCTCTAGACTAGAAACGCTCACTTTCTAGTCCAGATACAACGATAATTGGTTATAACGATCAAATTTGCGAGTTTTCTCACGATCGTTACGAATGGATCGCACTGCATTTCTTACGACTGCACGTAAGGATGCGGAATCGCCTCGAGTTCTCCGGAAGCCCCACCTTGGCCGACGGCGTCGTTGGCGCGGTGGCGCCGTGGTGGCTCGTCACCGCCCCCGCCGGCGCCCCAGGTGCGGCGGAAGTGCCGCCGCCGCCGCCACCGTGGTGGTGGTGGTGGTGATGGTGGTGGTGCCTCGTCTTCACCTTGCGCTGACGCAGCTCTCGGTGTGCCGCCGTCTCCCTCGTGGCGTGAAGCCTCTGCGTCTCGAGCGCGTAGCACCGGGGCTCGGCGCCAAACACCAGGCCGCGCAGCGTGGCGCTCTGCGACAGCGACGCTGCGCCCGTCGGTGCATGCGACGTCACCAGGAGGGAGCGGTGCGACAGGTGGCGTCCGCTGCGGAGAAGGCGCCAACGCGGGCGGCGGTTAGAAGGGCACGAAAGGAAGCCGCGAAGCCGGTTCGGGCGCTAGCGCTTCGAGCGCGACCTAATGCATCGCGACTCTTCACGCTCCGCTGTGCTGCGCCGCACGGACCTCGGTTGCCGTGGCAACCGTCTTGTCCGAACTGGTCACGAGTCCCACATTTGCGTCCGTCGAGCCCGCGGCGACAAGAACGACCGCAACGACTGGGACACCGACACAACGACGACTGCTTCCTAAGGCCGCTTCTAGCGTCGCGGTCGGGGAACGCTTGTCCCGGTGAGTGTCGCTGCCGTCGTTTCAGTCGTTCTGAACGTCGCACTCGAACACCAATGTGTGAACCAGTCAATCATGCTCAAACACCAACGTCTGAACCAACTGCCAAAATGCAAAACGCAAAAAATAGTGACTGCCGTGCCGATTGCAAAAACTTGGTGCGACAAAAGCATTTCCTTCTTGCACTTGCCCTCGCTTTCAACCTAACTAACCACAGCCGAAATTTGAGGATGCGGCATGGTCCCATTTATTAAAGAAAAGGAGAGAAAAATATTCAAATATTTCAAATGTTTGCGCTCTCCTAATTGCAAGCCGTTCCTCCAGTAACATCACCAAACCCTCAGTACAATGACAAACTCAAACAGAGGGCAGCGAAAACACAAAGTAGCAGAGATCAAACCTATCATTTAGTTAGTATGGAGCAAGTAACTAAATTTACATTTGGAATGAATACTCAAAGATCACATCTCTATCTAGTCAACAATATTCTCTAAAGCTATTTGTATTCAATTTTACGGAGTTCTAAACACACTAATAAACTTTTTGCAGTCAAAATGTTGAGAGATATTCGTATGGCACTGATGAAAACATTTTGACGTCAACACGTCTGTCTTACCTGTCCTGGTTTTCCCTCCAGACGTGAGTATGGTGGGTCCTCTGCGCTTCCTTCAGTTCTGCCAAGATTGCCAAAAACCTAAACAAAAACAAACAAGTAAATCGAGGCCTTTAATTTAGATTGGCAGTGTATTGTGTAGGTACATAGTCAACTAAGGCTTTTCTTCCTCTCTCCTTGATGCTATACAAAATTCCTCAATAATGCAATGAACAAGTACCATGGCATGCTTGAAAAAATTGCAACCCCTTATTTCAAATTTAAAAACTGAAAAAGAAATGTAATTTTTTGAAGTTTAGGAACCTAATACGCCTCAAATGGCAAGCAGAGAATGAATTCTCTTGAAATTATTGAATCAGTCAAGAAAACCCATATTCATAAAACACTCCCCCCCCCCAAAAAAAAAAAAAAAAAAAAACTGGGAAGATGTTTGTTACACAATTTCCGAACTCTGTCCCACTTTTTTAGAAGATGACAAATGACATTCAGTGATGTGATTGGCAGAAACCGTTTTGGAGCACCTTTTGGAGCAGCCAAAACAATGATTTGGAGCAGCAAAAGTGACCTTTGGAGCAGCCAAAACAGTGCTTTGGAGCAACAAAAGTGGCGTTTGGAGCAGCTAAAACAGTGTTTCAGAGCAGGAAAAGTGGCTTTTGGAGAAGATATTTTTAGAAAAATAAACACATTCGTTTCAAATGCTGGACAAACGAAGCACACTTTGCTCGCCGCAATAAACAAATTATAATCAAGTTAGGCAACCTGGGAGCCTTTCAACATGTAACTTAAACGCTATGACATGACACATTTTGCAATTATTCAGTTAAATGATACATATATATGTCGAAAGTAATCCCTGGAGAAGGGGAACAAGAGGGACGAAGGACAAACCTAAATCTCCAAACACAGCTGGGTGACTGGTGAGCGACCAAAAAAATCCGCCTGGTCCGGGTATCGAACCTGGGACCTCTCCATTACAAGTGGAGCGCTCTACCAACTGAGCTACCCAGGGGTTAGACGTCAGTTGGTAGAGCGCTCTACTTGTAATGGAGAGGTCCCGGGTTCGATACCCGGACCAGGCGGATTTTTTCGGTCGTCACCAGTCACCTAGCTGTTTTTTGAGATTTATGTTTGTCCTTCGTCCCTCTTGTTCCCCTTCTCCAGGGATTACTTTCGTCATTCTTGTCCAGCTCGCTTGCACCTTTGCATCTAATTGCATCGTAATCAAAACATATGTATGTACCCGCTGAAGGTAAATAAAAATCAAACTGCACATATTAAGGCTTATTTGAAAAGGACGACCTTAGTTGTAAATAGGACAGCATTAGGTTGATTAGTTCTATAATAGATGGAAGCAGTCTCCAACTGATGAGACACGTAACTACTGCAGTGCACTGCGAAATTGTCGCGCGAGCGGAGATGGCTGTTCGATCTAAACCATGCCACTTAACTCCATCGCCGACTGTTTACCGAAATTGTATGCAAAATATAACTGTCCAGCATACAACAAAAAACAGTCCAGCGGCACCTGCTTGCCAGGCCAGCAAGAAAAAAAAAAAGCTAAACACAAAAAAAAAAGAATACAAATTTCAGCAGATCGATGCAAGACATTGCGAGCCAGGGTCACAAAGTTCTTGGAGCGCTTTGTGCAATAACTGAACTCGAGACAAAAAAGCGCGCTGTGCGGGTTCAGCGTGCAGACATATTGCCTTCTTTGCTTTAGCTCACTTCTGTTCAACTTTCTTTCGCGGCAGATTTTTCACGAACCGGGGTCCCTCTCGAAAGAAAGAAACCTAGGTAATGAATACTTGGACACTGCAGTCTTGGAGCTAGAGGGATTTTTGTAGTGGAGTATTAAACAAGAGCAGGAATGCTGATGAACATGCGGCGCTCGTTACGTTTTAGTTTAGGAAGCGCCATATCTGCAGCGACGTGGGGACGGCAACACCCGATGGCCCGCGTCTACGGTGACTGGCAGGCGGGGACCGAATATAATTTTCCCGCGGCCGTTCCTTTCAGGAGCGAGTGCTTCACGTCACAAACTCCCGCCGCGCAAAAACGGAGTTTCGTTTCAAAGCATGCCGACATGGCTGGTACCCAGCACGCTAGAGTCTTAGTGTTTGCTCACGCCTGCGTCTATTGTTGAATTTTTTTCTTTTTTTTTTAATGACTCGAAGCAACGAGAGCGCGAAACGAGAGACGGCGGAAAATCCACGCAAGACCGGATGAACAATTGATGCAGCATACTTAGTGTCAAGCGGCCGCTTGCGCCACATAACCCACGCATGCTCAATTACGGTACACAGTTTAGTTTCGGTTTCGAAAGGCGACCGAAATTGTTTTTTTGGCGCAGGTTTGGCGCAGATTTCCCATATTTCGGAAAAATGTAGCAGGATGTAGCAGGGTTAGCCCCAGGGCGCAGTTTGGCGCAATTGGCGCAGCAATCACATCACTGGACATTTGCAGGAAGTGCAAGAAGTTTACCCGTGTAACAAACGCCCTCCGCCTCCCCAAATATGGGTCAATTTTTCGGGTAAAAAAGTGAGTTAATTGCCAGTAAATACGGTATGTGTTAAACAGAATAAACGACCGCTGACTCAGCGAGGGTCCCTGTCCTGCCTTAACCTTTCCTTGGGCCTCTCCCTTTTTCGGAATATTCTGAAGTAAAATAGTTCAGGTAATGATAAGGCGGGGTTTTGTACGGAAACAGGTTAGGTCACACCATTGTCTCATTGTGATGCTGCATGTGCTTCCCTTCAGCACCCTCTGAATACAAAGCCTTTGCGCTGAATTTTCTGGGTTGCCGGAAAGGGGGAAGCGCACTACCCTGCCCTTTCCAGTCCTCCTCGTTCCGCGCGCTCTTTCTACTCCACCTGTTACTGCTGCTTTCTTCCTAGCCCTTCCTGCCCCTCTCCGCTCTGCACGCTTTCCCACACTACCTGCTCCTGCTCCTCCCGTTCCTCTCTGCTGGGCTCATAGCTCAGTCAGCGGCGAACTCTGCTTTCACAACGGTGACCGGGGTTCAATCCCGACACCAGTTGCCATATCTTTTAAAGATAAATTAGTGGCTACAGATTGACTGACCTACACATTTCATGCTGATGGGGCTCCTGAGGTTGGCAAAGGCATTCGAAAAACTCAATGCTTATAGGGCCTCTTCACACTCCTCATAAGATGTGACATTTGTTTCCTCTCCACACTCCTCCTATAACACAATGTCACGTCCTGATGTAACCCAACGTCAGGTCATATCCGTCATGTGACACCATGATGACAGTGTTGCGTGACAATCTTTAGGACGTGACACTATAAAGGCTACGTCCCAGCGCGAATGCAAAAGCTCCAAGAACTGGCTCTATAAATACTATGCTCCCCAAAAAGAATTGTCGACATTCAGCACAGCACCTACAACCGTCTTCTCCCACTTTGGTTGTCTACACCGCCTCTTGTTCCGCTCACAGCCTGCGCCTCACCCTACGGGCCACAAGCGAGCGAATGAAGAGAGAGCTCACCTCTCAAGCAGCCCGCACAGCATCACTTTGGCCAGCTCCGAGGACGACAGCCCCACGAAGCGCGAGAACGAGAAGCCGCCCGTCGGACGACCGTCAACTGAAAACGAGAAAATTGTCCGTCCACCTCACGCCGTCGCCCGCACCTTCGGCCGTCACCACGCATCCCAGAAGGTGCAGAGATGTGTGTCGGGGTCGGAAGTTGGGCACACCCAAATGTCTCTGTTCATTACAAAACAAAAGCGCTTCCTTGGTACCATTATATTTAGGGTTCAGTGTTTTCGGGGTTTATAGCAGCCGAAATAATGCCTTCCCCAGCCGCTTCAATGGCGCAGGGAACGGACAACTGACCGAGAGATTGTTTGTTCGATTTCTGCCAAGAGACGAGTCGTGTTACGTTTTTCCTTACAACTTTTCGTGACAATCTAGACTTTGAAGTCGACTCTAAAATGCATTATGCATTAAAAAGTGAAATCGAATCCCACACTGAGCTTGAGTACCATACTTTCAAACCACGCGACAAATGTTGGACAGAGAACCAAACGTATACGCCGTACAAGGCACCATCCACCGAGCGCACGCATCTACACGGAGCACAGCGGCCAGACTCACGTGACTTGAAGAGGGAGTGGTGCACGTGGCTCGGGTGGAAGATGCTCGGCCACCGGCTCTGCCTCCGGTTCCAAGACTGGAGGATGCCTGCCACATCAACACAGCTTCACTATGTTTGTCGAAGGGCAGAAACACGACGCGGTTCGTTAAACTCACGCGCTTGTTAACAGAGCCTCTGATTAACAGGGATTCTCAAACTTTTAAATGTCTTGTACCTCTCCTGCCTCAACTGACAGCCGAAAAATTTTTCCCCACCCCCCCTCCTTGTCTCGGCATTAATGCGGTGGAGCAATACAGAACCTTACGGACATTGTAAACAATAATGCAGGATTATAGAGTGTTTGGCCCGCAGTAATGCACCAATGGGCGACCAAGATCTGCTACAGTGGTGCTTAAACTTAAAATGGACTTTACTTCCAGGCAGGGACAGTCGAGGAAATTTGGGAGCCCTGGGTTCCTAGGAGTGCTGTTTGAGAACCCGTGCTGCAATCGATAGATGCTCGGAGATTCGTTTACATCCACATAAGCTGCATAATCCACACCTTGAGCAAAGAGTAGCCTCGGCAGCTGGAAGGGCCCGGCCCGCATGTGGAAAGGCGACCGAACCTCGCGCCTCTCAAACAGGTCCGGGTGATTGCACACCTGCGCAATGGAAAATGTGCCAATCAGCCAATCCATCAAGAATGAAGTGGCAGTAGGTAACCTGCTTATCAACTAATCCATCACTTGTCAATGAATCAATCTAAGTGCACCATGGAGGAGAGTGGACCAATCCATCACTTAAAGGGCAACTCCGGTCCATACTTTTGATTTTGGGATTATGACTGTTTTTAGTGCAGTCAGCGTCCCTGAATTGCAAGGTGCAATTTTTTTCTCGTTATTGTGGGTAGTTTTAAAGATATTGACGCCTCAAAGTTTTGTTTGGGGTGCAGCTAACAAAACCGGAGCTAGCCGCTCGAGGCCGCGGCAACACTGGAAATCAGCCGCTATGTGAACGTGACGTCAGGATCGTTCTCGTTCAACGAGTAGGCAAGCCGAGCGGCACCTACCTCTGTTGCACTAGCCGACTAAAGATAGGAGGTAAGCCGATTTTGTTTTAATTCTGTATACGTGGTGGTAGTTATCCAGCATATGTAGCAAGAGTTAGTGCGTATACCCAAAAGCTAGCGACTGGAACACCTGTGAACTCGTACGGCGCTGTACTCGGCGGCCGCCGCCGTGCATGCGCTATGCCGTACTCGTCGCTTGTATACCTAAAAGCTAGCGACTGAAAAACGAGTGAACTCGTTCGGTGCCGTACTTGGCGGCTGTCGCCGTGTGCGCTGTCTTCTGCACTCGTCGCTAGGCCTAAATTGTCATCGGGGCTCCGTGGATGGAGTGGCGTTGCTTTACGCCGCGCTGCCGGTGACGTACTGTACTGGGGGCCCTCTCACTTTCGCGCTGCGGGTCAGTCAAAGACACAAAGCTTTGAGGCTCTCCGGCGTGGGCCCACCCAAACACACGTGTACTGGCCTGTACACGTCCGTTTTTTTGCTCTTTTTTTCTCGGGCGCGTCAAAGCCGAAGTCCAAAGTTCACTCGTCGAAGAGCGTTCACCCACACCTTCTCCAATTTCCGGTCCGTTGGAAACTTATGAAAAAGCCCCTCCGTGTTGCGCAGCGGGTTGTTTGAGCAGCCCACAGCGCTACAAGTTGCACTCGGCATCTTCCGAGAAACAGCTGGGCAGTTTTGGGCGCACCGAGTTGCTCGCTAAAACGAGTCTTGGAGTCATCACAAGGCAAATAAACAAAAGGCTACCGAAGCTACACGGGCTACAGATAAAAGCAACAGCTAAACACGCCGATCACAAGCCGAATTAGCGGTGGTAGCGGCTCAAAGAAGCGCACTCTGCGCAACGCAACGCAAAAGAGAACGATACAGACGTCACGAGCCAATGTCGCTTTAGCGATGGGCAACCCGCTGGCCGCCCGCTAACGAGCAGCGGCTCGCGGCGGGTCGCATTTTTATTATCGGTATTAGTTGAGAATGCGGCGTCCCACGGACGTAATATTTTGGCTAAGGTCGTATTTTGTGTCACTACAGCGATAACAGTAAATTTATTTCATTTTGAGTTTTGGCCGGAGTTGCCCTTTAATAATATTTAATCGCTTGGTCAATCAATTCACCTACACCATCAAAAACAGACTAATAAATTCAAATGCATTACTGAGAAGAGTGGACCACACAATCCTTAAGTAGTATCCAATCACAAAGCCAATCAATGTAACTACACCATTAAGGACCAATAAGCTCCTCGGTTAATCAGCTCAACTTTACTATCGTGGAGAGCAGATGAATCAATCATTCACTATCCTTCAATCCATCCAACTACACCAGGGAGCAGACAAATCAATCAATTGACCAACTGACTCCTCGATTAACCAATGCGACCATACTATTGGGGAGAAGAGACCAATTCAGGGGTGGAACTCATGAAATGTACTTGGGAGCAGCCACGGGAGCAGCTGAAACAGCTGTTTTGGAGCAGGTTGGGAGCAGCTAAAACGATGTTCTGGAGCAGGCTAGGAGCAGCTCAGATCAGTTTTGATTGCACTTCAGCTTGTGTTTTAGACAAGCACGGGAGCAATTTCAGTTGTGCTTAGCAGCACAAAAGAACAACACAGATGGTGGTTAGGGACCTATGTAGGTGGGATAACAGTGTAACATATGCGAAAACTTGAAACTTTGTGAGCCTTAATGAGAACCAAAAAGCAAGTACCATATGTTTCTGCAGATAGTGTCCTTGATATTTTCTGAGTGGCTTTCAACTGCTCAAAATGCAAACCAGCACTGCTTATGGCACAACTCACACCTGTTCGAGATGGTAATTATATGTGCGAACCACGTGACGTGCGTGATAAACGGACGTGCAGTTGCGCGGAGGGACAGGGCAACAAATTCCGAGTTTATACTATTGTTTAACTCAATATTGAAGCAGCAGACTACGATTAACGGAGTTATCGTGTTCTTAGCGATAGGCAGGAGCAAGGTTTATCAAGCAAGATCTATCGCTCGCGTGAGAGCTGCTGGCCGGCAAGGTTTCGGATCGGACTGCGTTTCAGTTCTATTAAATCACGATTTATCTTGCAGGAATGCGGTTCCAACTTCTAACGAAGAAGTACTAAAAGGAATCGTTTGCTAATGTGTTTTCAACTGGCTGACTTCCGGAACCCGGGCCGCAGAGCCTCAGGTAATCTGACGCTTAACGGCTCTACCTCTTCTCGGCCAACCTGCTTAGCCGCTTATGGTTGAAGAACAACAATCCAGTCGCAGGTGGTGTAGCACTTGGAATTGGAACCCCGAATTTTTTCGCGCGCTTCCGACACGGGAAAAGGAAGAATAAACAGAACAAAGGATTGCAAGGCCGACCAAGCTAAACGCGCTCATTGTTGCCAATCGAGTCGATAAAAACCGAAACCAAGACAAAATAAAAAAAAAAAAAAATTGGGCGCACGTTCAGCGATTTGGAGCATAATGGCGCGAGGTATTGGCTGTGGCGCAGTTTCCGCAAAATGGCGCAGGATGGCGCAGACAAATGCGTCTGGCGCAAAATGGCGCAAATGGCGCAGCCGTTCCACCCCTGCAATTGGTTAATTTTCTATTTAGTTAACAAGTTTGTGTGATTCATACATAAGTCGCTGATCGATACGCCATAATGTCAGTCACTTAGTCATTAAATGAGCCTATCAATGAGCCAGCCACACTGGACAGCTGAGGATATGCCAACAAATAAAAGTTTGGGGCGTTAGTGTGTCTTCTCTGCAGATGTTGACCAATAAACAGCATGGTAGGTCAGCCCATATCTCAGCACCACTAGTCCGTTAAAAATACACCAATTTACTAGTCCCCATAATAAATAAATCATCAAGCACACGCAAAACAAATATCAGCGAGGCAGTCATGCAATCCATCACCACAAACTTGCAGTTCACAATCATTGATTGTGAATCACAATCGGCATTGTGTCACAATGAATCAATGCCAGCGAATCGAAGGTGAATAAATCAACTTGGCCGCCAAGACACCTGTTCTGAACTCTCGACCCCTGCACAAAACGTGGGCCCTTCCCACGGGCCAATGCGCACCTTCCTGAACTGCATGACAAGGTTCATGAGGCTGGAGGTAGCAGACTGTGCCTGGGAGGAGGCTGCCCCCGCGGACTGCATGAGGTCCTCGATGGAGATTTTGTTCTTTAGCCCCTGGTACAGGAGCTTCTGGCGCTGGGCCAGCCAGCACGTCACCTGCACCTCAATCTGGACACGAGGAGAGAGAGAGCACGCAGAGACGTGAAGGCAGGCTGCAGAGTAGCCGCAAGGCAGCAGTTGCTTGGAACCGTGCCCGTGGCAATGAAAAGGCAGAGCTGCGCAGAAACCGTGCAAATAAAAACTACCACACAGAGGGCAAAGAAGAGAAAAACACACCTCAACCGTGATAATATGCGGCAAACGACAAGGCGAAATAAATTTAGACGCACCTTAACCCTACCGATAGAAGTCAAGAGAAATAGAATGTGCGGCATGTTTTGAGCTTTTTCCACCAGTGGGGTGACAAAGCTTTTGCGCCACCGCGAGTGGTTCGATTCCCGCCTGGGGACACGGCAAAAAGCAAGGTAACGTTAAAGGCATTTCAGAGGCAGCATACTGCCAGGTGCAAGGCCGAGAGAATGTTATTTTATATTTCTAGGAGATTTGCGTTTTCACTTACTCCGAATGTTCGAGGCTCGAAGATTCCAGGAGGAATGTTTGAGATACCGTGTAGAAGATAAGGAGGCCAGCATGGCCTTGCCGAGCCAGACTCACCCTAGTTCGACGCTCATACATTCTAGGCCGAATGTTGAACATACCGGGTTTAGTAGACGAGGAACCTAACGTGGCCTTGCCGAGTCAGACTCTCACGCTAGCCAGCCGTCATGCCGACACCTCGAAGCTTGCCGCTCCTTTCTCGACGCTCATTCTTTCTTTTGTTTCTGCCACAAGTTCGCCGACTAAACCTTTATTTCCAGTTTTACGCTTGTCAATCTGTTTCCATCCGTGACAATAAATCAAAGCTCCCTGACACATGGTCTAGTCACCAAAGTGACTTCCCTCCTACAGTGCAAGATGGCTGCAATGCAATACACAGCCAATGACGTCACTTCTAGTATACTCCATTCACTCCCAAGCTGACAGGGGGGTGGAAGCTATGTGCTCGTTGGGTCAGCCATAGGTCTTGCTTTCGCCATGGGGTCACACTCCCACTCATATCCTCTTTCATCACCCGACAGGGTCGGGAGATGAGAGGGAGGCAGTTTATTGGTCTGGTGAGTGAATAGCTTCCGCTGCACTGTCAGCTTAGGGGTGGACAGAGCATAGAACTCGTGCAATGTTTAGCTACATAGATTTCTGTGGCCGACTCAAGCCTAAACACGGCAAAGCACTACAAAATATTCGGGAATTCTCACATGAGTACGCATTTACAAGTTCATTCCGTGAATTGTGTGGCGACAAATTTTTCAATATCCTGCACGATTCCCTGGTCATTTTCCTTGTCGGTAAGATAACTCCCCAATCCACAACCTACCTTGTCTGATAGTTCGTTCTCAACATCCTTTTTGATACGCCGCAGCATGAAGGGTTTCAGGATCATGTGCAAGCGAGACAGGTGCTCTGTAAAAAAGAAATCATACTGTGACAAAAACATTTTGGCAGCTGCACAAAGACGATTTGGCAAGAGCTGCTCGAACCTAAGGATGTTTGGATACCAAGACAGACAAGAAAATTACAATAACGCTAGGACACAGAACTCTACAAACATTAAACATACAGGCAAGACATCACAAAGGGCACTAAAGAGCATCATACATGCATGCTACTATACTCAGTGGCAACTATTTTGCGCTACATTGTCAAGGCTACAGTGCTCCAAGGATATCAAAGCTACCTGAGAGAGGACGTAACTTTGTTTAGCATGTCCCTTGTATTAGAACGCGTGCAAACGAGACATTCAAAGAAATGCAGGGCTATAACACCATGGAAACTACACTGGACTTGACAACGCAACAAACTGAAAGAGGTATGAAAAAAAAAATCAGTTTTCCTTCGTCAGACGGAGGGCTTCTGTTACCAATTCAAAAGCTCTAAGACACATCTCACATCTGCTGTCCGCAGACCGCCATTGGCAGACGACATACCAGAAAGACAGATCTGACAACTTCTTTACGTCAACTTTTTTTCCGAGCGTGGGTGCCATAAATTGAGTTGTTACGATCAGGGGGTGCTGCAGATAAATTGCCTTTTCTCAAAAATAAGGAAATGAGACAAAAACATTAAAGGGCAACTCCGCTCAATTCCAAAAATCTTGGGATAATGAGTGTCGTCACATTAAAAAGCACTAATAAAAAGCACAACGTTATTTGCTTCGTGAAAAAAAATTAAAGACGTTTTGCAATTCTCTGTAATTCCCAATTAGAGCGCAGCTCTTGAGGAGGAGGAGGAGGAACGGAGGGGAGGGTACGCCATTCATGAGCGACGGCACCAACCAGACAACCGGCAAGCCGGTTGTCTGGTTGCTGCCGTCGTTCATAGATGGCGGTAGCTGTCCGAGTTTTATGGCGACATTTGTTTGCCCACAGACATGATACTGGGGAAACTAGCCCTTAACAGCTCCGCTGCAAAAAGTGTGCGCTGTAATCGTGCAAACACAGCAAGTCATAATATTTGATGTGAGGCCTTCCTAGGAACTAGTGGAGAGGACTGCATCATTTCTTCAAAAGCAAAAATGAAGCGGAGTTGCCCTTTAAGACAAGACACTCACTCTCGTCGATGGTGGACTTGTTCTCAGCGTGGCTTTCGATGTCTTTGGAAAACCACTCGTTGAACTCGTCGTGTGAATCGAACAGCGTCGGCATGATGAAGTGAAGCAGGGCCCACAGCTGGACACGTAACAGAGATCGGCATATTTTAAAACGTGCATTCTAAAGGCCCGTTCACACTCGTGCAGCTGAGTAAGAGTGAGAAAGACCAGACCAGTTTTTAAGCCTCTTGCGATCTCTTAGGACCAGCTCCGTGCTGCAGCGCATCCGGTCCTAAGAAGTCGCAAAAGGCCTAAAAACCGGTCTGGTCTCTCTCGGTCTTACTCGGTCGCAAGAGTGTGAACGGCGCTTAAAAGCAACACGAAAATGATTCTTGCATAGCGCTGTCATGTGCCAAGCACACTCACCTCGGCCATGGTGTTCTGAATAGGTGTGCCGGTTAGGAGAAGTCTATTCCTGCAGTGGAATGCCAGCAGGATCTTCCAGCGCACGCTGCGAGACAACAGACAAAGTTGCTTGGGATGCATGTTCATACACTCTGTGTCCTAATGTTTAGTAAAACATAACGATCAGATACAGAGGTTTATCTTTTGTTGTAAACTGACTCTATTAAACTGACTCTAACAGAGAGATGCTTTACAGTGCATTAAGCGGTCGACTTCCAAGGTATTCTCTATGGGACACTTTTGAGTCGTGCAACATCCAAACAAAATATGTGGTTCCGTGGTTCCATTCAACTGTCCTTCTTTGAAAAGAGAAGAGCAAAATCGAAATGTTCAGGGACGAATTATTCCTCGATTTTGTAAAACTTTTCTTTTAAAAGAATGCCGAACCTTTGTATGCACTACACATTTGGTAATTATCCTTTTTCTTTTTCAAGAAAACTTTTTTTTTTGTAATTAGTTAAAATAAGCCCAATTACAAGGCTTAATTGATCAGCTCGTTGGAGAGCTGCGCAAACTAACTTTTTGAAGAAAAAAAAACACAGACATCATGCCCTCTTTGAACTCTAGTGCTGTAACATTGTGCCAGTCATTAAGAGCTTGAAAATGACACGTGCCTCGCACATTCACGCGACAATAGTCGTTGGCATGCTTGTCAAAATGCAAGGCAGAAATTTTATCCGGGGCTTTCTTTACAGGCGCGCGGGTGCACCCGCCATCTCTCGGCCGAGGGGCGAACTGGAGTTTACCACCTAGCACGACGCTGACGCCGCGAACGCAGCCGGGAAGTCCCCGTAACAGCTATCGCCGTAAAAACAGAAATTAAAAGAAGCCCCGACGGATGGAAGAGACAGCTGCGAGAATGCGAAGGGCGTTCCCGATAGCGTGGTGCCAGAAACGCGTCTCCGACTTTGAGTGTTTATCGCGTCCCAAAAAGTGGTTCCTCGATTTCCGCTCCATGACGTCGAGGAAGTGTCACGCTGTCGCCGGCTGCGATCCTGGCGACGTCCCGGCAGCATCGCACTATTGCGAGAACCCTCCGAGAGCGTTCCCGCGAGATAAAAGAGCAAGTACATCCCCCTCACCTGGAGGTGCTCTTGATGGCCTGCGCCTCGTCGAGCACCATGTACTGCCAGCGTATGCGCTGGAAGTACTTGACGTCCTGTACCACCAGCTGGTAGCTGGTCACCACCACGTGGAAGCTGGAGCCCTGGCCTCCCTCCAGCCGGCCCCAGAACTGCCGCAGCACCTTGCGGTCGCTCGTGTTGCCCCAGTAGGGGACCACCTGGGGCAGAGGAGGGGAAGGTACGCGCACATTGATGATTTATCCTGATATCCCCAGAGATAGCCCACCTAAAATTGAGAAAATTGGATGAAAATAATGACGAGGCTAGCTTTGGGTGTGGAATCGAGAAAAAATTGAACAGCCCTTCCACTTCACGTGAAGATAGAGGACCAGCGAAGCTGTTATCTTTACAACATCTAGGACGACGCCTAGAGGACGACTTCAAGGACGACTTCAAGGACTTCTAGGATGACCTCGAGGACAATGCCGAGAGATGATAACAAGGAATCAGGACCACACTATCGAATAATGCCGAGGAAGGTTGACTCACGCTGGTTGGCACCTCTTTTTATTTTTATTTATTTATACTTGCCACGACCAATGGAGAGTTTCCTTTAAACATCTGCGGACACATTTTTTCCCAGATCCTAGCGCATAATGGCTTCGCTGTAAAAATGCTATTTTTAGATCATGTGTCGCTGTCAAACTTATCACATCAAGAGGCAATGAAGCAAAGATGACTGTACTTACCAGTCAGCAATGTTTGTTTATACCCCGCCATAGCTAACTAGACGCATTTACGCAGAGGTAATCATTTATCCAAACACTACGATTACTAAGAGTGGGCTATCTTTCGGCGTTTAAAGGGGTTATGACACGCCAAAAATCAAATAGGAGATAACTATACTGCTAGGACCCATTGTATGTTAGTTAGTCACACCATGGTGTGACTAACTTGGGCAGTGTTTCCTGGTCGCCAGATGAAGACGGTAAAAATTTATAAATTGATTATTGCAATTACCAGTGCTCTAAAAATTGCGCAACTTGGTATATGTGCCTATGAGCATTCCATTTCGAAAATAATCTATTCATTTAATTTTTGTGTCCTAACCCCTTGAAAAAAAATAGCAAATCAAGCCAAAAATAAAAGTGGGTTACCTTTTGGGGGTGGGGCATCTCTAGGGATATTACGGTACCCTAAAAAATGGCCTCTGTGTTTCCGTCGATAAAACACGAGAACGCGGCGAAAATGTGGTTTCGTTGTGCCAAAGGAAGCGAACCAAGTTTTCACTCGAGCTTGTCCAAACAATCGGACCCCCGCAAAGTTAGACTTTTCGAATTGATGCGACATTTGGACTTGTCTAGCTGTTTCACAACACGCACCTTCGGAACTTTCCGGAAAATGGGCTGTCACGGAGGGTGGGACCCCAGAGAACGGAAACGCCCCCAGAGAGTGGCCGAAAATAATCCTCCGCTTTTTTCTATATTTCGAGTAGAAGGCTAAGGCATTGAGTCGAAGGGTAAGGTCTCACAAAAGCCAGCCCAGTCTCGTTGCAGAAGAAAATTGTATATGCCCGAGTCGTCCCAATCGGCCGAGCTCGAAATGCAGAATTTCTCGGATAAACCCGAATCGTGAAATGCTTTGCTATCAAGTGGTTTTGCCACTTTCATTTTTTTTTCGAAAATACAAAACCATTTTATAGTATTTCTCGGCAGATATGGCATTATGTAGATATGGCATTATGCTGTGCATTGAGAAAACTGTGACAAGCACCGATCATTCTTGATATTGACCAACTGTAGATGACAAAAAGCTAGTGCGTTTCTTGTCCGGCGGCAGCCCTCGAAGTTTCAAACGAAGTTTGGTTAGGCCCGCACCATTTCTTGGTTGTGCAGCCCCGGCGATTTGGCCAGCCCGGAACGCTGTTGATGCTCAGGCGAGGGGACACTCACCCTGAACTTGGGCACAAACTTGGTGAACTCTTGCTGCCAGTTGTGCAGGGTCGAGGCCGGAGCTATGACTAGGAATGGGCCCCAAATGCTCTGCACCTGTACACGGAACCAAGCCAGATGTGAACACACGTTGTAGCTACAGTAAAATACAAAGCCTGCATCCGTGTCATAGTAAGTGCCCACCCACTACTCTTTAAGTGCTCGAAAAATAAGCTAAAGACCTATCAAGTGCCCACACCAGACTTCTGAGCTCGTCTAGACAACCTAGATGCTCTTCCAAGCGAGTCACTTCTCCAAGTCCGAGTATGCTGACGAAAAGCTTCGCACGTGCATGCCGGAGCAAATTGGATGGGCTTGGTGCACACGTGTCAGTGTGAAGCACTGAAATCAAACCTAACTCATGCACCTTCAGCATTTATACTGTTGGACTCGACAAGTGCCTATCCCCCAGTTTTATCTCCGAGTTTGGGTGGCCACTTGCTAGGTATTTTACAATTGATGCGAGAGACAGCTGAAGAACAATCTAGGGTTGGGCGCTCGTGCCAGTTTGATACTTTTTAATGTTGTTACTTCACCCGAAGCAGCCCGAAAAAAAATAAAAAAATAAAACAAGATCCACCCATTATAAAATCGAGCAAACCCAAAAACAGAAAATTAAAACACAAGGTGTACTAAATTCGTCCCAAGGCGGGTGCACAGGTCGTCCTCGGGTACGACACAAACGTTCGAGAAATTCCGACGTCCGCCAAAGTAAGCTATTTGCAGTGGAATCTCATTCACTCAAACTCTCTTAATTCAAACTAACATGCAAATCCCGTCCCATGTTTCTAGGAAGGAAACTCCCGGTAATTCAAACTTCGCATTATTCAAACAAAGTTTTGGTCCCTCTCAGGTTCAAATTAACGAGATTCCACTGTATCACCATTTTTGACGACGTAAATCACCTATGGAGACCCGAGACTTCAGAAAATTTAAAAGGAAGCAGCAGTCCACACAAAAACTTGATTGTTGCATCTACCTATACTTTTGAGCCTCATCCTATGCCCTATGAATTCTTTATCGATAAAGTTTACAAAACAATCGACAATTCGCACAAGAATGGCCAATGAGCCCTCTCCCTAATACAGTGGAATCTTTGTTAATTGAACTCTCTTAATTTAAACTTGGAGATAATTTCAACTAATTCGCAGGTGTCTCTATGGGAGGAAACTCCCAGGAATTAAACTTTGCTTTATTCAAACATATTTTCGGTCCCCCTCGAGTTTGAATAAACTAGATTCAAATGTAACGGAGCAAAGGCTGCTTTCCTAAAAACAACAAGAAAACCATTTTTGTTGAAAATAGCACAGAAACCGCCTTTTCAAAAACAGCGCAAAAGTTGTTGCCTCAGAAACGGCGCAAAATCCGTTTTCCAGGAAACAGCACAAAAGTCGTTTTACGGCTGCACCAGCCGGGAGACTTACTTCGGCCAGGGCAGCGAGAAAGGCGATGGTCTGCACCGTCTTGCCGAGGCCCATCTCGTCCGCCAGGATGCCGTTGATGCCCTTGTCGTAAAGGCTGTACAGCCAGTTCATGCCCTGCAAGGAACGCACGGGAAACTTGCCAAAGACGTTCAGGGAACGCGCACCGAAAAGGGTAACCCTGAAGATGCCCATACAAGTCGTCCAAGATATGCGCTGCAAAAGAACCAAACGGGCAACACAAAGCAGAGAGCCAACGTCAAATTTCCGTGTTTTTGTGCGCCAAACCGGCAACGTGCCCCAGCCAAGGATTAATTTCGACCACCTAGAAACCTTTTACTACCCGGGCAGTAACAGAAGCTACCATGCAGCCAGAATCCCAGTTACACGGAGCGACGAGCCTCGGTCAGACTGCAAAACGTGCGAGACGCGGAAGGAACTCTTGGGCAAAGTGAACGAAACGCACGAGAAACAGAGAAGGCACAAAAATAGCAAACGTTGCAGAGAGTACTGTATGACAGCCTGGTTACAAAAATTACGTACATATAAAGGAAAATAACTATAATCACCGACAGGTCAGAAGGGAACGAAGATCTACCCGACGTCCCCCCTCCAGCACGAGGTTCCTACCTTCGACGATGCTTAGGCGTCTTGCGAGAGCGTGCATGAGCAGCTAAGGCATGCAGAAAGCTGCAAGCACGTGCTGCAGGTCGGACGTGTAAAGGGGAGATGCCCTGCCGCTTTCACCCAGTCAGTGACCACTGACCATAAGACAAATATCTCACTGTGTAAATAAATCTGACTGTGCGGCAAAGCCAAAAACAAAAGAAACGTTTGCCCGAGCTTGGGTTGTAGGGACCAAGGGGCATCGCAAACTCCTCAGAGGAAAAATGGCATTGAGTGAATCTTCACCTTGAGCTGGTAGGTCTTGAGCTTGCCCACAAACATGAGCGGCTGGGAGAGGTCTTCGGTGGCCAGGCTCGGGTCGGCGGTGATCCGAAAATCTTCGTTCACTGCGTCGCACAGGCGTGCCCGTCGGTTACTTCGTAACAAGTGGTAGTCAAACTACTGCAATTTCTGATGACAATATTAACGACGCTAGGTCTCCGACTTCACTTAATTGCTGGACCACTCTACGTTTCTCGGGCTTACAAACACTGAAGCTAACATCGGCCACAAATTATAAAACCATACTCCCACATAAAAAAAAAAAAATTTTTTTTTGCAGCTACACATTTAGAATGTTTGTTCACGTTAACCTTACGTTCTAATCTGCACCACCACCTCATAGATAACGGAAATATCAACAAACCTCTCTGGCCCTCCTACCGACAAAGCTGCTGCTTCCCACAGAGAAAATAACAGTGCCAAAAGACACAGGGACGGGTAGAAGAGATACTGGTACTCAATTGTCCCTGTGTCTTTCTTCCATAGTTTTATTTTCATTGCAACATACAGGGTGTTCTTGTTTATAGGATTTCGAACTCTTTTTAAAAAAGCCACCAAAGCTACACGAACACAGTCTGCGCAAGTTATACAGCCAAGGGGAAATAATATAGGGGGATAATCATCATGACAAGTAGATTCATGAAATAAAACTTGTTGAGTAACTTTTTAATTAGTGAAGATTAACAAATGGTTTCAATTACAGACCCGCTGAGTGTCATCAAAACGACTAAATCAGGAAATTTTAGGAAGACTTGGAGCACGTGGAAAGCTCGGTGGTGCGCCAGAGTTACCACTCGCGCAACAGGCACAAGGCTGTGGATGCCAAAATGCTCCCGAGTGATTCTTTCGTCTCTTATCATCAGCCGCCAGCTCCGCGCCTGTTGCACGAGTGGCGACTTCCACACACTGTTGTGCTTCCCACACGCTTGGAATCTTTCACAAAATTTTGATCACGCTCAGCCAGTCTTTAGTTGCAACCAAATGTTTGTTCTCACTAATTAAAATCTTTCAGCCTTTCCACTCTGGTGAAGAAGGAAGGCCAGCGAAGCTGTACTATGATGGGACGACCTCAAGCACGACTTCTTGGATGACCTCAAGGACGACGTCAAGGACGACTTCCAGGACGACCTCAGGGACGATGTCTAGGACGACCTCAAAGACGACCTTAGGGACAAAGTCTAGGACGACCTCAAGGACAACCTTAAGGACGACTTCTAGAACGACGTCGAAGACAATGTCTACAACGACCTCTAGGACGACCTCAAGGATGACTCGAGGACAACGTCTACGACGACCTTGAGGACGATTTCAAGGATGACTTCTAGGACAACCTCAAGGACGACGTCTGGGACGACCTCAAGGACGACTTCTAGGACGACTTCTAGGACGACACCTAGAGAAATTCAGCCTTTCCACTCTGGTGAAAACCAGAGTGGAAAGGTAGGAAAGGTTGCCACCATCTATCAGTGAGGCCGGCAAGCCGGTTTTCGCCATTGCTCATTGATGGCGGTAGCTGTCCAGAGTTTTGTGTCTACATTTCTTTGCGGGGGACACGATCCTCGGGAAACTAGCCTTTAACAGCTCTGCAGTAGAAAGTTAAGCTCCTTATGCGACATCGTGATAATTAGCCCCATTATTATGTCCCCCCGGCCGTATAACTCACCTGCACAGACTGCATTAGCTTAGCTTTGACGGAATTTTAAAAACAAACCTGTAAAGCCTAGAAAAAGGCGCCCGGTATAGCGAAAGGTGCCTCGGAAAAAAATTGTACGGCTGATTGCTGGAGAATTGTGCTGCACACGTGAAACGTTCCAGCATCAAGTGACATTAATTTCCACGCTAAATTGAACAGGGAAATTGAACTGGTGTGCAGGACATGCGACAATACTTTTCCCACTAAATTGAGAGGAGAAACTGAATGGCCGTATAGGTCCATCAGGTCACATGATGTCCATTTCACCGCTAAATTTAGCGGGGAAACTGAAGTCATGATGACCTATGCACCTAAATTGAGAGGAGAAACTGAATCGGTGTGTAGGCCTGCGTCGTCCCATGATGCAACAGTGCACACGTTGCATTACGGGACGTCACAGGCCATGGCTTCACGAAATCCAGAGCAAATAGCCAAAGATTGCTTTACGTTAAAAGTCTCGGGACGAATTAGCGTCTATGCTACGGCGAGGTGGATCCAGCTTCACCGGAGGAAGCGCCCTTACGATCGCCCTGCGGCGCTCCTCCTTTCTTGGGGCTCTTCTGGGAAGGCCTCAGCTCCGTGTCAAAGGCATCCGTCTGCATGGAAAAAACTTGCGGCTTGTTTGGCGCTATGCCCCCAGCAAAGAGGAGACGGGAAGAGGGAAAGCACCCCCACCTTGGCTCGGTGTGCCAAGTAGGCGTCTTCGGCGTTCCTCAGCGCTTGAGACTTCATCAGCTCCTTATCTGCATAGACACGGGAGGTTGTCAAGCGGGAGTTCGAGCAACGGAGCGTGTGCAAGGGCAATTCGGCCCGTCCCCCCCTCAAGAGCCCCGACCAACAAATGAATTCAGGGTCCCTCGCCATGGGCTCTTTCTTACTGCTGACGTTTTAATGGCAACCAATAAGAACAAAAAAAATTAAAAAAAAAAACACACTCCATGATTTTTTGTTTACAACTTCTTCCTTGCTCACTTCTTTCACTATTTTCTACCGATGAAGACAGAACAAAATGCCATAGAAGTTTTCTCTAAACTCAGATTTCTTGAAAAGTGCTTTTAAACGCAACCTCTATGTGGCTAAGGTCAATTTTCGAAAGAAAGAGCGAAAAGTACACCTCCACATTCTCTGCAAGATTCAATTCGTAGCGTTTTCGGCTGTGCAGCTAACTACATATTCATGGTTGGAACAAACCACCCGAACCCACTGTCACGATAGCAGGCTCGAAGAAATCTCCCAAAGCCACTATCACTCGTCTCCGTCCGAAATATTGCCGCAAGCGTGGCACGGTTGGTGACAAATGTTACTGCCGCACAAAGGAACCGGGTTCGAACCCCGCTCGGCCGAGATCTTCCTTTTTAACCGGCACTATTCCGAAGAGTTCCAGCCCGTTCTCGGCTCCTGCCGAGAGCTTCAATTCGAAACGTACCGCATGTACAAAGGCAGTGGCAACACGCTGCTTCAAGTCAGTCATCCTTCCGTCACTGAAGCACAATACCTTCTGTCTTAGTCTGTGGGCACAAGTCCACCCCATTAAACAATTATTTTCAGTTTTAAATTTTTCTATCATTCTTCATTTACTAATATGTATCATTATAAATCATGCTCAGGTTTTACTATCTCTTGCACGTTTTCTTAATATGTTAGGTTCTGTTCCGCTAAATGGTCCCCTTCGTAATGTTCCACGTGGGTCTGAAGAGAGAAAATAAATGAAAGAGGTGGAGGTCACAGGACCCCAATTCTATTCTCACGAGTAGATCAGTCACAGCAAAATCGTTGGGCGTCGGCGTCGCATTCACGCACCGTGGGGCAGTAGGGTGCGCGAAGGAAAGCGTTTGGGACAAAACAAACATCTGTTGTGTTCCAAAAGCTTTTTTTTTTTGTTCAGAGTTGTTCTGAACGCTTGTGAAAGCTTGTCTCTCGGCACGAGCCCTTGACATTGACAAAGCTACGACGGTGTTTTGTTGTAGGCTTTTTTTTTCCCCAGACAGCGCGTGCAGAAAGTACTACAAAGCCCCAAGCTTGGAGCCAGTTATCAACGTTGTAGCGTAGCTCACTGGCAACGTCTCCGCTTCGCATGCAGTGGACCCAGGTTGGACGGACGCCCTACGTCGCTAACTACAACATCAAGAGCTACTATTACTAAAGCTACAATGTAAATAACAGACATCATTTTCAGTGGGGGGGAAGAGCCCATAACAGCTATTGCCGTAAACGGTTATCGCAACCTTTTATCTCTATAAGCCACTCCACTGGCCCACGGGCAACGGAATGAGAGGTCCAGGTTTTGATTTTGGGCAAGGGACAGTCTGCCTTTTGCAAGGCTCTAGATTGAGACATCAGCATATAGAAGAATTTTGCTATAAGAAAAAAGAAGAATATTCACAAAAAAAAAAATCTAAAAAAAAGCAACAGGGTTGCGTTTTTGCGGTGCTTCACTGCAAACTCCACCAAAATGTGATAGCATTTCGACACCTTTTTTATGAAGACCATATTCCGCAGCAGAACGAGCCCGCCTTGACACTGTTCTCTCTTTTCAGGCATCTCGTTGGCACAACGAACAGACTTGGCCTTAGTGGGTTGCCACTCCTGCCCGGCGATGTCCTCTCCGGTCTCGCTCATTTCTCTCGCACAGCATTGCAAAGACTTCCAGAGAGTGTACGACTTCAATCATAGGACCCCTTTGAAGCGCGCCTTCTATTGGAAGCTCCGTGTCTTGTGTCCGTACACAACAAAGGACACAAGCGCGAGTGCTCAGCTGCATGAGCCTTCGTGCGACAAAAGTAAAAGCCATGGCGACCCGCCCGCGCTACTTGCACGTTCTGTGGTGTCGGTTGGCTGTTACCGCACTTAATTGTTGCTTTGCACGTGTACCCCCCCCCCCCGGCGCAGTGGCCCAGCTTCGAACTTACGATTTCTGCATCGTGGGTTTGATTCCGTTTGGAACTTCGTTCTCTCTTCTCAGCTTATCCACCCATCAGTTTCCCGAGCACGCGCATTAGTTTCAGGCTACTAATCTGAATATCCCCGGGGTGGCCGCCGAAAAAAATGTGATTGCATTTAAAGGGTGAAAAGGTGGTGTCCACGAACCGTAGTCGTCGTCTGCCTCGGCCTCGAGGAGGGAGCTGGAGCGGGAGCAGGAGGCCGACTCGTCCAGGCTGCCCAGGATCTCCTCCTGTCGGGGGTCCGGGCCCAGGCCGGCCATCTTGCGGCTCATGAAGTGGGCGTACAGCTCCGTCTGGGTGATCAGGAAGTTCAGCTTGCGCTGCTGACGCTTGGCCTGGAAGAGACGGGCAGGCAGACGGAAACGGGTCAACGAGCGTTACAGGATCCAACACAAACCAAAGACGACGAAAACATTATTACAGCGAAGCTGTCATAAGCTAGTTTCCCCAGTTTCGTGTCCGTGGACAAATAAATCTCGACACAACCCTCTGCACAGCTACCGCCATCTATGAGCGACGGCTGCACATAGTACAGCTCCGCTGCTCTTCCTTCTTCACCAGAGTGGAAAGGCTGAAAGTTTTTAGTTTTAGTGTTACTCAGTCTCAGGGTCATTCTATAGTCCGTGTCACTAGTTGCGTGCAGTACAGGCGAAGGCAACGCCAGGCAAGGGGAGAAAGGGCGAGCACAGGTAAGGCTGGAGAGGAGGAGGAGATACCACCTCTCCAATGTTCCTAGTGCTCTCCCCTTCTTCCCTCGCCCTCCATTGCCCTCCTCTCCCGTCCCACCTTCCTAGTGCTTGCCCTTTCTCTTTTCGCCTGCACTGCACACAAAACTAGTGACATAGAGTACAGTCACCAACCGATTTTTTGGACACGTCCGATTATTCGGACGTTTTCGCCGAACCGTCACTCATCCCATAAAGTTAATGTATAACATAGACCGAAATTTCGGACACCGTAAAGCTTATGCAGAGCGCAAGTTCGTCTGCTTCTTCTAGAGAGGTTGGGGTGGTGTCAGAACGTTGGGGTTCTGAACAGTCTTGGGTAGTAACGCGTTACTAGTAACGCGTTACTGTAACTTCGTTACTTTTTTGGTAACTTGTAACTGTAACAAGTTACTTTTTAAAAATGTAACTTGTAACTGTAGTTCTATTACTTTTTTCTGAGGTGACGATGAAAGTAACGACGTTACTTTTGTCGTTACTTTGCTGTGTTTTATGAATAATATATCACTGAACGAGGTGCAATTAAGCCATTCCTTGCACTGTCCAAATCGTCTATTCCGAAATTTCGAGTGTCAAGTTGGCCTTGCACAAAGTTGTGAATACGTTCTTTCTCGCGAGTAACGAGCCGAATATAGCCACGTGTAGATTTTATGAAAAAATATCTAGTTATCTTTACGCACGCGCTTGTACTTCGTGCCTAAACACTTACATCTTAGTGTCTTGAAGCACTACCTACGCTGTCTTTTCTTTTTTCTGTGCAAACGCTTTTTAATCGGGTGAATCAACCGTAAAACAATAATACACGTGAAGGGCTCTGCGCATGTCTCGTATTTTGATTAGCGCCACTACTCCGCACTGCGCATGTTTCGTATTTTGATTTGCGCCACTACTCTGGCGTGGAAACTTTCAAACCCTAACTTGGAGAAGCAACTGCTGCTAAGTTACAATATGAAGTAAAAGGCGTACTTTTTTTAATTTTTTGCAATAAAACGTTGTGAGAAGCGTTTTCTAGTTTTTTCAAATTTTTTTTTTGTGTTATAGAAAAGTAACTGAAAAGTAACGTCGTTACTTTTTAAAAGTAACTGTAACTGTAACGAGTTACTCTTTTGTTGCGGTAACTGTAACGGTAACTTCGCTACTTTTTTCTGAAAGTAACTGTAACTGTAACGAATTACTTTTTAAAAGTAACTTACCCATGACTGGTTCTGAATGAAGAAAAATGGGTAGACCTCAAGGCAGCTTGCTTTGATGTCTACCCACAATCCTTCAATCAGAGACAACCAGAACTCGGCATCTTTACTGACAGCACAGCAACTCCTGTGCAAGAAGCAGACGACTTGCTCTTAGCATTGCTCTACATTTCAGACATAATTTGCACGATTTCCTCAGTTTACAGCCACAAAACAGCCGTCGCGATAGAGCCGCGAGCTTAGTCGCCGCCACTGTGGTTGTTTTGATTTGGCCCTGTAGCCTCGATACCACATCCTAAGCAATAGACAAGCTGGGTTGAGGCTATAGTCAAGTTTCCTGGTTCTGCTATAGCCAACATGGCCGCTGTCTGCCCATTCTCATGGCTCTTGCAGTTCTCGCGGTCCATGTTTTTCGAGTGCAACCGTGAGAAGAGCGGCAGTCTGCCGCTCTCGTGGTCTTGGAGTTCGAAGGTTTTTTGCCGGTTAGGCTTAGTATTGAAACAAGCTTGGTAGACTAAACGTTGTCTACAAATAGTGCCAAATAGACTACTTCCATAAAGCCCTGCATGCAACACGGCGCGCATTGCAGTCTGGGAATTAGTTGGCCAGGGAGAGTGGCATGGTTTCGGTTTCGATCGACACGCCGACAAGAGATTACACACAGAGCGTGAACTATTAACGGCCGTTATCTTACGTTTTCTGGTCCCGAGAGCGTCATTTGTGGTCTCTAAACTAACATAAATGGCCACACCTCGAAGCTTTAGCACAAGCCTGAGACGTATAGCTTGTCTTAACATATGCTTGTTGTATTTTTGTACTTGAGCATTTCTGTTAGCATTTCGAGGTATGTGGACGAGCCAGTGCTGGGAATGTCGACGCTGCGAAGCTCGGGGATCTTGCTTGTTTTGAATCAACAAGCTGTAGCAACCAATAAGTATGCATACATCGAGCTCGCGCCTTCACTTTAGTGTTGTTGATCAGGAAGTATGTTTTGTTTTGTGCGTCCATAGACGAAATGTTACTTTTTGCAATTACTGCTTTCTTAATACGCCTGAGTACATGAGGTAAAACTCGGAGGCATCATTGAAAAGCTCAATTATAACACACTTCTTATCTCTTATATCTGCACTGACCCGCAGCACTGCACGAAGCGAAGTCCCCACCCACTTGCATTTTACTAATTTTCAACATCGCGTATGCACATAACGTTATCCTGCAATCGTATAGGCACCATTCGCACATACAAACCATTTTAAGAAAGCAAAAGTCGAGCACTTGTGTGAAAAATATCGCACCGTTCGCCAGAACTACACCGGACGGGCATGAACCCCTCTGCGGTGCGCCAAATGAACGAAATTATTCAAAGTGCATTTGACGGTTGCTAATGGCCATAATATTTGGTATGTGTTTGCTTTCTTCCTGCCCGAGTATGCCGAGATAATTTTAGACACACCGTTCAGGCACAGATCTTGGGCGTCAGTAAAAGCTCGTCCAAAAAGGCTTAGTGAGGAGTAGGGGACGCTTGTTAGGGCCTCCGTCGTAGCTAGCCGATCTCGGTGTTTGTGAAAACTTAATCTTCTATCAGCATGAAATTTGAGTGGGAGATATATGATGACACGAGGAAGACATGATAGTAACTTTGGTGCAGTAGTGAGGTCGAATTTATTGCGTTTCCTTAAAAGTTCACGTGTCAACGCTGGGCTCAACTTTGATACTCCTGTGAGGATGTGGCTTGCTTTTCGCCCAATGATCAAATTTCAGTTGTAGTTCACTGGTACTAGACGGGGTTATTGAAATTGAACTCAAAGGTAAGGTGACTAAGCCACGTCTTACTACGTTTGCATGCGCATTCATAATATCCGGTGTTTCGGGAAGCAAGGAGAGTGCCCCGGTCTTCGTTTTGTATCGCTCGAGAATGAGTGTATTGTACGTTCGCAAGCAGCGCGTTCGGTCGCGGCGCGATAGCATGAGATGGAGCTGCTCAGTCGAAACCGAAACTGAGTGGCCAACTAGTTCCCAGAGAGCACTGCGTGGTATTTCGCCGCGATGGGGCGCGTCGGTTTTGGAAGAAGTCCACGGTGCCAACTTCAACTTCGCTGTTTGTGCCAACGAAGGCGCCGACAAAGCGCAAGCACCGTGGTAAAACAGATCAACGAATAAGTGAAAAGTGAAGAATATAAAGCGGAAGTTGTACGAGGACTTAAATTTGATATCGAGCAATTTGGTATTTTGGCTGAAATAGACTTTTCAGGCCGCTTGATTATTTGGACAATTTGGGGGTCCCCGCCGAGTACGAAAAATCGGTCGGTGAATGTATCAGGAAAGTTTCGAGGATCACACCAGTCGACGACACGACGCAAGCACGACATCATTGGGTGAAAGTTGAGGACAACAGACGAGGATACAGTAAACACGCCAGTTGGAGATTCGTTCCGGGCACCGCTTTAGACTCCGTTTCGCCTCCTGCCCCGCCGCGACGGATGCTGCAAGCCGTCGGAGCCAATCTAAGGCAGTGCGGAAAGCATGGTCACGCGCTACGTTCTCGAACTGCCTGCCTAGGACGGCTTGCGGCAACTGCAGCAGCCGGATGTAGGGCAAGACGGAGCACGTAACTAGGTCGGGGGGCCCCTCCTACCTCTCTCATCTCGATGTCAATGCGCAGCTGTTCCTGGGCCTCCCGCTCCGCCCTGCGCCGGTGCTCCTTCTCCACCTTCTCGTAGCGCTTCCAGTAGAGCAGCATCTCTCGGGTCAGGCGCCGGGCCCGGCCAGGGGTGTCCCGGGAGGCCTTCTGCGAGGCCAGGGCGTTGCGACGCACCTCCCGCTGGCAGGCCACCGCAAACTGCGGGCAGGAGAGAAAAACGTCATTGTACGAGAAAACCACACTGTGTTAAGTGGTTCTCACCACACGGTTGTACGGCAATTAAAAGCGGTAACTTCATACTGTGGGTGGTGCTCTTAGTTTGGGTGGTACCTAGAGCAGGGTTGTGTAGGGAAACAAATTATGTCGCATCAGTCTCGTTGCGACACCGCACGCGCTACCGTTCGGCCGAATTTTCTGGTTCGCCGAGAGAGGGGAAGCATGCTTTCCTACATTTTCCATTCCCCTCGTTCTGCGCACTCCCTCTAGACCATTTGTATCTGCTCCTCTCTTTCTTGCCCTTTCCAGCCCTCTCCACTGCACACGCTTTCTCACGCCACCTGCTTCTATTCCTCTCATTCCTGCGTGCTGGGTTCCTAGCTCGGTCGGCGGCGCACTCAGCTTCTGTACCGATGACCGGGGTTTTACCTGTGGCACCGGTTGCCACTTTCTTTCAAGATCGTTTGGTGATTACAGACTGATTGACCTACACATTTTGTGCTTACGCGGCTCTTGAGGTTGGTTTCGTAAGCAAGCAACAACTCAAAAGTTGGGAGATAATATAAAATAATTGTGGGTTGATGAACTGCTCGGTCCGAGAGCAAAAAATTAGAAGATGCAAGAGGTAGGGTGGGTTCCACCACTTAGCACAGGCTTGTGCACGGCAAGCTTCGCTGCATTCCACCTGAGAACGCACGGAGAAGCGGCTGATGCAAAGGAGCATCCCAGTTAGCTAAGCGTGCTAGGGAGCCTGGTCTGTGTATCCTATATGTCCTTTATTTTTCAACGGTTCAAAAGTAGCAAACGGGCCCTTAAGAAGACATACGCTCATGCCTGGCATCTTACGATCGTTACTTAGAGGAGAAGTCTAGGTCGTCTCTTCCGGATTCTCAGCCTTTCAACCTTGTTGTTTTCCGAAGTGCACTGACTGCACCTGCAGGCTTGAAGCTCATAAGTCGCAGAAAGCGTTCACAAAAGCAGGCTTGAGGCGAGACAACTGAAAGACATCCTTGTCATTCTTATCTTGACAGCGACTTAAGCATAAACACGCGATGGCAGCTTTTCATTTGCGGATGAAGCAACGTCAAAGCTAGTAATACAGTGAAACATGCCAGTGTGGGATGCCAACTTGGGCAGCAGAAATTCGGCATTCTCCTCTAGCCTATAACAGTAAAGTTCGAGAAAAGGTAGAGGTGGAGTTTACGCTATCGAGATTTCTTGATGTCGCTGAACGTGCCTTTGTCGCGTGCTAACCAAGAACAGTAGGGCCCTATTCGTAATTGAGGTTGTCCTTGCAAGTAACCCGTGCAATTCAAGAAACAAAAGCCGTTTGTCAGAAATGGGCTCAAAGCATCTAATGCTCGTCTTTCCGACGTTTTGCAGACGTATGAGAGGTCAGCCTCACCCTTTTGGCATTGGTAAGCATCTCCTTGTGGGCATTCACCTTCTGCTTCTGCGCCTGCAAAAGAGAGATGGCATCATTGGTGGGCGACTCTAGGGGTGACTATTCGTGACTCCAGCGACCTATAGGGGCGCCACCACCAAACAAACATGGCGGCCGAGTCCAGGTCACGTTGGCTCGGCCGGGCCGCCTGAACGGTAGTAGATTCAATTTAACAGATTTTCCCAATTTTATTATTTATTTGAATTGAGACGGTTAAGTGTAGCCGGTGCACATAAACTTGAAGAACATAGTTTTGTTTTCCCGGTGTCTTGGTCTTTTCATGTCAAACTTTTGTTTCTGAGATTTCGTTCAAAACTGAAACTATGGGCTCTGGAGAGACGGTAATAGACTCTAATCAGTTTTGATCATCTAAGGAAAGCGGCGATGACTACAGAATTGTTCCACCGAGAGTAATTTTCAGCTAACTCGCATGCCTCGACCATGCGACGTATCTGTCCGCGAAATCGAGCTTTTGTGCGTATCCGCATTTTCCAGTCGTCTGCTCGGTCAACAACACAGGCTGCAGGAAAATTACGAAAATTAAGCAAGTGCTTCTTGAGCCAGGGAGCATGTTAACCCGCGAGCACCCCACTAAGCAGCTAATACTCGTATTTCAATTAAGGTTTTAGTAGCAATCGAGAAGTCATTTTGACGAGCGGGTTATGTTTTATATTACGTACCATGTCCCATTAAAGCGATATTAGTATATTTTTCGGGTTGAAATATGAGCTTAGTTGACTAGCTATTGGGTGAACTGCTGAATAAAAGTATATTTGACAGAGAGAGCGCTACTACTTAAACTTAGCCAAATGGCTCTAGCCGGTAGCACGTAGACGACTGCGGACAAACTGAAGAGAGTCTTCATCAAAGATTCACGCAGAACTTCTCTGCATTGAACTTGACTTCAAATCGTGAACGGAGAAAAGGAGTATTTTTTGTGACCGGTCAACCTGAGCAATGTAGGCGTACAGTGCTAATCACACTTGTTTATAACGCACGAGCGTGCAGCTTTCTCTGGGGAGCGCTACACTGGTGGCATTTGAGGAAACTAAGCTAGTTACGTGGCGCAACATAGAACGGCCCGCTCGAGGGGTGTCCTGCCCACTCTACCAGCTGGCGGCGAAGGCGGAAGGCTGCTCTCAAGCTTTTTAAAAACATCATTGCTCGAACAATAAACAAACTAAAGCATGAAGGTGTATCACAAAAAACAAAAAAAATATATCATAAAGCATTTTTATAGCTTATCAAGCTGGTATAAGGCTTGTTACTATGCTGCAAAAAACACAAGTATATCAATTGACCGGATTCAACAGGACTGCGCATAGTATCAAGAGAATCCTACAGGACAAACGCACTGATCGCCGACAATGACACTGCGTTCGGCGCCAGCTGATAGAGTGGGCAGGACACCCCTCAAGTGGGTCGCTCCATGTTTCGCCAAGTGACTAGCTTAGTTTCCGCGAATGCCACCAGTCTAGCGCTCCCCGGAGAAAGCCGCACGCTCGCGCATTATAGACAAGTGTGATTAGCACTGTACATTGCTGCTGGCTTCGACGGGGGTATAATATAAATATTGGAAGCGCAATACATCATAACGCCAAGACAGCTTCTTACTTCGCTAAACGTGACCCCCCCCTTTTGAAATCATTAATCATATGCAGCGAGCAGGTTTTCCTGAATCAAGTAATTGCAAAATCAGCCCAATTCCTTCAGTGTGGTCCAGAGGCTTTTCGGCGAAAAGCAGCCAAGATGAATAGCCAACGCAGTGACCGGCGTGGCTGGCTCAAACTTGGATCTAATCGAACACAACCAAACTCAAGAAAAGCAGCTATCGAACCTTCCCATTCGCTTGACTGCAACATTGGTGTTCCCTCCAGTGAAACACCTCATCTGTCGTCCTCAGTCCACTGCTATACATCCTTATAAAGAAACCCCTTATCAGTTACCAAGTAGTCGTCACTTTGAATGCGATTCGAGACGGACAAGAAATCAAAACGTTTTTCCGTGATTCCTCCCCATCCAAGAAATCGAAAGCACACGACCGTGTGTTGTGGAGCGAACGGGCTTTCAAGCATGTGATGGAAGGAAACAAACTACTGAGGCTTCACCACACTAATGAACACTCAGGCAAACTTAAGAAATTCTCGGACCTTCGTTAAATTACATTGCTCGCCACCGCGCCGACAACACGTGTCCGCGAAAGCCACCGCAAAGACGCGGAGGGGCGCAAAGCGACCAGGTCCGGCTGGCTCCCGGTTTTCCCGCTTGGTGGCGTCCGTTTTGCTGGAGTCGCGAATATCCAACTGCTTCTAACGGTAGTCCGCTTCCTCCTCTACAACAGGTGTAGAAACGGTCATAGAGCTGCTCAAAACAGACCTAACAGATTAAAAATCTTTTGCAATTGATACAAACTAACAAGCAGGAGGACCCACGGCCCCAGAATTCTACCGAAGGTTGATGTCCCGGAAGCATTCCTAACTCAATATGTCCTTCAAAGCAAAATGTATAGCGAAGAAAAATTAATTACACAAATATATATCACCTTACGGTATACACCGAATACATAGTAGCACTTTATATCACAAGATTTTGTTCCTGCAAAAATATTTCCAAAGCCCCCACTTCGCAAAATATCGTGCCCACAAAAACTAAATCATTTACAGCGCATGCCCCATGCTGGAATACAGCGCGACACTGCTAGCGTGAACATGACTTCGGGTTTTTATCACATTCTACCTTGAAACGTACTGACGGGCATCAAGATTTTCCACTTGGGTTCTCACCACTAATAGTTTTAATGACTGACCGATTAAAAACGTTTATTGGCCAAATACGAGGGATAGGGAATAAGGGGAGGCGGTGTCAGTGGTGACGGCGACCTAGACACTGGCACTACATCACTCACTACACACTACATGTGAATGTCCAGGTTTGTTTCAAGGACAGTCTAAGAGACTCTTCGAGACGTTCGTTTGAAAAGGTGGGTGTAGCCACTCCTCCAGCAATGTGATATCTGTGGGTTTGTACTTTCTTCTGATATCTTGGTAGTATGGACAGTCCCATACGTGGACAGTATCCGCCTTGGCAGTTTCGTTTCACTTGGTAAAAGTGCCTGACCCTCGCCCTTTACCCCACCGGGCCCTTTGACCCACCAAGCAACCCGAGCCATAGTGGGGTTGGCATAGGCTTATATGCGAGTGAGGATTACTTGTCCTCTTCTTCAAAGTCGTCCCGTCCCCCCGTCCCCCCGTTCCCCCCCCCCCCCCGGAAGGAGATTCGGATTTGAGGGCAAACACTCCCACAGTCGATGCACGTAGTGTTCACTGATGCAAAGTTTTTCTTCACCGGGGTTCTTCTTCCCCGGGCTCCTGTGCCTGGTTACAAGCATGCCCTGGAACCCAGTCAATGACGGTCTTTGTCCCCTCTAAGAGGAGTCGAGCAGCGAGACTTTTTACTTTCCTCACCTATCGGCAGGGACTGTTGGCTCTTTTGCATTCAATGACTGCCTCCTTAGCATCGGAGAAGATGCTCAGTGGTGGGCAGAACAAATAACAGCTATCGCTTGTGGGAGACAACGAGCCACGCTGAACGTGGATGGACGGCCCCGTGAGCGGCGAGGAAGAAGAGAAAGGGACGCTCGTGGTAGGTGCGCGTGGACAGAGTTCGAGTGGCCGTGACGAACGAAAGAGGCGGTGCTGAACGAGCCCAGACAAGACCCGGACCACAGGGCAACCGTGGCCTTCCACAGCATCGACGGCACAATATGAGTATTTATAAAGTGTTTGTCTATGATGGCGCTCCTTGTGTGACTTCCTCGGAGCGAGTAGAACTCGGCCTGATCAGGAATTGGCAGGCGACCCACACGCTGTAAAAAATATTTTTTTGGGGAAGTTTGGTGTTTTTTCAAGAGACTCAAGGGGCCCTACGCTACAGGGTGCGGCCAAGACAACGCTGTCTGCTGCAATTGCGAATCACTGCAGACGACATTGTGCCGGTTCCTTGGTCCCGCCGTGTAGCGTAAGGCCCCAGAGCACCTTTTTGAACAGACGGAGGCAAACAACGGATGCATCCACCCCGCAAGGGAAGCAAAAGGCACCCACCCTGGAGACCTCCTTTTTGGAGAGCCCGACCCAGAGCCGCCTCCTCCTGAGGTTCATGGAGGCCTCGTGCGCGGCTGCGCTCTTCCGGCGCCCGTGGGGTCGGGATCCCGAAGGGGCGTCCCCGTAGACGCTCTCTGGAGTGTGACGGGCGTCCTCCAGGCTGCCACCCCCTCCCTCCGCCTCGGAGCCCTCCTGCGCAGCGAGGCCGTGCCCGGCATATTAATCCAGCAAAAACGGTCCGGCTCTTGGGAGGCAACCGAAAATGCGCCAAACGTCCAGGAACGAGGTTTCCTCTGTCTGGCGGTTGTTAGCCCCCGTTTTCGTTTCTTTGCGTAACAAGATTGTTTCTTGGCGAGTTGAGCACGTTGATATGAAATACATAAAGAAATACATAAACGGGACGACACAAACGACGCTGTGTCGTCCCTTTTACGTATTTTTTTCGTTACTGCGCAAGATTGTGTCCTCTACCATTTCTCATCCTGTTGAGCAAGATGTACAATGCATTTTATCATATGTACCTTATCTTTATGAAGGTATCCTGCTTTCGTTTCATTTTTCCGTTGAATTTTGACTAAGAAGTGTTTTTCTTTTTACTCCGAATTTTGACGTTCATTTTCGGCTTTTTAAGAACTGCTGTATGCAACTCTGTTGCTTATACTCCATTTCACCTTATGATGAACCCCAGCAGATGCTACGAGTTAACTCAGCAAAACAAGCGCTGCGAACAAAACACGTAATTTTGCACCCATGCATTGCAACTCCCCTTCCAAAGATCACGTGACAGTTGCACGACTTTGGATTGGCTTTAGTGGCTCGTAGAATTCTCCACACTCCATTGTAAGATCAAAAGGAGTATATATTGTGTTTTTCTTTTCTAAAATATAACCATCTGAACATTTCTACTCTGGTTCATCACAATTACCTGCTATTCCATTTTTTTGTGCTCCAACACGAAAAGGTGCTGTGGATACCCAAATAAAACTCCTAACCAGCTTCCAAGGCACAAAGGAGCCATATCCCAAGAGTGGAACGTCACCAGTTGCCCCAAAGCTGTCCCACGAATCCTTTCTCGAGTGAGCCAATCTAGCATCACCAAAGACCTTCAGACCAACAGCTGTCCCTCGCAGGCCCTCTGACACGCTGAAGTGCATGACAACCCCGGCATACCTTGCGCCAAAAACAAATGTCGCCCCTCACGAGCACACAGACTGCCTCACCTGATTGAAAGGGTCGTCGTCGTAACCCGGTTCCAGCTTCACCCGTTTTAATTTAGCTGCAGAGAGAAAAACGCCATAAATGTGAGAGGAAAATAGCAGTTTGATTCGACCACCATGATCGCTTGCAAGAGTAGAACGTCATTCTTTAGGCTAGTCTTTAGTGTCAGTTTTGGGAAGTTCTGGCACTAAGCAGAGGCAGAAGGAATGTCAAAGCCACCGAGCCTTTTTCGTCCAAAATTGACCTATTTCGTTGTGCCAGAGACAATAGTCACTCATACTCGCCAACAAACAGCAGGTATTATCGCAATTAGTTGAGGCTCACAAGTCCCAAGCATTGTGGAACGCACTTTGAGGAATTCAATTCGATTTTGCTAAATATATTTCATGAAGTGCCCACGTATACCGAGAGGCTCCTGCCTGCATCAATTTCAACTATCGCGCACGCAACACCACGCCACCAATGTTGGTTAGTCACCGTTAGAGCCCCGCACAAATAGAAGTTTGACTTTGTATCCACATCCAGAACAGATCCACGAAATTCGGAACCGCATACGGCCCACAAGTCGCGCATTCATTTTACATCATGACATCAAGCGTGAATAAAAAAAGCTTGTACAATAGCTTAAAGCCATTTGCTTGTTTTTGTACAAATAGCTCTTCGAGTTAGAATATGGTGAGTTATTTTATCGTATTCTGTTCTATAGAGTTTATATTATGAGCGATCATCCTTCCAGGGACACTTCGTATCGCTGGAAAGATGATCGCACTTACGAGATCGTCCTGGGAGTCCGCGACACTCTGTCCGTATGATGCACTCAAAGGAAACAATTTTTGTTTTCACTTTGCAATATTTATTTCATGCAGACACGTATGTTCTAAACACAAATATTAACGAAGGACAGACTAATAACATTGCATCATTTAATTTGGGTCAAACAATAAAAAAAGTGTGGGGGGAAAGGTGGTCACTCATTGCAGCGAAGTATCCGTATACGGGGTAAGACACTAGTACACCACTAGGAAACTATCACAGTCTTCATGAATAGCAACATATATTGGTTTCAGTTTTAAACATGAACCAGCAACGGTGTGCTCCGAACCATATACTCAGTGGCAGATTGCCATTTGTTAAGAAAAAAAAAAGAATGTACATACGTGCACGTTTTGTAGGAGCAGAATATTGACAACGATGGACGGATTCAGACTAATTTGCATCTCTTGAATTACAAAGCCTGCTGATAAGGGGTCTGTGCTACAGGAGTGAAATACGGAACTCATACGTCACCCTTGTAGTGGGAGGCTTTTTCTACTTTCTTGTGGCTTGTATGTTTTAGGTTTTCTTTGCCCAAGGAAGGTTTTCCGCTCTTCCTCAGCTACACAAGAACACAGTTTCCGGGGACGACTGATGCCCCTGCCCTTTTCACTTATTTTTTTAGAAACATTATTTCTGGCTACGTGAAATGCTCCAAAGCAATCTTTGGTAGCCACACTTTTTCTTGGCGTAAAGAACGATTTTCTCCCCGATTGGCACCCTTTTTCCTAAGAAAGTAATTTGCGGCAGCAAAACATTCGACAATGCAGTTTATACAATCGCTCAGTTATTCACTTCGCAATCACGCTCATTTAAGGGTTGCCTCGGCAAAAATGCGAGTCCGGACCCACAGATATCCGCGTCTGATCCACATCCGCAGCCCCTGGCATCCGCATCCGATTCATTTTTATACGCATCCGCCAGTTGGCTGCGGATATCTGCGGATGATCCACAGGTAATCCGTACGTATGCAGGGCTCTAGGTGCCATTCTTTGGCCAAGACGAAAAGAAGAGGCAGAGTAGAGTAAACAGCCGGAGCCTCACCTTTCCGACGCTCGGCGGCCTTACGCTCCCTGGATTTCTTCTTGCTGCCCTGCAGCGCCTTCTGCTGGTCCGGATAGGGGTCGTGCTGTGACAGCATGCCCACCCCGTAGTACTGGTACTGCCGCAGCTGGAAAAGGATGCTCCATCAGCTGTTTTGCACGGGAGATCCACGGGAGGAGACAGCAAAGGCGGCATAGCCACAAAAGGGTGACATCGAAGGAGGTGCTACCCTCGCACCCTTTCAATCCGTCGTCTTTTGTCCGAAGCCTGAGAATATCTTGAGCAAAGAACATAAAAAGAGTGCCAGAAGAGAAAAACAGTGGTGCTTGCACAACGAGTGCCACCGTCTTAAAAACTTATTGCAATCTAATCTCGTTACAGTACAAAGCCTCCCATTTGTGTCTCTACCGCAAGATCCTTTGTACTTGACCAGCCTAAAACTGCTGATATCCCCCCCTGCCAACTCTCTTTTGCATACTACAAAGTCAGGCCTGTAGACTTAACTTTTTTTATCTTGGGGGTAGCGGGGCTCAGTACCTGAAGGCCCCCCTCCCCTCGCCGAAAACAAATATGTACTCCGAACAACGCAGTGGGGTGTAAAAAAAAAAAGAAAAAGAAAGGCCCGCCCCCCACCCCTCCCCCAACTTAAGGGGGTGGGGGGCCTGTACAGAGCACATAGACCACCTTCTGAAAAGGACTGCCCGAATGCACCAACAATCCATCCTAACATTCATTCCTCCCAAAAGCACTTGTGGATTGCAACCATCCTCCCACTTCCAAAGCCAAGATCACTGAAGTTAGCATGCCTAAGGCTGTCATTAAAATGTGCTACTTTATCCGGACGCCATGAATCATACAATTTCTGCCCTCGTTGACTCGCCCCCTTCCACGACGTCCACCGAAAAAGGGAGTTAGGGACGGCACAAGGAAAGGCACCAGAGGCGGATGCGTGGCTCACCTCGGGGTCCCCGTTGAGCTCCGCCCTGGCCATCTGGCGCAGCTTGTGGAACCGCAGCCAGTCCTGGAGGTCGTCCTCCGTCGGAGAGTTGTCCTCCTCCGAGGAGGACGTGTCGCTCAGCAGCACATTCTGCACAGCCGCACGCAAACATGCGAGAACGGCTAGAGTCACCAGCAAGCCAGCCACTCACAAATATGCGAGAACAGCTAGAGTCACTAGGAAGCTACCCTAAGAGTACCAGCACCCTTTGCACCCCTTCGCCCATTGCCACCGCGGCGGCGATTCGCCTGTCGCGTGGCACTTTTCTACGCGACAGCGGCTCATGAGCAGTAGATTACGCATTAGGATATCACTGCGGTATCGTCTTGTACTGTTGCAAACGCTTTCGGCAAGCAGAACGGAAAGAACTTCTTGCATATTCCATTCGGCATGTCGACAAAAGCTGGTGACAAGTGGCAACATCGATTCTACACGACGACATGGCTGAACTGTCGTTACTCTAGAGCCTAGTTTATTCAGTGCCTCTGATACCAGTGTGATGCAGTGGCAGCTGTATGTTCTGCCTCACTGGTAGCGAAACCAAACGCTGGCTCGGTACCCAATCCAGCAGAGATCATTGTATGTTCACCTTACTATCCCGAAGTTCCACGTTCAACCAGCTTGACCAAACTCGGTTTCTAAGTCCCGCCGTTCAAAAAGCAACATTGCTACCCACCTTGAGCCATCGTCGACTCTTCTTGACGTTGTCGAAGTTGTACAGCCTCATCTTCTCCGCACGTTTCTCTGCATGGACGACGTCAAAAGGACGGAAAAAGTGAGGTCCAGTACAGAACCCCGCATACTGCACCGTCATAAAATCAATGTCTTAAAAGGTAACTATAGCAGACTTGCATGAAATCCGTTACAAGTAGGGCTGGACGTCGATTAAAACCTTTAACCCGATTAATTGCCACCTTTTAATCGATTAATTATTCGATTAATCGGTCTCTTTCATTTCCATGAATAATATTTAAAAAAGTGGTTGTGCCTCTGTTGAACATGTGACAAACAGCGCCATATAAAATTTGATTTCGAATCAACCTCAATGTGCACTTTATAACAGCTTCAAGACACTCACACTCACAGATTATTACTTCAGCTGCACGAGGCAAAGAAGTTTGTTGATATTCTCCGGCAAGAGCGACCTCCTTTGATTGTTCATATTAGCCTCTGCTGTTCTAAACAGACACTCGAACGGCATTGAAGCGGCCGAGACACGTGTAACCTTCTGCAATTGTTTGGAGTTACAAATTTTGTTCCTAAAGTATGCCATTCATACAGGTGTACTCGTTAAGATCTGCGTGTTGAAAGCGTTGGATTTTTACTTTTATTTATAACGCAAAATTTTACCAATTAACCTGTTAAAAACATTAATCGCAATTAAAGCATTAATCGATTAATCGGTAGGCTAATCGATCAATCGCCCAGCCCTAGTTACAAGTAACGAAAATACTTGTAATCCCTAGCATTTATCAGTAATTTAGTAACGCAAGGATAATCACATATTTGCTAGAGTAATTGTAAAGTAATTCCTCTACATATTTTTGAAACGAATTCGTAGTAATCCCTTCCATTCCCCCCCCTTTTTTTTTAAATTTTGTTAAAGTTGAGCTTAGTCACACTGTAATGCGCATTAACCAGCGCAAAGGAAGGCTTGGCACTCTTCAGTTCCCCAAAGCCTTTTTTGAAAACATCAGGCCCCTGAATCTATTTCTTCAAGCCCTTACAGCAATGTCAAAAAATCTAAATAAGTATTTCTTAAAAAAAGAAAAGAAAAAAGTGGGCAGACAAGTTATATATATTTTTTTAGTACCTTCTTTTTTTTTTTTTTTTTTTTTTTTTTGCGATCGGAGGCATAAAGAGTGCGCGGACAAGAATTAATGTCCTTCTCGGTTATTGTGACTACGACCATTTTCATAATGTCACAACAGGAGAGAGTGCATTGTCTACCCTAAAATCCACTAAAAGAGATGTGATAATATGTCAATGTGTTATTGTCTCCTCGTTCGTTGCTGCACACTTATCTCAGAAAAGAAGATGTATATTTTTTCTGCTTCTTTTCACCTTATTTAGCTCCGTTTCAAAAACTACTTACTTTTCGTAGTCAAACTTCTAGCATTGACCCACATTATTTGTGAATTCTAGTCGGGTTATCTGCATCTCAGTCACCCTTTTTGTGAGTCAGCTTTAACCAAGCACTTCGAAAATGGTAAGTCTTCCTTTTTTTTCTTTCCTGCTTTTACCTTGGAAGGACACATCTAGATTTTTTACAAATAAAACAAAATGGTGGCTGACGTAGGCTTAAGATTTTGGGCTTGAGGGAAGAGTGAAACTTGTGAGTGGGGCCATAGTGACGCTTAGCTCTCTGCCCTTTGCTGCCCATGGCATCAGCGCACGTCTATATGGAGAACACAGGAGTAAAGTGCAGTCGGTCCGTGCTCCGTGTGTTTTTGAACGACATCAAGAAAGGTACACACCACAAACGTGCATTTATATTTTCTTGTTTTAACCGACATTCTAATTAATTGTTCTCAGGAGTGTCCTAATGGTGTTGTTGTTGTTCTTATTACTTATATTTACATATTGAAAACATTTTCTAATTCACCAACAACTCAAGCGAGGCTTGACCTGTTAAGAACCAAAGGTTGAAGAATATTGATACGAACTCTATTTATTATTTACTTATCACCTTACTGTTACCAACTATGTTTTGCTATTGTCTGGCAATATATGCCAGAATAGTATGATGCACATCAATCAATTCTTATTCCAGTTTAAGCTAGTTGTATAACGGCTTCTACAGCTTCGCGATTTCGACAATAGAGAATTTAGTAGATCACTCCGATGACTCCAATAACGGATAACCAATACTTTCCCACCGCCTTTGCGCATGCATCGTATCGTTATTGGGGGTATCGGAGGTATCGGAACATCTACTAAAACTCTTGAATATCAGGCAACGGCTGCAACTATGAAGCTTTGCTCTATTTTTGAGGTAAATAGTACTTCCATTGCTTCGCTGAACAGGCTCAATGCAGAGCATGAAGCATTTGTGAGGCACAATATGGCATTCCCACCCAGTGCCTCAGTTCAAAAGGTGTTCAGCGCAGCAGTCGACATATTGAGTAAGAAATGACGCAAAATGTCCGACGAGACTTTCGAGAGCCAGCTGTTACTCGAAATACTCAATAAGAACAATAAGAACTTGAATAACCCTCTTCCCTTTGTTTCCTACTTCAGAACGATAATGTTGAAAGTAACGCCACCAAAGTAACGGATTACTTCTTGGGGTAACAATCACTTACTTTTATAGGAGGGTAATTGTAATTAATTACAATTTAGCCTCGAATAATTGTAAGTGTAATTCCTTACTATTTCTCAGTAACAAGTACAAGGGTGAGAATGGCACAGAGGCCTTTCGGTAGCCCTGCCTTTGACGCGAGCTCCCTACTTTCGACGGCTCTTCGTCGTCTAACGAACCTCAAGCATACAGGCACAGTCAAAGCACAATGCTAAAGGGGTACCCTAACGTTTTCTTCATAGTCGCGAATTTGCCTCAAAATTTTCTACACCCTCCAACAAACGTAGTTGAAATAGTAACCCAAATATTGGGCCAAAATATTTTTTTTTTTGCCAAGGTAGTTTACAAGTTTGGTCCTCACTGCATTTTTTGAAGTGACAATCTCTACTGGCAACAATAAAGAAGTGACATCAGGCAAAGGCAGGGGTTCACTCTTTGGACTGTAAACTTTGTTCCCAACTGATTAAAAGCTGTTTCATGGCGGCAAATTACCAAATATGTGTCTCCTTGCCCCGATAAACTACTATTTTGCTGCGTAATCGCGAAGAAAAAAAATTTAATTATATGCCGACCTGTACTTGCATGTGGTTTTTGCGGGAACTATAGTGAAAGCGTCACTGGGGGATATGCGGAAGTCAACAAAAACCTGTCCCCCTCCGCTGCTACATTCACAGTCAGCCCTGTGGCAAACCGTCTTTTGTGTCAGATGCTTGCCACGACCTTCGACGATACTAATTCTTTTAAAAGTCGATAATCGCGGAGGAAGTGGCTAGGGTCTCTGAAGAGAGAACCCAAGGAGAAACCACGTGATCCCCCAGAGTATGTCACTCAAAAGGCAATGTGGAAAGTTGAGAGGCCCTTCGACCTTCAGTTTGTTTCATTTTTTTTTAATAAAAACTAGCGCTCGCAGGTATAGGTGACACAGATTAATTTCCGCAGCTAATCAATCCAAGTCCGAAAATCGTTGCACCACCCCTTTAAAGAGAAACTCCGGTCAGTATTTTCTTAATTTGGGATTACAACTGTTTTTAGCTAAAGCAATGCCCCTAGATTACAAGGTTTTTTTTCTTCAATATTGCATGTAGTTTTATACATGCAATGACTCACAGTTTGGTTTCGGGCGTCTACAGTAAAACCGGAACTATCTGCTAGAAGGATGGCAACACTGATCATCAGCCATACAGTTGTGATGCGACGTCACAAGGGTGCTGCAATACGCGGTACAACCAATCAACCATAGCTCCACCACGACATGACATCACAAGGGTGCAGCGCCAGTGTTTTTTACCAAAAGCTAACTCGCTTGGCGTCCGCAAAAGAGCAGCTTGTTGCATCTTTAAAAACTGTATTAGTGGAGTATGCGGCTTCACTTTGACGGAATATTTCGGTCGTGATCATATTTCGTGCCACTAAAGCGATACCAGTCATTTATTTTGGTTTTGTTTTCGACAAGAGTTGCCCTTTAAGGCAGTGAGCAAGTGCTGGAAGCTGAGCATCCCTGCCATTCTTATCTTCTCGGCAACTATGCTCGGTTTCACCACAAGAAAAAAAGATGTTTTGCGCATTGTTCGTGCACAGCGCGAAGCAGTTCTTACAATATTTGGTTGTCTCAAAAAGCGTTTTCTTTGGAATTTGAAATGTATACGTCTCGAAGAGGTAATATATATCTAATCTAAAATGCACCTACCGTAAAATAGCGGGCAAGCGCCCACTCAAAATTTAGAGATAATCGCGAGAGAATGGGGGATGGGCGGTTCCCCGGTCATCGATTTTACTTAGAAATGAACTGTGCGTATTTCCTCACATCTTATAAATTTGTGAATTGTCACTTAATGTGGACTGGGCGGATGTGCGGTATTCTACGGTACATATATTTTAGTTCACCACGTAAAGGGGGAAATAAATAATGTTCTACGACGAGCCAAACTTTTTCTACCACGGTTCTTGAGGTGAAAACGAGTATAGATTCTTGCAACAAATATCTATGGAGTTTCGACGTGACCACAGCTCTCGTGCATTTGCGCGGCTCTTTTGGTTCCACCGCACAGATTCGACACACGCCCGGCGGCACGAAAAGCTAAGAAACCTCGGCTGCATCTCGGAAGACCGAGACACTTGTAAAGTCGACTGGGAACTTGCCACGACGTTAGTTACTCGTTTAACAGTTGACGACAACGTCCAAAGCAGCAAGTTTACGAGCTACCGCCTTGAGCTGCTGCGTGAACGCACGCAATTAAGCAAAACGTCGAGTCCCTGTGTTTTCCCAGAGCCCCGATTTGAAGGAAACCAAGGGAGAAAAATTCCCCATTGCTTGCCCACTTCTCCCTACCTTCCCTGGTACGACAACATGTTCACTTACCGTGCTCGGACTGTCCGCCGCCGTTGAGCGTCTCTCCGTCTTCGTCGATGTCCGACAAGCTCTCCGCTTCCGTGTCCTCACCCTCGCTGAAATAGCGAATGTAAGAACAATGTCATGCACGGTTCTCACTCCGGCGTACAAATAGACGTAGAATCGTGTCTCAATAACAGGAACCCTGTAATATGGATGCCCTATATACAAACACAATTTTAGAGGACCAATTGTGTAAATACGTGTTTTTTTTCTTATCATTATGAATAACTGACATTAGGGATGATTTTCAAAGGGAGAAGAGGTGTCTATATTAAATCACTGTACTACATTAGAAGAGCTTCTCGGCAACGACCGAAACATCACACTAAGGCCAAATAGAAGCAAAACAAACACCCAGCCATGTGATAATTTGCACTTCCGAAACATTTAATTGCTTAGCAGCTAAAATCCCTCGGTGAGCTCTCATTGCAATGGCTGTACTGGTGCACCACAAAATAAACTGAGCAGATTTAGGTACTCCCAAACCTATCTGCTTGACTGCACGGTAAAGTATTGCAAATAGTCATCTGTCGCCTAGCTATGTCCATGCACTAACCTACAAAACGGCGTGCTCTAAGCGGCGGTCAGTGGCCCATGGATGCAAAGCAAGCACGAAACTACATTCTCCGTACAAGAGCTATTGAGGACACAAACCAACTCATTGTTTATAAACTGGCACACTTCCCCACAGTGGCTGTGGGTACTTTCGTGTGCACATAATGCAAAACGTTGCTTATAAAATACATCTTTATTTTTTTTTTACTTGCAGATAGTTACAGAATGTACAGACCTTAGCCATACATTCTGGCTCGAATAAGGGAACAGGAGCCCCAATCTATTTTGCGCTGCAAGTCAAAGTGGGCCAGCATTCTTTGTTTGCAGAGTAGGTTAGGCGCCACTTTATGTAGAAAACCCTTGCGTAGATAAGCATGTGTTTCACTTCTGGCCGGTCATAAGAGGCCAGCTGTCCAGTGCTGCTGTGTACAAAAATATTAAACGTGTTTAAATGGCCGACATCAGCCAAGCAGACAGCTCGACTGGCTCGATGTTCCAGTTCAAGTGAATGCTACGAAATGCGGCACTCTCGCAACATTTGGTGGCTTTATAGTTTGTTATAATTTGGCTCCAGCCAAAAGTCTTAGCTTAGTCTCACAGTGGACCCGCTGTTGTGGTATTGCCGACAAGGCTTGACCATGAGAAAATTGGCGACTCCCTCACCGGGGGGAAGAGGCAGGGGGTTGATGAGGTTTTTAGGTTTTTTGCCCAATCCCCCAAAACTCATCCTGGTGATATCCGACACCACCTGGCGATGGTTGCAAGTTGCAAAGGGAAGTAAACTGGCTTAGAAAGGCCAAGGGGAGCAGTCATACTTTTGGTTTTTAGTTTCCAGGCTAGGTGGCACAAGCTACCGCCCATTATAAAGGGTACAGTTGTTAGCATCCATCAAGCCATTGTTTCTGGGTGGCATTAGGCTAGCATAGATTCTGCAAAGCTTCGAGAAAAGTGTGAAAATAAAAAATATATATGTAGAGAGAGGAAAGACAAAGAGCCATCTTTCCTACGCTTTGACTCGTGTCAGCATTATCAGCGTCGCCCCCTTTCCCGTCAAAATAGCGACGACACAGCGCCGCCGAACAGTAGCCACCACGCCACCATTGCACAGAACAGTTGGAAGTGGAGCGCGGTGTGACCGAGAAAAAGAAAGAGGTGTGGCAGGGATCTATGCTCACTTGACGGGGTTGGAGAAGTAGTTGTGGATGAAGCCGATGAAGTTGTCCAGCTTGACGGCCCGCTCAAGCCGCTGCAGGTGCAGGGGCTGGGCCAGAGCCGGCCTCCCCTCCTCCGTCCCCATCGAGGTCGAGGGCTCCCCCTCCGCTCCGCCCCTACTGGCCATGGCTCCTGTGGCAAGGGAAAGAGAGCACACTTACCACGGCGCCTCAAACCACTCTTCGACTGGCGTGTCTGGCATCCCGCGCTGCCCCCGCATTGAAGGTCGACCCACAGCGGCAACAAATTATGCGTTGCAGGAGCTGGAGTGACAGGCCATCGGTCGTCGTAACCCTGGCCGTTGGTCGTAAGCGTTCTGGCAGAACAGACGATTCATGGAGGTAGGAAGCTTCTGGAGGCGACATGATGCCACCGGAGGGGAAGCCAGAAGTGTGGAGGGTCATGCGCCCCCAACGATGACCAAAACCAAGTGACGCCATTGGACGAAAAGGAGAGCGAACTTGGGTGCCAACAGCTGTTTTGGTCGTCCCCAGGGCCCCGGCCCCGAGGGAGACTGGGTTTGGTCGTCGGTGGGGGTGTGTGACTCCACACCTCTGGCTTCACCACTGGTGGCGTCGTCTCGCATCTGTGAGATGATCAAATACAAGTGTCGCCGTCGTCACAGTGCCTCGGCTGCTGGCTGCCGAAGCTTGATCCGTAGCTTGTAGTGCTGGACGGCGGCCAATGGCAGAACAGATGTCTGCTGTGGCCACCTCTTCCGGTAATTGAGGGACCACAAATGTGGACGCGGTAATTGTGCCAGTCGGAGACATGTATTTTGGATGCCATACGGTTGCTCGCGGGAGCCACCACATGCGCAAGGGAAAGCGGGGAAACTCTTTGAGCCACGCTCGCGGACGGTCAAAGTGCCATACAAGGGAAACAAATATCTGTGGTTTGCTAAACGAGATGTATTAGACAACGATCTAGGTGGCACCAAATGAAATTTTGGCCGGAGATGTGTATGGAACCATTCCTGACAGTCAAGACCTAAACGAGTAGTTTGGAATTGAAATGGAATTTCAGCGTCGTACGTCACTCAATGAGGGACAGTGATGAGAAGTGGATGAGGATTCATATCGAACCCACGAGGATCTCGATTTTAAATCCACGCAGAAACAAACCTCCTGGGACGTGGGCACCTCAGACGGAATTCAAATCAACCAACTAGCGACCCCTGGTTAAACAAATCCCATCAGCACCAGGAATGCAAACTTGGACTAAGCAAGCAGCAACAAGCTCTAAATGGTGACACTATTGGCATAAGTACCATACTGGCCAAGAGAATGTGTGTTGTTCTGGAATTTCCAGACTTCGCAGCTTGAGTCCACTTTTTTGAGACAAACACAGTCTCCACCTTGGCACCGACCACAAGCCCCGATGGCTCACAAACAGACAGAATGTAACTTCCTAAAAAAAAAAAGAATTCATGCTTATACTTAAACAAAAATAAAAAATTGGCAGGCTTTTAGATTGCAGGTGACCCCTTGTGGAATACAAATGAGCTTGTTGCTCATTCACGTCACATCCCCAGCAAGGCTGGCAAAACTGCCACTACACTCTCAACGAGGTATACATTACTGTTAGTTACGCAGTAAAGTGGCAACAACGAATGTAAGCAATACTACGAGACGGAACCGATGCCCACTTCGGTTACCTGCGGCGCTAATCGAGTAATCGAAACGGATTTTTTTTTTTTTTTTTTTTTTTGCAATCGACCATGCACAACTCGTCCCATTTTTTTCGATAAGCATCGGACCCCCCAACCGCGAGCTACCGGCAAGGGAAACCCAGCATAAACCAATTGATCCCCTATTGACCCGTCTCGATAGAGTAACAAAGAAAACTACTGTCAACTCCCAAAAAAATATCGATAGAGTAAGAGCCGAGCAAACCGAGAGGTCACGACTTCATGAACATGTAGAACCGCACATCCAGTTCCCCATTCATTCCCCAAACCACCGAAACCAAAATACTCGCGCACGACACCTGAACCGAGTTACACGAAGCACGAACCTGGAATTTGAACGTGGGGTTTGAGAGCGCACAGGTAGTTTTTGCTGCATTCGAATCGAGCAAGGACTTTCACCGTGCCGGTACCTCGGAGCCTTCGAGACTCGGGTGGTGAATAGTGGTCGGTTTTCCAAGGGGGGAAGGGGTGGTTGACCCGGCACCTCGAACATAAACACCGATCGGGTCGCGGAGGGCCTTCAGAAAGCTCGCAACGCTCGGTCGCCCAAGTCGTACGCAAGGCTTAGGCGTGCAATGCAACGCAGGCTCGCAAGCTGAGCCGAGCGCCAGAGCGGCTATGTGCTTTCGGCGTCGCCCGCGGTCCGAAGTCGACGGGGCGATTCGCCTGGTCGAGGGGGCTTTTTGGGAGATGGGAATCGACTTACTCGGTCCGCGACGTCGAGTGCCGACGCAAGTGTGCCATGGAAGCGAAGCGCCGACCTTCTACACAGAACAAAATGGCGATGGAACGGGACTGATTCGCAGATGCGGTGCAAAAAGGGTCTCATGACACCCCTCGCCTTCATTTCGCAGGAGCCGCGGCGGCACGCCATATCCATTCTAGCCTCGAACCCCCAACGGCCGCTGCCGCCAAACTTTCTAGGCGGAAGTTTACAACCAACCTAGAATTTCATCGCAATAAAAAGCTTAATTCTAATATTAATATTATAATTTCATTTTAGTTTAAGCAAGTTTGTATTAAACGTCAGTGAGGTTGAGAGTTTCTAAGCTTCAGGTTTGGCGCGTTCGATTGTCTTACCCCAATCGCTAAACTTGCTTCATGAGGTCATAACTCTCCAACAAATAATATTTCCCAAACTTATTAAACATTTAAAGCAATTATGGAAACTCAATAATAATTTATAATAGTTTACTTAAAATTTTAAGCTCAATGTAATTTTTATAGTAAGATTAGAAGCATCTTTATATGAAGAGTTAGTACTCTTTTCACTCTCACTTGGCTCAGCTGGCCGAATAATCAAACATAAAGAGTAGGCGAAAGTAGTGTCGAGTTTCGTCCCTTGCGCTGCCTTTGAGAACCCCGTACTGCCCGTACTTTCCACTTTGCTTGCTTGCACGAAGCACATTTCTTTTTGGTCATTCGAGTCGTCAGCCTGATGTGGTGTTGCTGCGTATTCCGTAGAGACTCGGTATTGGCGGTTTCTAAGAATTAAGTCGGGTGAGAGTGATTTTTCTATTTTGGGCATTAACCCCCAATGTCTTACAGAACCTGTGCTGGTTGTTATACTTTACAAATTACGTCGAAAACATGTTAAATTTGACTTCTACGGTGCACGTGAAGTTCCGGTGTAGGCTTAGCGTTAGCACAAAAGGACTGTCTGGCGTTCAATTTGTTTTTGCTCACGCTCAAATTTTATTGCTTTAAATTTGATCGTTCTTATACATTCTTACTTTCTGCATACTACTTAGAAAATGTAGGTATCGTTGTTATGAAGTTGGCAAATTTGAGTTTTCTGATTTTCAGTGTGCACGGCGTGGTCGTATGCCCTACGTTTGACCTTTTTCCTGGTTCGATTTCGCAATTTTTAATTTCTGGAGAGAATTTTTTCTGATGACTTATCTTTCGGGACCAATGCAAGAATGCGGAAAACTGGTGCCAACGTACTGACGAAACATTCTCTCGAACAACCCCCCCCCCCCTTTTTTTTTTTTTTAACGCACGGTTTTGATGATCATTTTGCTTTTGGTCCGTTTCAAGGATGACTTCACGTGTCTACGTCGGTCGTCTGAACTATGACGTCAGAGAACGGGATTTGGAAAGGTTCTTCAAAGGATTCGGCCGGATCCGCGAGATATCCATCAAGAACGGCTTTGGATTCGTGGTGAGTGATTCTGGATTTGCAGTTGCTTCCGGGGTAACTGTTCCAGCGTAAAATTGCTGCCATGGAATGGAACAGTTGAAACTAGCTTGCACTCGCAGTCTAGCCGGTAGACAATATTAGCGAAGAGATGCTCAATCAATCCTGCTGTCGTTTGCTTGCTTTCAAATAGGCCCAAGTTGGGTCATCCTTTTAGGAGGCGCATTGGGGGACGACTGTCTATCACTGAGGCACGTGTAACCACCATGGTTAAAAGCGCTAAAAGTATCACCAACTAGCCCAAAAGCCTAATTGCAGTATGAGTATGAGCATTCTGATCAGTCTTGTAGAGAGTTTGTTTCATTTTTCTGATGGCTTCTGCAGTTTACGCTGGAACTCCTCCCTGGTGATGATGTGGGGAACCATAGTGATGCTCTATCTTTCGGGTCCAACATTTGCTGCAGGACAACAATCCAACTGAATGATTGCAGACTCGGCAATTACATGCATCCTGCCCGCCCGGTCCTGACCGCTTTTCTTGTTTCTAACTGTTGCAGGAGTTTGACGACCCCAGGGATGCAGATGATGCAGTGTACGAGTTGAACGGAAAGGACCTGATGGGTGACAGGTATGTCTGTGCGTTTCAGCCACTAGGTATTGCCAGAGTCCTTCAATACTTTACTAGTCACGACCTGGAGGGTCATTTTAGTTTGGCCGCCCAACCCCTGGTGGGCTGTGCCAAAGCAGTTGTCAAGAACAATTTTGTTCCGCTTGTATTTGATTGTTGTGTGAAAGCACTGGTCTTTCTTCATTGATTTTTAACGTGAGGACTGACAAATTAGCCTTTCCATTTGGTTTCGAAGAAGTCTGCTTTCACTGGCAAAAGAGAGCTAGGCAATTGCGTACTGGTTGAGTGCCTTTACCAGATGGTCCTAGTTGCGGCTTTGAATTTTGTCAGTGAGGGAGGTATTGATAGCTTCTTGGTTTTGGTTTCTTTTAGGAATAAAAACAATTTTGGTGCTAGTTGCAGACACATTAACAAGAAATGCTCTCCGTCCGATCACAGTGTTTTCACGATTGTACCGCGCACTTTGCTTCGCCAAAATCGATGCCTAAATAAATGGGGTTACAATCAAAATGGAACCGCGAAGACAAATTCAATACTCTGTACAGTGTGGCTAGCCCCATCGCCATCGTTACCGGTCGTTTACATTTGCCTTTTTGGTATCCATATCACACATACTCTCTCGTGTCAGCAGTTTTAAAATGGAAAGAGAAGAAACTCGACTAGCTAGCATTATTTAAACAAAAGGCCATAACTAGCAGGAAAATAAAACGGAGCAGCACTGCGTTGTCTTGCAATCCCAGCGACCCGACAAGCTTGCAAAGTTGTTTGGAAGACGACCTTCCCAGAGGCAACGGTCGCTCACTCATACAAGCGCGAGAAACACGGCACCTAAAATGCCTTAGTCGAAAGCTTGGATTGCTTTTGTGGACAGCAAAGAATCATTGTCGAACTCCGACAGCGATGACTTATGCGCGGCATTTATTTTTGTATTGGCGTGCGTTTCATAATATCTGTTCTACGAGGTATGTGTTCGTGTTCAGCCTTCCTTGTTTCTTTTATCTGTGCGGTACACCTGTCGTAAGGTTGTTTTCAGAATATTTGAGCGCTAAATACGCCTGCACGTTACAATCTTGCAAACACTACCTGCTATCTCGATTTGTAGGTGACCCATTCAAAAGGGGTTTGGGGTTTCCGCACATTTTCGGTTAGCCAGACTCCCAGCGGTGCAGGTTAGATTGTCGGCTCCCCACCCCCCTTGTCAATGCTGGTGTTGTGTATGACCTTGTACCAAGCTCTCCCATAGCATTAAGGGGATGCTGAACCAAACATTTCGTTGTCTACAATGAATGGCACACAACCTTTCCACAAGCCAGCAGGTGCCGGTGTGCGGTAGCGCACACAAATAAATAGATGTTATTAGTCCTTCATTGGCACATAAGATGACAGTAAAGTGTGGGCTCGAAAGAAAAGGAGAATAAAGACAAGCTTTTCATCTCCACATCTGGTGTAAAAGGGAGGCGATTAATTGGTTTAATAAGCACGTAGCTGTTGCTTCTGGAGATGAAGTTTGTCTTCATTCTTCTTTGGCCCGAAGCCCGTACATCTCGCTGTCATCTTAGGCACAAATGGGAGACTACGACTTCAATTTTGTGGCGTGTGCTCGCACACACCAACCGCTGGCTCGTAGAAAGAATGCGCCACTTATGAAAACCAAATTGTTTAGTTCAGCCCTGTAAGGTAAAGTTTCGTGTCCAGTGGCGTATTGAAGGACTCTGGTGTTTCTCTTGTAGCAAGCAGGCAATAAAAATGTAGGTGTCGTGGAATTGAGACTGCTTTGGACAACGATTTTTCCCTAGATCCTCGTGCTGCATTATGTATTGCTGGGGCAGGGTTCTGCACTAAACATCCTAAAAAAACATTACACATTAATTTATTAAAATATGTATCGAGGGTCAATTACCTCCAACTTTCGCCAGACAGCATCGGTGGACGAGAGGCCCTTCTCGTTTGTTGACTCCCTCTGCTGTCTGTGATAATTCAGAATTCTTAGTAGAGGAATCAGACACGGCAGGAGTAACGTTTTGTTTAAGACCATAAATGGTCCGTCGCAGTGCCCCTTTGACACTGAGGAAATATTGTGCGTCTAGCAGGCCTATGGCACCTCTCGAGAGTCTGTGATGACCAATCTTTCGGGTCCAACATCTCGCTGCGGACACCTGTGCCAACGTACTGACCGACTCTTGGGAGATGCCATTCTTTCCACTTTCCGGTGTCGTTTCCGTGGCGTTCCTGACTGGGCTTTTGGATGCTTCCTCGCAGGGTGTCCGTGGAGCTGGCACGTGGCATCCGCCGGGGCGCCGACTACTACCGCTCGCGCAGCACTGCGCCGTCTCCACCGAGGCGCAGGTCGGCTCCGGCCCCGTACTGAACCCATGCTATGCCTGCCTCTTATTGGTTGCCGGGGGTGCAGTGCCTGGAACATGTCCCATTCCACTCGTTGAAGGCGGTCACACCTTCGGCGCGACTTTCGGCGTCTGCCAGATTTGCGTCTGGCAGCGATGTAAAACTTCTACGATGTTGTTGGGCAACATTCGAAGGGGCCCGTTTTTTGTTGTTTTTTTTAAACTCTGCAGATATATTGGCAGACATGTCCCAGGCACCGTACCGGGGGCAGGTAGTGCCTGTCTCTGGGCAAACGCGGTGGCAGCGTTTGCTGACCGGGGCTTCGGCTTCTTCTCAGTAGGTATGGGCCCCCAACCCGGACGGAGTACCAGCTTACAGTGGAGAACCTGAGCAGCCGTGTCAGTTGGCAGGTGAGGAGACCGTTCAGGGCCGGGGGGTTTGTGGTACGGGCCGGAACGGGCCTTCTGTCGAGCTACCCGAGCACCGAGGACGACGCCAAGAGCGGGCATGCTCTCGGAACCTAATGAAACGCTGATGGTGCATTGTGGCCTTTGATACGTGCTGCGCAACGCGATGGCAACTGGGAACCGACGTACCTGCGGAGTCGAAAGGGTTACAGAGGGTGTGTGTGTGTGACTGCACGCAGTCTCTCTGTCCCTTCCACCCCATAGTTTTTCTTTTTCGGTTCTTATTTGCTTTTTGATCGTGCAGCGCGTGTCGATTTCCTCGTGCTTGACTTGACTGCGATGAATGTTTCAAGGAGATGTTCAGAGTGAGGTTTTGACAAATGGCACGCAATGTGTTATTTGTGCGACGTCTTTGCTTGGGTTACAGTCGCAAACACCAGCATGCGTGGCGTCTGCGACTACGCTTGCGGCGAGCTCCTTGGTGCTTGCGTAATTTGTCAGGAGGTCTATTGGCGGTCCGGCGAGTGTATTTCGGCCTGGGGGGAGGGTTCTTGAACTCGTTCCTCCTTGAGAAGGCGTTTTAAAGTTCTCTTGCTGCGTAATGCTTGCGTCGACTGGCGGTTCTTTAGAGGCTTCTGCCTTGGGGGCAGTCTTTATTGGCAGCTCTGGGTGGTTGAATCTTTGACTGCAAAGCACGTCTGGTCTTGTTGGCTGGCCCAACTGCAGAGGAGCTTCGGTGAAGACACCGCTGTGGCGTTTAAGTCTTAAGCTTCGTGTTAGCTTTCCTTAAAGGCCGACTTACGAAACCATTTTCCGCAGGGTAGGAAAGTGCTCCCCAGCGACCTTCGCTCCCTCCCCTCTCGCACTCCTTCCTCCTCCTCCCCTGAAAAAGGCGGGTCCGGAAGCTAGTCTCCGTGGAAAGAAGGGGTTTCCTCCTTTCTGGGTGGCAAGGAGGAAACCTCTTCTCCCACGGAAAATGGTTTTGTAGGTCGGCCTTTAAGGCGATTTCCACTGGTCGTTTTGGAGCACGCCGGGATTAGTAGACCAGATCCGAGACGAGCACTTAATCCGAATGGAGTCGCTCCACCTCCGAATCCCGAGTAGAGTGTGACCATTAACGAGTGAAGTTGAGAGATGCATGTTTATGTGTGTAGCCTTGCTCACCATAGGAGCGATCTGAGCAATGTCAATGTATGTATCAAGCAGCAGTAAAATGGCCAGCACTTTGCAACCGGCCATTACGAATTCTTCAAAGGCGAGATGCCGAGCGAGGAAGGAAGTCGTGTGCGCCCTGAGGGCTGGCTTCCAGTCGAATCCGCAGGAATCTGTGGAGCGACTTTTCTCCATTCCGGCTCCGGTTCGCACTCTAAAATAATTTATCCTGGACGCTCTATCGACCAGTGGCATTCGCCATTAGGCGTCCCTAATCGTTTTGTTTACTCGCAGTTCAGATTGACAAATCTTCAGTTCTGAGGTTTGCCATAGGCAGACCAAATTCCATCCCGAACGGATTGCCGGTTTTAGTCAGTTGGTAGTTGGTGGGGGGACTTAACGCATTAGGCGTCCAAAGGGTGCTACGAGGGGAGTGCCATGTGCGGGGCGTTCGTGGCCGGCGGTGCAGGGGTTTTGGGCAGCGTGTGGAGTGTGCAGGGGCGATACGTGGCCGGGGGAGTAACCGGGCGTGTGTGTGTCTCTGTTTTGCTGCCCAGAGGGGCGGGCCTCTGGCGCGAGAGCCCCCTCCTCCTTGCCCCCCGAGGGTGGCCCTCCTCCTCCCGCCGAGTGGCATGCCGTCCCGGCGTCGCTTTGTGCCCCAAGCCCACGGATGGTTTGCGATGGTGTCTAGCCTTGCCTAGAGAGGTCCCTCCTGTCGATGACCACCTCCCGGTGATGGATGGATGCATTGGCCTGGTGACCAGGATTCCGTAGTAGGGGTGCGCTGGACCGCCCTGGGTTACGGGCTTCTTCCCGGTTGTCTGAGGGGGTGGCCCAGGGGCGGAGCCAGGTAAATAGACGCCGTCCGCCGACTCTCGGCCGGGCCCACGGTCTGGGCGGAGGCCGCTGGGCCAAGGGGGGAGGCCAGTGTTCGTCTGCGAGGGGGATTCCCTGGGAGGGTGGGCTTTGGCTGGGGTTTTGTAGCTTTCCCCGAATCCAGGCGTGTATCCTTTTGCGGAGTCTGGGCCCGGAACTGGGGTACGGGGTGCTGCTCTTGGACGGTTTAGCCTTGGGGCCATTTTGTTGGAAGGTGCATGTGTGTCTTACGGCGTTTCCCTTCCCTATGTTCTTTGTCTTGTACCCATGAAGGATCTGAAGGATTACATGCGGCAGGCTGGAGAAGTGACTTATGCAGATGCCCACAAGCTGAGGCGCAATGAAGGGTGGGTGTCCTTTCTGTTCCGAGCAGTGACTGTGGGCTTCCTTCTGGTTTTCTGACTTTGTTCGCTTTTGTTTTTAGGGTGGTTGAGTTTGCCACCTACTCCGACATGAAGAATGCCCTGGACAAGTTGGACAACACAGATTTGAGCGGCCGCCGTATCCGTCTAGTTGAGGAGAAGAGACTGCGAAGGAGGTGAGCGTAACGGCCTTGTGGGAGTTTGTCTTCCAGGCTCCTGAGACTGATTTCGTTACTCCTCTGCCTTGCAGCCGTTCGAGGTCAAGATCTAGGTCCAGGTCTCGATCCAGGTCGTCCCGCTCAAGGTCGAGGTCACGGTCCGCGAGGCGCAGTCGCCGCAGTCGTTCCCACTCCAGGTCTCGCTCCCGCAGCCCCGTAAAGCGACGCTCGAGATCACGGTCCCGCACCCCCGTAAAGCGACGCTCGAGATCGCGGTCTCGCACGCCCGTCAAGCGGCGTTCGAGGTCCAGGTCTCGTACCCCGGTGAAGCGACGCTCAAGATCGCGCTCGCGCACCCCAGCGAAGAAGAGGAGCCGGACCAAGTCTCGTTCCCGAACTCCCGTGAAGCGTAGGAGTACCTCCAGGTCACGCACCCCTTCCAAGCGGCGCAGCAAGTCAAGGTCGCGTAGCCCTCTGCCGAAGCGCAGGGCTTCCAGCCGGTCTGCGAGCCGGTCTAGATCCAGATCGAAGTCGAGAAGTCAAAGCAAGTCGCCGGAGACCAACAACCGGCACCGGTCGGCTTCAAGGTCCAAGTCTAGGTCGGGCTCACCTCCAAAGAAGAACGAGGACAATTCCAGCGACAGTTAGTTCCGTTCGTCTTGGCACTGTTGCTTGCCCACAATTCACTCACTCATCCTCGCCTCTCGGTGATCGTTGTATATAAACCTTCCATTGTCTGTCGTCCTCAATAAATATTGCTGTATGCTTGCCCATGTCTGTCCCGTGCCTTCTCAATTTTTTTTATGTATAAGAGAGGGGGCAGTTTACATGCTACCTTGAAGGAGTTTCTAAAGGGTGATGAGGGAATTCAATTGAAATTAACAGTTCCATTTGTATTCGTAAATTTTGCGTGTATGTTGAGGCCGAATGAAAGGGGGACAATGAAACGGGTCATTGTTCGCCGTCTTGCTGCTATATAATAAATTGGAGACGAGTGCAGTTAGGTACATACTATCCGGTACACCCGAAATGACAAAAGTTCCATGTTATTTTTCAGCGCAGAGAAAATTCAAGCGCGTTTTCTCAGGAATACACAGGGGGTCTGGAAATGTAGCCTGCATGCTGTCTCCTTCAATTTGCAACCGGAAGTCCGTAGACACTAGCGCTGCTAGCGCCAGGTAATCTAGTAAGGCCCTGCATTGCATAGAGATCTTGTGATCATACATACTAACTCTAGAGGAAAAGGTCCGCCATTTTCCCATACATTCTGGCTGCCGCAAGCGGCGGAGCATGCAGGCAGACCCTCGGGGTCCCAAACACGGTTACATCATCAGAGCAGAGAGGTACAATCACTTCTTGAAGATGACACTAACGTCATTATTTACACGGACGCAGCCAAGGAGGACAAATGCACAGCTATGGCTCATTATTGCGCAAACGACCAGAGGAGAGTCGCCGCCTCCCTGGGCATTACCACCAGCGTCAAGGAGGCTGAACTTCAAGCCATCAAGACGGCGGTCGAAAGTGCAGAACAAGAAAAACATAAAAGCAACATTTATGTCTTTACGGACTCTAAAGAAGCCGTACGAGAATTGAACAAACATGATAGCCGCAGCAAAACGGTTAAAAGCATTAAGGCTACGGCCCGACAGCTTCGAGCTGAAGGCCGTACCATCAAGATACGATGGATCCCCGGACATCAAGGCATCCACGGAAACGACGAGGCACATGCAGCCGCACGGGAGCAGCTACAGGCAGTCCCACCCGGCCAAGGCTCAGTGCACCCCGTCGTAGATGAAGACATCGAAGACGACGTCGACCCGTCGGAAATCAAAGCACAAGAACGGCTAGAAAGAAGACAAAGACTCGCCGATCTACGCAGGCCAGACGAACACCCCCTTCCATCGACATCTTACAGTCGGTGGGAGCGTGTATGCCTACGAAGGTTGCGTACAGGAACCGCCATGACACCGGCTTTGAAGTATAAATTCCGGAAAAGCAACAACGGGGAAGATTCCGAAACTGACATGTGCGATCACTGTCAAATATTGGCAGACATCAAACACATCATCTGGGATTGTCCCAAAAGTGACATCAAGCGGAAACTAGCTTTGAATGCTCTACCGCCACAAGAAAGACCATCCTGCCTAAAGGAATGGGTTCTTCCAGACGGCACCCCCGAGCACAGAAAAGCAATTTTGGACTCGCTGATAGAGTTCATCAAGTCCGCCGGACTTGATATTTACATTTAAACCCAATCCCTCCTTCCCCTCCCCCTGTAGCCAATGACGAGTTTCAAGGGCAACAGGTACCCCACCTGAAAATAAAACATTTTCTCACTCATCAGAGCAGTTTCGTGAACTTCAAGAATCCACGAACTTACCGGAGGAAAGATATTCGCGTTCCTTTCGAAGTTTTCTTTTTGCATAGCGCGCAGATGTACGGCCTCGCGTTAACGCTAAACTAAACTAGGAGCTATATAGTGCTCTAAACTAAACCATATACCCGGCTTCGCCGGTGGGGCGCGGGTGGGCGCGGTTGAGGAATACGAAACTGCGCAACCACCAGATTTCCGAGATTTCGACAGAAGGGAAGTTAATGCAGCGTAATGACTTTATTGCTTTTCATAAGCGTTAGAATAGCTCAGAATTTAGTTTACAACGTTAAATTATGACTGTTTATATTGCTGAGAGTTTTCACTCTTCGCGTTTACCATGGCAACGTTGCTTTCTTTCTCTCGTGTTCTGTCGCTCTCTTTTGCGATTGTTCACTCGGGACCCCGGGTGTCGGCGCACGGGATTTGCCACTCCTCCTCACCCACCTTTATTCCCCTGCTGCATTGAGCCTGTCGATGCAAAACGCATCTGTATTCAACCCAACGAGGTAGAGGAACTCGTTGATTCAACCATAAAAACAAATTATATATATATATATATATAGTTTTATTTTATTGTTAGCAGTGGGGGTCTCCCGCTTCCCCCCCTCGGGCCCATTTTTTTTTTTTTTTTTTTTTTTCATTGTTTGGCATTTTTGTGGTTGTCAAGGAAAAAAGAACTTGTACACGCAGTACAGGAGTACTGGCAGTACAGGAGTACTGGCAGTACAGTGTAGCTGCACCACGCTCGTGGTGCAGCTACACTGTAGTACATACAGCGTACACGTTCGGCCCAAAACAAGTAGAAAAACAAATGGCTGCAGTTTAGATGTTCGGACCAATCAGATGTCCGCACGTTGGTTACGTCATCGAAACGACCGGCATCCTTAGCAGTTTTCCGCCCCACCCCCATCCCGCATCATCAGTCTGTTTGTGTACTGCGGTTGGGGAAGTTGGAACGTGAGACGTGCCCCTATGTAGAGAGAAGACTTTGGAATCCACAAACTAAACACATTCAGGTAAGCGAACGGTCATACCCTGCATCTAGAGGAACACGGAGTCTGGACGCTGGCTTCGCGCAGTGATGCCGGAAACGACCGTGGTGCTATTCCAAAATAGGCTTAGCGTGGTTGCCGACTTCCTCGAACGCTATCAAAAGCGGCCATCTGTATTTTTAGTCGTTCGATTCAGCTCGCTGCGGTTTTTCATATCTGGATTACGTTTCTAAACCGCAGTTCTCCGAGTTTTTTTGTTTTTTTTACGGCAGCTTGTTTAAGGGGGCGGGCCTGTCAACAGCAGTTCTTAACAAAGGTATTTATTATGTAGCGTTGTCGGGGAAAGAAATGTTTGTTTTGTTTCCTCGAGTCGTGTGCTACGGAGCAGCCATTTTTAACGCTCTCGACGAATGCACGAGGCTCGGGTTTCTGGCGAACTAGTCGCCGAAAGACTGCCCTTTCTGGGTTTTTATTTGTTTTTCCATTTTGTGCCCAGGTATGCGCGATTGCTTATCAGCTTCAAAATGCAAGAACGAAAAAAAAAAAAAAAGGAGAAAGGCTTGCTGTCGCAAGACCAGTCTGGGCGCTGCAACTGCATAATTTCGAAGAAAAAAAAAAAAAAAAAAAAGAAAGGCGCTTTACATTTTGGTTGTCGCCTTCATCGCAACCGTTTTCAGATGTCACAGCTGTTACTTTTACAGGAGTGTAATTAAAGTGTGATGAAATCGTGTTTGCAAAGTAAGATAACTGCACACACACACAAAAAAAATAATAATAACTAAAGAATTCAAACGTGGCGTTTTTCTTTGGTCGCAGACGGTGCAACATGACAACTCGGGTGTTTATTGGTCACCTCAGCTGTCAAGTACGGGAAAAGGACCTGGACAAATTCTTCAAAGGATATGGGCGGGTCGGAGACATTCACCTGAAGAATGGGTTTGGTTTTGTGGTGAGTTTCCGTGCGGCCAATGATTGGACAGAAAGACATTCTTTCTGCTAGAGGTATGCTTAAGAATAATGAGCTTGTTACGAATATTAGGGAGTATTCACCGACGTAGCACAGAGCATAGAGCATAAAAGATGGATTGCGAAGTGCATTGCCATCTTGTGTCCAGGAATTCGACGATCATCGCGACGCAGACGATGCCATATCCGACTTGAACGGCAAAGAACTGCTCGGAGAACGGTGAGCCAATCTACCGTTTCCTTGGTCGGCTTTTTGGAGAGAATGTCTTCGTCGTTAGAGCTAGGAGACTACAACTGTGCGGACAAAATGTGTGCAGAGTGTCAGTGGAGTTGGCCTACGGAAGCAGACGTGGACCTGGGGGAAGAATCGTGCCTCCGCGTCCCGACTGGAGATCGCCTCCGCCTCGAAGGCCATTCGCTCCACGAGACACGTGAGTGCCCTCTGCATCCGATTGGCACACCGGTGCAGACGGCCGGGGCTCTTTTTGAGGTCGGTTAGCATCGCAGCAGACGCTACGAGCCATCCCTGTGCACCTGGTGAATCGCTACCACAGCATTGGATTCACTTCTACGACTCCTATAATCGCTTGCAGCTTGAGAAATTCGGGATCATGGCGAGCAGAGGGCTCGCAAAGCCCTCTGTTCGCCATAATTGGCAGTTACCTCCTCGTGTGGAAGGAGCGTGTTCTCAGTCTCTTAACCTGCAATCAACTGCAGCGTCGTTGCACTCTGTCGTAAGGTTAAACAAAAGGGAGGAATGCCCTTCACAGCAAACTTAATTTTACGAGGTTTACGGTACAAAACACGGGTTGGCAACACAGAAATCTCTGCTATATGGTGTTGTGTGGGTGCTAATTCTGATGTATCACTGAAGTCAGTGCCAGCTTATCGTTGTGCTGTGTGAAAAGGGCCCTTTAAAAGCACACACATTACATAATAGAAACATTTAACGAGCGTAGGGCAACTCTTATCAACAGTGTTGGAATTCTTTTGTTGTCTTGCAGTCGTTTCGGACCTCCTCAGAGGACCGAATACCAACTGATCGTCGAGAACCTAAGCAGCCATGTCAGCTGGCAGGTAATCGACGCTGGACCACGTTTTTCAAACTATCTCATTCTTCTTTCATGTTGGAACCATCATGCTAAAATCATTCTCAAGAAATAGAAAAAAAAATTGATGGGGGAATTGCCTGATTGTCAATAGTATCATCCACATTGGGGAGTTTTAGTAGATTGTATTCAAAGGCCCGCTACCAGTATGGGCGCGCGCTACAAAGCATGCACCGAAATGGCAGCGCGAGCTCCCGCCACAGATGCGGGGCCTGAAAACACTATCTACTGAAACTCTCTATTGTGGTAACGTATAGTAAAGCTTGATACTTTTTCCTGTAAGTACAAGTTTGCAGGCTCAAGAGTGGAACCCCTGCCCCATGTTTGTGAGATTACACTTGGATTAAACTTTATACCACTGTGCTTCTAAAATAGAGCACAAAAAAATTATTAAAAAAATATGGCCATTTGTTGCAGCTTTGGATGTGCACAGCTCTGTACCTCTCTCTACCCGTTGGTTTCTACGCGTAACATCTGTTGCCAATGTTTCCTTCTAACCCAGATAGCGGATGCTTTTGGAGGTCGGTGAACAGACGGGATCGTCAGCAACGTTGGCCGTGCAGTTCCGTCGCATAGAACAGCTTATCAGACATTGAGTGCCGAGATTATTATTGGGGTACATTCGAAAGCGTCCGCTCGCTAGGTGCAAGTGTCAAGAATGCATGTCTGCCAGGTTTCCTGTATTACCCGGGACACTCCCTAACTCTGTAGTTCATGCGATTGACAGAAAAATCTTCCGGAAAATGAAAATTACCCCCCCCCCCCCTTCCCTTAGACGAGAGTTTTGCCGTCGCAACAGATGGCTGCATTAATAGCGAGGCCCGGCTGTATGTCGCTGGCCTGGACAGTGCAGTATATATGTGATGAAGTTGTCTTCATGCACATTTGTTGTCACTTTTTCTTTTAAACACATGGTGTCTCCGAACTTCGCAGGTAGGGGAATGAAATAGAGGGCAGAAAGGTACAACCTCTCCGTAACAAAGGTCTCAGCGTAGCGAATTAATGGTGTGGCCATTCGAGGCAAAGAGTTGGGATGCCTAGCGTGTGAGGGCAGTGAAGGAACCATCGAAAGCTGCAACGAGGTTGCCCGTCTGTGCCGTGCCCTGCTTGACCGATAGATTGCACGGGGTTCCACTCCGGAGTCTGGTGACGGCGTTCCCCCGCAATCTCTGACGTGTCACTGTTGCTCTGTTGTTGTGACTGTTGTCTCCGTAGTTGGCTGGTCTCTCCCCCCTCCCCCGAGAGCTAGGAGGGTGTCCCCTGGCGGCCGGCCAAAGGGCTCTAGGCGCCACCCGCCGTCGGTCTCCCGGCGGCCACCGCTAGAGCGGTGTGCCGCCCCCACAGGAAGGAAAGAAGGAAGGAAGGAAAGCGCTCCCTAGGAGTAGCCCTACTACTACTACTACTACTACTACTACTCGGAGGAGGAGGAGGAGGAAAGGGTGTACTACTCGGCGACGTCTGCGGCGCCCCGCTCTGGTGGTCTCTCTGTGGGGCGGTCTCGCTTGCTCTGGTCTCTATGCAAAAATCTGAGTGGGTTCTCTCTCGCTGGGTTCTGGAGGAAGGTGTCGCAAAAACCCCCCCACAACCCGGACACAGGTAAATGCACCCAACGCTGGCACCGGCGCTAAGTGCTCCTCTTGATGGTCCTTCTCTGTCGCGTCTCGCGGGGAGGTATCGGCGAGGACGTCCAGGCGAGGGCGGGCTTGTGCCTTTGTTTGTGAGTGGCCATGTCTCCCGTGCTGGCTTTTTGCAGCAGAACTTGAGAAAGTGCTTCTTGGAAGCTTGGGGTGGATGTCCATGCTTCAGCACGACGCTTGGCATCTTTGAGCCCGAGTTTCTCGGAGACATGCTTGCACCAGCAGTCACTATCGGGCATGAATGAAACATGAACGGCGCAGTGTATGGCCTTCTAGAGGCACCTAGTAACTGACCCCCTCTCCACTGTGATCGATTCTAGCAGGGAGGAGAATGGAAATCAAGTGGATTCTTTCCTTCAAAAATAATCTTGTTTTTATTTACTTTTTATATATCATTTGTTGCAGTCCGGTTTGTTTGTTTTGCGCTAACATCGTAGTTTCGTCAAGCAAGAAATATTTATATCAAGCTGAAGACTAGCAGAAAGTTTTCTGAGCAAATCAGAGCATCGAGCTTTCTTTGTAACTTGCGCTTCAATTCTAAGTTTGGGTAAAGTCCAGCTGTACATTAAATTTACAGTAATTCAGATTGTTATCACTGATTGGACGTGTTATTCAATCAATCTGCCATGTTCAGAAATACCGGTGGTGATAAAGGATCACAATTTTATATCTATAGTGATTTAAATAAATCTAAAATTAAATCTAATAAATCTGATTTAATAAAATAGTTTTTTTTTTTCTAGGTGCTTTTAGGCATTGACAGCACACCCTACACTGTTCACGTGTCATTGGTGCTCAATAAGACCTTTTCCAAGTTCTTTTGACTGGCTTCGACTGTACCTTCACGATCTCAGTGGACTCATTGTTACGCTCCCTTACTGCAAGCCCTCGGCTGCTCACAAACATTGGCCGCTCCCAAGTAGCCAAACTCTTCAAACCATGCGGCCCGCTATGTCTAGGATTTTTATTGTGCATGTTGCGGCCCGAATGTGGATGGATAACTTGCAGAGTCTTAATATGTTGAAGGGTGAGTGACAGCTCCTATTTGATGAGGAAGTTAATGGCTTTGAGGGTATATCTCCGTCCAGCACATAAAGCCCCCAAAGTTTGACATGTTACATGTCAGGTCTAGAAGAAAGGTGTTGCGCCAGCCTTATTGCGGCGGACCTTCGGCGGCCGGCATAATCACAATAATGTACTGGTTGAACGATAAGTTGGAATATGCTCATGTACATGGAAGCTCTAGTTGCCTAATTTCTTTGTGATGTTTGCCTATCAGTTGGCGCGTGGGCTCTCCCGAACAGAATGAGCCTTTCTGGGGCGTTTGCGGGGGTGCCAAAGATCTCTGGGTAGAAGAGGCCGCTTTGCTCACGGCCGTCCTCCCTTCTCCCTCTCCCCTCTTGTGTGCCCTTGTAGGACCTGAAGGATTACATGAGACAGGCGGGGGAAGTGACCTATGCAGATGCCCACAAGATCAGACCTAACGAAGGGTGAGTAACATTTCGGCGCCGCTTCAATTTGACCAGTGCACCTTGGTGGGGTTGTTGGCCGGGCGGTAGGGAGACAATAATTGGGGAATCTTTCGTGTCGGGCCGTTGCAAGGCGATGCTTTTTTCTTTCTTTCTTTTTTTTTTTTTTTTTTTGTGTTAATGTGCTTCTTAGTGTTTTGTGTGCGAGCTTCAAAGCAAGGTCTTTGCGTTTTTCACTAGAGCTTCCTTTGCTCGTGTCTGTTCTGTTGTGCGTGCAGAGTGGTGGAGTTCGCCAACTACTCGGACATGAAGAATGCCATCAGCAAGCTCGATAATACTGACCTGAGCGGACGCCGCATTCGCCTCTACGAGGAGAAGAAGCGGTCCTCCAAGCGCAGGTACGTCTTCGTTGCAGTCGCCGCTTGCCAGTGGCGAATTCTGTTCTGGAACATTCCAAGGCTTCTGTCTCCTAGTGCGATCTCGTGGGGCAATCTAGAGAAAATGTGTCGCTTTTGTTGTTTAGATGCGTTGTCCAAGAGTCGGTTTAGGACACCATAGGCACGGGTGTCTGCAGTCGACACTACGATTCTGTGGCGCACGTTATATGTGGGTTAGCCACAGTCAGCTAAACCGAATGCACGTGGAAAAAGAAAAACTGGATTGTGGCATGTTCACCGCAACCGGTGTTGGCAAACGCACGAAAGCGACAAACATCTCGACGAGGCAAGTTTGGCGCCTCCCGATTGGCTGCGGTCGAACTTGAAGGTGAAACGGTGTGGCGCTGTACTGGTTCGCCGAACCTTGCCCGTGTTGCCGACGTTTCTAATCGCGCTTTGCCACTTTTCACAGCGACCATTCCAGGTCAAGATCGAGGTCAAGGTCGCGGAGGTCTTCCTCCACGGACCGCTCCCGGAGCCGCTCCCGATCCCGCTCGAGGTCGCGCTCCGTGTCCAAGACACCCGTGCGCCGCCACAGCCGCTCGGAGAGTCCGGACAGGCGCTCCAAGTCGACGAGCAAGAGCCCCTCCGCCCACCGGAACAAGTCGCCCACTTCCAAGGGCAGCAAGTCCGACGACGACTAGGTGCGCAAGACGCAGTTGTCGGATCTCTGTGTTTGTATCCGATCTGACAGAGTCGGATCTCGTTTTTTTTTTCTTTCGCCGACGGTAGGATGTGCGCCGTATTACGACGGAACTCGCAGGATCACGTCGGAAGTGCAGTGTTGCTCTTCTTTTTTTTTTTAAGTTTGGTTTGTGAAACCTGGTGTTGCATTTGTCTTCTCCAATAAAACGAACCTGGATTAGTGCAATTGGACCTTACTCAAATACCATTGAATCAGCATAAACATGTTTTATTTTGGGCGTTTGGAGAATTGGATATCGTAGACTCCGTTATTTTAGTTGCCCCCCCTTTTTTTTTTTTTTTTTGCCACTTGTTTAGGTGAGCCGATCATAGCCCATCTAAATTTGGATGACAATTTTGTTCAGAACATACGGGATTGCAACGTTTCCCTTAGCGTATAAACTGGTTGTATGTAACTGCAACCATTAGTGTGCCGTTTTGTGACAGGCAATTCATTGTGTGTATGTAACCTTTGCGAACTGTGTGAAATAAAAATTTTCAGGACTTTCACGGGCATCTTTTTTTTTTTTTTGTGGAAATGTTCAAAGGGATGGACAGCTGGTGAACTTGTCATTGTAATGACCCGACGTGGCAAGTTTTCGGTTTTATGGTACGTGACAAACTGACTATGGGCGTTGGCACGAATCTCTGGACGTACATCCAAAATGCTGGGGTTCGAACCTGCAAACTGGGTAAGTAATTTCAAATTTTGAAATGTTCATGGCATAATTAGGAATTATTGAGGTGCTAGTGATCTCGGCTGCACTAATGTGGCACTTTCTATGGAGTTTTGTGGCAAGTAATAGAATTCTTGGGCCACAAGCGTTTCAAATAACTGCGCATAAAGGTTTGTGGCAATAGACCTGTTCGCAATGTGCTGTGCTGTGCTGTGCTGTCCGTGGCACCGAAAGGAATGTTGGGAACTACCTGTACTAGTCTGAAGAAAATGAGTAGCAGACGACGGGCAACGTATGGATGAACAGCTGGGGCTACATTGGGGAGTTTTCGTAGATTGTTTCCGCTGTCCCGCAACGGCTCTGCGCAACCTGCTACGATACTACCGGTGCGCAGGCGCAGCTGCAGCTTTTTCGTTGCCGAAAGGGAAACGGGATCTACGAAAACTCCCTATTGATGCTGCGGTGGTATGGGATGTCTCCTAAGCAGTGGCCTTACTGCTTTGACAAAATTCAAAAATGCGTTCAGCAGCCAGTTTTTGCTATGATTGGTGTTGTCGTAGCACTTTGCTGCCATAAAGCGCAGCGGAAAGAAACAAAATCGGGTTTCTATTTTTGTGCTCTTCTACCCTGGTGAGTGTTTGGAATGGACCTTTTTCCAGTAAGGAGCGCCTCATGACGGTTTCGCCGCCTACTACAAATGGAGGGCAACCATACTCGCCTTCTCCCATAGGAACAGATTAGTGTCGCAAGAAAACAGTGCCCCCCAAGAATGGCGAAAGTCGGTCAAGGTCAAGGGAAAAGGGTGTGCGCGTGCGCAGACGCTTACTGGAAAAAGGTCTATTTGGATGCACAAAATTCACCTTATCCAGCCACCTCCGGGTAAAATCTTAGCACTATACATTGAGAAACCAATTTGTGCAGTCCCGGCAAAGAGTGAACAAGCCATTTGACAGGTGCGGTAGAAGACTTCATTGGTCTTTGTTGTGCCTCTTTTTTTCCTGGAGCCTTTTTGGATCAGCTAATTATATCCAAGATGTGAAAAATCTTACGGAAAAAATTAGAGCCCTTCTACTTCACGTGGAGATGGAGGACCAGCAAAGCTGTTATTTTACGACGTCTAGAATGATGCTTAGAGGACGACCTCGAGGAAGACTTCTAGGACGACCTTGAGGACGACGTCTTGGACAACCCTGAGGACGACGCCTAAGACAACCTCGAAGACGATGCCTAGAGATGATAACAAGGGATCAGGACCTCACTATCTAATAATGCTCCCTCTTTATTTATTCATACTTGCCACAACCAATAGAAAGTTTTCTGTCAACATCCGTGGACACATTTTTTCCCAGATCCTAGCGCATAGCAGCTTTGCTGTAATATAGTTGCAAGTATAAACCATTCCATTTAGCGCACTCTCCACGCATCCGGGATGTTCAGCAGGTTCGGTGGGATGACGAGAAAGGGCACGCGCCCGATTCCGCTTGCAGACGACAAACCGGGATGTTGCCGCTCTCCATCTTTGGGCTGTACCGGCGGGCTGTACCGAAAATTGAACTCTCGCTCATGGCTGCCGTTGTGAAGTGGTTCGCGTTCTTAGTTTACTTATAGCCTCTCCAAAATCAGCCTATAGCATTCTCTTGTTTTATTTCAGGGTCAATTAGCGTATCTTTCTTCCGTTACTTCATTAGCAGTGGAGTCAGCCGGCAGTACTAACCTCAACCACTGCGTCTATTGCTGTTTTTATTTATTACTCCAGACTTCCACTCATTGTCGCTAAAGGCCTACAGCAGTACAAACTTTGTATAGTAAAAAAGCTACAGCAACCGGATTTACTTTTCGCCGGAGGACCAACCACTCTGATGCAATTTTCCCATTTCTGTTTTTGTTATTTGCACAGAGGTAACAGCGCAATTAGACCCTGTTAGTCTTTTTATTGAGCATAGCATTACATGGTAACTTGCATATTAAAGTCCGCACATCAGTGCTTGATATTTCACAAAATGACGCAATTTTAAACAGTTTGAACGTCAGCCTAATGTTAGGTACAGCCCATTCGGTGAAGCAGACAACACATGGGGTGAGTGGGGGAGGGCATTTATTCTCTCTCCACTTTTTCTAGTGGAACGGTCTATAGAGGGACCAAGTTTTTTTCGGATGTCCAGATATGGTTCCTACACTGATATATACATAGCATCAAGAGTGCTGCTGCATTATTTCTTTATGAATACTACTAATCATCATAGGAGGATTTTAATAGGGTGGTTAAAAATGCAGGATGGTTTACCACAGTAAAATATAGATTTTGTTATACCATTGTCACATATACAGAATAAGACATTAGTTGTTTTTTTTCTACTTGTCATCGTGGCAACTGTTTTATCTATAGTATATATTTGCCACTCCTTACGCTAAGAATAGATTTTGTTTGTAGCGGTTTGGAGCCTTACATGGTCCAAAAGGTTTCTTATTTCCTAATAAAGTATGCAGTCGGCGGCAAAGAGTTTTATTTCTACGTTAATGTCTTATTATGTCATTAATATATGGGAGAAAAACAATCGGGAGAAAGCATAGTGTCCTGGTGGACACCGGATCATGCAGCTTTATTTGCCAAATGCCTACTGTTAATTGAGCTAACAACTTGTCCGTCGCTTAGGGTTCTAGTTAATTTAAAAAGTTTAGTACGAGAAACTCGGTCGGAGGCTTTCAATAAATCCAAAATTACGACGTCCACCCGCCTCCTACAATTGATTCTGGAAGAAAAATTGTGTACAGTTTCAATGAGAAGTTGGCTGCATTGTATGCATACAGTATCTAAATCTCGTGTGCATTGCAAGCGTATTGTGTGTATATAGGATTGCCACCTTTCCTTGAATTACGAGAGATTGAACTGGTAAAAAGCAAATTGAGCAGTGCTGCGTACATTTTCAGTACGGTCGCGGCAAAGTCATTGGTTGTGTTCATGCACTGTGGGGTGTGCGAACAAAATCGTTCAGAACAAACCATAGTCGCGTACAACCAGTGCGAGGGGAAAAAGGGCACACACAAGAAAAGCCATTGTGGAAAGGAGGTCGCCCCTCTACTTCAGCATTCCTGGTTTCCACCCTGTTACATGAAAATAAATGATTAGTTCGCTGGCGGTCCACCAGAAGGCGATGGGGCCGCGAACGGGTTTCCTGTGTCCCGGGAGAGGGGGCTCGCTTCTCTGACTTGGTAAAGTCCCTCTCTTGGAAGAAACGGGCGTCCCTTCTCAAGACTCATGGAGGTGAGGCCGAGTGCCGACGAGGAGAGCGATAGGCCGAGAGCTCCACAGGGAACTCGGTGAGTTAGGCTTCCTGCCCGGCCACGAGAACTCTAGCACAACGGCTGCGTTGTGCTAGCCATCAGGCCAGCCACGCGGTTGGTCGAGTTGCCGGACCACGGCCGCGCCAGCAGACTATGGAAAATGTCATTCTGTCGTCCTGCGTCCTTTTACGCGATCACGCAAAGAAGTAGTCGCAACAACCCTTTTCCCTCCCACACTGTTGCGTCCGGCTATAGACATCAGTTTTGTTCCCAACACCTTTTTTTCTTTCTTTGTTCCAGAGCACGGGAAAGTGCTTCTCCCGGCACGAGCTCTTGGCATTGACAGTGCTACAACGGCATCTTGTTATACTTTTTTTTTCTTCCAGACAGCATGTGCAGTGGGCATCGGATACAGCGGCGTAGATTTTCCATTTTCCCGGGGGGGGGGGGGGGGGGGGGGGGTGGGGCAGGCTGAGAAGTTCTCCCGGGGGCGGGGTGCTTTTTTGCGGACTTTTTTTACACCGGCGGTTATCTGTATATTTTAGAAAGTACATTTTACAGCGTATGTATATCGCCATGTGTCCGTCGCTGTGTGCATTATTTTGTTTACATGCCACTTCTAGAAGCTCGTTACATGGCACCTAAACAGCGTCTCGGTAAGGATCGTGGCCCGGGGGGGGGGGGCTCTGCCCCCCCTCGAATCTCACCAGGGGGGACACAAGCCCCGATGCCCCCCCCGTATAGTTTACGCCTATGATCGGGTACAACAAAAACCTAAAGTCTAGAGCGAGTTGTTCACGCCGTGGCGTAACTCGGTTGCTTCCGCTTCACACGGAGCAGATCTAGTTTCAATTCCCACGGGCAGCAGGCAATCTCTTTCGAGGATTTAGCAACATCGACAATGAATGCCCTACAACGCCTACTACAATGTCAACAACGAGCATCATTTCCAGTGGTGGGGAGGACCCATGACACCTGTCGCTGTAAAAGGCTCAGTGTTGACAGTCTTAGTTGATACGCAGATTCAATATATTTTGACACGAGCTTCCTCAAAGTGAAATCAATTAACATAGATGTGCGAGTACACATTCAGAATGCTGAACTCAATAACACACATAAATACATACCATTCAGTCAAAATGAAAGCACCAAAAACAAAACAAATCGCGCACCTCTACTATGGCTGCGAATTAAATGACGCTTCGAGTAAAAATGTCTCCAATACACCAAGCGTGATGCTTGGCGTGCAGCTATCGAGCTTGACTCTATTTCCAAAAATTACTGGTTCTGGAGGATACGGTAATTACCCGTAACACGGTGGAGACCACGAGCATGGGCACGAGCCTCTGGCTTGAAAGCTCACTCATAGATACTCGTGAATTTGTGCAACGTGAGCACGCTTTCGTATCTCTCGAATCATGAATTACCAAAGGACCGTCTCCAATTGGATTCAAAGTGACGTCTTGCTCGCCATTCTCCGATCTCCTTCGGTTAATGTGACCACCTTCCTCCTACCGAAATGCGGGACACGCGGTGGGGGGGGGGGGGGGGGGTAGAGTGAATTTATTAACACGCACACTATAAACCGAGACCCTGTTAACACATTTAATATCCTGTGCTGTTTTTACACCTGCTAATTGTATTGCAGCAATTAAGCTCAAATAATTTTCACTCCCAGTGATAAATTTTTATGCCAAATGTGTTATTACATGTTTCGAAGTTGAAACCATAAAAAATCGATTGTAGCAGAGCTCAATGCAACAAAGGGAAATAAAAAAACAGTAATTTTTTTTTTCTGGTTATTGTTTCCTGTTAACGCTTACATTTATCAACAAGATCCTACATACATTTTAACATTGATTTTTTTTTTCAACCGTTGCGAGTTGCAGGCTTGTTGCCTTCTGTGGCTCTCAATGTAAAAACCCTAGTTTTTACATTGACACAGTGATTTGAATTTAATGACACAGTGATTCGAATATAATTACACAATTTTATATTTAAACCTTTTGCGAGCCGTTCTTCTTACAATATTTTGCCACCAAGTGGAGAGGCATAACGGAGCATCCGCATTGGTTCTCCTGCAAGAACGACGGTCGCTTCCCGCAATGCTTGGATAGAAAATGGCGTACCACTGTGATTCACCCGACTACCAGCGACGTCCGCGCTTCCCAGTGTCCCGTTGTTCGAGAGTACCAGGAGTTGCAGAGTGAATGTTACGACAGTATGAAATGCGGGACATTTTGAAGATTTGGGAATTTTTTGCGGGACGCGGGACACGAGCCCTCAATGCGGGACAGTCCCGCGAGTCGCGGGACGGGTGGTCACCCTACCTTTGGTGAATCTCAGACTCTCTACGTGGTACACTGAATTTGCCCAAATTTGTATAAAAATGACACCTTTGGAGCTAAATACTGTAAAACCCTTATTGTTCTCAAGCCCTCAATCTTTTGCGAATTTCACAAATTGAAGAATTTGTGTAATTCAAAGGAGCTGTGCAACGATTTTAACGTTGAGAGAATTGGCATTTTCTACTTTTGATATTGTTTATCTTGTCACAAAAGTACAGAAAACACACCTCCTTCCTTCGAAATGTTCCAATTCCGCCGCGTAATCGTGAGGCAGAAATTAGAATATTCCCCGACCTGCAGCCGCGAGCGGCGGCCATGAGAACCACGCGGCATGACGTCAATGGGGGTCTTGTAGAAAAATAGCAAGTTGTGCGAATACCTGCTCGATAAAAGGTAACTTTTCCATAAGTATTGTCGTTCCAACATAAACATAAATGTGTCAAAAACCTGGTATTATCGACAAAACTTTTATTATGCGGAGTTTTAGTGGCGCCATCTATCATAGGTCCACAAAACCGTCAGCTCTATCTGCTACCGCGAACAGCCGCCGGAAGCCGGAGGGGGACAGGGATGGCCGGACCCGGATGAGACTTTCCTCCTTTCACCATATTGTTTGCGCTGTACCCGCCAGCATGTGGTCACGCGGTCGTGAGCGGATGAGTTCTCGCTTCTCACTAATGGCTCTAGAGCGCTTCACCGGATCCCTGCTCAACCACCATTGACATCGCAGCGCACGTGACTCGGAAGATAGTGAAGGAGTTGAGGTGCCGAAAACCTCAATCTTTGTCCATTTTTAAAATAAAAACTAGGACATGCAGGCAAGTGTTTTTTTGGTTCTTTACTTCAGAAAGATTGAGACACCAACTCCCTAAATTATTTATGCACAGCTCCTTTAATGACCGCAATTATGTCCTCTGTGACCGATTCGCAAAAAATAAGGGCTGCGAAAATAAAGGGTTTTACAGTAAGAAATTCAAGAGACCAAGACATTGTATACAAAATTACCGTGTTTATTCAAATACAAGTCAACCTTTTTTTTTTTTTTTTTTGGAAACCGTGACCAAAGAATTTCGACCTACATTCGCGACCAAATTTTGCGACCCTACAGAAGGCATGGAGCTATGGAGTCACCGAGCCGGCGTTGCCGTAGAGCCGCACCACTTCTTGTTTCAAAAAGCTTTTGGTGCACGAAGACAACCGAAATGGCCCGCCCGCGGTGGCCGGTGCCGCTATCACGCCTCTAGCCACTAGCGTTCCCCTTGCTGGGCAACGGGGACGGAGAGGAACGCGATGCGCCATGCGCTTTGCCCTCCATCCTTGCAAATGCACACACACAAAAAAAACAAAAAAAACGGAGGTTACTTTTGTTTGTTGCTTGAGGCGGCTCGGCCAACGCTCAGTTCGCGTGTTGCTCATGGCGACACGGCGGCTTTGCTTGCGTCTTTGTAGTTTGTCTTTCGTCGCTTCGCACCTTCTTTCGTTTCTTCTTGTCGTCATTTTACAACAGTGTCAGTGAAGTATTGTTGCGAATTTGTGAGGATGTCTACCAAGCTGACGAAGCTTCGGACGACGATGACATGTCCAGAAGTTCTGACGGTGATTAAGTTTTTGGCATCACCCCGTGATTTAGCCGAGAGTGATGTAAATAAAGGTTTGTTTCTTTTGCCTGAAATTTCCCCTGTTCCTCAAAATAGAAAAAAAAAGGTTGACCTATATTTGAATTATTTTTTTTTATTTTCGGTGGGTCCAACAAATAGGGTTCGACCTATTTTCGAGTAATTACGGTAGGTAAAAAATAGACAGTTCATATACCCATACATCTGACAATGATGGTCCAAAATATATTTATTTAAGCACCCCCCCCCCCCACCCCTTTCAGAAAAAAAAAAATTGCCCTTGGATAGTTGGAAAAGCCGGCAAATGACTGCCAGATTTAGATACAGACCACCAGCCGGCCTTTTATTAAAAGCCGGCCGTGCCGGTCAAAAAGGCTCAAGGTACACCTAAGCACTTCTTAAGAGTTGTGAATGCGAAAGCATGTGTGCCTCGTCGACGCGCACCAGCCAATGGGGTTGAAGGCGAACTCCATCAGCTTTACTCCGCTCCTTTGGGATCGGGGAAACTAGATGCTGTTGTCTAGGCTTTTCGCATGGTTTCATAGCTGGGAGCTGACTTCAGTTGGAGAAAGGATTTAGGGTGCCGTTTGGCGCTGCTTCAAAGCTGATGACGTCGGCTCGCTCCATGAGACAGTTAATGCTTTCGCATTAAGACCGGGCAGGTGGCGACTCTGCATGCACAAGCAGCTTTTGGGGGGCTGTGCAAGCAAGTTTCAAAGACCTTCACAGGCCTTCTGAATCGTTTATTACCTCTTAAAATGTTTGTACAGTAGAGCGTCGACAAAAAATAAAAATCTATTGGTTCCCCGACATGATGACAATAAAAGCAAATGACAGTGGGAAAATTATTTATAATGAGCACATAGAAAAGCATGTATGGAGGAATTATGCAGAATGAACACACACTAGAAGAACATTTACAGTTACTATTTACATTTCGATAGTAAAGATGCAGTAGCCCATGTTAGCAAATGAGTGTCATTAGAAAATCACGATTTATTAGCCAGTTGCACTATAGTTGCAGTTTAAATGGCTTTTTTTTACAAATTCATTATTTAGCATACTTTTTGAAATGGTACAAGCAAGGAAGGCGGCTTTATTTGTCGGCATTCATAGTATTTCTAAACAATGCGGCATAATCTCTATAGTCGGTAACAGGTTGAGAGTAAACGTCAACGCACGACAGTCCTGCCCTATGTAGTAGAGTAATATCCGGACTGTATGCCTTGTGGTCTATACATAGCTTGCCCGGAGCGCCATTTGCGGCCGTGCCGGTATTTTACGTGCTGCGAGCATCCGGTTCATCGTGTTAGTTTCACACGGCAGAACTAGGAGCTCGAGGTAACCGTTATGTAGAAATGACCGTCGGTACCTAGCAATGGCGAGACCTGCAAGCTATGTGTATAAAATTGAGAAATCAGTTGATTCGTTACGAAATTAATTTTTGTGCATTTACGAACGGAAGACTGGTGGTTCTAAGGTGCTGACAAAGCATATTTTCTGGCTAAACAGAGAAATAAGAGTGAGATGTTTGTTTCCGTACCCCTTTAACCTATCACCGACTACAGTTAGCTTGATATGGGAGTGTAAATAAAGGGGCACTGAAGTGCTTTTTGATATCTTTGTTTTACTGTCATAAGTAAATCTATGAGCTCTAATCGTCCTAAAAAACCCCAAATTACATTCATGAGCATCCGATTTGCGTAATAAAAAGGCGATCAAAGTTCCCCACACTTCACGTCGGCGCAGAACGACAGATGGCGCTACTGAACCTGACTGAATATGCTTGAGCGACAGACGGCGCCTGTCGGCCATCTGAGAGCGACGGGTTCCCACGTGGACGAGCGGCCAACCAGTCCCGCTCGTCCAAATGGAAACCCATCACTCTCAAATGGCTGACAGGCACCATCCGTCGTTCGGCCACATTCAGCAAGGTTTGATAGCGCCATCTGTCGTTCTGCGCTAGTGGGAAGTGTGGGGAACTTTGATCACTTCTTTATTATGCAAGTCAAACGCACATGAATGTAATTTTGGGTTTTTTAGGATGATTAGAGCTCATAGATTCACTTAAGAGAGCAAAACGAGGAGCTTAAAAATCACTTAAGAGCTTCTTTAAGAAGAAAAATTTAAAGTGTCCCATTACTGAACCATGTGGTTCCAGGGTCAAGGTGATGATGAAGCTTCTTGCTAGGTGCATCTTGGGAATGCTGCGAGTAAGCGTGCGAACGAGTATCATCAATTTCCTGCAAAACAAAATAGCCAGGAAAGAACGTAGCAAGACATGAGCCTATACCATACATTTTCATCTTTATACAGATTGGTTGAAAGAAATGACTTGGCCATGCGAATTAATGCTACCGTCGCTTCTCGTGGACTAAACCACACTAAAGGCTCAACATTTTAAAGGCCTAAGCACATGCAATTCAGAAATTTAGAGCAAAGTGAGCACAAAGTATACGCGATCATTTTCCCCCCATTCTCGGCGTAATCCTGCGCTCATTTCGGCAGAACGTAAATCAAGTCGTCCAATATTAATAACAATTCCTCACAGTGGCAAAGTTATTATGAACAGAAGCGATTTTCCAGCATGTTTCTTTACCGTCGACGGTTGCACCTTGGTAAGACCAATATTTTTTGTCCCGTTCATCAGCAAACAGGTCCCGAAACCCAGAACGAGAGGTTATACAAGACATAAGAACATCTCTGGTTGCCAGCCATTTTAAAGCTTGTTCCCAACTTCCACTACTTTTCTAAGCAGTACCGCAACTCCCGCAAAAAATTCGCCGCAATTCCCGGGCCTCGCTAACAGGTCGGACTCTGTGTAGTGACACTTCATTCACCAATTATTTTGTGGGCACCAACATTCTGGTGCTTGATGCAGGGTGGGCACAAATGGCAATGCGGAGAGCAAGTCGTCCGCTTCTTGTGCCAGTGACGTCAGAACGACGCCGAGCTCCGAGTGGCTTTACTTGACAAGGGTGGTGGGTACACCTCAATGCTAGATGCCTGAAGCTGTACCTGCCATTTTATTAGGTTGGCCAATAAGATCTCGGCGTTCCGACATCGTCGCAACCCCCGTGCAAGATGCAGACAGACTTGCTCCCCGCATAGTTACAATTTTTTCTTAACCCACAACGGATCGTAGTCTAAACAAAAAGAATGCCGGGTCCGACGACGCACCCGGCGTTCACTGCCTAAACTGCGCCGTCCTGAAGCCCTTGGTGGTGGCGGAGGCTGCGCCGGTGACCCTGGCCTTCGCCGCCGCCTCCGCCCTCCTGGCGGCGCTGGCGGCAACGCCCCAGTCTGGGGCGTGCATCAGCGCCCTGTTCACGTCCGGGGTGCTGATGCTCTTGCGCATGCGACCGGTGTGCACCGGCGTCGGCCAGTGGCCGCGACTGCGACTGCGTCCCACACCTGGGAGCGAGAGACGGTTGATGAGCGTTGAAGAAACGGCGAACTAGGGAAAACAATTCTTTCTAAATGCCCGGTTGGGACCCGGATGTTGTGAGACTTTAACCCACATATTTTTAGTCAAAGTCGCGCGACGTGGCGCAAAAAAAAAAGTTCGACGTCACGAGCCGCGCCGCTTTTTGTGGCACGGGATCTCGACAAGAACATGCATTCTGGAGAGAATCCGTGGCTAAGAATTTACGACAGTATTTGAACTCCGAGACAACCTCTCCCACAAATCGCACTGTGCTGGACTCTGCATATAACGGCATCGGTCGTCTCGACTTGATGAGACACTGCACGCTAATAATGAGACACTGCACGCTAATGAATTGTGAATGGTGGCAAATAAAGCAGTTTCATTGTGCGTAGCCTGTGCGCAGCACAGCGTGTAGCCGCCTCGACTTTTACCGTGGTTCAAATGTGGAACACTTTGAGAAACCGCTAATTTTCTAGGGTAATATTCTTTGTCGCGAAACAAGTTTCGAGTCGGCGGCGGTTCCAAAACGCACATGTGTTGCGAGACATGGGCCCCCAAATCTAAGCACATTTCGAAACTCTGTTTTGGAGTCGCTCATAGTGTCTTGCTACATAATTATTCTGCTACAAAAAAAAAAAAAATTTTTTTAGTAAAGTTTATATAATGACATGCACGTCCTTCCCTGCCACTTGGAAAACAAAGCTTCCTGGGAGTTCAGTGTGTCTAAAAAGGAATGCTGACATGCTCAAAAATAATAGACTGTTTTCGTGCAATAAGTGTAGCCTAGTGCAGTGATGTGATTGGCCTAAGCCGTTTTGGAGCACCTTTTGGAGCAGCCAAAACTGTGTTTTGGAGCAGCAAAAGTGGCCTTTGGAGCAAGCAAAACAGTGTTTCGGAGCAGCAAAAACAATGTTTCGGAGCAGAAAAAGTGGCTTTTGGGGCAGATATTCTTAGAAAAATAAACATTTTCGTTTTAAGTGCTGGACAAACGAAGGACACTTCCTTCGCCGCAATAAACAAATTATGGTCAAGTTCAACCACCTGGGAGTCTTTCAACATGTAACTGAAATGCCAATGATATGACACAATATGCAAGGCTTCAGTTAAATTATACATATATATGTACCGTTATAGATAAATAAGAACCAAACTGCACATATTAAAATTTATTTGACAATGACCAACTTATTAGTAAATATCACTGCATTAGGTTGACTACCGTAGTTATATAATATAATAAATGAAAGCTGGCTCCGACTGATGAAACACGTACGTAACTACTGCAGTGCAATAGGAAATTGTACACAAGACAAAGGTGCATTAAGACTAACGGGTGCTTTTCTTTTTGCTTTTCGAAACTTTCTACAAGGCTGCTGCAAGCCTCGCTTTGCCTTTGGCTAGTAATGAATTCCCACTTTCAATGTCTCCAAAGAGACATTGAGACATCCAACATTTGAACAGTGCTGTGGCCGTTGCCGAGCGATTCCGAAAAACCGCTTGCCACTGTTTTATTGGTTCCTGACGTGCCAGATTTTCGTAAAAAGTAAGCAAACGTAAAACCATGGGTTGCAAGCGTCCCGGCTGGTGCCTCTGTCGTGCAGTCCTGTTCGCATGTACATGAGGGCAACTTCAGCAGGCTTGCATTTGCACGTGCTTCGTGGCACAAGCGGAGATGGCTGTTCCATCAAAACAGACACCCTGCAATTCCGCTCCGTCGCCAACTGGTTCCCAAAATTGTATGCAAAATGTAATATACCTATTGCTATATTACCCAAGCATCACGGTCAGGGATGCGCAGCATGTATTGTAATTAAATACAATTTTGTGGGCGAAAATACATCCCTCAAATTTATTGTCACGACAATTCTTGTTTTTAAGCATGTGGTTGTAAGATATATAGTCTCCATCCTTTATTCGGCCATGGTGCTTTTTTTCTTTTTCTCCTCTGGCTTTATTTTAAAGGCACTGTCCAGAGCAGGAAGAAAACTACATTCTGCACCGAATGCAGTGTCTCTCAATCAAGCACAAGCGTTTAGTGACTTTGTGATTACGGTGCTAGTCCAGGGCAAGAATAGTGACGAAATTGACATTCACAGGCAGACTGGCTAAATAAGTGCCTGTGACATTTTGTGATGCTTTCCAGCCTGATTTCCATCCATATTTTTGCCTGGAACATTCTAAATACGCGGGTCGTCCAGATTTTTGTAACTGGTGCGAGTTGCGACAATGAAAAATTCTCTAGCTAGTGCTGCGAGTCTTGGTCGTCTCGGTTCTTTGTTGGTCTATACCAAACTGTAATCGGCAAAAAAAGCTGCTTGAAGCTCTGTACTTTTTTCACGTATTACATCCAAGCTGATTACATTTTTTTGTGATTATATTTCTATTACATTACTAGAGCCTCGCACACTAACTCCCGAGTGTGCAATGCAAAATTAAAATGAGATAACCATAAACCCGTTGCAGGTGCCCTGAAGTCGCTGACGCAAATTTTGAGGAATGTATTTGGAAAAGTATTTGGAGGAGACCAAATACATTTGGTTGTATTTGTATCTTGTACTGAAATGTTTTTTTGGAAATGCAATTAGATTTGTAATTAAATACATTCTTGACGAAGTATTTTCTATTTGTATTTCAATACATATTTGCATGTATTTTGCCCATCCCTGATCACGGCGAATGCAGGGATTGGTGTTCCACGCGTGGCACGTGCTGGCCTCAGCAGTAGTAACTTTTCTAAAGCAAATACCCAAAACAAATGGCATCTTGCACGGGCGCTCGTCAACGCTTTATTTTGGTTATTTACTTCAAATCTTTTATACGGGGAAGGCGTGCGCGTGTGGCGCGTGGAACACCAATCCCTGCATTATGCTTGATGCTTGGGTAATATAGCAAATGGTCTATTGTTCAGCATACGACAAAAAACAGTCCAGCGGCACGTGCTTCCCAGGCCGGCAGGCGAGCTACACCCGTGAGCGATATGAAGGTGAACAGCCCTCTTGTTTTTGATGCTCCTGCAAGGTTTGGAACAAGCTCTGTTCCAGAAGAGGGCTAAAACGTAAAGTTTAGACCCTCAGGCTACGTACCATTTGAGACGTTGAGAGAAAGCTTTAGGGAGCCGTAAAACAGGCAAGAAACCAGGTAAGGTGTTCACCTTCATATTGCCGGCAAGTGTACAAGCTAAACACACAGAAAAAAAATTGCCGTGGTTTAGCTCGGCTATGCCAGGATCTACGTAGCGTGAGCTTATGCGCACAAAATGAGAGGCGCTATCAAGTGGCTCCGGTGCAGCGTCAGACTTGGCTACTGCGCGACGGAGGCGCACAGCTGGGCACGCGGCGGCGCCAGTGCGTCTGCCGAGGCTATGACGTCACTCCTCTGGAATATGCTCAGACCGGCGAGGGGCGCGCGGTGGCGGCGGCTCCGGCGTGCCAGCTGTGCGTCGTGTGACGTCGCTGCTCCTCGCGCAGGCGCAGCACGGAGCACGGCTCATTATGCGAGCCATGCAAAACTGCTCAACCTCGGCAAGTGTAGCTCACGCTACAAAAGAACCTGAGCGAGTCAGGTCAAAACAAGACATCGCGAGTCAGGGTCAAAAAGTACTTGGAGCGCTTTGTACAACGACTGAAGCACTGAAGTGTCAACACACGCCCGCGTCTATCGTTGAATTTCTTTTAAAAAAAAAACGCGAGACGAGACAGAAGAACGACGAGAGCGTGAAACGAGAGGTGGCGGGAAAAACTATGCAAGACCAGATGGACGATTGATACAGGGTACTTTTTGTTGGGCGGACGGTTGCACCACCTAGCTCATGCACGCTCAATTACGGTACTCAGTTCAGTTTCGGTTTTGAAAGATGACAAAAATTGAACTTTTGGCGCAGATTACACATATATTGGCAAAATGTAGCAGGGTTAGCCCCTTGGCGCAGTTTTGGCGCAATTGGTGCAGCAATCACATCACTGCTAGTGTTTCCGACACTGGGTCCCGACCCCTAAGAGGAGGGTTACAACAAATTATACTTCCAGACAACATTCTTTAGCTATGCAGTCAATGCTAGGAGAGAGAATGCGCCCACTGCTTCGACTGCGCTTTCCTCCTCTGTTCGGATTGCCACAGAAAGCAGTGCCCGAGTACCATAAGCGGGAGTTGCAAAACATGCTCAGGTGCCCAAAAAGGAGTTTACAACACCGACGAAAACGAAATACAGGTCGCAGTTCAACGTTGAGCCGGAACCCAGAGCCGGGGTGTCCGAATTCCGCCCTCGTTTTTGAGAAAACGTGCTCCAACGGACAAAGCTCACTTTAGCCATTAAAAAGAATCGTCCCCAATGGCACTTTTTGTTTCTTTTTCCAATGGTTTCTAGATCTGCTAATTCACTTTGGCAATACTAACCGACAAATAAAATTTAAATGTCCCCTTTAGGCGTTACCGTGCGTGCATCGAAATCTTGAAGCTTCTGGCATTGTTAAAAATCCTCGGGAGGCGAGGTTACGACGCAACATTTGACGTTTGCAACGGTAACAGAGTGGGAAGTAATTGGTGGGCCACTTTTCGTAAAAATATGAGGTGCCTCACCGCGGATCGGCAGATATGCGTTGCCCAAGACGTTCTCCTTGGACGACGACGGGAAGCGGACCGTGGGTTGCACAAAGGACACAGTCCTTTGACTCCTGTAGTCCGGAGCAAGACTGGGCCCTGCGGCGAGACAGAGGTAGGTGGAGGAGTTAAGCACGGCACTTGAAATCGAAAGACACACAAACAGAGAGAGGGAGTAATCTCCACAGTCGCACGCAAACAAAACCACACTGAAGGAGAGAAAACAAATCTTTAGGAGCCAGAAAGTGAGATCTTGACAGCCAAAACCAGCACTTCAAAGAAAGGTGAAACGACAATGTACACTTCTGAATATTACCCGCAAACTTAAATACCTCGCAAAACACCGGTGAAATTTCTATGGTCACCAATCTGGCTCAAAATCGGTTCGACACGTCAAATAGACACGTCTGAACTAATAACCGCCACAACTCACAGTTTTGTTTTTTTGCGCAAAGTTTCTGAATTTTCAAATTTGGTACGAGGCAACACTGAAAATGCGACCCGTCATTCACGACGGGTTACAAGAAATGTGACGACTTGAAATGAATGTTGATTAAACTCGCGCGAGCAAAACAAAGAAATGCATGCAGCGTTTTTTAAGAAGTGCCCGCTCAACTTTCAAGTTGTACAACGTGCGACATTGCCGCGATGGTGAGTGTGGGAAAATTTGAACGCTGGTTTTGGCATTGCCTTCATTTGCCGTTTTCTCTATACCAAACACCTTCAAGTTAGAGGTAATAAATTGCACGCCCGAAAGAGTAAAACAAGGGTGTTCCGAAATTGTGTTTTAGTTCGGGTAGCTCGAAAAACCGTAGGAGCCCCCCTTCGATCCTCGTAGCCGAATGGGGCACATACATAGCATTGTCTCCCCTCAATACTGAACCACTTAACGCATGTATCCGCAGAAAATGCAACTTCCCGATCGACGAAAATTTTTTTTCTTGGTTCTGTATTACTGACTTTTGCTGCTCCTCTCTATTGTTTTATTTTAGTGAGTACTTTTTTGCCACGAGTGTTAAAACGGCAAGTTCCAAATACTTAAAGGACCCATGAAACGAATTTTGGGCTGGAGTAAATCAATTTATATTGGGATTTTACTAATAGCACATCGTTCAGTGGGCCAAAAGAACAAAGGTAGAAAGTCGGAAGCCTGACTTTCGCTACGAAAATTTGCAAAAGATAGCGGACTATTTCGTACCTCCTTTCCTTCGTAAACTCTCCGCCTTTTCACTGTGATACATCCGCGGACCCCGCAGCGCATCACCGGGCTACTAGCCACCATAACCGGGCCCCCGCAGAGCGTCACCAGGGCCCAAGCGCACGTCACACGACACAGGACCTCACTTAATCCCTTTACCTCTAAGCTGACATGGCGGTGGAAGCTACGCGCTTGCCGGACCAATCAGCCGTCTCCCTTTCATCACCGGACCTCATTCTCTGCGGGTCGGTATGCGCGAGAGAGCATGATCACGTGGAAAATGTGTGGCTGGCCCAACGAGCACGTAGCTTCCACAGCACTGTCAGCTCCGGGGTGAACGGGGTGGGGAAAGCAACTAGTCGGAATTTTGAGCGACGGGCTAATCTTCTAGGGGGACAATGGCGGTGTCCGGCTACATAAGCGAGATTCCGAGCAAGAGGGGACTCCCCCCTTTCCGACTTCTTGAACTGTTTGGTACAATGCGTGATTTATGAGTTGAGGAGGAAAGCTAAACAGAAAAAAGTTGAAAAAGCGTTTCATGACTCCTTTAAGGCTGCGGTACCACGGCGTCAATTTTGAAGAAGCCATTAGTTGAAACACCAGGGTAGCGTTGCCTGTCCGTGTGAGCGAATGGCGTGGAATGCTGCGCGCCAATTTCGAACTAGGCTTTTCTGGCACTTGTAACCTCAAGTTTCCTTCTCCGCTCCGCTTCTCCGCTCCGTTCTCCGCCTTTCATCCGCTGCCTGCCTGCGCGACTCGTGTACGTTCATTGTTGAGAGGACCCATGCCCCGGGTAATCCCCAACTTAGGCCCTGGAAGAGACGCCCTGCGCTTCCTGTCACAAATGCCTCTGTTTGCGTGCACTGCCCATTAGCGATTCATTCTTTTATTTTTCTTTTTACCACGGTACCTTTGTCGGGTTTTTGAGAATATTGAAATTTAATATTTTCTAGCGACCTGCCCATTGTACTGTTGCACCACACTTGTGTCAGCACCTTGTGCTGTGGCTTGAGATATGGGACCGAGTGGCTAGCCTTATTTCGTGTAAAATGCCAGAATAATTTCCCTTTGCTGCAGAAGGGTCAAAAGAACAATAGGATCGGCAGAAAAAAACTGTTTCAGTACTTGAATTATGGTGAAACACACCAGTAAGGAAACACAAACGTAAAAGAAATTATATGGGCAGAATAAAAAAAATTGCTAAAGTCTTATCTCGTGTGCAATGCCAGAATAAGTTTCCTTTGCTGTAAAAGGGTGAAAAGAATGGTAGGATCAGCAGAAAAAACTATTTCAGTACCCGAATTATAATGAAACACAACAGCAAGGAAAACAACACAAATGTAAAAGAAATACTCGTAAATATTGGAGTGGTGTATACCATTATAACATTTAAAAGTCCTCGCCCCAGCGTGCAATCTCTTTAGCCGAGCACACGCATGTTCGCTTCAGAAAGCGAGCAAGCAAATCGTGTGCCATCTGCAAACACTAAAAATGGAACCGGTCAAGAGCCCTTCTTTGATAAAGATCTATGAACTGAAGTGATTGGAGTCGTGCAAGGCAGTAAATAGCCACACACAAATAAATACTTCTCTCCTTCTTTTCTTCTTGGGGTTGGAGCGGGGGGGGGGGGGTAGAGGGGGGGGGCGGAAAGGGTGCTTTAAATTAGCAGTAGCATGTGCTCCAGTGCGATCTTCCTAGCTTCATTGGGTCAAGAGTGCATGCACACCAAAGATGAGCAAGCAGGAACAGGCGCGTGTTTCTCCTGCTAATTTTATGTTGCAACAATCACTATCAGCCCTTTTTTTTAATTTTTATTTTACATACATTACGATTTGGGTCTAGACATTTCATTGAACGCCATTTCATCGAAAGCAGTTTCGTACCATCTGTCTCACTCGTTCGTTCGATCTGCCTCGTTCGTTCGTTTGATCTGTCTCAATCTTTCATTCGATCTGTCCTGCTCGTTCAATCCGTCCCGTTCGTTCGATCTGTATCATTCGTTCTATCTGTTTCTGTAGTAAAGTACTACCGAATCGCCGGTGTGGCGATATGTTCTACTAAGAACTGAAGAGCCAGGACAGTAAACGTCTTTACTTCATGATGGCGGATGCCGAACCGCCGCTCGCGCGCTCGGCTCCAGACGAGTGTGTGTTGTCGTCGTCGTCTAGTCTCAGTTCCCATCATATCTTCCCCATTAAAAAGAAGACTGGAAGGGCTGAACCTTTTTCCTTTCTCGAGTCGAGCACCGTGGAAGTGGCACAGGAGTTGAGAGGGGCTGGTTCTGGTTTGTTGAGGGACTTTTAGATGAACTTGGGTTTGCAGAAATTGAATCAGTGGGATTCGGGCCCGGCAATGGGTCCAGCCCTCGTTCAGCTAGAGCTCCGTCGCAGGGAGCCTTGCCCTCTGATGTTGTAGGTGTGAGTGGCGCCTCTGGGTCAGTCCATTCCGGAAACCCAAGTGGGTCTTCTGTGTGCCGCTGGCGAACTTGGTCAAGATGGCGACGCACCAGGTCCGAATTGGTTTGTATCGTCACCATGCGTGAGCCTTCTGCGCTCTTGACGATTCCCGGCAGCCACTTTGGGCCCTTACCAAAGTTTCGGAAGAATATCTTTCTGCCCGGTTTAAAAAATGGCGGAGTGCGCTGACTCTCGCCCTGTGCAGTCAGCTCTGACCTCTTGTCCGGAAAGCACGTGTCCAAACGTGACCGGATCTGGTATCCCAAAAGTAACTGGGATGGAGACTTGCCCGAAGCCACAGGCGTGCGCCAATGATTGAGAAGCAGTCGGCACAACTTGACGTCCAGGGTGGACCCGCTTGTCTTCTTCAAGGCATCATCTTTCCGTCGACGGGCCCGGCATAATCCAAGTGTAACCTCGACCAGGGTTCACCGGTCACCGGCCAATCGACAGGTTTCTGCGCTGCTGGCATAGAAGCCGCTTGAATACTGTCTCACATTTCCCTCATTAGTTCAATCTGCCTCGTTTGTTCGTTCGATCTGTCTCAATCGTTCGTTCGATCTGTCTCGTTTGTTCATTCGTTTGATCAGTCTCGTTCGTTCATTCGTTTGATCAGTCTCGTTTGCTCATTCGCTTGATCAGTCTCATTCGTCACTCTCGTTCGTTCGATGTGTCTCGTTCGATCTGTCTCAATCGTTCGTTCGATCCGTCTCGTTCGTTTGATCCGTCTCAATCGTTCGATCCGTCTCATTTGTTCATTCAATCTGTCTCGTTTGTTCTATGCCTTGTTTGCTCTATCTGTCACGTTTGTTCTATGCCTTGTTTGCTCTATCTGTCACGTTCGTTCTATCTGTCACGTTTGTTCTATCTGTCACGTTCGTTCTATCAGTCACGTTCGTTCTATCAGTCACGTTCGTTCTATCAGTCACGTTCGCTCCTTCGATCTGTCTCAATCGTTCGTTCGATCCGTCTCGTTCGTTCAATCCGTCTCGTTCGTTCAATCCGTCTCGTTCGTTCGATCCGTCTCGTTCGTTCGATCCGTCTCGTTCGTTCGATCCGTCTCGTTCGTTCGATCTGCATCATTCGTTCGATCCGTTTCCTTCGTTAGTTCGATCTGTCTCGTTCGTTCGTTGCATCCGCCTCGTTCGTTCGTTGCATCCGCCTCGTTCGTTCGTTGCATCCGCCTCGTTCGTTCGTTGCATCCGCCTCGTTCGTTCGTTGCATCCGCCTCGTTCGTTCGTTGCAACCGCCTCGTTCGTTCGTTGCAACCGCCTCGTTCGTTCGTTGCAACCGCCTCGTTCGTTCGTTGCAACCGCCTCGTTCGTTCGTTGCAACCGCCTCGTTCGTTCGTTGCAACCGCCTCGTTCGTTCGTTGCATCCGTCTCGTTCGTTCGTTGCATCCGTCTCGTTCGTTCGTTGCATCCGTCTCGATCGTTCGTTGCATCCGTCTCGATCGTTCGTTGCATCCGTCTCGATCGTTCGTTGCATCCGTCTCGATCGTTCGTTGCATCCGTCTCGATCGTTCGTTGCATCCGTCTCGATCGTTCGTTGCATCCGTCTCGATCGTTCGTTGCATCCGTCTCGATCGTTCGTTGCATCCGTCTCGATCGTTCGTTGCATCCGTCTCGATCGTTCGTTGCATCCGTCTCGTTCGTTCGTTGCATCCGTCTCGTTCGTTCGTTGCATCCGTCTCGTTCGTTCGTTGCATCCGCCTCGTTCGTTCGTTGCATCCGCCTCGTTCGTTCGTTGCATCCGCCTCGTTCGTTCGTTGCAACCGTCTCGTTCGTTCGTTGCAACCGTCTCGTTCGTTCGTTGCAACCGTCTCGTTCGTTCGTTGCATCCGCCTCGTTCGTTCGTTGCATCCGCCTCGTTCGTTCGTTGCATCCGCCTCGTTCGTTCGTTGCAACCGTCTCGTTCGTTCGTTGCATCCGTCTCGTTCGTTCGTTGCATCCGTCTCGTTCGTTCGTTGCATCCGTCTCGTTCGTTCGTTGCATCCGTCTCGTTCGTTCGTTGCATCCGTCTCGTTCGTTCGTTGCATCCGTCTCGATCGTTCGTTGCATCCGTCTCGATCGTTCGTTGCATCCGTCTCGATCGTTCGTTGCATCCGTCTCGATCGTTCGTTGCATCCGTCTCGATCGTTCGTTGCATCCGTCTCGATCGTTCGTTGCATCCGTCTCGATCGTTCGTTGCATCCGTCTCGATCGTTCGTTGCATCCGCCTCGTTCGTTGCATCCGCCTCGTTCGTTCGTTGCATCCGCCTCGTTCGTTCGTTGCAACCGCCTCGTTCGTTCGTTGCAACCGCCTCGTTCGTTCGTTGCAACCGTCTCGTTCGTTCGTTGCATCCGTCTCGTTCGTTCGTTGCATCCGTCTCGTTCGTTCGTTGCATCCGTCTCGTTCGTTCGTTGCATCCGTCTCGTTCGTTCGTTGCATCCGTCTCGTTCGTTCGTTGCATCCGTCTCGTTCATTCGTTGCATCCGTCTCGTTCATTCGTTGCATCCGTCTCGTTCATTCGTTGCATCCGTCTCGTTCATTCGTTGCATCCGTCTCGTTCCTCCTTTGATAGGTCTCGTTCCTCCTTTGATAGGTCTCGTTCCTCCTTTGATAGGTCTCGTTCCTCCTTTGATAGGTCTCGTTCCTCCTTTGATAGGTCTCGTTCGTTTCTTTGATAGGTCTCGTTCGTTTCTTTGATCCGTCTCGTTCGTTTCTTTGATCCGTCTCGTTCGTTTCTTTGATCCGTCTCGTTCGTTTCTTTGATCCGTCTCGTTCGTTTCTTTGATCCGTCTCGTTCGTTTCTTTGATCCGTCTCGTTCGTTTCTTTGATCCGTCTCGTTCGTTTCTTTGATCCGTCTCGTTCGTTCCTTTGATCCGTCTCGTTCGTTCCTTTGATCCGTCTCGTTCGTTCCTTTGATCCGTCTCGTTCGTTCCTTTGATCCGTCTCGTTCGTTCCTTTGATCCGTCTCGTTCGTTCCTTTGATCCGTCTCGTTCGTTCCTTTGATCCGTCTCGTTCGTTCCTTTGATCCGTCTCGTTCGTTCCTTTGATCCGTCTCGTTCGTTCCTTTGATCCGTCTCGTTCGTTCCTTTGATCCGTCTCGTTCGTTCCTTTGATCCGTCTCGTTCGTTCCTTTGATCCGTCTCGTTCGTTCCTTTGATCCGTCTCGTTCGTTCCTTTGATCCGTCTCGTTCGTTCCTTTGATCCGTCTCGTTCGTTCCTTTGATCCGTCTCGTTCGTTCCTTTGATCCGTCTCGTTCGTTCCTTTGATCCGTCTCGTTCGACCTGTCTCGTTAGTTTGATCCTTCACGTTCGCGCCTTCGATCCGTCACGTTCGCGCGTTCGATCCGTCACGTTCGCGCGTTCGATCCGTCACGTTCGCGCGTTCGATCCGTCACGTTCGCGCGTTCGATCCGTCACGTTCGCGCGTTCGATCCGTCACGTTCGCACGTTCGATCCGTCACGTTCGCGCGTTCGATCCGTCACGTTCGCGCGTTCGATCCGTCACGTTCGCGCGTTCGATCCGTCACGTTCGCGCGTTCGGTCCATCACGTTTGCGCGTTCGATCCGTCACGTTTGCGCGTTCGATCCGTCACATTCGCGCGTTCGATCCATCACATTCGCGCGTTCGATCCGTCATGTTCGCACGTTGTTCAAAATGGGTTCGATTCATCCACAATCATGTGACAGTTAGTCCTGGGCCAGTACAACCGTTTTCCTAGTGTAACTAACATAAAAAAATCACAGAGATGATAGTCATTAGATCTTCAATGAAAAATTTTGTTTGAAATTTTTTTAGATTTACCACAGAGCTACTGGTAGTAATAATAGCTCAGCATTTAAAAGCAAATTACGTTCCCAAACAGAACAATCGTGTGCACAAGGTACACGAATACCGTATCGAGACGGAGCTCTGCAAATGTTAGGATGGTCAAAGACTAGAATTCTTTCGAAGAATGTATAGTTTGTGCTGAGAATACTGAAACTTTCTTATCGTTATTACTTGCCCCTCCTACAACGCCTGTGGGAGTTTTTTGAATAAAGAATTGGGTCCACACCGTAGGATAATAGATAGATTAAAGGGTCTCACAATACATACACGCGCACCCGCGAGAACCATACCGGGGCCAAAGGTGTAGCTGGGAGCAGCCTTCGATCCACCGTGCATCACAAACGTCGACTCCAGGGCAGAACACTTGTCTGGGCTCGAGTCAAACGTGGTGTTCGGGTCCACATTGTCGAGGATCGTTGGAGTGTGGGGTGTCGCGCTGGAGCGCTTTGGGTGCGGAGATCCCAGGGGAAAGCGAACCACTGTGGCGTCGCCTGCGTACCCTGGAGACAGAACACAGATATCACCAAAGCTTCCGTCGCGCAAAGAGTAAAGGCCCGGTTTGCCATGGAATCCGGGGATCGTGACCCCAATCCCCACTCCTGCTTGTTTCGGTCTGGACGAGCACCATACCGGAGCGCGGTCGTGCATTACTACTGCGTGGTGCCCGTCAAAGGCTAAGCTAGCAGTTCTACTGCAGCGGGCAAGTTTTTCACTCACAGCGTAAACCAGCATCGCCGCACGCCACACTTCAAAGGCAAACCAATAAATTATTTCACCTGGCAATTTCTATCGTGGCAATATAGCGTGTCGGAGATATTGATTCTCAATCTCAAATGGAGTGTAAAAGGCTCGAAGTACTATCGCGGACAATATGAGCTGAAACAGCGCTTCGGCCGGCGCACGGTGCCACCTGCGCCGCCCGCCGCCTTGCTCCGAACACAAAGCGCACCCTGAGGCCGAGATAAATTCTCACTTGCGCTCGCAGCTCCACTGTGCTCATCCGGCAGTCTGCTAGCGAGACAGCGTGTGCGACAGCGGGCGCGTGCATGGTAGGGCGGCAGGGAGGGGACGGATTACAGTTGTCGTCCCTTTTTTTGCAATTGATGTACTTCATTCTATTGCATTGAGTCATGTAGAAAAACGCCGACTGGTGAAGAAAAAATGTTGAGGTATCTTAAATTGCAGCTGCGATTATCCTTTTTGTAAGTCGCATAAAAAAAACGTAGCAGGTTGTTTTTATTTGATTAAGTACATGCACACAGCAGGACATCGTAAGATATAGGCCAAAAGTTGTACCGTATTTACTCGCAGAATGAACACACTTTTTTTTCAAAAAATCAATGCAAAGTTAGGGGGGGCGTTCATTACGCGAAGTAAAATTTTTGTAACTTCTTATCTCTTTGTGCGGGGCGACCGACCCCATAACCAAACTAAGTGTGCAAAAAAAACAAAACAAAAAAAAAACCTTTTCTTTTTAATTCTTTGGGTGTTTTTTTTGTTTTTTGGCCGCCTTTAGCAAGTTGTTTTGTTTGCTTAGGCATTGCTTAGGCGAGGGCTCTCCGCTTATCTTTCTTACCTCCTTGCGCGCGAAGCGCGACGCACGACCCCCCGTAACTAAACTGCGCTGTGCAAAAAAAGAAAAAAGCTCCTCTTTTTCATTTTGCTTTTTTCTCAATTCCGTGTTTTTTTGGGGTTTTTTTGCCGCCTTTTGCAAGTTGTTTCGTTTGCTTAGAGGGCTTCTCCGCTCCTCTTTCTAACCTCCTTGCGCAAAGTGTAGTTCCATTTCTGTAAAAAAAAAAAGTAGGGCCAAACACTTGCCAGGGATAACGACAGCCAGCGACGCAGACGACCGAGTCAGCTGGCGGGGCGCGTTTGGCACCCATATCTGTTTCATTCGATTTACCTGCACCTCTGCACCGGCAGTGGCGCCGCGATCGACCCAAGTGCGTATCGTTGCACCGCTTGCGAGACCAAAGTCTGCTCTCACCTGCGCAGTCCTCGTCCTTCCCAGTTGCCACCACTGATTCCGGCTGGTGCCAGGTGGGCACGTCAAGGAGGCGGCGGATGTCGAGCGAGGTGCCTTCCCTCTCCCCTTGCTCGTCCGCCCACCGCACGCACTGGCCTTTCACCTGGGACGCAAGACACAGTGTCAATACAGTAGGCTCGCGATAATTCAAACTGATATTTCAGACTTCTGGTTAATTCGGACGAATTCAAAAATTTCCGTTGTTTCGCCATGGTTTCTTAATGTATCCATAAGCCACTCAATTCAAACGGCGTATTCATGTAATTCATACTTTTTGTTCTCGCGGCCCTTTAAAGGCCGACGACCAGACTCGAGATTCTGCAAGGCAGAAGATCCTCCTAACCATAGCGGAGGAGGAAACAGCCAACGGTAGACAGGGTAGAAGGGGGAGAGGAGGAAGCGGGGGGAAAGTGGAAAGCGCGAAGCGGTCGTCGGCCTTTAAGTGCACTTCGTTCCAAGCACCGGTGCTCGGTGAGAAGTACAATCAACGGGGCTCAAGTGGGGCACATATGAGCTATGAAAATTGGCACAATACGGAAATTTCTATAGCAACTTGCATGGACGCTGCGACATGGCAACATGGCATCAGGGGTGGAAGCGGGCTAGAGCCTTTTGTATCAGGACTGGGAGCAGCAAAAGTCCCAATTTGGAGCAGTTTTGGAGCAGTAAAAGGCTCGCTTGAGAGCAGCTCGGGAGCAGCAAAAGTAAGTTTTGTAGCCGTAGAAGTAGGTTTTGGAGCAGGTCACGGAGGTCAAACAAATGTCTAAAAGTGATTTGTTGTTTCTAAATGTGAAAATGTAGCAAAAATATATGCATGCACATCCCAGAATAATTTTCAAGCAACATACATACACATTTTTCTATTTCTATTGCATTGAAATATGCAATATTGGCAATTTATGCAAAGGAAAGGCTTTGAGAACCATTCCGGCAGCAGGCAGAGTCATGATAGACTTTATATGGGAGGCCCCGACAATAAAAGCACAACTTGAGCCACGCCAGTACAAAACGTCTACTTAATAGACCAATTGTAAACATGTATCCAGAAAACTAAACCACTGCAAGGTGTCAGATAAACTACCTTCGCTGACTACAGCTTTTGTTTAATAAAGAATACACATGTTCAATCACTACTTAAAAAGCCCTATATCAAGTTAGTAACAAAATACAAGGCTACTGACATTTGACAAAAATTCAGATGCAAAATAAAATGTGTATTTTATATCTTTAGACTACCACGGTCACTCGTACATATGCAGCTTTAAGCATCGACTAGAAGAGCAACGCAACCTTATGTACTCCATAAAATGCTGTGCATTGCGTGTCTCCATAAAAAAAAATTAAGGTACCACAACATGTTTCAGAATAAAGCAGTCCTTGCTGACCTGTTTTCATGAAATACAAATGTTCTTAATCCCTGTTCATAAAATACAGTAATCCCTACACCCAAGTTAACATACTAAGCTATATCTAATTACTTTGGATGGAAAAATATATTCCCTTACAAAAATGATCAATGAGTTTCAATTGAGTTTCTATTCAATTGAATGACTTTCAATTGAAACTCGTTTCATTTTTTTGTAAGGGTTGTCTTGAAAATATCACAGCCACTAATACATATACAGCATAAACACTGACTAGAAGAGCCCACAGGCTCCATGTTAAAAAAAAAAGGGTTGTGACTAAGCTGAATCTGTGTAATTTAGAAACAACTGAAGTTCACCTTTTTTTTTTTCACAGTTTGAAGAGCAGAGTCAATTTCTTTTATGCGCTCGAGTACTTTGGGCAGTTTAGAGTTCACATCTCTTAGCAGGAGGTGTCCACTCCCCACCTTGTCCATGTCCTTAACTGCCTCACCCTTGGTTATGAGTTCTTGTGCACTCAGTAGAAGTGCTTTAAGAGAAGACAGTTTGAACGAGACTGAAAATGAGATGTAGCTGATCAGGCGCTGATCCCTGCGGGGCAGGCTGCCTTGTTACGTGACAAGAAGCCCGCCAACTTCTCTCTACCCTACCCAACCCCCCCCCCCCCCCCCAACCAGAAACTTATACGAGTAGAGTGGCTATAGCAAGTTAAGGTGCGTTCTTGACAGGAATCGGCAGCGCGGGAGTGTTGTACGGCATTTCTGATGTAACCCCCACTCCTCCACGCCAAAGGAAAGAAGCAAAAAAGTGTGTAGCACTGCCAATTAACCAACTCGCTTAAGATCGCGGGTATTGTTTTCGCCAGTGGTTTGACGGCGGTAGACAACACACGACAGCGTGCACATTCGCGCACACAATGATGGTTTTGGTTTCGTTTTGACAAGACAAATTGAGCTCGAGAACGCATGTGCCTGTGCTCGCGATTCTTCACGGCTAAGCGTCCAAATATGGTACGCTACCAAATGACAGGTAAAGCTAGTAAAGACCACTTACTTCTGCTCATGTTAATGGCCAAGGTAGCCCACCGGTGCCGAGGCACCAACTCCCACGATCACGGCAAATCGGGACCACGGGCAACTGCATGCGCGCTCCAACCGCGCCAACCAACTATGCCCGAAACCAAACCGATGTGTTCGTATATAAACTCTTTGTAGTAAAAAACGACATCGCACTCTCGATGAACTAAAATCGACGAATCGCCCTGAGGTTAGACATGGTTCGGAGCCCCAGTCGAGTTGGTACGAGTCACCCGCAGTGACACCTAAGCAAAAGTACCCACCTCATGGTGGCCCGTGGCCAACCGTTTTCCACTATATTTAGAAAAAAAAAAAAAAATGTTGAAATTGGCGTTTTGGAGCAGGTTGGCGCAGGGTGGCGCAATTGGCGCAGCGCTTCTACCCCTGTGGCATAGGTCCACGTTGCAATGTCCGCGCAAGTTGCTATAAAAACTGCCCCACGGTGCCCCCTTTCATCGCTCACTCGTCCTCTGATAGGGATACTGACAGGGTATTTTTGCTTGCCGAGGTTTTTAGTAGTACATTACATATAAGAGCACAACTACCCAGAACAGAATTTGCAGCTCGAAATTTGGTTTCTTTCCGCCCGAAAACTGCCGATCAAGAACTGGTCGGTTTGAGTCGTGCTCACTCTCTTCTCTGTGGTCACAGGCCGTTTCCTAAGGTTTAGACACAACCAGCAAGGCACACACTCAATATTAAAAATAGAAAAAAAAATATGAAACCCATTTTTTCTGGTTTCTAAAAAACTGCAAATACGTTAATTGAAAAAAAAAAAAAAAAATGCTGCACAAAGAATTGGAAGCATTTGCGCGTTCATTGCATAATTCTCAACATGGCGTCGTATCGCGACGTTCGAACGCGTATGAGGCATATCCACAGATATCACATTTTCCGGCCCATAAGTCACACCCCCTCATAAACGGCAGTCTTCTGATAATAAATTGGTATACAAGTAACACCTAAGTTGGCGCAGACGGCCCAGCGAAATTTCATCGAAAAGCCCGCATATACCTATGCATTACAGTCGCAATAGATGCGCAAGCAAGAGCAAGTTGCAACATTCACATCAATTAATCAAACGAGAAATAACCCCCCCGCCCCCGAGGCAAATTTGTGCAAGTAAAGCCTAGATTCGTAGAAACACAAACAAAAAAGTGAAAGCCGTTTACAACTCCCTGTAACACCGAATTAGAGCGCAGCTCTTGAGGAGGAGGAGGGAAGGGTACTGGGGGGGGGGGGGGGGGTGAAGTGACCTGGGGGGGAGGGTCACGTGACGATGCCGATGATGTCATCAGTGACGTCACTGATGACGTCATCAGTGACGACGATGCGGACTCCGATGACGTCATCAGCGATGATGACGATGACGATGCGGATGTCGCTGACGTCATCAGTGACGTCACTGATGACGTCATCCGTGATGCCGGTGACGTCATCGTTGACGTCACTGATGACGTCATCAGTGCTGATGACGATGACGATGCGGATGCCGGTGAGGTCATCAGTGACGTCACTGATGACGTCATCAGTGATGATGACGATGACGATGTGGATGCCGGTGACGTCATCAGTGACGATGACGTCATCGGGGAGGTCACGTGATTTCGGGGGTGTCACGTGACCTCGGGGGTGTCACGTGACTTCGAAAGTGGTCACGTGACTTCGAAAGTGGTCACGTGACTTCGGAAGTGGTCACGTGACTTCGGAAGTGGTCACGTGACTTCGGAAGTGGTCACGTGACTTCGGGGGGGGGGGAGGGGGGTCACGTGACCTCGGGGGGTTACGTGACCCTGGGGGAGGGGTACTGGGGGGGTGAGGGGGTGACCCCCAGAGGTCACGTGACCTTGAGGTGACCGTGGGGGTCACGTGACCTTGAGGTGACCGTGGGGGGTCGGGTGACCTTGGTTACGCCGACGCCGCTCAAGCCGGGAACGGGCCCCTAAGAGCTGCGCTCTAAAATGCACACAAGGCGCATCGTTGTACACAACGCACCAACAAAAAATGCTGAAAAAAAAAAAAAAAGTTTTGGCAAGGCCACGTGCTAGTGTCGCACCCGTAGGACGCTTCGGCGGCTACGCCAGCGCGAGCTAGGCGGCGCCACGTGGCTTTGCTAGTGGCGGTCAGAACCGCTAAACGAGCTACGCTTAGGGTGTCATCACCTCATTCCCCGATCTGCTAGCGGGCGCCGCCATCTTGTTGCTCAGTGCAGAGCAGACGACGCAACAGTCGATCGTCACAATTAAAAGATGCGGCTTCCTCAGCTTAAGATGCGGCGTTAGGAAGCACGGGCGACATCGTCTTGCTCCTTTGCAAACCGTTTTAACAGTTCCGGAGGACGAAAAAGTGCTTTTTGCAATTTCAGATAAAGCTACGGATAACTGCAGCAACCACGATTTTCGGCACCAAGATGGCCCAAGTGTCCTTGCTCTGAAGCGTAGCTTATTTAGTGGCTCTAGTGGCGACGTTTGGAGGGGGAAAAGAGGTGCAGTTTTCTAGATGGTATTGGTTGAGGGAGGGAAGGGGGGGGGGGTGTGCCTCACCCTCTTGATGATCCCCTGGTAGGTGCTGCGGAGGTCGTTGCACATAAAGTTGCGCCCCTCGAGGATACTGTACAGCTGGCGCAGGTGGGGCAGGGCCAGACCGTTGAGGGTGTCCCAGTGCGCGCAGTGCTGGGCCTGGGTCTCGCACAGCTGTCGGTACTTGGACGCCCAGCAGGCTCGCTCAGACAGGGCCAGCTCGCGTTCCAGGCGGGACACCTCGAGCTCCACCGCCTGTATGCGGGGGGGGGGGGCATCGGTCGAAGGATTGTCGTGCTGCGGCTCCGGAAAATATTTTGCCCCAAATGTCAAGATCGGGGGTTGGGGCTCCTCTAAACTTTTTCTGTCTCGAGGAACAACCTCCCCGATATCGGCGTAGATGCGGTAAAACGGCACAGATGCCTCCTCATCTTACGAACAGCAGTGCCTGTGATAGTTTTGTGGCCCATAGCCGCTAAAATAAAATGCGAAAATCTGCTAAAGTAATGCTTCAACTGAGAAAAACACTTTAATCAAATTACAAGTCACAATATTCTTTTTTTACCAAGGTATGCGGAGTGTAAATTCGTCTGCTTCTTGCACAGGGGTTGCGATGATGTCAGAATGCTGAGCTCTTGTCGGCTGACTGAAAAAAATAGTGGGAAGACCTCGAGGCATCTAGCATTGTGGTCTACCCACTATCAATCAAAGCCAATCAGAACTCTGCATTGTTCTGACGTCACCGCAACCCTTGAAAAAGAAGCGGACGACTTGCACTTTACATTGACGTTTTAAGTTTGGTTAAACATAAGAATGAGACGTCGAATATTGTAATATGAGACGCTTCAACCAACTCACTCCCGGCTGGTTACAAGAAGTTTGATGTGAAGGCTGGTTAAACTCTTGCCAGAAAAACAAACCAATATGCAAAATACTGAGCTGCTTAGACTGCATGCTCAAGTTACAAATTATAGAACATGTGACATCAGTCCACCGGACAGCGTGGAAAACCTTAAAGGCTGGCTTAGGTATCCCCATCATTTGCAGCTTTCTTAATAGTTTGAATTAGAGTAAGAAGAGTAAAATCTGGGTGTTCTGAAAAGCAAGTTTTGCTAGGGTACTTTAAAAAACCGCCGGGGCTCTCGATTGAAGGGCGCCCGAACAACTGACCCCTGTCCAAGCTCCTTGTACACCATTTGCAAGCACTGTCGCATTATGGTAAACATGAAGCATTACAAAGCGTACGACAATTGAAAATTAAATTCAAACTCTTGGTTCAAGTTTTTCTTTGTGTCTATCTGCAACTTTTTTCAATGATAATCACCGTCCTGGTGTCTATACAAAATAAATTACTGAAATACACCAAAATCAGAAATATTAGTTGCTGAAATACACCGATTTCGGAAACACCAAGAAACCCACACAGATGCTCCTTTAAAATAAACACCATAATACCATTAGCACAAACAAGCAACAGCCCAGTGTTTCCCGTTTTTCTCCCAACATGTTATCGCCACGGTAAAAACAATCGGCGTCGGTGGAAGTGTACTCAGCCGGGGCAGTTATCCAAGCAGCAAAGTTTAATACACGTCAACAGACGCTCCGAGCAAAATATAAAAAAGTGCAAACACCGTGTTTGCGCACCAACGGCATTGTGCAGCGAGCAAGTTAAAAACGAAGAGGAAGGCGGGAGGGCTCACCTCCCAGCAGTGTGCGTCCTTGGCCTGCCTGGCCAGGTCCTCAAAGTCCTCGAAGCTCCGCCTCAGCCGGTTCTTCAGGTCCTCCTTCTGCCCCAGCAGCTGCTGGCGCCGGCCCCGTTCTACACTCAGAAACGGGTCCGCCCTCTCAGCCTCCTGCACCGAGAGGCATGCATCGGCTTAGTGCGAGGGCATACTCACTGGGGAGGTGCAACTCCTAAGACTCGAGGCCGGTTACATGCACTTGCAGCTGCTTACGATTGTGTGCCCTAAACCCGCTTAAAAATCTATCACAGCGAGAGGACGCGCTAATGCCATCTTTCGGGCAGCCATGGCAGTCACGGCTATATTTTTTGCACACCAATCTTTTTTTTCCTTGCCTTTCAAATCTTCCGACAAAATTATAAATGACCCTTTCTCGTAAATGCTACACACATTTGATCTTGCGTACACCGCAGAACCATCGCTCTAGTGAAATCGGTTCTAGGAACGCTTCGTAGGTGGCGGTAGTGCTCCAGTGCGTTCTCTCGAAAGAGATTGCAAGTGTATGAACGAGTCGAACGAGACAAAGTCATTCTCGCTCAGGCAGTAAATGTATAGTGGTGAAACAATGTAGAGCTGGACGTTGCAACGTCGGCTGAGAGAGTCCGAACGTAGCTGCCGCATATAACACGGTGTAGCCGCCGGATAAAGAGTTACACTACGACGCGCTGCAGAAAGCTCTGTTGCCATGGCAACCACCTCGTGATAAGCGGTCACGTCTGAACCATCACACCTTTGGCGAAACGGCATTGCCCAACTTCGATGCAAAATTTTAAATTTTACACGGTATGGTGCACTATAATTTTTACACTCATACAACATTGAAGAAAATGAAGAAGCTTTTAATTATTTAGTTTGGTTGCTCGTTTGTACGATTTAGTTTGCAGCTGTGCATAGTCGTATTGATTGAACCATCCAAACTCGGCCTTCCTGCTATGTATTGCCTTGCCTTTTCAAAGTGTCGCCACATGCTCCTTTCCATTGTTTTCTTTTAAATCGATGGCTTTACAGGCAACACTTTGCAGGGATTTCGGTGTCTGCGTTTGTTGCCGTCTGTCGTAGCAGCAGAAATGGAGAAACTCTCTTTACCTCCCCTCAAAGCACGAGGAGAGGGGAGTCGGGTGTTCCCATTGGCCGCGCCGTGCGAAGTGGGAAGACAGGAGAACCCCACGACCTTGCATCAATGGCACGACGACGAAGGAGCATCAGCAGAGCGTCTTCCCCCATCGTCTGCTAACAATAACTTCAAAACGGGCATTTTCAAACACTACTCCCGGTATACAAAATCCCACTTTGACAGTACCCAGTTTCCATGTGTAATGTTGAAGGGTCTTAGAAACTTCCACCACATTCAATTTCACTAAATCATGGCTGTTAAAACCTGCCCGCTATATGTTCACCATAACATGCCTCTTATACCATGCCCGCAGAGCTTTGCTCAAATATCTGCAAGCGTCCCCCTCTCCACTCATAGCTGAGTGTCAACATTACCCCCTCCCTTCGCCACTCAACAACACTGGAAAGACTTGAGCCTTCGCCTGCATTGTCACTGCCGCACTCTTCCTAATGCCATCGCCGCGCCAAGGCCGTAATCCGCCCAAGAGCAAGCGCGAAGGAAATGCTTCTGCAGCGCGCGACCTCAGGCTTACGACGCACATTAACTCGCACATCCAGTGTCTCAACTTGACCACCTACTTTACCGATCAACGAGCGCTCGTGGTGGTTGTCGGCGGCATCTACGACACCAACTGCAACGGCAGTGTGCATTAATTTCTTCGCACCTACGGCCTCTGGTCTGGGATGACACCACTTTGCCCGCATTGCATGTACGTGCTAGAGCTGTCGCTCTTGCTTCTTCACACATTGTGGGCGAAAAAGGCACCCTTATTTTTTTCTTTTCTTTGCTGTTTCCAAAGTTTTTACAAAGCCTTCTGCTGTTATCACTCACAGGGACACCATCCAGCTCGCCAGCCAACACGCCGTGCGCCCACAGGACTTGCCTCCTCCAGTGCGTCTTGAGCTGAAAGTGTGGAAAGTGAGTCAAAAGTATGTACCAGACGAAAGATAAAAACGCAAATACCGCTGCACGTCCACAACAACCCCATCCATCCTTGGTATTGACAAAGTTTCCTCGAATTGTTCTAAAAATTCTGAAAAAGTTCTTCAACCCGTTGTTTTTAGGTTTCCATTCGTAGCCATACTCATTAAATGTCCAGTCACTTCATCGAAGAAGTTGTTTAAACAAGCTGCCATGACAATATGTTTAAAAACTACTGACCAAGGAGTGGACAGCATCTCGAAATGCAGGACTACTGCTGAAGGTGGATATGGAGAAGAACTAGTAGCTAGCAATAATAGAAATAATAATACAAAAATTAAAGTCTGCATAGGAGGCTGTCTGTAAGGAAGCTAACGTAAGAGAGGCTTGTTGCCTCGAAAAATCATGAGGTGTAAAGGTGTGTGCTAGGGTTATGCAACTAAAAAATTATTTAATATGTTGCGTGTCAGATGCACGTCATTCTACAGTCGAGCCCAGTTATATCACACCCGGGTATTTCGAGTTATTGCTTATATCGAACAGTCCAAACGTCCCCTTGAAAATCATATGTAATAGTATAGGAGCGTTCTCTTTTTGTATCGAACTCCCACGGACTCCCATGGTGGGGACACTCTATATTAGCGGCGAGATGTTTTGGTGGCGCCCTCCTATGGTTCCCTTTCGTGACGTCATTACCTTGCGAACAACAAGTATGATGGTTTTTGTAATTAGCATGGTGGAAGCTTCAAATCATTGCGCCCTTAAAACAAGACTGCGGACATCGTCAAAATTGAAGTTCTTACATTGCTCTTATTTCTGTAGATGAGAAAACCTTTGCTGACGTCATCGTAAGTATTCGGCCAATCGTGGAAGGCAACGCTTTCGATCGCGCACGTCGCCAATAGCGAACGAAGCACGGCGGCCCTTCGCTTCCGGTCAAATTGCACCCGCGGAACACATAGCTCGCGTTGCCTTGCTGGCAGACCACCAAGCCAGCACACACAAAAATACTCAACAAAAAAGCAATTGTAAAAAAAAAAAAAAGTGGAGGATGGCAAAAGCAAAGGGAAGGGCACCTGCGCCCGCAGGGAGGGCAGGGAGTGCTCCTTAGCCCCAAAATAAAATAAGCAAAAAAAAAAGTCTTCGTCAAGTTCAGTGCGTTGACAGCAACGGTTGAGGAATCGCACTTTGAACGCCTTATCTTGGTTTACCTTTCTCTTTCGCCGTGCTTGCTTTGCGCGTTTTTTCTCTTTTTTTGCTTGTCTTTTTTTGCTGCCTGAATTTAGTGAGGTTTCTTTTTTGTTGCATGCTTAACTTTATTCTATGAATCGAGCGTTTTTTTTGTTTGTTTTTATGCTGCTAGCTTTTCCTGTTCTTTCATTTTTTTTCTTTAAATTCGTGTTTTGGCATTGGTGCTGTGCGGAGGTCGCGCGCGCGTAAACGATCGCAAACATTATTGCGTAAACACAGCGGTGTTTGTGATCTTCACCAACTAAGCTCTACTGCATTTACCGGCTTTTGGTGGCTCTATTTGGTAAGGTCCCGTTTGTCGCGGCCTTCGGTATTAGCAGAGACGCACGGAAATTCCAGGTGGAGCTTAAGTTACCATATTTTTGTATATCAAATTATCGATATATCCAACTATTTTACGATCCCCTTTTAATTCAATATATCCGGGTTCGACTGTAGCATAAAATGAAGTACTGTTTGATGACAACTGCGATGCCCCGACTCGGAAGGCTCTTCTCCGACCAAGCACTCTTGGGTACGTTACCTTTAAAAAGTAATCTGTTAGTTGCTTTCAAACACAACTAGTGAAGCTCCCGCTACAGTTACCGTAACAAAGTAATTCATTACAGTTTCTCTTAAAAAAGAATGACCTTACTTTTCTGCAAGAAAACAAAAAGAATTAGAAAATACTTTTCTATTGGTTCATTACAGAAAGTGCAAGCAAAGACGGAACACATGGGCACAAGGCAAACATGACACTCACAATGTCGGAACACATCATTAGAAAAGTGCAAGGATCGGCTAGATTGTACTCGTACTTGGAACAGGATGTCTTTGTGCTTAAAAGGAACGACAAAAGTAATGTCGTTATTCTTTCGACTTTAGAAAAAGTAATAGAACTACAGTTGCAAGTTATATCACAAAAAGGTTGAGCATTTGAGTTAAAAGTTACAACAAAAAAAAAAAAGTTGCAGTAATGCGTTACTACCCAAGACTGCGAGCAAGAGATGGCCGCGAGAAGCACACGACCAATCCTTAGTCGACCAAATGACCCAATGAAAACGTTCAGTGTCGTGCACTCTCCCATTCCCTTAGCACTGGTTTAACAGCATGACGTTTCGTAATGGGGACATACGGCAAATAAAAAACGAGGACAAGAAGATAAGCAACACACTTTTTGTCCTCGTTTTTTGGGGGTTTTTTTGCCGTATATTTTTATTACGAATTGGAACCAATTAGCCCAACTCGCAGAAGGTTTGTTGAACATTTCGTCATTCCATTTTTGTCGCACCTTACGGAAGCCAGTCCACAAGTCGCTCACCGTGTTCAGGCGGAGTCCGGCCTCGCAGTCGCAGAGTTGCTCCACCAGTGCATTGCGCGCCGCGAACAGCTTCTCCGCCGCTTCTACGAAGTACTTCGCACAGCCGGCGTGTTTGGAGGGTCTGATTGGAGAGGGCGCTTCGGGCGTGCCCGTGGATACGGCTTCGACTTCCGCTTTGGTCGGAGCCAGCGAATCCGGTCGGGACGAGAGTTGAGCTTCGAGTTGAGCGGCCTTCTCCTTCAAAGCTTGCAGCTCAGTCTCTGAAGCTTGCAGTTTGGCCGTGAGGCTGTCCACCTGCGATAAGTCGTCCAAAAAATTTTTAATTAGGGCTTCTTCGTTCTTTGTGTAAACCGTTTAACCCCAAGAAAGTAACCCCCAAACCAGTTTCATCAACGTCAGGAGAAACTGAAAGGCTGAAAGCGAGCTGCTCTCAAATACAAAAACTAAACTTCCAAAAAAAAACAAAAAAAAAAAAAACACTTTTGTTTGATTTTTTGTTTTTTCCCGAATTGCACGCAAGGCCGCTTCTTTTCTCGAGAAACGCACCCATTGTCTCGTTTTCTCATCACTAGCAGGACATTCTCCAAGTATTAATGTCACCTACATGTTTCCCGGCAATCGGGAAAATCTCACCCCCACGGTTCCTTTTTCATAACCTCAGCCCTGCTAAATGCCGATTCTCTGTCAAACACCAAATCCAAAAAAAAAAAAAAAAAAGAAACCTATGTTTTTTTTTATTATTTGCATTATCATAAACTTAAAATGCAGGACGTTCGCCCTTGTTCATGTTAGGCTGGTGGAAACTGATAAACCCCGTTCGCCCTACTGACGTCCAACTCCTGGTTAGCTCAGTTGGTAGAGCGCTCCACTGGAAATGGGGAGGTCCCTGGTTTGATACCAGGACCAGGCAGATTTTTTCGGTCGTGCACCAGTCACCCAGCTGTGTTCGGCGATTTGTGTTCGTCCCCCTTCTCCAAAGATTATTTTCGTCACTACACTTCCAAATCAAATAAAAAAAGAAAACTTAAACACAAAGTTTTACTTGTAACTAGGATTTCATGTTTTCGAAGATAATTTTTCGTAAAATTAGGAAGGCGTTCTTGAGAGTTTATTTCTTCCTGAAAATTCAGGGTTTATCTGCATTTACTTTTCCCTGAAATTGTTAGTTTATTTTACTAAATTTTTAATTTTACGAAAATTAAAAGAAGTAAAATTAAAATAAAGTCTGTGTACCACAATCTACCGTCCTGAAGGAACCTTGATGAGCTAAAAAGCAAACCCTTTCTTTAAAAGCTTGAGATGTCAAAGGAAACTGAAATGGCATCTAAAAAAATCGTCTTTCCTGCTGTTATTTTGTAGTGTAGCATCACTCGTAACCCACAAAAAGTGCCTTCGCCATGCGCCAACAAACAACCTTACGCACCTTCTTTTTAGAGTCTTCCAGCAACCCGGCGTACATTGTCAGGTGGCAGCGTACGTTAACAATGTTTTTCTTGGCCTGAAATGAGAAGAAGAATTGCCACGACGGACCAACAAGCTTACTTCTCCAAGTAATTCCGTAGTTGCATTGAATGTGCAAAGAATATTTTCAGACATTTCTTTTCTTGTTTTATATGTCAGAAACTACATATTACAACCAGAAATGCATATTACCTTAGTTACACCCATTGAAGGTTCTGCACCCAGGCCATTTGCAAACATGATTGAAAAAGTTTCTTGTTCTTTCACAGTTAACATCTTTGTTGTCAAAACACAAAGATTTGCCCCCCTCATCTTTGAATAGGGAACTTCAACCGGAATAAATAAACACCAAGAGTCTGTCTTTGAGCCCAACAAAACTACAATGATGCAGTTGGTAGAAGTAATTTTGGAGCACCATTTGGAGCAATCGAAAGTTTGTTTTGGAGTAGCAAAAAGAACTTTTGTAGAATAAGTGCACACTTCATTTTTCATCAAACCACTGCAAATATGTTCAAATCTGTGTGTTGGCCTGCCGAATGGAAAGACAATGTCTAGATTGCGTTCCCACTTTTGTTAAACCTTTTGTTAGCAACAGCTGCATGACAGGTTGGATTCCCACAAATGCCTAAAAAAAAACTAAAAAAAACATGGCGATAAGGTGATGATTGTTGAATGACAGTCTGAACCGCAATGCATTATTATTTTCAGTACAGAATTAAAGATAAAGGAAATAGCATTTTTCACTGAAATAATGCTCAAATAGAAAAATTTTGTGCACCCATATTGATGTTTTGCTCAAATTTTAAAGGCTCTAATAAAATTGCAATTCTTAGGTCAGATAAAAACAAAGCTTTCATATTGCACTATGTGGAATCGATAACATTTTATATGTAGAACTTATAACAAGCACTGGCATGTGAATGACCAAATATATACCTTCTTAAAAACAATCGCATTGGATACAATAAGGTTGTTTTCAAGCTTTCACCCACTGCTCCAAAAAATTTTGTTTTAGTGATATGAAGCCATTTAAATCTAATAACTAAATAAGAGAGTTGACAAAAAAAAAATAAACATCTAGAGCAGTCCATAAAACTTTAACAATACTCAAATATACTTTCTAAATCTCGCATCTGAAAAAAATATCATCAGAGTATTGCAGTCAACTATATTATATAATATATAATAGCCGCAGCTTTATTCAGAAATCGTGTCCCGTCCCGCCCTGAAAGGGCGCTTTCTCCTTAGCACGTGGGTGCACCGTGGCGAAACAAGATATACACAAAATCGCGATGTTTATTTTGCGCTTCTCGCTTCACTGCAGTGCACCAGCGCACTCAATGAGGCTAGCTAAACTGTTTGAACAAATCTAGCAAATGACAAATATTGAGAAACCTCGGTGTACCCTCAGTGTTTGATAGAAATTAAATCAAATACAGTAATCCCTCATTACAACGAAATCGCTTCTTTCGAGTAATCGCTTTCATTGAGGTTCATCACAGTCCCGACCAAAATGCAAGCGTTTTGAGCCGGATTAATCCAAGTGTATGGGCGACCCACCACGCTTATTACGAAAGCTGAGGCGCCGAAAGCACTCAAGCCTACACGGAGGCACACACCACCGGAAGAGCAGGCAATCGGCGGGTGTTCCGATGTTTTAGAACATAAATGCCGATATGGACTCCATGTAATGCTAAAAGAAAGCCAACGGACATTTAGGAAAAAAAAAGGCAACTTGTGACCTGCGCACAGGAAAATAGTACTAATAAAAGAGGAAGACATTCTTTTTATGCATTGCAGTTATGTATAGGGCTAGCTCTTGTGGTTTTCGTGCATGCGCCTCGGGTGTTAGCCTGTATGGTGAAGTCACGCAGTGCTTGAATTGCGACGAGTCCTCGGAGAGGGAGCTTTTGGGTTTGACGCGAAACCGTGGCATAATGCAGCACCGTGACGCAACACTGATGTCACATGACACTGATGTCAGCTGATACCATGATAAGACATTGCGACATAGCGGTGATGTCATGGAACACGATGGTGTTGGATAACCCAAAGTCACGTCCGATGGTCATGTGACATAAGATTACAATGACCAAAGATTAGGCCATGTTTCCCGATGGTCAGGTAATGCATGTAACATAACCTAATGTAACATAACTTAACCTATAAATGCTACATCTTTAGAGCACCTCTGCAATATTGCAGAGGCGGGCAGTTTTTGTCCCCATAGCCTTTGACGGGAGTCATTTTAGGGTCAATTTTACGCAATGCGGGCAAATGCAACGTTGGGTCAGCTTCAAGGGGGCTCTGTAGCATCGCGTGGGTCACGCACCTGTAGCTGGATCTTCATGGCCCGCTCGGCGTACTTGAGCGTGTTGTGGGTGTTGTGGTAGCTCAGGGACGACGGGCTCACATTGGCAATCATCAGGGTACGGCACGAACCACCCAGTGAGTCCTTGAGCAGGTGGGTCAGCTTCGACTGGCGGTAACACACCAGCTGCAACGGCAACAAATCGTGGCTCTAGAACAGTGTATCTCAAACGGAGGTCTGTGGACCCTTTGTGGCGCTCTCAACCAATAGTCAAACCAAGCAAAACATTGTTATGTTTGATGTTGGCTGTTCCACGAAGCTAAATAGACCGAACCGTGCGCACTGACGACCAAGTAGGGTAGGTTGTTCTCGGTTTCAGGGCCGAAGCAACTAGTTTGCACGGATGTTTTGTCCGTTTTGCCTCTTTGTCGTTGCGATCGTCCAATACCCACCTTCTCCTTCAACCGGTGGAGTCCCTCATCACTTTTGCCTATCCGAAAAAAGGCCCCCGAATTGCCCATGGTTGTGAACCACAGCTAAACAGCTGTGGCTTAAAGTTGCAGCTACTCTAGCAGAAATACAATTAAAGGGGCACCAAACTGGATTTTGAGAGCATCCCAGCAAATCTAATACTGCAATTGTGCGAGGCCCTTTTTCACCTTAAGGGGGGACATGGCCTCGGAATTCAAAATTTTCAGAAAAAAACATTTTTTTCATAAATGATATGTTTATGCTTATTAACTTCCAAAGAATGGTTTCAGAAACTTTCATTTAAAAACATGCAGGATTTATCTCAGAATAAATTATTTTCGACATGTCGGCAGCCCTCCAAGTCAGCAGGAAGCAAGTTTTTTGTGTTTTTTATTTAGCACTGCTTCATACTCGTTTAACCTAGCCAGAACATCTCACCCTCATTGGAAGTGCCATTTACTCTAGATCTAGCTCGTAGAAGCTTTCGAAGTTTACAAGTATCAAGGGCCAGGGGGACCCAATACATCCAAAAAGAAAAAATCCTGAAAATTTGGTATGAGCAATTTTATTGGTTGACACCTGAAACAGGGTTTATGGTTGGTCCCTCCCGGTGACGTCATATTTTGTCGTCGTCATTAACGCCCCTTTACAGTACCTTCCACTTCAGATCCTATTCCTGCTTTGCTGCTCTTTCTCAGTGTGATTTGCCTCTTAGTTCCTGTCAGCTTATCTGTCAGGGAATGCCTGCTACAAAAGTTAGCATGCCTACAAACAACACAAACTGGTAGCTATTGCCAGGGGAACAACAGATGCTCAAAGACGAAGGTGCTAACAATGCTCCAGGTGAATTTTGCCTACCTCGGACTCATAAAAAATAAAGAAACCTAAAGTTGAAACTTCAAATGCATTTTTCTCAGTTTCACTTTTTGGCAGGAAATGTGGTATGAGGAAATGTATCATTGGACATTTTGAAAGTGTAAAGATTTCATTCAGTGTTGTCCTTGACTCAAATTTCCTGAGGAACAAGTTAAGGTACTCATAATCTGAAAATGCTAAATTCTTCATGACAAAAACTGAATATTTTAAAACTCACAAATTTGTTAAAATCATTCGCTCTTTTTGGGTGTTATTGTTTTTCTCTAGAATCACATTTTCTACAGTTAATTTTTACCTTAACTTGCACTATGGGTATTCCACTTCACATTAAACTAAACATTTTGTGGATTTCAATTATTATTTTTCTTAAATACATTTCCTAATAAAGTAACTTTTTTCTGGAGCTTGCTAAGCATAGTATGCAGTAGAATTGGCCTATAAGGCTGAAACTTTAGATGTCATCAATCCTAATGGGGTTCAATTCACCCTGAAAGTTTGAATCACTTTGAGACAATGGTTCAAAAGTTGACCCTCCCAGGCCATGTCCCCCCTTAAAAGCACGGCCAAACATCGTGACAAGCCCCCTTTTTCGACATCTATCCAAAAAAAGAAACATGCTGCGTCAACAAAAGGCAGCGTACCATTATAATTTCTGGCTTTCTAAGATGCTCACAGCATGTAGGACGATTGGTGCCATAAAAACCTTAAAATCCAGTTTAGTGCCCCTTTAACTTACGAGCGTATAACAATGTCGAGGCATGTGCATCGCTGACGGATGGTTCAGCTACTGAACACGGCACCGAAAATTTTTTGTCTTGAATTGCCACTCCACCACACAGTTAAAGGGACACTGACACCCCCCAAAAAATTTTTTTTATTTTTTGCCAGGCGCTTCATTATGGTGTCGGAGGACTACCCAATTAATATTTTGCAACAGAGTAGCGTATTTATTTAATAAAGCCAAAAGACGCAACTGCTCGAAACCGAAACCGAAACCCGACGGAGGTCGGAGAAGTGGAGAGAAGAGAGTGACTGGCGGAAGTCACGTGGCTACACCCGACCGTGCTTTTTTTTTTTTTTTTTTTCTCCTCTCCGGTAGCAGACGACACGACATGCGGCGTGCGGGAACTGCTTGCCGTGCCATTCTTTTGCAGTTATGTTTGTTCCGCTCGTTGTTATGTACTCCAAGATGAGTTGTTTTGTACATTGAGGAGTTAGAGATGAGTAGTGAGTGCCCGTGGTGAATTTCCATGATCGGCTCCGAAAAGAATAAACCCAAGATGTTGCGTGAAGAGCTGGCTCACATGTCCTGCATCCGAAAAAAAGTGGCATTGTCGAAAGATCAACGGGATCGGGACCAATGGCTGGCTGCAATTCCTGTAGAACATTTACGGGCACCTCGGAAAGTGGACGCTACCTGATTTATATGCTCCTTGCACTTTGTGGAAAGTGATTACATTGAGTTCGCAGGTGTCAAAACGGAAATCCCATACCGTTTAATTCAGCGAAGTATCGTCCACAACATTTGTTTGTTATTTTTTTTTTGTTTGTTTCTTCAGTGATGATTGTAAAAAAAAAAGAAAAAGATATGTAAACATCAGAAATTGTTTGCAAAAAATAAAAAATAAAAAATCACGGGGGATCGAACCCGGACCTTCGGTGTGTGAAGCGGACGTCTTTCCCACTGAGCTACTGGGGCATCTCGTTTCTGGTGGATCTCTTTCCTTAGTAATAATTCAGCCGGTAAACTGTAAGTTTGAAAGTTTGCTGTCGATTTTTCTTTAGCAAAAGCACTCCCGGGTCGAAGTCGGGAAGCACCACGCTTTGGAGACATTCGCACCTAGTAAAGAAATCGTACGCGTGCATATTCAACTCGAAGTAGACACGTCGTGCTTGACGTTTGCGCGAGCGTTGTCTTCAGCCACGAGAAGGGAGCGACGGCTCGGCGACGTCTTCGTGCAAATCGGCTTGGTGGCCGGGCGTGTCGTACGGGATGAATACCAATTATTTTGATCAGTCCCAAATTTCTCTTTTAACGGTAGACAGAATTCGCCGGTACCGCGAACGACAGTTCTGAAATAGAGGTCCCACGCCCGTCGTCCGCTGCCATCGCCGCCCCCGCGAGCCGCGAGTCCCACGATACGCGAAACGACGAACGCACAGAATGCTTCCGGTTGTCTGTGGAACTTTTTTTTTCAATCAACGTATTTGCAGCTTTTTAGAAGCCACAAAAAATGGGTTTCATATTTTTTTCTATTTTTAATATTGAGTGTGTGCCTTCAGTGACCCACGACTTTGATTAAATTTGGTGGTCGCATCGATACCTTAGAAAATGGCCCGTGACCGCGGAAAAGAGAGTGAGCGAGACTCGAACCGGCCAGTTCTTGATCGGCGGTTTTCGGGCGGAAAGAAACCGAATTTCGAGCCGCAAATTCTGTTCTGGGTAGTTGAGCCCTGATATGTCACGTACAACTAACAACCTCGGCGAGCATAAATACCCTGTCGGTGTCCCTTTAAGGGGAGGCACGGCCTAGGAATCACAATTTTTTCAAAAAAGTCACATTTTTTGGAAAATAGGCTGACCAGCTTTTACAACTCATAAAGAATGCTGTCCAAAAATTTTATTCCTGTAAGTAAAGTATTTACTCCGAAATAAATTATTTTCGACGTGCTGGCGGCCGCACGTGCGCGCCGACGACGCAGCCGATTACGAAAATGTGTTATTTTCAAAGCGCGCTCCCTCCGCGTTTCTTGGGACTAGCATGGACAGGCCCCCTCGTTGGAATGAGCGTCTCGCCCTCTTTCGTTCTGTTCGCAGCATTGTTCGCTATATCGCGCTCACAGACCGTAAAACCCCATAGAAAACATAGCTGTGCACGCTCTCATTGGTCAAGCTGGCGAAACAAGAGCTCTGATTCGCTAGGACGAGCCACGTGACGTGGCTCGTCCTAGCGAATCAGGAAGCTCTGTTGGAAATTGGCATACAGCCAGGGAGCTACCAAGCGTCATACGGAGAGAGGGCCACCAAGATGAAGGTTGCGAAGGCCCAGGTGAAAGCGCTCGAGTCCTCCAAGATGTCCCACAAAAAAAGGAAGATGGAAGCTGTGGCCAAGGCACAGAGGGACCATGCAGAGGAAGGAGTGACGTATGCCCCTGGAGCATTTTAGATGAAATGGCAAGCCCCATCTAAACTAAAACACTGTTCGAACTTTCAAACCTGTTTTTCTCAGCTTGATGTTTTCACCATCTTTCGACAGCTCTAAAACTATCGTTCGATGAGTTAAGTGCCCCCAAGTCTAATGTATGGCTTTTTTGGCATGAAATTTACTGGAGAACTCAGCTATGCACTTACTTTTTGCAAATTGTTATTTCTTCATACAAAAATGTTGACGTTTGTGAAACAAGAAAAATATTAAAAATTTATACCATTATTGAAAGTTAATTTTTACATGAAATATGTAAAAATTTTGAAATGTTAAAAACTATTTCAAGCCTACCACCGATTAGTTTAGTCATTCAGCATTATATCCCAACAAAGAAATTGTGCCTTTTAATTCATATATTGAAACGATAGTTTTTTTCCTTTGGCACGGCTACATGTGCATTTTTTTCAATGAATAAGGTTGTAACTTGTCAAAAAATATACCTTTGGGGTTGAAAGTTGGTGTAGCCTCCTAAGTTTTGACGTTAAACATACCCTAAAAATTTCATTGACCTGGCACAAATACTTAAAAAGTAGACCCTCCAAGGGAGTGCCTCCCCTTAATACACTTACACATTGAGTTTACAAATACAGTATACAAAATGTAAACCCTCCCCCCTCCCCCCCCCGCTTCCAAAAAAAAAAAGAAGTTTACGAGTTGTTTGTTATCGCAAATGTGAACTATGCATGGCCGAACGCTTACTCTCCATCCTAACGTAACCCTAAGGTTCGAATCGGATGCCAAAGGTTAAAACAGCGGAAATTTTTTGGGGGCGAACACACCATGCTTCCATAAAATGGAACTGGGATTGCAGCAAGGTAGAGCAGGGACCTCATTGGCACATCGGTATGTGGGCTCTGCATTTTGAGCTGGACCCTCAAAGTACGGAAGAGAGCCGACATGGAGGTGTGCAAACCCACAAAGACTGGGCTTTGTTTGGTTTCTGGCGACACGGACACACTTTGGCGCCGTCAGAAGGATCCCAAGACCTTCCTGGCACTAGCGGTCATAGAGACTTCTCAGCTCCACTAGTCCGCCCCTCGACCGAAACGGTCGAGGCACACACATGCACGCTGTTCAAAAGGAAGAGCTGCAAATAATTGTCAATCACCACCAGTGATTCTGGATGTTCATAAAAGAGGAACCTCATCGCGTCACACTGGTTCTCTGGACACCGGGGTTGCGGAGTTGTCACTTTGGAATTCAAACGATTCTGGAACCAATCCGCAATTTCGAGACCCCGGAAAGGAATGGGAATGGAATGCCTAAAGCGCTGGAAGAGATGGAATGGGAATAGAATTGGATGCCTTTTGCTCAGAATGGAGTGGGAATGGAATGGGTCCAGTTCTCATGCAACCTGTGTCAATTTTAATCTAGGGCCTACGGGCTGATGGGAAAATTCGCTAGTGCATGGCAAGAGGCTCTTGAAACTGCATTATTGCGCTAGAAGTGACTGACAGCGTGAACGTCTCACCGGCTTGTACTCCTTTGAGGATGAAAATGGTGCACCCTCAGTAAAGCAACCAAAACTGAATAGTTGCAGATAGACAAGGTGTCGTCCCTGGCACCGCAAGACGCGACAAAGCGGTTGTTGTAATCATGCGCGATTACCATGTAGCTTTTAACCAGGGCATTGAACCGAACTTGAGCCAAAAACCGGAAAAAACTTGTAACCCATATCAAACATTTGATATTGAACCCTAACAGGAACGGAAACGTAATTTCATGTGGCGGTTACCTGTTCATTGGAAACGGTTTGGCGCAATAAGATGTGGGCCGCGTTTTCTTCCGGGTGGCGGAGCCAAGCCAATTAAATATTCGCGACGGTGGCGTCAGTGGCTCAGTTCTGATTAAACCAATGGCATTGACGACATGAAGACAGCTAAAAAAATAAGGAAACAAAGAGGTATATTTCACGTCTATGTGCAGCACGAATTGGCGTCAATAAGAAAGCGTACACTTCTACACTTTTTTTTACCTTACTATGGATTGCAAGGGACGCTACGAGCCACCGGAGCCAATCCATAGCTCGGAAAGACGGTGTCACGTGTCCTTCCGGTTGGGCGGAGTGACGCGGAGAGCGCAATGTCACGAGACAAGCTATAAATTATGGACTGGCTTGCAGTGAAAATGGGTGGCGAAAAATGGCGAAAATGGCGAAAAACTAAAGAGCTTTTCTCCATAGCTCGGAAAGACGGTGTCACGTGTCCTTCCGGTTGGGCGGAGTGACGCGGAGAGCGCAATGTCACGAGACAAGCTATAAATTATGGACTGGCTTGCAGTGAAAATGGGTGGTGAAAAATGGCGAAAATGGCGAAAAACTAAAGAGCTTTTCTCCATAGCTCGGAAAGACGGTGTCACGTGTCCTTCCGGTTGGGCGGAGTGACGCGGAGAGCGCAATGTCACGAGACAAGCTATAAATTATGGACTGGCTTGCAGTGAAAATGGGTGGCGAAAAATGGCGAAAAACTAAAGAGCTTTTCTCCATAGCTCGGAAAGACGGTGTCACGTGTCCTTCCGGTTGGGCGGAGTGACGCGGAGAGCGCAATGTCTCGAGACAAGCTATAAATTATGGACTGGCTTGCAGTGAAAATGGGTGGCGAAAAATGGCGAAAATGGCGAAAAACTAAAGAGCTTTTCTCCATAGCTCGGAAAGACGGTGTCACGTGTCCTTCCGGTTGGGCGGAGTGACGCGGAGAGCGCAATGTCACGAGACAAGCTATAAATTATGGACTGGCTTGCAGTGAAAATGGGTGGCGAAAAATGGCGAAAATGGCGAAAAACTAAAGAGCTTTTCTCCATAGCTCGGAAAGACGGTGTCACGTGTCCTTCCGGTTGGGCGGAGTGACGCGGAGAGCGCAATGTCACGAGACAAGCTATAAATTATGGACTGGCTTGCAGTGAAAATGGGTGGCGAAAAATGGCGAAAATGGCGAAAAACTAAAGAGCTTTTCTCCATAGCTCGGAAAGACGGTGTCACGTGTCCTTCCGGTTGGGCGGAGTGACGCGGAGAGCGCAATGTCACGAGACAAGCTATAAATTATGGACTGGCTTGCAGTGAAAATGGGTGGCGAAAAATGGCGAAAATGGCGAAAAACTAAAGAGCTTTTCTCCATAGCTCGGAAAGACGGTGTCACGTGTCCTTCCGGTTGGGCAGAGTGACGCGGAGAGCGCAATGTCACGAGACAAGCTATAAATTATGGACTGGCTTGCAGTGAAAATGGGTGGCGAAAAATGGCGAAAATGGCGAAAAACTAAAGAGCTTTTCTCCATAGCTCGGAAAGACGGTGTCACGTGTCCTTCCGGTTGGGCAGAGTGACGCGGAGAGCGCAATGTTACGAGACAAGCTATAAATTATGGACTGGCTTGCAGTGAAAATGGGTGGCGAAAAATGGCGAAAATGGCGAAAAACTAAAGAGCTTTTCTCCATAGCTCGGAAAGACGGTGTCACGTGTCCTTCCGGTTGGGCGGAGTGACGCGGAGAGCGCAATGTCACGAGACAAGCTATAAATTATGGACTGGCTTGCAGTGAAAATGGCTGGCGAAAAATGGCGAAAAACTAAAGAGCTTTTCTTTGTGTGCGTGCGTGTATTTTCTTTTCTTGCTGCTAAGCAATATTCCTGAAGGAGGGAGAAAGCGAACATAAACATCAAAATAAAAACACGAAGTTGACGGCTGTCGGCACTTTTTTTCTGCTGTGGTAAGATCTGGATGCACCAGGAGGCAAAGCCGTGACGAGCGCGGCACTGCAGCGCCGGTCGCCCAATGCCCTGAACACAGCTTGAAGAATTTTTTTTTTGTTTGTGCATTTTTTAGAAACAGCAAAGCGCCCGTTGTATTTTTGTCCTTTTAGAGCGCAGCTCTTAGGTGCCCATTTCCGGCTTGAGCGGCGTCGGCGTCGCCGTAACCGTGAGGTCACGTGACCCCCTCCCCCCCAGGTAACGTGACCCCCCCTGAGGAGGAGACGAGGGGAGGAGGTTGAAGGATGAGGAGAGGGTGAAGGAAAGCAGGGGGGAGGAGGAGTAGCAGGCAGGATCACGAGGTGAAGAGAAGGGGTATACCCTACCCTCAGTACCCTTCCCTCCTCCTCCTCAAGAGCTGCACTCTAATTTGGTGTAACAGGAAGTTGTAAACAGCTTTCATTTTTTTTTTTTATTATTTTAATCATCTTTCGATTGGCACTGGCTCTGCTGTCTTTCTCCTCTTCAACTCAGTCGTTCGAGTAAGTTGTTCAGGTGTGCGGCGTGGGTAGTTTGCCGTTTCGATATGCATGAGCATCGTACCTGCGTGCTGTCGTGTATCCCCACTGCGTGAGCCTATAAAGACCCCAGGCTACCACTCTTACTCCACGAGCTAAATTTCTCATCTACCCACGGTAACAATTGGCACTGTGCTTGCGGGCTGATTGACTTCACATGCGAGTACTGTACTTTTGTAGTTTAGACGCACCTGAATACCCATGCAACTTTCCTAAAACGGTGTTAGCTCTAGAAAGCCAAGATCACAAAACAATATTAAGCATATATTTGTTTCGCTGTCCCCGCTTCCGCAGCAAGGCTTCTGATGACCCATTTTTTCTTTTAAATACAGATGTCGTGTGAACTCGACTTCTCTTGTCAACGACTGAGAGGTGCGATTATTTTTTTAGGAAGCTGTTTGACCTGGTTTGCACTTAGTAGAATGAAGGCTTTCAAGAAGCTTTTGCACACTTTTTCAGTCGTCTCTGCGTTTGATGTCAGCAGCTTTATGCTGCTTTGTTCTAGTAACACAATGTGGCTGTCGATGGCCATTTTTTCACGTTTAGGAATTAGAGGAATGGAATTCTGGAGTTCAGCCATTCCAGGGATGGGAATGGGCTCAGTGTCTGTCTCTGTTCTGAGGAGTTGAAAGGAATGGAATTGTCGGAAACTTTAATTCCCCGAAATAGAATTGGAATGGAAGGGGGGTGGCCATTCCGCAACACTGCTAGACACCGGCGCGAGCACACGGGGGAGGCCACATAAAGTAAGGACACCTTCCACAGAGCGGGGAGGCTCGCTGCATAGCAGCAGGGAGCAAACGCCCAGGCTCACCTAACTATTGAGGTCACTTCCAAGCGCAACGTGACAGAAAGACACACATTTTTTCTCCCGAACGCTTCGTCACCTTGTTGTTGGCGAGCGCGTCGATGACGTTGCCGAGCGCCAGCAGGGAGAGGTTGATGTTGGTGCCCTCTCGGAGGCGTGCGCCAATGTTCCTGTTGACGGCGGCAGACCGCTCGGAGCCAGCCAGGTCGACGAAGCTCATCTTGGAGCGCCGCACTTGCTTCGATGTGCCCGACAAGCACTCTGTCTGCGTCACGTACACCTGGAGAATACAAGGCGGAAACAGACGCTCAAGTCAAAAATCGGTTGTCCTTTTAAAATATGCCAAAGGCGCTCCAAACGCATAGCATTCGTAGGTCCTTTGCAACGTTACCTCGCTGCGCATTATTAGTTCTTCTTTCTGGCCACATTTTTTTTTCCCATTTTACTGTTGACCTTAAAGCTCAGCATAGACAAAGCAAATTAAAGAAAGTTACAGACCGAACAGTGCAGTTTCGAAACATGCTTATTTGCGCTGTGCGAGAATGTGAAAGATGTTGACCGGCTGTGTTCATTGCACGCCCGCAGGTGACGAATTTTGCTATAGTAAAACATTGTTTCAAGAGAGTTTCGTGTGTAAGGGAATGAAAACAATGAAACTAATTCGAGTTCTGAGTTCACCGCAGCCAGGCGAGCTGCATACATTTTTCAAACTCTTTTTGCTGACCCAGTGAGACGTTGCCAATTTCTTTGCAAATTTTAGGTGGTAGGGGGGCAGTGACTTGGGATATCACAGCAGTCTGGAATACAATGTCCTTTGAGGAACTGCAGACACAAAAACAAAGTCTCGACACACAGACACCTGCCCAACTGAACACATTTGGGAATCAAATAAAAAGTTCCCGAATAATATGATTTGCGAATCAAACTCCTAGTATTCAGTCACTCAAATATTCAATATATTGGGCCAAAGATGCGCAGTCGGCGCGGAGCTGACAAAAGAGCCGTTTTATCTCCTGATGTTAGCGCCATGATGTTCGACAGACCATGCGAGAAACACCTCCTGGTCCTACCGTTCCACAAAAATCTAACGTACAGGTTAGAAAAAAGAAAAGTAAATAACGCCACAAACTTTATAGCCCGCAGATTTACTCACGATCATGACGCAATCTGACCTTGAATCAAAACCGAAACATCCGGTTTGCGCCGCTTCCAGACAGAAATTGTTGAGAGGCCGAAACTCCGCGCCGTGCCTAATTCTTTTCACGAGTAAAGCCCCTCGTTTCAAATTGAAGCGCCGATGTAGAACACTCCTGTCACACTCACAGAAATCGGCAAGTGCAAGATCACAAAAAGAAAACCACATGAACCACGCCGATAAAACCAGCCGAGTGGTCATCGTCGTTCTTTCGGAACCGCAAACCGCAAATTCTGATACGGAACAAAACGGAACGGAAAAATAGTGTGCCTAGATTTAAGAGGGTTTTCAACCGTTCGATAGACAGCCGCAATTGAATTACAAACTGCGAGAAGGCGACGAAACGGTCAATCAGGCAGGCGTCATCGCTCTTCCGTTTCCTCGCCTTCTTTCCACGTGACTACACAACACATGTGCACCTACGACCAATCTGTGCAGGAGCAGTCTCCGTGGCTTCAGTTTTGTTTGTTCCCTCTTTTAAATCTAGTCTCTCTAAAACAGGATAGATAGACGGAGGAATGGATGGATAGCGGCAGTTGGACGGTGACTTGCGCCACCTGACCAAATGTGTTTTTTTTCTTACTTCAGATTATATTAGGGAGCCTTAAAGTAACGTACACAATTTTAGCGAACGTTAGCACTAAATTTAGCGCTTACGTTAGCGCATGCTATGCAAGAGAGTTTTAGAATATCCACCATGACGCAACAGCCTAAGCATCTCGCGCTTGTAACGCCACCAAGATACAGTCCAAATTTTTATTTCACACACAAAATGCTGTACCTTGAGAAAAAAAAGTTTTTGGGTTTAGAGTAACATTTTAGATTTGTTTAAACATCAGAATACGACGCGAGCGGTCAACCGGTCAGGTCTGCTTGCGTCGCCTCGGTAAGAGGGGTCTCGTGTTTTGACCTTCGCACATCGTACCTTTGCCGAGAAATGTTCGCACGTTGCAAGCATCAAGTTGCCAGTGATCGTTGCAAAACCGAGAGCAATCGTAGTCGCAAGGATGCCGCTGACATCGCACTCACGACGCCACCAAAGCAGCCGCCGACAAGGTCCTGGAAGCCGCCAATTTTTTAACTGTGCTCGTCTTGGCGAGCATAGTTAAAAAAATGGCGACTTTGTTTTATAATGTATGCTAAAATAGCGCGCGCAAGGCGCAATACGTGGTTAGCATTCAGCGCATGTGCAGTGGCTACGACACTATTCTTTGTGTATGCAAAGCTTTAGCGTGCATTATTCTAAAACTCCCAATTGTTTAAGCTGTTTACGCAGATTTAACAGCTATCTGTTTATTTATATAAAATAAAATCTCGGGTGCCCTGTTTCTTCCTTAAAATTGAGACCAAATATCTCAAAATGCCCCTTTTTTGATATACATAAATATAAAAAAGAGGACATGTCGCGGTATTAAGTCGTGCTTTCAACGGAAAAAAAAGGCACGCGTGGCTTTAACTTTGGTTTTTTTTGCGACGCTTAGGGTATTTAGATCATATTTGCATCATAAAATTGGATCTTTAGTGCTCAACGTCAATAAGCAGCGGGTTTTCTTTTTTTTTTTTCACCAGAAGTTCTCTATATTTGAGCTTTTTTTCGATACAAGATGCATATTCTGTACCAGGCGCATACTCTATACATATAATAATCTCATTCACAGAACACTTTGAAAAATTCCTACAAATAAAATCACTATTCTATATTCGATATTCGGCCTTTCTTCCTTAATTCGATTTAATAACTACTATTTGGTATTCGCACACCCCTACATGTTTTGGGTTCTACAAGCACATGCATGTGTGTGCGTCAAGTCTTTGTGAGACACAGTTGCGAAGCGCGTCGTCGCTGCCAGACGACCTACCTGAAAGATGGCGTGCGACCTAGACGACTCCGAGTTTGCGTCCGTGGGGTGCTGCGTCCTGTTCAGGTTTCCCTTGTGGAGAAGCTCCAGCAGGGAGTCTGCCTCTGCCACCTGCACAAGACGGAGACAAGTGCCGTAAACGAGCTGCCGGTCTTCCACGTATAAATACAATGCATCTTCGACTGGTATTTCCACCGTCTTGTGTCAAAAGTGGTGCCGTAGCGGCAAAAAATGTCACGGGGAGCCGACGTGTCTGGTTGTCGGCTGGTCACAAAAGTTCAGTTAAAAAGGCTCGAGGTACATTTAAGCACTTGTTATGAATTGTGAATGCAAAAGCACGCACGCCGCTCTTCGCTCCCTTCTTTAATCTGCGGCGTACAAGGCGCTGACCTTGGGCGTGAAACGGTGAAGCTGCTGCCTCGTGGACGCGCAGCGCCATCGGGTGAGCAATCGTTTAAACTGTCGTGTGCCTTGCAACGCGAGGAAGGAACAGACAGCAACATAGTTTTTAGCAGAGTGAACTCCTTCATTTATTACATGCACCGTATATATGGCCACTCGCCACACAACCGATAAGACGCGAGCGAATGAGGTGATCACTGATAATGCAACAGTGTGATAAGATAGTCAGGATGACACCACACAAACTGACGCGCAGTGGCCAATGGGAGCCTCGTCGACGCGCGCCAGACAATGGGGCTGAAGTGTAAAAGGTGCCGTTGGCTAGCTTTGCACGTGGTTTCATTAAAGTGCCGTTTTCCCACACTGTCCGGTGATAGTTAGGGGGAGAAAATTGGTCTTAAAAGGCCGGGAGGAATCGTGTTTTTGTTTTTTTAGATTTAGGCTAGGTGGCGCAAGCTACCGCCCGTTACAAAGGGTATAAACATCCATCCACCCAACCAGGAACGCGCACTGCAAATCTCTTTGTTCGAGACTGCTGCTGGAAAGGTCTCTACTCACCTCAAATGGCTTGAGGACCGCCCCATGTTGACGAGCTAGGCTCGTCCAAAACAGTCAAGGGGTTAAAGGGGCTGTGCAACATTTTTCAGACTTTGGCCAAATAACTGCGGAAATTAATCTGAGTCACCTATGGAACGAAAAGCAGAAAACTGTATTTTCTTGCGAGCGCTAGTTCTTATTTTAAGAAAATGAAACAAATCGAAGGTTAAAGTGCCTCTCAAATTTCGACGTCGACTTTCGAGTGACATACTCTGGGGGTTCAAGTAGTTTCCCTTGGGTCCTCTCTTCAGAGACCAGCCGCTTCCTCCGCGATCGTCGACTTTTAAAGGATGAGCATCGTCGAAGGTCGCGGCAAGCCATCGGCACAAAGGACCGTTCACCACGGGGCTGACGGCGAGTGTAGCAGCAGAGGGGGACAGTTTTTGTTGACTTCCGCGTATCCCCCAGAGACGGTGTCATTTTAGTTCCAGTAACCCCGACAGACGGCTGCAGATCGGCAAATAATTTGTTTTTTGCTTTGCGATTATGTAGCAGAATAGCAGTTTTTCGAGGAAAGGCGACGCGTTTTTGGTCACTTGAGTTTGTATAAACAATATAAAAAATGCAAACTGCCAATTCTTTCAATATTAAAATCATTGCATTGCCCCTTTAAGGCAGCCCGCGTAACCAGGGCACAAGTCGCCCAGAGTCACCGCGACGGGTCAGGGGACGCACCTTGTGATAAGTGAGGTGGGAGACGACAACCCCCTTGCTGGGGTCCTCTCCGAGCACTAGGGGCGGGACGCGGTCCGTGGGCGAGCATGGCCGCAGCAGGTCGCGCAGCTTCTCGTTGTACACCTCCAGGTAGGCCACCGTCACCTCGCACGACTGGCCGTCCCCGCGCAGACTCTCCACCCGCGAGTAGAGCTCCCGCACCGTGTGCCACACGACGCCCGGCTGGTCCTCGGCACCCAACATCGTGTAGGTCTTGCCGGACCCCGTGGCACCATAGGCGAACACTGCCGGAAGGAGTCAGAACCGTTAAGAGGATGTCATGGCTGAATTTGATCTTGGATAGGGATAGTTGTTTCTTCATTTCAGGTGGCAGCAACATGCTACCTTTTTGCCCTGTCAACCTCTGCCTTTTAAATTAAATGTGTCAGTCTTTTGATTAACTTCTGTTTATACACTTGACCTAGAAACAACAGAACTCAGCCGAGGGGGCAGTAAAGAACCCAGGCGGAAATCATGCCACTTTCAGCTGGACTATGGAACTGGTCCCAGCTGGAAATGAGACAATCCAGCTGGACTGTCTCATTTGCAGCTGGGACCAGTTCCGTAATCCAGCTGTAAGGGGATTCATTTTCGCCTGGGAAGAGGCGGGTTTTAAGTGCTCTGGGAGAAGGTACTTTTCATCTCCCATGTTCGACTGCTCCATATGCGCTTCACTATTTTTGGCTGGATGTCGATGCAGAAATGAAAGTGTACCATAAAGCTGTCCTTAATGGAGGCTTGGGCGCAGTAGAGAATGTATTTTCCTTTCCACAAAGCCATACTGCATAGCCAACGTAATATTGGTTATTTTCAGTGCTATATAAAGCAGAGATCTGGTCACTTTCAGCTCTTTTCTCTCCATTATATTTTTTAGTAATAATTTCATTTTAGTCAACTATTTTTTGGTATAGGACTGAAGACTCATTTTTTTTTTTGCTTAGTAATAATTTCATCTTAGTCAACTATTTTTTGGTATAGGACTAAAGACTCATTATTTTTTTTTCTCATCTGAAATTTAATCTGAAATGCACCTGTGGAATTGCTCCTCTCTACTTTATTAATGTCTTCAATAAAAAATGCAAAAAAACTGTTGAGGACAGAGAGGGTATAACACTTGATTTTGCAGACAAGTGCTATAAAAATGGTACTCTACAAAATCCTTTTTGCAGCCTCACTCGGACATTTTACTTTTTACTTGGCAAAAAGTGATGTAAATGAGGTCTAAGCATCCTAAAATACCCGAAATTACATTCATGCGTGGCTGATCTGCATATTAAAAAGGTTATAAAATATCCCGGCACTTGCCGTTGGTGCAGAACGACGCATGCTGCCACTGAACCTCGCTGAATATTGTCGAACAACGGATGGCACTTGTCAGCCACTCGCCAGCGATGGGGTCCCGCATGGACGAGCAGCAATAGCCAGCCGCCCATCCACGCAAAAACCCATCGCTCGCGAGTGTCTGTCAAGCACCGTTCGGTAGTGCCCTCCGTCGTTCTGCACCAATGGTAAGTGATGCAACCTTTGATCATTTTTTTAATATGCAAATTGGACATACATTAATGTAATTTCTGGTTTCTATAGAATGCTTAGAGGTTGTAGATTGAGTTAGGGTCATGAAATGAGGATCTCGAAAAGCACCTTAGTACCCCTCAGGGTAATTGAGACGATCCGCAAAAATCAGCTTCTCAAAGTATTGTGCTGCAATTTACTACAGAGGTGCAAGCAGGTAATAAAAGTATGGGGTAAAAAAATCAAGGAAAACATGCATACGCTGCGTCGAGGGAGCACCGGCAGATTTGAGCTCTTTTACGCAATTTTCTGCTATCATAACCTGAATCGACCGGCACTCGCTCGATGCAATACACGCCATCTGTCAGCAGCACTTATCCATGCGTGTACGTCATCTGCTAAGTGGCGGTGTAAACAGCCAGAACAGTTTTTTTCCTATTTCTTTTGAACGGAGTAAGCTAATTTTTTTATTTTTTTTTTGCTGTAAATGTTTACTACCTGCTTGCACCTTTGTAGTAAATAGTAGTGCAATATGTTGAGAAACCAATTTTTGCAGGCCATCTAAATGCAGATTGGAAGTTAGGTTGGCAAGCTTACGACTGCTTGCATTGAAAGAGAACTTTTTGACACAGCAGTCGTTTTATGGCAGCTGTTCAATATCATTAAAAAAAACTAAAAAAAAGCATAGGACTTGCGATTGTTCGCGTTAATTGTGTCTTACTGCGCACATTCAAAAGTTGTGGCCCTTCCCACTAAGGAGTTGAGTCCCACAAGAGAGTCGATGATCATTGCATGCCACAGTCAGCCGGATCAAGAAATCGTACCCATCATGTCGGAGTTGGAGATCAAAAGTTACAAATAACAGCGTCTCCGGCAACGCATTACTTTTTCCGGTAACATAGTAACCATCTCGTTATAGTTACAAAACAGCAACAAATAACGTCCTTTAGTTACTTATTTTGAGCAACAGGTAATTTAGTGACAAAACTCGCTACATATTCCCAAGACATAAAAATAACGCTTAATTTTTTTTGGTGTTTCTAGGCGCCGAGTTATACATTCTTGCACTACTTCCCAATACATTCAAAATTTGGCCTCTCTTTTGACCACAGAAACACTTCCACTTCAGGAAAAATAACCTAATGCCCACACCATTAGTCAGTCAAAACCGGAGAATATTTAAATTTATAAATAAAAAGCAACGCAAAAGTAACGTGCGCAACCTTTTTATCGGCAAAGGTAATGCATTCCCTTTATTTTGAGGTAACGTAGGTCGGTAACAAAGTAACGTTTTTCGTTACTTTGTTTCGGTAATGCCCACAACACTGGCGTGAACCCACTCGCATGGTAAACTCTTCAGTTGACAGGGCCACGGTCGTGAACGCTTTCGAGTTCGCAAACGCAAATAGTGATTTGCCAGAATCCCACCCGTTCGGTGCACACGATATCCACACACCGGAGTCAACTTTTTTTTTTCCTTGGCTCCTACCATCCCTGCGACGTGGCAAATAAAGGTAACATTACGAAACGCATTCACCACTCGGCCCCTCCAGTTTCGAAAGAGACTTTCTCCCAGAGTCCAAAGCTCGTCGAGATCAACAAACGGTGTAGCTAGTACGTTGCTCGCACCCCGCCTACGGTACAAGAGCGAAACAGGTAAAGGCATCGTGCACTCACCGGAGCAATTGCACCCGTCTAGGAGGGTACCGAGCATTTCTTTCGTGGTGTTCTCGAAGACAAACACATTGTCTTTGCTGTCGTCGAACACCTGCAGGACAGGGAGGCCAGAATCAATGAAAAGGGCAACATCACTTCTGCAAGTCATCCACGAAACATCCCGCTCCCTTGAAGGGCATTTTCGATCGAAAATTGAACCAAAATAAATTACTGGTATCGCTTTAGTGGCACAAAGTATGATCGCGGCCGAAATATCTCGTCAAAGTGAAGCCGCGTACTCCACTAAAACCAATTAAAGATGCAACCTGCTGCTCTTTAGCGGGCACCAAGCAGGTTAGCCTTTAGTCAAGGAACACTGGTGCAGCACACTTGCGACGTCACGTCGCGGTCGTATGGCTGATGATCAGCGTTGTTACCCCCTTAGCAGACAGTTTCGGTGTTACCATAGACGCCCGAAACCAAACTTTGAGCCACAATATTTATAAAACTACACACAATATCGAGAAAAAAAAGTACACCTTGCAATTCAGGGACACTGCTTTAGCTGAAAACAAAGGTAATCCCAAATTCAGAAATACTGACGGGAGTTACCCTTTCACCGATCACTTCAACACAATGTCTAAGGACAATCTGGGCTGTTCCAACTGAAAAGAGGAGTAAAGGCCCGTTCACACTCTCGCGACCGAGTACGACTGAGAGAGACGAGATCTCTTACAACTTCTTAAATGTTTCTAGAATGAGGGAACACACTGACATTGTGGCGCCATCTATGCGGTGACCCTAGAACTGCATTTCACAAAAGCGAAGGTTTTGCGGGATTTCCGAGGTCAAATGTGCGTAATACCCATAGAAAGGCTCGTTTATAACATTGACAAAAGTTTTTCGAGCCAAAAAAGAAAGGATATTGCGCGAGAAATAAAAAAAAATATGCCGGACCGCCGAGTTTACACTGCTTCCCAATAGATGGCGCCAGTGTGTTCTCTGGTTTAAGAAGTTTTAAGGAACCCAGGTTTAAGAGGTCGCAAGCAGTCGCAAGAGTGTGAACGGGCCTTAAAGCTCTGCAGCAGAATTGGTGCTTCGCACTTATAAACTATGCACGAAGAGTAAAGGGCAGGCTTGCGACCGTTTCTCGTTAACCAAGGGCGGATAGTTACCAGCTTTCGTTGTTTAGTCAGCACTTCAGTCGTACACATTAAAGGATTATGCTGTATTTACAAGTCGGATCTGTATCTCCAAAAAAAAAAAAACACAAGTACTATGCCAAAGAGCTACGAGGAGGAAAAGCTGAGAATAAGAAGACTTCAGAAAATATGAGCGACCCCTCACACGACTGAGTCATGTGTAGTTGAGTCGGCAGATTTTCTTTTCGTGACCGTGTTTATGACCTTTGCAGGTTCATTACCCACTCAAAGCAAGGAAAGGCACCTTGCAGCTCAATGCTGGGGAAGGAGGGGGACCAGTCACTTCGATGGGACGGCGGGAATTCCGCGAGCCGGTCATGGATTCCCCGCGGCTTCCCGTGGGCTCGCATTATTAGCAAACATTCGCAACCTCAAAACTCTACGTTCAATCACCACCTCAGAAAAAAAACTCTGTTGTGTGAACACACCATTTGGGTTGGATGGGTTCTTACAAATCAAACTCCCTGAACTGGGGTCCCTCGGAATCGCACCGGCCCAGTCACATTAACCTTATTCGAGTGTGCACATGCATGCTGTCCCAAAGCTACGAGAACAAAAACGATAAGGCCCACTTCACATGAGGCTTTCTTATCGGCAACAGACCTTTTACAAAAGTGCGAGCCATTGCCTGTCCACCAATGTTTGGGCACATACGCGGAGTGTGCATTGGACATGAGGGCTGTGCCAGCGTTCAGCTCGAACTCGGCGCAGCTTGTATCGAAAATGAATCCCGTGTCGGCGTTCGGCAAGGACTCGCGTCCAATCCCACGCTTTCGTGCCTAAGCAATGGCGACCCCCAATGTTGCTCGATGGGGTTTTGAAGAAAATCTATTTCGGGGTTGGTAGAAGTCATTCCCAAGACCTTCGCGCTGCGAAACAAATAGCTCGGATCGGGTCCAGCCTAAGATAGCCAAACAACGCCTCTTAGACGGCCGAAGAACTCCTCAGAGAAGTTTGAATATGGCAGCAGCCAATTAGGGGGTGCCTTATTTTCACGAGACTTCCCCCTGTGGCAGTCACGATAACTGAAGAAAGGGTTCAATTTCGTTCCAGTTTGCAGTATAGATAATTTTCGTGGCTAAATGATGTTGGGGAGATCAGCTACTAACGTCATTTAGATCATTTAGAGAAATACATGGTACACCAACACACAACTTTGTGTCCAAACAGTGAAAAACAATTGGAATCCTAATGGTGGCTACATAACACAGCAATTCGAGTTTCAGCTGTCACTGCTCATGAACACGGGAGGCCCGTGTGGCTACAATTCCTGGAAGACGTCACTGACAGGCGTGTTCACTGCATCCTCAAATGTGGTCCCTCGATTTCCGCCCAATGACGTCTTAGAAATGTCGTGCCGTTGCACGCTGCAATACAAGGTATGCTTCGACAGTTACAAGTCGGGACGCCGCGACGACAATGACACTCACTATTGCTCGTCTTACTTTTTCCGGCATTGCTACAGCCAAACTGCCAGGATCTCGACGTCTGACGACACGACACACGGGCAGCATCATTTGTTCACACCTTGAAACCAGCTTAGACGCATGGGTGGTACGGGACGCCGAACACACCAATTGAAAATACGTCAAGTGCTTCGTTTCACCTCAAGTCTAGAAGCAGCCGACACCACAAGTCGATGGGACCACTCGGACAACATTTAAAGCACGCACATAATCTTGGTGTTCATCACGTTTCTGTATGTCCTCCGTCATCGCTGAACTAATTGTAAAGAAAAAAAGTCTACCGACTTGAACTTTTGAGGCTACTTGTTTGCTCCCATTACCTCGTGTGGTCGGTTCCGTCTGGGCTAAAACAGGGTGTCTAGCAAATTATTCTTTTGAAATTCCCTGACTTTTCGAGGTTTTTCCTGAGAATTTCAAGTGAAATTCTCTGACCCCTCTAGAGGTGTTTAAAAATATAAGACCATTACAACACAAGGCATTGAGAATTGAGCACAATGAGGATCATTTTGCACGGGCCTAATCTAGTTTGTATATATCGAAATGTTTGGATTGGTCTAGTCCGGATGAAACGAGCACTTCTTGCCGCCATCATCATCAGTGAAGAGGCCAATTCCGGAAACACGAGACAAGGAAAACACGACGCTTAACCACACACGTCAATAACGAAATGGCAACATGGCCGCCAGATGCACTTTAGGATACTTTTGGCTTAAGGCTTGGATTGAATTGGGGTCTGCGGCTTTCCCATTTGTTAGTAAGTCTAGTCGCTCTAACTGAATCTAGCCTAGTGTTGCAATCTCAATCCACTCCAATCCAAGGATTGGGCTGGATTTGTCGGTTGTTCTCTTTACATCGGGTAGCACACTCTACATCGGGTGAGCAGAGCCCACACTTTGCTCTAAGCAGAATTTATTGCCTATATTTCTGCCCCCAAGTCCTCAAGTCTTTGCTCAGGGCACTCAATGGCATTTCCGGCTCATTCTCCCCGACTGGGCTCGCTCTCTGACAATATCCCTGACAATTCCCCGATTTTTCCCGGTAATTATAATTTCCCTGACAATTACCGGGTTTTCCTGTCGCTAGACGCCCTGTTAAAAAAGTGAAAGCCGTTTACAACTCCCTGTAACGCCGAATTAAAGTGCAGCTCTTGAGGAGGAGGAGGCAAGGGTACTGGGGGGGGGGGGGGGGGGGGGGGTCAACTGACCGGAGGGGGGTCACGTGACGATGACAATGCCGATTATGTCATCAGTGACGATGATGATGACGCGGATACCGATGACGTCATTAGTGACGTCACTCATGACGTCACCAGTGATGATGACGATGACGATGCAGATGTCGGTGACGTCATCTGTGATGATGACGATGACGATGCGGATGCCGGTGACGACATCATTGACGTCCCTGATGACGTCATCAGTGGCAATGACGATGCGGATGTCGGTGACGCCAATAGTAACGTCACTGATGTCGTCATCAGTGATAATGACGATGACTATGCAAATGCCGGTGACGTCATCAGTGACAACACTGATGACGACATCAGTGACGATGACGTCATCGGGGAAGGGTCACGTGACCTCGGCAAGGGGGGGGGGGGGGGTCACGCGACCTCAGGGGAGTCACGTGACTTCGGGGGGTCACGTGACCTCGGGGGGAGTCACGTGGCCTTGGGGTGTGTCACGTCACCTTGGGAGGGGTCACGTGATCTTGGGGGGTCACGTGACCTTGGGCTGACCTTGGCTACGCCGACGGCGACGCCGCTCAAGCCGGAAACGGGCACCTAAGAGCTGCGCTCTAAAACCGACGACCAGTTTGCACTTTTCACTTTCCCCCCTTCCTCCTCTCCCCCCTTCTACCCTGACCACCGTTGCCTGTTTTCTCTTCCACCATGGTAAGGAGGCAGAATCTTGAGTCTGGTCGTCGGCCTTTAAGCCGAAATGAAGTATAGGCATTGCAATGCTGCTTTCCCCGTCGCATGGTGAGACGTCAAGACACCGAGGGGGGAAAAAATATGCCTTGTCTGAAGCGGGGAAATGCGCGCATCTCACCTTATCGAAAAGAAAATTGAGGTTCTTGTTTGCCCTGTTCAGGCCCCCGCAGGAGAGTTGCTGTCCCTTGAAGTAGAAGGGCTCCGCCTCCTCTTGCGGATCGAAGACGAGGCAGCGGTCGTCCACCACCTGCACCACCGTCGACGCGCTCGCTTCCCGGGAGTTGGCGGGCCGCACCCGTACCGCCACGTTGACACGGCTGGAGGGCGCCGAGGACCGGGCACGCTTCCTGCGGCCGGGGTCAACCTCTGCCGACAGCCGCTTCGTGCCACGAGAGACGGACGGTCGGGCAGCCATCACTGGGATGACCCACTGACTGAAACAAGTGCAATGCATTAAAAGAAATATATTGCTCGCCTTAGACCTTTTATTACGTGCAATGAAGGTACGATAGCACCCAACTAGGTTTCGAATGAGCAGCACCTGCATATAGCGGTGATATGCAGTGCGACATGTGGAGAAGGAATACGTGACCCGACATTGCATGCCGTCGGATCACATGACATCAATTTCTCTGCTAAATTTAGTGGGGAAATTATCTAGCAATGCATTACATGAAGGGCAGCTATCGTTAAGACAACCCTACAACTGGAGCACGTAAGAACAGTGCATCTGTAGAATAGTTTGGGAGTGGTGGGTTTAGAGCAGGGCAGTATCGCAATACATATCTATCGCAATAGTATCTTAGAGATATTTTCGAGTATCTGTATCTCTGTAGTCAAATACATTTACAGTGTATTGCTTGCATCACAATACTTTGCCGGTCATAGGAATCTCATTACATTTGTTGCCGTTTTTATGATGCATTTAAAAGACCAAAACATCTGCTTGGTGCAAGGTCCTTGAGAATTTATAACATGAACCCACCCTATGATCCATCACAATCACCAACATTAAAGTAAAAAATAACTTGTCTAAAGAAGGTTACTTGCAAGAACAACAGAATAAGCCACTCCCACAAAGCCCTCCACTCTTTCCAATTTAGCAGAGCGAAAGCTGTAAAGGAGTTGAGTGCAGAAAAGGTATGAGTCCCTTGTCCAATGTCCCCATACTATGGGCGACTCGGAAGCATGTAAGACGACAGCTTCAGTTGCGCCCTCTCGGCAAAACAGGGTTTGTTTCATGCAGACGCCTTTCGTCAAGCATTGCAAGCAGTCTTTAATATTCAGTAACCATGTTGTTCACCGGAGGTGACATGTCTTTAGCGGAATTGTTAATAAATAAAAAGTTTGAGCTAAACGTAAATGCATAAAATAACACAAAATGGGACACAAGCCTAAATACCATTTGCATTTGCCACGCCCTCTGCATATGGTACCATTCGGGAACAAGTGTATTTCTACAGGCATCTGCATCTGTACTACGGAATACTTTTTCACTGTTTTTGCAGAAGTGTCTCAGGGATATCCCATTGCATAAAAGAAGAATGTATTTCAGTATCTGTATTTTGGGCCTTACAATACATGCACCTCAGTATTTGTATTCCCGAACACTTTTTGGAGTATCTCTGCCCAGCCCTGATTTAGAGTAATGAATTCAAAAGCACTCGGATGACAACCGTTCGTGGGGGGAGTTGGTGGACGCATCCGAAAAAGGCAAGTCTCCGAAGTATTGAGACAGTTTACTGTGTTGTCTCCAACTATTTTTCTTAACTTGCCTGAAGGGCAGTTTTTATGCGAAGGACACTAGTATATCTGACGGCTTCTCAAAGTTCGTACTTCCGAGACATGCTCTTCCCAGTGCAAGAGATATGAACTCGACCACAATGATGCGGGCTGCTCGTAAAAACGGCCAATTTGGCAGCAAATGGGGAAGCTCGAAGGACCAGCTCCAGCGTGGGGACTATTGTTACCGAAGAGAGATTTTTATCGGCAAACCGGCCAAATTCCCTGCAATGCATGTCGTACACAACAGGTGCATTGTTTTGTTGTCGCTCAGAAAACTCTAAGGATGCTAATCCTTAGTGTTTTAGATACAGCATCCACTAAGGATGCTAATAGCTGTACTCCTTACAACGGGCGGTAGCTAGCGCCCCGTAGCCTAGAAACTAAAGGCATTATTCCTCCCCCTCGCTCATTTAAGCCAACTTGCGTCCATCGATCATATTGATACAAACCTGAGGATATTGATGCATATTCATTCATTGACATTGATGCACAACTGAGGAGTTTGTGTATGGCAAAGGCACATTGTAATTGAATGTGAATCTCTGCGCTCAAGTTAAACGATCGCCTGCTTTCCTAAAGTTGGCAGCGATCGGCCAATATGGCAAGTGTTGCCTAATATGCGCATGGCCCTTTACAAGGTTTGTATAGGCTTCTGCAGTGCGCCGTTGCATCGATGCCAAGACCAGGAGAGTTGCTTAATGGTCAATCAAGAGAGAAGCGTACCTCGAGATAGAAAAGTTTAAGAAACCTCAATTGATACATATATTGCCGATGAAACCTTCTGCATTGCTTGCATCGGGAAAGATTTGACCTAAAGTATGTTGGCAAACGGAAAGATCTCCCGTCCGTCTATATCCGATTAAACATAAACAGTCTACTTCGTTCTCAATTCCACAATGTCCACAATGGGGCCAAGCTGGCTCGCGTACTTCGATTGGGCCCATAAATATATTTTGCCAACATAAGTTCAGCGTTCTAGTCATAAGGTCAGAAAACTAACAAAGGCGGGCGGCAAGTTTAGAGGCAACGCCCAGCACTCAAGGAATAGCCGAGAGGAAAAGGGAATTTCTTTCAATATTTGCTTTGGTAGTTCTCGATACCTTTAAAAAACAAATTATACAGAGACAACCACCAAAAGGAAACGAAACACAGTTTTGGCTTGGTAACGCTTCGGTGCTTATACGACGGGATGATCTCCAGTTATGGATGGATGAATACGGCTGAGCCCTTTGGATCGGGCGGTAGCTCACGCCACCTAGCCATTTTGTTTTACCATTTAAGCTTAGAATATTTAAATGTGAAATCTATATTCACTCCGCAGTGCAAAGAAAGTAAGGCTATGAAACCCCCTTGCCATCAGTGATTAAGAAAATACCTAGTTTTCTCTCGATTTCTGCCACCATTCACTTAATCTTTGCTTGGTAATCTCTACAGTCTTGAAATCCACTCTCCCTTCGCTGTCTCTAAAACCCAATGACTTTATTAAATCTACGTTGTCTTCGGTAGGCATAGGGTGAAGCCCTTTACAGTAGAGTATCAAGTGCTCAGCCGTCTCGTCCTCCTCTCCACAAGCAGTGCACACTGTATCAATTTCCTGGTACTTCACTCTGTATGTTCTGGTTCGCAGAACACCCGTTCTTGCCTCAAACAGCAATGAGCTTCCCCTAGAATTGTCATAAATGCTTTCTTTGGCAATAACTCTTTTGTTTAATCTATAGCTTTCCAGAGCAGTCTTTGTCTGCATTCCCTCTAGCCACCGATCTCTTTCTGTGGCCTTAACTTTCTTCTTAACTGAGACTTGTTCTTCCGTATCTTCGCTATAGCCCAAAAACCTTCCTCTTAATTTCCTAGTGCGCTGTCTCCACTTTGTGTCTACACTCCTCATGTATAAATAGCTGAAAACCTTTCGTGCCCATTGCTCCCCATCCATTAGCCTCAACCTATCCTCAAATTCTACCTTGCTCACCGCTTCCCTGCTCTCAAATGATGCCCATCCCATGTCTCCTTGTACTCCCTGGTTTGGCGTTTTGCAATGCGCCCCCAAAGCCAGTCTACCTACTCCGCGCTGTTTTATTTCTAGTTTCGCATGCACTTCGGATTTCATGCATAGCACTGCGTTTCCAAAAGTCAAGCCAGGCACCATGACCCCTTTCCAAATCTCTCTCACCACCTCATACCTGTTGTAATTCCAAAGTGCTCTATTTTTCATTACAGCAGCATTTCTGTTGCCCTTACCTATTATATACTTTTCATGGTCTCTGAGATATTCTGCACCATCACATATCCATACTCCTAGATACTTGTATTTACTAGCTCTCTCAACTGTAATATTCTGTATCTTCAGCCTCTCAACTTCATCCTCGTTAAAAATCATGACTGCCGATTTTTCGCTACTGAATTCTAAACCTAATTCCTCTCCTTCCCTACCACAGATGCTCATTAATTCCTGCAACTCTGTCCTGTTGTTAGCCATTAGTACAATATCGTCCGCATACATCAATCCCGGTAAGGATTGCTGAATTTTTTGGCCTAGCTTACTGTAAGAAAGGTTGAACCCAAGCCCACTCTTCTCTAGTCTATCCTCCAATCCTCTCAGATACAACATAAACAGCAAAGGCGATAACGGGCACCCCTGCCTAAGGCCTCGTCTTATCTCTATTTTCCCTGTCGCCTTTCCTTCCCATGTTATAATCACCTTGTTATCTTTGTAAATGTTCCTTAATAGTGCTGTTAGTCCTTCATCTAGGTTTAAGTTCTCCATTATGTCCCACAGGTTTCTTTGGTTCACATTGTCATAGGCACCCTTGATATCCAGAAATGCCAGCCAGAGCTGTCTGTTTTCTTTTTGCGCTATTTCTATACACTGTGTTAGAGAAAATAAGTTGTCCTCCAACCTTCTTTGTTTTCGAAACCCGTTCTGTAACTCGCCCAGTATGCCCTCGCAATCTACCCATTCCTCCAGTCTGTTCTTTATAATCTGCATTACCAACCTGTAAATAACCGGTGTCACGGTTATAGGACGATAATTCCTAATATCAGACTTATCTCCCTTTCCCTTATATATCATACTCATCCTACTAAGCCTCCATTCATCTGGAATATTTCCTTTTGTTATCATAGTACTCACTACCTCCCTTAGTTTTGCCTTAGATTTAGGACCCAAATTCTTCACCAGCTTGATAGGGATACCATCTGTGCCTGTCGACGTGCCACTAGGGACTCTTCGTTCCGCCTTTTCCCATTCTCTTTGTCCAAAATCCGCGATGTCACAAACTGGACTGCTACTTCCTTCGGTTCTCCTATCTTCCACATGTACCCGTTCCCGAAATTTCTCCTCCATCACTGCTCCTATATATTGTATCGCATCATCTCCCTCTAATTGATCTCCCTGATGCGAGAGTATAAACCTCTGTCTAGATTGCGTTGTTTCACCGAGTGAGTTCAAGTGCTCCCAAAACTTCTTGGCAGCATTTTTATCTTTCTTACTTACATTACTCATCCATTCCTCACCCTTTCTCTGAATTTTCGCATTGATCAAACTGGATGCCTCTCGGCGACATGTTACAAAATTGTCCCATTTTCTTTTTACTTCCGTATCGGACTCCCCACTACGCTTGGAATACCTGTGTTCTCTAGAGACTTCCTGACGTTTTTGTATCGCTTGCTTCACTTCTTTGTCCCACCAACTTTTTGGTCTATGTCCTTGCTTCCCCTTTCGTTTACTCTTAACTTTGTCTAGTTCTAGAGAAAAAAGCCTAGTTAGGCTCTCATAGGTCCAATCTGTATGCCGTTGCCCTGAAACTGCTGCCTCTATTCTTTCAACAACTATTTCCAACTCTTTGTCGCTGCAGAAAGTTTGCTTTGAATTATGTTGTCTAGTTTCAGCATTTACTTCTCTGGCAAAATTCAGCTTAATACGTTTGTGATCACTACCAAGACTTTTGGAACCTTCTTCATCTATTTTCATTACTTGTAACTTACCATATATTTTGTGTGACATGAGTACGTAATCTATAGTTGAATGCAGATTGCCAGTTTCCCAAGTTATGTGCCCGTCACACTTCTGACTGGTATTACATAAAACTAAGTCATGTTTTTCCACCAGTTCTAGTAATATGCTTCCAGTTGAGTCCGTATACCCATCCAGACCCTCAATATGGGCATTCATGTCTCCCATAATAATTATTTCGGAGCCTTCCCCTAGTTCACTAATGTCTCTTGATATGCAATCAATCATTTTTCTGTTTTCCTCTTTAGCACCTGTCCCTGTCCATAAGTAAACCACTCCAAGGACTGTTGATTCCCCAGCGACTTTTCCTTTCAGCCACAAATGTTCGGCGCACTCCTTTCTGATCCTTTGAAAGTTCATATTCTTCTTAATAAATGCTCCAATTCCACCTCCCTTCCTCGTTCCCTCCATTCTGTTGCATTCTTCCCACACATAGTCAGGGTTGCAAGGTGGCTGCTCCATGTCTCTGAGATGTGTTTCCACAAACCCATACACCATTAAATCCTCCTTTCTTAGTTGCTCTAAGTTATTATTTCAAGACATGAAAGTCAAGCGTGAAAACATGGCTATTTCTCGCCACTGAACTTACCCAGGTGCTTCCAAGACAGGTGTACCCTTGCTTGAAGCACTGCTACCAAATATGCAACCTGGGAACACACCGGAGATGGGGCGATATAGCGATATCAGACAATAGGTAAACGCCTCAGCAAAGTTTTTAAACTTCCTCCACCGGTAACGCCAACATTTTCCTCCAATGTTACTGGCGGATTGGAATTCATCCCGGGCTTACTCACATTAAAGGCAGTCATTGGCTAGGAAGTGCCCGATTTTTATTAGTACTTCACTTACTATATATTTAATAAAATTCCAATTTTTATTACATGTATTACTGCATTAAACCTAAGGTTAAATTATCTAACTTCCGATCAAATCAAAACATCAAAATCTACCCTGTAATCAAATCCATTCTTCGACAAAATGGCGGCCACAGCATCCTGCCTGTGAATGCAATTCTGTTTTGGAAGTTTCTGTAAAAGTATCGTGCTGCTTTAGGCGATTTGCACGTTCGGTAGTTTTGCGGTCAACTCTCGGAACGCTACGTAAGTCTCTGTTTGGATTTTCGGGCCGTTTGACTCGATTTCGGAGTGGCCGCGTTTGGACGGGCCCGCTACAAGGGACAATGGTGGCCTGCGTTCCAAGTGCAAGGAAAAACGAGGTCTCGCTGGAAATATCGCGGCAGCGTAGAGCTCGCTCACGGGGCCCCGTTTAATGTGGACCAAGTTTCCGTGTGCGAACTGCGTCTCACGCTGGAGATTGAGCTTTTGCGGCTTGCGGATGGCCGTGGAAGACGCACGCCCACGGCAGGGCTCGATTCAGCCGACTCGAAAAATTGAATGCTTTTCACCTTCTTGTGAAATATTTTCGCCTAAAATTCCACGCTCGTTGCACCGTACTACTAACAACAACGCTTGCTCGCCGTATTCTGCTAGCATCGCGGCAAGCCCACGAATCTTAGCGGTCGTGCCGCAGGAACGGTGCTTCGTAGGGCTACCACTGCTGCTACATTTCGGCATGTCCCAGATAACGCACGAGTTGTGCCGCGCTTTTTTGTGGCTCGTTTAATTTTTATTTATCGCTCGGTTTAATGGATTGACTGGGTGCCCGTGTGGTTCCTGTCGCAGCGTGAAAATGACTCGAGTTTACATCGGTCACCTGAGCTACCGGGTGCGGGAGCGGGATCTGGAAAAGTTCTTCCGGGGTTTTGGGAAAATCCGCGAGGTGCTTCTCAAGAACGGATTCGGGTTTGTGGTGAGTGGAGTCTCGAATCGCAACGATTTTAGACCCCATAATGTCGTTTTCGTCCGTCGGCGATTTTGTTTTCGTTTTTCTTTACCAATTTTGCTTTTTTAATTATCACGCAGGGCCCGTTTTCATCGACAGTCGAGCCTCATATGCCGGTTCGCACATTTGCTTTTGAGCATGACCGAATATGTTGCGACCGCTCGCGACTACTTACGACGAGAGAAAAACAAACACTGGTGCTATTTCTTGAGTAGCCCTGGCCCACTTCCCGTCTGCATATTCAGGGTGTATCAAACGGCGAGCCTCGATCTAAAATGGGCTGTAAAAATCGGCGCCTGCACGTAGCAATCTAAACTTTTCGTCAAATATTTATTTCACAGGTGAGTTTTACCTCGTGAAAAAACATGGCGTAGCTCCTTTTGTGTAAAAAATTGGTGCCAAAAAACTTGCCAGTGTCGATGGCAACGCGGACGAGTGACTAGTGGGGGGTGTGTTTGGCACACATATTACTAGATGGCGCTATTTTGCGTAGCTGACCAGCGAAAGAAGGTAGACGACACTTGGACGAAATTCGTTGGCAGAAAGAGCATCGTCGTTATGCAAATACAGTTTCGATTGGCTACAAAAAACGCATCACTGCGCTACCTTGTGGTGCAGTGCCTGTTGACGAGAGCTGTAATGCGCATTCTTTGGTACTCGCAGGCATGTCAACTCTCACGAATACAGTGCTGGGCGACGCTGTCGGTCGCTGTGCCGCAGCTGTATCTTGGTGGCGTGGTGATTGGCAGAAGCTGCGATATCAATTCTCTCTTGTGCCGTCCGGCATGGAATTGTTTTCCCCAGCTCAGCGGCCAGCAAGATGGCCATTCTGTCTTTTTTTTTTTTCTCATTTGCTTTTTTTCAAAAGCCTTTTAAGTTCTTTTAATATTTTATTTCATAACGTGCACAATATATAATAAATTACGCTTTCTGGATTATCATTGACTGGTGGACAGGGCAGACAGTGCAGAGAAAATAATAGGCTTTCTATAACTAGCAAAAAAGGAAAAGGCAGAAAGGCTGTTTTCCTGGCTGCTGAACTGGGGAAAACAATACCTTGCGGACGATGGGAGGTAGAGTTGATATCTCGGCTTCTGCAACTCATTGCGCCACCGAGATATTGCTGCCAACAATGGCTATCGAAGGGGCGCCCAGCGTCGTATTCATGAGCTTAAAGTGTTGGCCGGAAGCGGGAGGGTTGACATGCCTGGAGAACGGAAGAATGCGCACTGCGATTCTCAACCACAGGCGCCACGCCGCAAGGTAGCACGGTAATGCTGCTTGGCCACGGCTCGCATGGTCTGTAAACTTTTGTGGCTGACTGTAGATTACAAAAACATTATGTGCATTTTAATAGACCACAGTCATCGCAGGCAGTCTCAATGTTTTTTTTTAAAAGCAAGCTGGAACAGCGACTTGGTGCCATCTACCAATACGAATACCAAACGCTCCCAGTCACTTGACTAGGTCGTTTGCGCCGCCGTCCGCCCTTGACCATGGCAAGTTTTTTTGGCCATACTTTTTTTTACAGAAAGGAAGCTACGCCTTGGAATTTCACAAGGGTGAAACCCACCTGTGAAGCACACCTTTGATGAAAAGATTAGATTGCAACATGCAGGCACAGATTTTTATGGACCATTTTAGATCGAGCCTCGGTGTTTTGGAGACCCTACACTTCCTGAACTAGACTGAAGTTTTTGTAGCATTTTTAAGTTCAGATATACAGGGTGCAGCCTATAAGAACCAGCCCATTTGGTACGCCTTGAAAAATGTTGTTTTGCAAAAAGTTTTGTGTATTTTTTAGTGCTCAACTCGGAGGTGGTGAAATATTAAAAGTAATGCAAAAACGGCAACCATGAATTTTCTATGTCCTATACCAGGTGTTTGTCGTCTGTACATTAATTTGCAAGCTTGCTTCCAGGTGGTCATCGTTCATATATCTTGTTAAAATTATTACTTCACGCGATTATCCAGCTCGTCGCCAGCCTCTACTATGGCTTTCTCGGCATTTTTGCATTCGGCAAGCCACCCGGGAGCACGCTCGTGAATCGGTGAGCAGTCGACGAACGGGCTGGTGTGCGGACAGCAACTGATGGGGGAGAAGAAAAGGAGAGCTTACAAGGACGTCAGAACGTTGAGCTCTGGCCGGAATGATTAGTGGATATACGTAAAGCTTGCTGCCTTTGTCTCCACTGCACTCGTCGAACATGTTTGACTGCGAACGCCAACGTTGTTTGACGAGTGCAGTGGAGGCAAAGGCTCCGCGTCTACCCACTGATCATTCCAAGCATGCGGCATTCTGACGTCCCTGTGCGCTCTCGTCTCCTCTCCCTCAGTTTCTGCCTTCATACGACATAGGAAGTGCACAGACGCCATTTTTTCTTTATTTTAAATATTTCACCACCTTGAGCTCTAAAAGAAAATTGGACATAAAACTTCTTGCAAAAACTATGTTGGCATGCCCAACTTCAGATATGTATGTTTCAATTCGAATTTGGAAGTTGTGCCAAGCGTGCCGGTCCTTATGGCCGCACCCTGTACTATGCATTATCAATGAGAAGTGGTTGTCTGTAACATTGTCAGGGTTATTTCGAGCATGTGGTGAAAGAACGATGTGCTGAAAACTAAGATATATGCTCGAACCGAAAGTGGGCCAGGGCGACCCAATAGGTGGCACCTTGTTGTAAGCAGTCGCAAAAGGTTACGTTGCAACGCGCTCTGTCGGACTCAAAGCCAAATGTGCGAGCCAGCCTTTACTTGTTAGTTATAGCTTTCTTTTAAAACCAGCATCCCTTATGTTGAGAGGTGATGGTAATGGTAGCACGGTGGTGAAAAAACGTACTGGTCTCAATATAATGCACACTTAGCTTCTTTAACAAAAGAGAATTGAATCGGGGTCAAGTTGCACAGGCATAAGCTCCCTTATGTGTGCAAGCTAAAAACAGCTGATGATACTTCATAACTACACTGAAAACCTTGTATGGTTTTCCGCATTTTAGTCCCAGCTTTTTTTCCTCCGTGTTGTCTCAAAATGTTCGACTGGTTGCGAGCTACTCTCTTCTAGTGCTGGACTTTGTGAGAGCCACGAGGAACCGCACGTTACATGATAGAGCTACGCTAGGTAGGCCCTCGTTATTTTTTTTTTTCTTACGAAAGAATTTGTTTGACAAGTTGTCATCCCCTGAGAAATCGTCGGCGGAAGAGACTGTCGAGGAAACGAACGCCAACTCCCCTTTTCGGCCTTGTGCAGTTGCTTCGCGCGCATGTCCCTGACGCACGAGCAACGGGGTGGTCCTAAAGAGCGTCGTCTGCTTTGCCCTGCCCGCAGGAATTTGACGACGACCGTGACGCAGACGACGCAGTGTACGAGCTGAACGGCAGAGAACTAGACGGAGAAAGGTACTTCACCACGCTGTCTGCACTGGAGCTTGATGGGGCTTCTATTTGAAAACGGTTTGCTTTGGTATAGTCACGGCCAAGATGAGAACGGCAGAGAAAGGCATCTTGTAAGCCTCAAGGAAGCACGGTGGAAGGCTCTTGCCAGAACTTGGAAAGAGGCACCCTGCAGTTCTTACCAGTGACTAGCAGGGGAATTTGGGGGCCCTTTGTACGCTTCTAGCCAGGTCGTTCTTAATTCACCTCATTCGACGGTTCGGCAAGTTGTCGATGCGTGTAGATGTAGGCGTTGGGCGACGGTCTGGGATCTAGGAACTATAGGGGGTTGCGACACGAATCGAGACGTCTGTTTCGTGATTGGCAGCCAGGGTAATGGCTGTCTCTAGAATAATGATCTGCACCGGCATGTTTTTTAATTGCTTGCAACGATCGGATGACACTAAAGTGGCGATTTGGGAGAGGGGGTTCGTGGCTGACGAAACCAAGACGTCTCGCAGAAAATAGACGGGAGAAAGGCTGGGGCTGTGTACTACTACTTTCTCCTGACTTCATTTTTTTTAGCAGTTTTATTTTCGTTGGATGATATTGTCCAGCATGTCATTGTACAGCAACGTGTTGCTATCCCGCTTGTTCTCCCCAATTTCCACACCTCGTTTTTTGTTTCTCTAAATCTGCAAGACTTTCCTGTGTGTAATTTGCAGTACTCTTGAGTCTATGAGATATAACTGGCACGACTGCCTCGATGTATAATGGAGTGCCACGTTTTCAGAGTGGTCGTCGAGCTGGCTCACGGAACGGCACGCCGCGCCCCGGCTGCGCGCAGTTATATGGACACGTGAGTAATTGCTTTCGTTTGTTTGGTCGCGCAACCGCGTTGCATGGACTGCTTCTCGTCACACGACCACCGTCTGTTTGTTTCCTCGGCGCAGTCCGGTCAACAGGTACGGCCCGCCGACGCGGACGGATTACCGCGTCATCATCGAGAACCTGAGCAGCCGCATCAGCTGGCAGGTGAGTTGGGTGGTAGCTTGCGCCATCTAGGTTGTGTGGTGGGGAGTTGCTCCCTTCCCCACGGGCCTGTTTTCCCTGAGCATGTTCCAGTTTGCGTAGGTTCTTGACTTGCCGGTTCTGGCACATGGGGGAATCCCTCGACGTAGAGTGATCAATATTTAATGCGACGAGCGACTAGTTGACGCATAGAGATTTGTAAGAGGGGTAGCCTCGTTTTTTTTACACCGGCCATTTTCTGGACGAAGATAGCATGTAGGGCCAGCCCAGTATGAGGTGCCAGTATCCCTTTGGATTGGACTGATAAGCAACTTTAGCATGCCGGCACTTCATTTGTTGACCTACGGTTGTGTGGAACGTGATTTTGGAATGTGTAAATAGCAGAGTGGAAGGGCTTTTCAATTGTGCATTGAATTCCTCGTACAATGTCTTACTGAACTGCCTTGCTGCCTTCAGTTTTGGCGCTCGAGGATGTGTCAGCGAGAGTGTAAAGCTGTTCTTTGCTTATACTTACAGTGACTGTGAGGAGGGCTCTCAAAACTTCTTCGCAATCATGGGTGGCATGTGCAAATTTTTCTCCAATTTGATTGCTGGGTCGTATACAGCAGCAAACTAATGCAAAGTTAATTTCACGACTTGTAGGGACCGCCAACAATCTAGAGCGGGGAAGCCAAAACGAAGCCACAGACGTGCCATGTTGTCAGTACCCCGGTCTGGTGTACTATAACGTCTTTGTTTGACTATTGAGAGAAGCGTACGCTGCTGGAAGGGTGCTGTCGCTGCTCTTCCGCTTTCCATTTGAGGAGTCCTCACGAAAAGTGCATCCCTCGCGAGCTTGCCGTTTTGCAAAACGACGCGCTTCATGAACTCTGCTCGCGACACGGTATTAAGTCTTGCGAGGGTGTTGCACAGTTGGTCGCTCGTTAGCACTTCTTTCGGCTGCAGTTCTCACTTAACCCAAATCTTTCGTAAATGCTACACAACATAGTCATTGTTGCGTGGCAGCTTTACATCGGTGCCACCCATGGCAGCTGCGTTCCGATCTTGAGAGCCCCGCTCCGGCGTCCAAAGCACCGGCACCGCAGTGCCTCAAACGCGTCTCCGACCGGCGTATTTAGCATCCCATAACACCCTCGCAAAGGAGCGGTCCTGAGGTGGCAAAAAAACACATCGCAGCAGTTGGTACGTTGCGCTTTCGGTCGCCGCGATTCTCTCGGTCGGTCCGAGAAGCGTCGGCGAAGGAGGCGAGCGTCGTGGTCGTTGCAAACCGTGGCTGTTCGAATATCCCTCGGTTGGTAGACCGAGCTACCGGAAACCGGGCCCCCGCCGCATCCACTTTTGTCACCGTGGCACTTTGGCAGAGACATACACGACGGACGCCTGTTTCCCCAGTAGGTTTCTCCGCGGTCGACAGTTCGCGGAAGCATCGGCGGCCAGGAGTTAAGGCCGTCGCGTCCGCTTGCCTTTCGTGCCGGCATTTCTACGACCAACTGCCAGGATCGCGACGTCATTTGTTGCCACTTTAGAGTCGCCTTGGACGAACGGGTGGGACGGGACGTCAAACGCGTCTGTCGAAGACCCGCTCGAGGCACTGCGGTTCCGGGCTCCGTGCATGCAGTCGGGGGTGGCCGATGGTGCGAGAGGGAGGTCGTGAGAGTAGCGGCCCCCCCTGCGGGTGCCGGCTGTTTGCTTGTAGAGCGAGCGAGCGTGTGGCGGCATGGCCGTGCGTGCCCCCCTCCTTCGGGTCTCGGCCCTCTGGTGTCTGGTGGGTGGTGCGTGGGTGGCGCTAAACGGTGGGCCCCCCTCGTCCTCCCGTGGTCTCGATGTTCTCGGTGTCGCTCGGGATCCGTGGCCAGATCGTTGATGCCCCTCCCACCACGGGGGTTGTTTCTTGGGGGTCAGAGGGTCCAGGGAAGACGGCAAAGGTAAATATGGTGGCCCCCTTCCCCCGCCCCCCTCCTCCTCTTCTCGCTTTTCTCCCTCCTCCCGTGGAAGCACCACAACCTTCCTTTTTTTTTGCTCCAAGTTTCTCTTAATTTTTTTGATGACCCAATATTTTCTTGTTTCTCTCGTCTTGTTTTCTTTTCGGGAAAGCAGTCTCTCCGCCCCGTGAGGGAGTGTTTGGCACGGTGTAAAGCTCATTGGCTGTCTGGGGGTGTTCTCTGAGAACTGCTTTCTCCCGCTCCTCATCGGGAGAAAACAAAAAAGCTGCGTGTGTGTGAGCTCTTGACTTTCTCTTCACCACACGCGTGGTTTTGCAGGCAGAGCGTTTTTCAAAGTCGTGAGCTCGTGCTCGCATGTTTTGTTCTCGAATGGGTGAGCTGAAGGAAATGGTTTGGTCGCTTGAAGGCCGGATCTTTGGCCGACGCAAAAGGGCTAAAGGTGTAGGCTGCTCCCGCATGTCTGTCTGGCACGTTGCGAGTCTCGCTCGAGCGTGGCAGGTCATTGTTGAAAAGCTGCAGAAGCTACAGGGGTGAGGGGTGCATTACTTCATGTCTGGAAATGGCAGGCTCCACTTTGTCGGCCAGGAAACGGGGATTGAAAAAGCGCTGGACGAGACAACCGAGGAGCTCTTGGCTCGGATCTATAATCCATGGCAAAGCGCCCTTAAAAACACCGAAACATGCTCCGTTTATTGTGGGCTATCCGTTTTCCGGCGGCAAAAACATATTAATTTCTCCTCTGCCAGGTTGCTCGCGAGATGACTAAACTCTTATTTAGTCCCTTCTACCATGCTAAAACGTTGAGTGCTGCAGTTGTCTGTCCTGGCGGCCGGCAAGCTCATGCACTTGGGTAGTGTCGCGACAGCCACTGATCTTTGGGTGCCGTCAGTCGCTCGTAAATGTCATGGTGAGACCAGTGCTGAGAGATTTGCCGGGTGGTACTTCGCTTGGCTACAGGACCTGAAGGACCGCATGCGCCAAGTCGGGGATGTGACTTATGCCGATGCCCATCGCAGGAAGCGCAACGAAGGGTGAGTCGCCGCCATGGTCGGCATTTTTGGGTTGAACTCGCTCACTCACAACCAGCAAGAAATTAAAAAAAAAAAAAAAACTATTTCTGTGTTTTAAGATTTGCAACTAGACACAGACTTAAACTTGCAGTCGCACTAGCATGTCCCTTCCTTATGAACTCACCGAACTCGTCATCTCGTCGAACACATAAACTCACCGAACTTGTGAACTCGCAAAACTTGTGAACTCGCAAAACTTGTGAACTTGCAAAACTTGTGAACTCGCAAAACTTGTGAACTCACGAAACTTGTGAACTCACGAAAATCGTGAACTCACGAAACTTGTGTACTCACGAAACTCGTGAACTCACCGAACTCATGAAATCACCAAACTCGTGAGCTCACCATACGTAAGCTCACCCAAACACACGCTTCTTGTCAGACTCGCAGTCTAACTTGGCCTCGAGCTCACGAGTTCATGACGTTTAGGAACTCACTCAACCTTACTTCACGTCTGAATATGAGTGTGTTCTGCTATGGTGCGGTCGCCACGACTTGACGCTTTCTGCTGAAATCGTTTTCCAGGCAGCATCTTTTGTTTTTTTATGTGGGATTTAGGTATGGTTTGCTTTGTGTGTTTAGTTCATTGGAGTCCTTTGATGTAGGCTCGTTCTGGCAAATTTTCTATTAAACAGCTTTCATCGACATGTCGAGATGTCCCCATGGCCTGTTTGCTCGTAACATAGGTGTTCTTTGATCAACTCCAACAAATGACAGGATATGCAGTATCCCCATGCTTTATTACGGGGCAGTGACCTCTACCGCTTTGTGGGGGGGGGGTTTGCGGAACTGATGTTGGGAATTGGCACTTCCCAGCACGAAAGAGGATTGATTTAGACCACCTGGGGATCTGTTTGACTTGCAACAGAATTTCTGGTTACAAGTCATTCTTGGCCTTCTCCTGCCAAATTGCATTCATCTTATATTTTTCGGTTTAACTCCCACCGTTGACTTCCGAAATAATTTGATAGTTCTTAAAAAAATTGGGTAAATACTTATAAAGTAGGTATTGTTATGCCTTCTAACATTCCACTTAACATTTCAAAATATGTTTTTTCTGAAAGTGATGATCTGTCCGTGAGTACCAACAGTGGCTTATAGACACAGCTTACAGAGAACTTGGCTGCTGTACCGAGCTTTTTGTAAGCTGGTGTGGCATTATAAAGCAGTCGGCTGGTCTATATGAGAAATTTATTGCTTCATAATGTGTTTCAAGTGTACGCCACGTTTATTTGCAAGCAGTATAGTTTCTTTTATAGGTGACGGCCGATTAAGCAGGGTGCAGGAGGGGTGGTGTGTTAGGTTAAAAAATGGCACCAACAAGTGCTTTTTTTACAAGAGGGCTTTGGTAGTTTGTCGGTATCTGGGGGTTAGGATTGACTTTGGCGGCGCATTGCAATGCACACCCGGTTGTCATTGCAGCGTGGTGGAGTTTGCATCGTACAGCGACATGAGGCGAGCCATTGACAAGCTGGACAACACCGAGCTGAATGGACGCCGCATCAGAGTGATCGAGGAGAAGCCCATACGCAGGTGTGTTTTCTTTGTGCCCCTCGTACAGTGTTGCGCATGGGCTGTTTGAAGGGGCCACATATGCCCTGACATCTAAACGTATTGTGCCACAGTTTACTACAGAGGTGCATATGGATGGTATTTGAAAGTATAAGCTCATCCATACAAAAGTGAAAACATTTTTTTTTTTTTTTTTTGTGGGTGGAGGGCCATTTTTGTTTAACAGTCTACTATGTTATGCATAGCTGTATGTTAAATGAAATTTGCATGATTGGATGTGTTGCATTTTTTTTTTACTAGAGCAAGGGCTTTCCATACTTCTCTGACTTGCATCTTTGTTACGCCGCTGCTGTCATTATGCATTGTGGAAACTAGTCTTTCTGTATGTGCAACAACCCACTGCAGGACGGCACGAGCAGTCTTGTGCACTGCTGCCTGCTTCCTGTGGACCACAGTTAAGGCGGCATAACAGATTCATGGACTGTCTAGTTATATCGTTCTGTTATGCTCAAGCCCTAGTAGAGCGACAAACGGAAATAACCGATTAGCCTCAAACATGTGCAGCATGTGTGCGAAAAAATCTTTGGCAGGCTTGTTATCACTCATGCTCTCTTCACGAGCACCTTAAAAAGGCAACAAGCCTGCCAAAGGTACCATTGCATGCATGCTTGAGGCTGGTCAGTGTCGGTTGTGTCTTCCTGGTGCTCAGTGGGACCTTACTTAGGCTGAAGTCGTTTGTTTTGTACTAGTCTCCATCAACCCCCAAAACTGGAGCCAACGCCACAAGAGTATGAGGTCGCTTCTCTGAAACGTTCTTCCGCTAAGCGAGCGTCTGCGTTTGTAGTTTTGACCTCAGTCTCAACTTAAGGACGAGTAGAGTATGCAGAGGCCAGATTCACGAAGAACTTCTTGGGCTACGACAACTTAGCTAAGAAGTTTGCAAGTTACACACATCTCTTAATTGAAAGGAGGAAAGCGACGTTCTCGTGCGGGAAAAATGAGAACTTCCGGTGTCCCGCAAATTTCCGGTCACCGCTAGAGCGGGCTGCTGCTCTGGCGACAACGCCCTCGGCAACATAAACAGCCAATCCGAGAGCTCAGCATGATCGGAGCAGGTGGACTTAGGATTGCAACTACCGTAGGCAGCCTTCTCGGCAACGCTTGTTTGGGGGTCGTGTCCATGTGGCGTTGGCTCCAAAACTATTGGCGTTGCTAAAAGGAGACTGCCCGCTAGGCTCTGCAGAGCGACACACGTGGAAACGAATCGCCGCTGCATTTTTCGTGGCCTCGGGGATGCTGGAGAGAGTTGATGTAGAGGAAGATATGTTTCAACTACGAGAGTGTCGGCAAGAGCCACGTAAATACCTGTTCCTGTTGGGAGCGGAACCAAACTGTTGGACTGCGTCTCGGTAACCGCTTCGGGTACAGTCTTTTACAACCAAATACATGAATCCCTGGGCCACTACACAATCGCACCTCGATGCTGACGTGACGCTCGGCGGAGGAGGGTTGGACCGGCATTGCATAGCTCCCAAAAACTGTTTGGCGTGTGTCGGCATACCGTTATGTTGCAATAAAAAGGACATACTGAAAAAATATGTACCCACATTTCGAAGGCAGTTTATACGGCGTTTATTTGAGCTCTACAGGGTGTCTCGAATAGCAGCCAGGCTCTTTAAATCGACCGCAAAAATCTGTTTCTTAACCTATCGCTGTACGATTTTGTGCAACGTTGCCCACAGGTGGTGCATTTCTTTTATAAAATTTGCAAAGAGCCAACTTACCTGAGGAAAAAGTAAAAGAAGGAAAAGGCTTAACTCCTATGAAACGCCTCAAAGCTATCGGTCTTCAAAACAATAGGTCTCCGTTTGGCAGACGAAGCAGGGGCAGAGCGGGAAGGGGGGGGGAGAGTTATAGAAAATATTAGTGATGTAATAAATGGATATAATTAAGGGCTAGTGTGAAGTAGACCTCTGTTATTGGCATATACACGAGACTCGCCCGAAAACTGAAACATTTCTTCTCGACCTGAAAAAAAAAAAAGAACTTTTATTGCCGGGCTCTTTGACTGATGAGGCAGGGCTTTGTGGACCCCCATCTGAGAACCACTAGGTTAAGAAGTTGATTTTTGCTGTCGATTTAAAGAGCCTGGCCGCTATTTGAGCCACCCTGTTTAATACATGAAAAAGAAATGGAATCAAGGAGTGTGTCCCAACAAGGCGGTAAGTTGGGCTAGTTGGTTTAACATCGTCAAATGTGAAAACAGCGCGAAAAATTGAACAAAGGACAAGTGAAAGGAGTGCATGGACAAAGCGCTGACTGTCAACTAAAGTTTAATTTTCAGGTGAACCAGAAAAATAAACACAGAGCATAGGAAAGAACCAATAAAGACACAAAAAATTTACAACCCAACCGACAAGATTTTTCTGGTTCGCCTGAAAATTAAACTTTAGTTGACAGTCAGCGCTTTGTCCGTGCACTCCTTTCACTTGTCCTTTGTTCAATTTTTTGCGCTGTTTTCACGTTTGAAGAGTGTGTCCCTTTTTGATGAGAGCGTTCGTCACCGCTGCCTCTGAAAACAAGGGGACGGCGAGGGGAGAGGCTGGCGCTTTTGCCCTCGAGTGGAGGTAAGGGTAAAAACCATTCTTTCGGGAAGGGTTCACAAAGATCGCATGGCCAAGTTCCGTTCAGCAAGCCATCCAGTCGTGGGCAGACTGTATTGGCCAGGGACGGTCGGCGCAATGTTGCGTCGGAGTGGTTTGCTAGTCCTGGCGTTTCTAGTTAGCCCTTGGTGGTTGCTTGGTCAGTGAGATGTTACCACTGTAGGTTTTTCCGGGTATTTGTGGTTCCAGCATTCGTCTCTGCAGCGTTCCGTTTTGAGTACTTGTTTTCTCTTGCTGCGTGAAATCTGAATGCGTGCAGAGAAAAATAAATGCCGGGACTCGTTGCAATGACGTAAGCGAGCAATGTTGTCGGCCATGCGGATTTGATCGTAAAAAGTGTGTAAGACACCTCTAAAGCCGTCGTAGGATTCCTCGTAATCTATGCAAAACTCGTGATTTCGCTTCGTGAATAAAGATTTGTTCTTGGGTCTTGTCGTATGCACTTTTTTTGTCGCAAGATCATTTCGCGAATCTTGCCTCGGGAGTTTGGCTTGGGAAAGATGCGATAGCAGACGTTAAGTCCTCTTGTTTGTTTCTCGCCCTCGCAGACCTGACAGCCGCAGCAGAAGCCGCAGACGCTCCCGGAGCCGTTCTCCCAGGCGCCGTCGCTCCCGCTCTGCCTCTCGCCACAAGAGGAGTCGCAGCCGTAGCCGCAGACGCTCCCGCACCCGGTCTCCGACGCCGGCCAAGCGCAGCAGACGCTCGCGCTCGGCTTCGGCCTCGCGTAGCCGATCTCGCACACCGCGCCGAGCACACTCCAGGTCACCCCGCCGATCGCGTAGCGGTTCTCGTCGTAGCAGACGAGGCTCTAGCGACTCCCACTCCAAGAGCCCCGTGGCAAAGCGCAAGTCACACAGCCGATCGCGGACGCCCAAGAAGCAGAAGGCAGCCAGCCGTAGTCGATCGCGATCGGCTAGCAACCGGAAGCAGCTGAGCCGTAGCCGTTCCCGGTCGGCCAGCAACAAGAAGCGCCAGAGCCGCAGCCGTTCGCGGTCGGCCACCAACAAGAGGCGCGTGAGCCGTAGCCGCTCGCGGTCGGCCAGCAAAAAGAAGCGTCAGAGCCGTAGCCGTTCCCGGTCGGCTAGCACCAAGAAGCGTCTGAGCCGCAGCCGCTCACGATCGGCCAGCAATCGTAAACAGAAGAGTCGCAGCCGCTCAACGTCGGTGAAGGGTCGGAAGTCGCGTAGCCGCTCTGTGGGAAAGAACAGGAAGTCGCCGGTTAGCCGTAGTCGGTCTAGGAGCCGTAGGTCGCGTAGTCGTTCCCAGTCGAAGGGGGAGAAAGCGCTATCTCGTAGCCGATCACGATCGAAGACTCCATCATGCAAAGAGCGCCAGAGCCGCTCGCAGAGCCGCCGGAAAACCAAGGACAGTTCGAAGTCGCCCAAACGAGCGTCCAGCCGTAGCCATAGCCGCGGCAAGTCAGGCTCACCCAAGAAGGGGGATCAGAACGGGAAGGTGGCGAGGAGGAAGAGTGCGTCACGAAGTCGATCGCGGTCGGCTTCGCCCAGGGCCGCAGCTGGCAAAAGTCGATCGGGGTCTCCTCGTTCCCCGAAGAGGGGTTCACGTAGCCGTAGCATTTCGGCTGACCGTAGCCGGGAGAACGGACGCAACTGATCTTCGCTCTAACACTGGGGTAGTGGAGCGTCATTTTTTGGAGGGAGGGGTCAAACATTTTGGAGAGAGCAGCCCCCACGCGCGCGTCTGCTATGGCCGAGCATAGTTTTCACAGGACGTCAAAGTCCAATCTCGCGCGCGTTTGGTTTGTCTAACCATTTTTCTCGGAGCGAAGTGCATTGTTTATTTTGTCATGTCCCTCTCATTGTAAGAATATCAAAAATCGGGAGAGGTTTTTGTGTTTTTTTTTTTTTTTTTTGTGGTCCTACATTTTCTTTTGATAGCTGAAGATGAAAACTGTTTTTTTTTTTTTTCTTGCACTGTAGCAGGCTTGCATGTGTGCCCATCAATAAAGTCATTTGGTCCTTTTGGTGTTTGTTTGCATAATCAGACAGTTGTGGTAAGCAACTGCAGGCACAACAAGGCGAAAAGTTGGTATTTGTTCCTAAGAAACTAAATTCCAAAGTACCCTATGTTTTCACACTGCTTGGTCTTAATAAATCTGTGGCTTCTAAGACTAGCCTCATGTGGGGTAGAACTCTTTCCAGTGCCTTCACATTGAAACGGCTGTAACTCCAATTCCTTGAATTTGTATGTAGCAGCTACTGAAATAATAATCTGACGGTTTTTGAGAGCTGTGGTCCAAAAGTTTGTAATCTGGTTTCAGCTTGTATTGTCCGTGAAAGCACTTTTAGCTTTTATTGATTTTGATAGTTTACTGATGCTCATCCACGCACTGCAGTTTCGAGTTCGCGTTCATTGTGTGGGCGAGCAGGAAAAGGTGGGGTCACGCAAGTCTGAGTTGATACTGAGCAGTGTATGAAAATAAGGAAACCAAGAGCTCGAGCGACTTCAGATAGTTGCATCAAAACTAACATGTTTAACCTTGCGTCCGCTTTCTTTCTCTGCTCTGTTCTCATTTTCCAGTCTGCCCAGCACCCCCTAGAAGAGAAGACCGTACTGCTCTTGAGACGTCGCAAAGGAAGGCCATCGGGGGCACGCGCAGATAGACCGTTGTAATGCGCTTTTGGTCACATGTGCATGACTTATTGGCTAAAATGAAAGCTGCACATAGCAACAAGTCTAGAAAACATTTTATTACGCTGCTAAATAATCGGTACGACATTGCACGAGGTATGCGTATAAGACTTCTATAGAAAAATGCGATTGTTTTAAGTCGAAAACATTGAGCCACGCAATTATTGCTGTAGGAGTGCATATTTTATACAGAAAAACTTCGACAAAATGGTGAGACGCGCAGTGATCAAAACGGATCCCGATTCAAAATCTGGTAGATGTAGTCGAACGCGGACACAGCTAGGCAAGTGTCACGATCACGTAAGCGATGTTATCGCATGCACTTACTGAATTCTTGCATTCTACTGTGGCTACATGGCAAAATTAATGTAATTTCGATCGAATGACATTATGGGGTTAAACACAAACTCCAACAAGTCTCCCTCTTTCGAGTGAGAGGTCTATCGATAATCGACCAGTGTCATCGTTGACTACTTACCACACACATCACTCTAACAGTAATAGGACTTGTTCCACGAATCCACTTACAGGCCCTAGTATCAAGCGAACACAAAAAAAAAGAAAAAAACTACCCGAGACTGCGGTGACAACAGAAAAATGACGGGAAGAAGGAAAGAAGTATCAAAAGAACCACGCAAGAGAGCAACGGCAGCAGTGTGGGACAAAAGGCTTAATGTCGCCGACCCATCTTTCGCTCGTGCGCTCCCTGCTGCGATGACTGGATTTTTTTTTCGTTTCCCTTCCCTTTTGAAAAGTTTCAGCGTTCCTTTCCAGACAGTCAGCAGCTCTCACACAACATAAATTTACCATAATCGGAGCCCGTTCAGGGAAGAAAATGTCGCATCGAAACCAGTTCATTCAAAAAGTGTGGGAGCTGCGGGACTGCACGTAGTCCCGCGGTTACGGGGATACTCGTAAATATAAATTTGGTACTCTCAACCTTGGTAGCGCATTGTATATTACGTTTATATTATATATATAATAAATTGCACAAGACTGTGCTTTTAAAACGTATACTGATGTCGGATAAACTTGCACGAACGCCACCGCGCCACTTGACAAGAAACATTTTTTACGTTGATACCAGATATTTTCTTATATAGTTGCACCATGGCCTTCGTACTCTGACATTGTGACGTAACCACTGGGACAACTACAGCCTTCTTTTCTAGGTGTTCCTTTACCCCCCTGCTTCGAAGCAATGTTATTAAACCGACTCGGTTGCAAAACTGTCCGTAGATGCTGCTGCCCCCCCCCTTCTCTCTATAAACATTCGGCTCCCGTAGGGCGCCTACATGTCTGTCTGTCTCAGGGTGAAGGCATCCATTGTTGCCCTGAATCTGCCAGCTCGTGACGCCCTCGCGCACTCTGTGCGTGACTTGGGCGGTAAAATGGCGTCTATGCATTCGCCATTGCTACGCGCTCGAGCTGAATGACACCAGATTGCGCGCACTTCAAAACGCAAAAGATTGGGAGAAAAAATGGCTGAGATGTCACCACTCAAGCAAAAGTGCGCGTGTATGAAGACACTCTAGGCTCCCGTCGTACAAAGCGCCATGGTTTTGGAGGTGGCTTTTAGGGTAACTACAGTTCATGCCACTGCAGAGGCTTTGAAGGAGTGTCTAGATGGCATTTTGTCATAGCCTTTTTAATGAATGCAGTTCTGAAACATGGCCTCTAGGTGGCGCTTCAAGCGATGGGTGGCTAAAGCCCCATCATTTTTCAAAAGTAGCACAAGGTGCGTTGATGCACGAGGCGCGTGCAATGGGTCGCCAAATCCCCTCAATATGTGTGACGCACGAGGCCCCTAGAAGCAAAGAAGCGGAGCATTCGCTCGATGCATGTGTCTCGCGTGTTAGCGGGAACGACGGTTGTCGGCACTTGTAAGCAACTCAAAGCAGGAATTCTATCAAAGGCAGAATGCTTGCGCTTGAGGTGAAACATCTGCTGGGTTTTTAACCTGTCTTTGACCATTCGCAACTCCAGCCTGCCCCTCACTGTCTCGCGGATGAACGAATGACCAGAGACCTTGGTGCTGCCGTTCTGGTCGGCATGCTCGTGCACCATGCAGTTTTCACGGAAAAAGTGCGTTGAAATGAAATTGTGGCCTGCTTTGCAACAGTGTTTTACAAAGAGGCCGGGATGTCTCATTTCATTAGGAACTTTTTGTAGATGGCATACGCTGCGGATTATGGGTCCTGCGGTCACCAGCAGAATCTCTGCTCGACCCGACGGCAAAAGATTCCACTACTAGTACAAATTTGCTCTTGCATACGATCTACAAAAAGTTTATACTTTTCAGAGAAGAGAGAACTGCTTGTGCAACGGCGTACTGAGCGATAGATATCGGGAATGGGTTTGCAATTTATGCACCGACGGGCCATGACGAGAAACAGCGATAGAAGCGGCATTTGGCCTTTGTAGCAGGTTCTGTAACAGGCAAATACTTGGTTTGGAGCAGAAGCCAACATCACTTGAGAATGAAAAACGAATTGCATCTTTAAATGAGTTCATTTATTGTAGTGATCGAGGGTTCCTCTTTGATACTTAAGCATATCACTTATTACAGCTCGTTATAAGATAGGGCGTAAAAAGAACAGACTTCTTAAATAAGGCTCTAGTCAGAGTAGGTCTCATTTACAATGGGTATTAAAAAATGGTTGAAAAGTGAATCATAGCTCAACACTTAATTGGGACAAATCCCCTCTTTATTTTACACTGTAGTTTGTTTAGCCTGTAAACATAATTTTCTGTAAAATGCCATCAAGAACCAGCATATCCGCTGGGTCTTGATGGCATTGCATTGAATTGCGTTATAATATTCGCTAACATGTCTACTAATAAAACGGCGTCCCATAAGTTTAATAAAGCTACCGAGCTCGAGACTATTATTATGAAGTGCAAAAAACAACCACCCAAAAATATTATAAAAGCATAAACTTCTACTTTAAAGGTGACACCGCACTACGTAGGAACCAGAGGTAGCCAAAGTTCACTGCTCTTTCGATCAACAGCTGCACGGGAACTACTGTAACTGCTGTATTTATTCAAATATATATTGGCGGCGTGCACGAACTACAAGGGCGCTTTTTCTAGCTATCATCATCGTTTGAGACGCCACGGGTAGGAGTTGCACTCGCAAAACACATCCACACGGCATCGATTCTAGAACAGTATCCAAGCGCGCGAAGGCACAGAGACGCAGCACTTCGGCGTGCCAAGAAAGCTTCGAACACGCCGCCAGACCGGCGAAACCTGCTTTCGACGAGTTGTGCCTTTTTCCTGCGGCACTGCGCTTTCGTATAAATTGCCATGTGTTCTGAACGGCAAGTATCACTGCTCACCCAGAATCTTAAAGCAAGTCTTCGGCAAATGACGACGAACAAGTAGAAAACGTGTCTATAGCACGCTGGAAAACCGCAGCAAAACGCTAGCAAAACAAGAAAAAACGGCGTGCAAGATGGCCGTCTGGTGGCCGCACACACGCTGCAGCGAACAAGTGGGGACGCGTGATCCAGCAATTGTCATTGAGATCAGTGGCTCATTTAGTTTTATTATAACTATATCTAGGAACTGTGACTTCAGAAAGTCTAATGCCTACGTTGGGGTAGCACGTAAATGACTGATTTGACATAAAATTAAACCTAAAGAGAAGCCCAGCTATCCTAATTGAGGGAATCTATAAATCTGCTCACCATATGAAAATATTCTCTTTAATCTCAGAAAAATAAAAGAAAAGACAAGCACAAATAACGAAAACAGATTGTCCGGACATTTCTGCTTGCTTTAATCGCGGTGGGATGGTCCCATCGAGTTCCCTTCACACTGAGCACCCGCGTACTGCAGAAAAGCAATGACCGCGAGCTTCGTGGGTGTTGCTTTCCTGCAGTACACGGGGGGCGACGAACCAATTAGTATGAACTAAGCGAAAGTGCCATCTGGATTAAGCAGCTTATAAATAAGCGGAAGAACCAATATATTTTAATTTGTTCGAATTAACCGGAAGTACGAAATATCCGAGTTTGAATTATTGCGAGTCCACTACATAGGGCATTGGAGATGCGAACAGTAACGCTGCTTAGTGTAGTTAACTTGGTGCTTCTGGTATCACCAGAGCAAATGCCGGCTTTAGGCACGAACCTACGAAATTTCTCGAAAACAAACGGAGAACCGTGCGACTCCCTTCCGTATCCTCTTTTATTTCCCGCGAAGTCCTTCTGAGGGAAACGTCCATCCCCTTCACGGCAGACGGCCTGAAAAGTTCCACTGGGGTCTTCCGCACACCGCAACGACGAGAGACGAGTTCGAATGGCAGCACACGGTCGCTCCTCGCTAACGGTCTCGTGGGTTCGGCGTGTGGCGGCGACTAGTTGCACGTGCGGTGCGACGCGACGGTCTTGCTAGGCCCGCCTGAAGTAGGCGAGAACTCCCAGGAGCAGCGCCATGACCGTCATCAGGTACAGGTCCCAGTCCGGACCGAGGACGTCGCTGGGGCTCATCTTGGGCAGGACCCGGTCCCACTGTTGCTGCAAGGTGCGGGGAAACACGGGGGATGGGTTTGTGAAGCCATTTCTTTGGGCACAAAATTGGCGAGAAAGGGACTCGCGAATCAACGGTGGGTTCCAACCCTGTATGCGAGCCTGTCCTTACGAGCGCAGTGCAAGTGTGCTCCCACGCGATGCCACCGAGCCGGGAGCTTCTCTGCCGTGTTGCCACGAACGAGCAATTGCTGGCCGTCCCGGTTTTTCTCTTGGAAACTAAAGGCTCTCGTCAAAACTGCTTTCGGGTGTCTGCTTCGAAGCAGCTTCGAGTTTATGAGGCTGGCTTATTTATGGGGCTTTTTTCACGACTAAATAGCGCTCGAGAACACCTTGTGTACGCCGACGTTACTAGATTGAGCTCGGTTGACAAGCTGCCCAAAATGCCTGCCGCCCTTTCGTGGCGCAACCGCTCCGCGCCATACGCTGCACTGTCGGCCCGCCCAATGGACAAAGAGTGACAGGACCGGTGGACCAAAGCAATAAGGCTGAAAGGTAAACAAAAATAAGGCGTTCAAAGTGCAATGGCAAAACCATTGTTGTCGACTTGCCGGAGGGCTTCCTTTTTTGTTTATTTTATTTTGGGGCTAGGGGCTCTTATGGGCATCAGCAGTGTTTGGGGAAAGGGCGCAGGCTACCGTTCGGACAGCGAGCACTTCCTGCTCTCCCTACACGTGCGCGTATGTCTTTTCCTTTACTTTTGCCATCCTCCACTTTTTTTCTTTTTTTTACGGTTCATTGTCTTATTTTCTTACAACTGCTCTTTTGCTGCACATCTTCTAGCGTATCTTCCAGTGAGTATGCTGGCTTGGCAGTCTGCCAGCCACACAAGGCAAGCGATGCGTTCGCCACCTGCGCAATCGGATCGCGGAAAAAGCAATGGGCCGCCGGGCTTCGGGCTTCGTTCGCTATATCAAGTGTACCCGCCATGGGAGTTAAATACAAAAAGACAACGCTCCTATACTATTACATGTGATTTTCAAGGGGACGTCTGGACTGTTTGATATAAACAATAATTCCAAATACCCGAGTGCGATATAACCGGGCTCGACTGTGCGTGCCACGCATATTTATTTATTTGCAAACTGTTCTCACCTCCCTGAGGTAAGAGAATCCGTAGAGCAATCCCAGCTTGACCAAGGCCAGGGCCACTGGCACTTGGGCGTCTGCACTCGTCTCGGCGGCCATGTCGTAGTAACGCTTGGCCAAGTGGATGTCCTGCGGCAGAGACGGACGTTTACGCGCCGATCGCGCTAACCCCCGCTTCTGGAGCTCTTGGGATCATTAATAGCCTTAATTTCAGCACCTTTTCAAAACAGTTCAGTGGAAACCGATGGTCAAATAGAAGCCCTCGTACAAGACTGCATTCGTTGCGACATAGTCTTCGGGAGAAAGTCACGTGGCAACTGAATCTAGTGCACCGAAGTTCCAATGAAGAGAGCTATAACTTAATACAAGGATCATGTTTTAATCTTTTAGATTCATCATCACTGAAGTTTCAGGAACCAATGCGCAGAAAAGCATAATACTAGTCCGTAAAACTTTTCAATTGTCGTACCAAAGATTCTTTTTCGGGCAACATTTTTTTTTTTTTTTTTTTTTGTTATCTATTCAGAGTGAAGTGCCATTTTATTTAATTATCGAGCAGCCGATGCAGCTCTTTGCCCTCATCCTTTATAAAAAAAAAATAAAGATTAATATTTTTATTGCTATTATTAATGGCGCAAGATTCAGAATCCCTCGAGGTCCAACGACGTGATGCGGTCTAATTGATAATCCCCACCAAAACACAGAGGAAAACGTTTCGATAGGGGGAAGTACGGCTCCGAGAAACGCACTCAAAACATGGTAGCACATACCTTCTTCAGGCCCAGCCCCTGCTCGTGCATGTACCCCAAGTTGAACATGGCCTGGGCATTGTGCTGCTGTTCGGAGGCCAGCCTGTAGTGCGTGGCCGCCGTCTCGTAGTCCACGGCGGTCCCGTAGCCGTAGTAGTGGTAGTCTCCCAACTTGACTCGGGCCACCGAATAGCCTGCGCGAGCGTTCCAGGGTTACGGCTACGCAACACGGCTTGCACATAATTTGCAAGGAAGAGCATAGGACGCTAGATACTACCGTAATGTCTCGAGAGACGGCGCACCTAAAATAGAGAGCAAGTCGGGTGAAAAGAGCGGGTAGGCCAACCTTCAAAGTGTCACCAAAGAAGGTTGTAGCCAGGTCGAATGTTTTGGTTTTGCTATAATCGCCATGGCTGTCATTTGTCCTCGCAACATAGCTACTGTTCTTTTCTTTTTTACAGCGGAGCTGTTAAGGGCTAGGTTCCCCAGGATCGTGTCTGTGTATGTCGACACAAACCTACCTGGACAGCTACCGCCATCTATAAGCGACGGCGGCAAGCACTTAACCAGTATGGTTTCCGCCATCGCTCGTAGATGGCACCAACCTTTCCAGCTATAATAGAAGAATGGATAGTTGGGCACGTTGGTGGGAATTCATCATAGGAAACAGCGCGAAAAACAGACGAAGACGAAGAAGAAACACACAGTGTATCGAGTACAGCTCCGTTGGTTTCCCTTCTTTACGAGAGTGGAAAGGCTAAACTTTTTTTTTGCTTGTTTTTTTTGTTTTTTTTTTACACGCGATTGTTTTTTGTTGATAGACCTAGAAGTAGCAAACCAATATTAAGCCTGCTTCATATGGTGCTAATTTTATTGCGATTTCGCTACCACAACATCGGGCGCAGCAGCTTCCTCCACGCGTGTCTTGCCGCACAAGCAACTTCGCAGCTACGAAATCCCACGCAAAATTGCACCGTGTGAATCGGGTATTAGTCGGCCGGACATTGTCTTCGAGCAGTTCCGAATGGCGCCAACGGAGGCCCCGACAAACCTGGCAGCAGTACAAAAAAGCTGCCTCGTTGCTGCCCAGGTCGTTGGGCAGTGCGATTCCTACAAGCAAACAGACTTCTGGAGTTTGTTTTTTTTAACGGGAAAGCGTGCCTAAAACTGGGGCGGGCAATCTTTCAAGGGTGGGGCATCTCGGGATATTACAATTGGTCCCTCCCAAAATTCAAACGATGCGATTACCGTGCTTACCCTGTGTAGCTGCTCGGTTCCAGTATAGCAGGGCCCACGCAAACGTCTCATTTTTCAGGAAGTAGTTGCTCTCTCCTGCATGCATGTACGAGATATCAATTAGTCGGTCGAAACGTTAATCATTAATCTAGTAGAGGTGTGCGAATATTCAAAACTTCAAATAATTTGCGAGTAGTGTTTGCTATTCGATTTGATACACAGCACACTTTTACCGTTCAATGTATTCAGAGTAGAAAGCCGCAAATAATGTCTTCAGAAGTCTTAGATTTTTGCCTGTCAAGCTTCACTGCTTCGTGCCGGGGCTCTAGCATCGAGCTCCGTCGCTTCGCACCAGCATGCGTGCACTGAGTTTCGCCGCTTTGCAACGGCGTGCTAGGAGAAACGGCCGACATGTTCGAAGATCTTGGTTGGCTCTCTGGTCTACGTAGTTTTCCTCACTATTTGTAAATCAGCCTTCTTTGGTTATAATCATTTAGTTCAACCCCCGATTTGAAAGGACATTGTCCGAAAACAAAAGCCTCGAGCTATATTCAGATAAATGAAGTAGTTGTTGTTTTGCTTGACATGTTACATTATGTTTTACCCAAAAATAGTCTTCTAGGGATCTTTTTTTTTCTTTTTCTTAATATAGGTAGCATATACGAGACATTTCTCGCAAAATAAAGCATTGTTTTTGGTAGGTAGGCCTTCCAGAAAATATTTCCATCCATGATTTCTAAAAGTGTAAATGCTCGATTGACGCTAGACGTAAAATGTTGCCACATGCACAGTCAGGGTAGCATCACGCACGGCTTTCACGCTAGAACATGTGTTCCAACCCCACCAGCCTCAGTCTTATTTTTATCTTTCAGGGCTCTTCAAAAACGTTCTGGTAGGATCTTGTATCATATCGCTCGTTCCCATGTAAAGCGCAAGTTTATCTGCTTCTTGCACAGGGGTTGCAATGATGTCAGAACGCCGAGCTTTTATTGGCTGATTGAACAAAATAGTCGGTAGACCTCAAGGCATCTAGCATTGAGGTCTACCCACTATCCTTCCAATCAAAACCATCAGAACTCGGCATCGTTCTGACGTCGCCGCAACTTCTGCGCAAGAAGCGGACGACTTGTTCTCCGCATTCCGAACCTTTTAGACATCGTAGTCCGTATATGAGAAGCAGAGAATCTCGACGTCGAGTCTGTCGCTTTTTCGTCGCCGTTGCACAGTGCACGGTTCTTTTTCGTTTAACTTTGTGACAACGAGTTTGCCCCATTGAACATTTGTTTTCGGTTTTACACTTTTTTATCATTTTCCCTCCGCAACACTATTCATATTTGACAGTGTGGGGAAGTACTTTAAGTACAATGTACTTACAGTACTATTTCAAGTAGGTTTAGTAACCTTGTATACTTCACTTGAAGTACGTTCTCTCAGTATGTACTGTACTCTAGTTATTTTTTTCTGGTACTTTCCGACAAAAGCATAACTGCCAACTTCGAAATGCATTCCTCAAATTTGATCTTGTTAATTTTGCATGACAAAAATATGGTTTTTCAACAAATGAGTGCTTTATAAGTTGATGGCCTTAAATAGCTTATCAGCGAGAGTAAAACTACTATAATCGTTTTCACCTCCAGAAAAAAGGAAATTTTGCACATTGTTCGTACGCCGCACGACATAGTTCGTGCACATAGTTCCTGCAATATTTGGTTGTCGGGGGCGGAAGCGATGCTTTTGATGTTTTAAGTGTGTATGTCTTGATAAGATAACATATATCTAACCTAAAATGCACCTACATGTCTTAATTCTCTACACAAAGGGGGAAATCGCAAATGGTCCGTGAGGAGCCAAACTTTTTTTACTACAGTTCTTGAGGTGAAAACGAGTAGTCTGTGACCACTTCACTCTATCCAATATTTGCCGCCATTTTTAAAAATAGCTGCTGCACCCCTAAGCAATGCATATTAGTTAAAAAAAGAAAAACTGTACGTGGGAATGAGGGGGCATCAAGAAAGATTGTGTCAATAAGTACTTGTACTACACTCTCTTAATTCAAACTCGCAGATAATTCAAATTAACATGCAGGTCCCATCCTACGTGCTTCTAGGCAGGAAACTCCCGGTAATTCAAACTTTGCATTATCCTAACAAAATGTTGGTCTCCCTTGGGTTCAAATTAACGAGATTCCAATGTACATCGCATTTACAGCACTATACTTCAATTACATTGCACCCGGTGTACCTAGTACTTTACTTGAAGTACATAACCTTTAAATTACATTGTACTTTACTTCAAGTACTTTTTAGATGTACTTTACCCAACACTGACATTTGAAAACATTTGAACTTGATTCGCAGTCAAATTCTAACATTTGTACTCAATTCGCAATTGAGAAATTGATGTTCACACCAGGCACGCAGCCAGTATTTTGTTTCAAGGGGGGCTCGCCCATGACAAAATGCTGTATGAGGGGGAGGGGAAAGAGGAGGTCCCAGCAAAATGGAAAAATTTCGGGGGGGGGGGGGGGGGCCGGGCCCCATGGGCTTTCTCTGGCTACGTGCCTGGTTCATACGCCTCTACTCTAATGCGCGGCTCTTTTAGCGGCTCCTGCTGTACCCACCTCTGTCCAGGATGAAGGCTGAATTGCTCTGTGCCACCTCGTAGCCCAGTTCAGCGAGGAAGGCATACTTGACCAGCGCTGCGTCCACCTTGCCGTCGCGGTAGTCGCTGTACGCCTGCATCAGCTTCTCCGTCCAGCGGCCGCGCTCCGCCACATTCTTGAACAGCTGCATGCGGGTAAAGGCAAGCTTTGGCGCCGAAGCTTTGAGGCGTGGATTACGATATAATGGCTTTTGCGCTTTTAAGCAAATTAATTGCATCATTGCCAACAAATGTGAATTAAGACCGGCAGACTCGCGTTGCTCGGTCTAGGCTAATAACACCTTCCCAAAGTGAAGGCTTCATCGTCATTAATACTGCTCTATTCACTCCTTGAATGGGGGAAATCATCAATGCAAGAGTAGCCCAGTTGCAACTTCGTGCGAGCAAAGAAATATAAAAACATTTGGGTGCAAGCACGCTGCTTTCAAATGTCCCTCAACTAAAGGACACCAACAGGACAGAGCAAAGAAACCCATTCAGTGAAGATACTGGTAGGGCAGAGAGGTCAAATGGGACCCCTTGCCCCCGAGACATTTTGTACCCACATTATATGCCCCGCCCCGCCCCGCCCCGCCCCGCCCCGCCCCGCCCCGCCCCGCCCCGCCCCGCCCCACCCCACCCCGCCCCGCCCCGCCCCGCCCCGCCCCTCCCCTCCCCGCCCCGCCCCGCCAGCGCTCTTTCAAGTCCCAAACCGCTTCCACGGGGTAGGGTGAAGCAAAGTCGAGGTATGCTTCTAATGTGTTTGAGGTGCCAACGTCGCGAAGACACTGACAACGGTCAACAATTTTCCCAATAAAACTAACTCCACCGTGAAAAAAAAAAAAATGTGCAGCGATTATTTTTTACATTTAGTAAAGCACAATGGCACGTGTGGCTCCCCTATGCATAGATGCGCGCAACACCACGTTGTGATGGCCGTGGACTCGGCACCACCGAGCGGGGCCTCACCTCCACGGCGGTGTTGCAGGAGCGCACGGTGCCGGTGCCCGTGGCGTGCATCTGTGCCAGGTTGTAGAAGGCGAGGACGTGGCCCGACTGGGAGGCCAGGGTGTAGTACTTGATGGCCATCTTGTAGTCCCTCGACACCCCCAGGCCGCCTGGGCAGAAACCATCGGTCGGGCAAACATTGCAGCACCCCGCCACTTAACACTAGGGTTCCATATTTTGGGTACGTAACGACGAACCCCCTTAAATTAACCATCGAGCTGGTTCAATCCAAGTCGAAGAACGCCAAGTCGGAGCTGTCCTCGAAAAAAAAAAAAATCGGGCTTCGAAAAAATCTGGTATCCCATGCTTTATTTTGCATTCGCCAGGAGTGCAGCCGTCGCTGAGCGGTCACCGGATCGCTCCTTCCTTTGGGCTACTGCACTCCCACCCCTTTTCTCGGTTCCTTCTCTCATCGATCCCGGGATTTCCAGGCATTTCAGTTGCACGCGTGCCCCTGGAAGTGGGGGACTCCTAGGCTTGTGTCCGGTTTTCTCTAATGTGAGAGCTAATAAACCTAGGGTGACCATACCCCTCCGAGTAAGAAACGGGACATCGGGGGAAGGGTAGAGGGAGAGAAAGAGAAAAGGGGGGAGGGGCAGGGGGCCAAGCAAGATGAAAAGAAGAACACACTTAAGACTGCTTACATGTAGGAATGCGAAAGCATTCATACATACAGCGCATTCCTACAAGCAGCGCGCCCCACTGTCCTCCGCAGATGCCAGCTGTGTGGCACGACATACAGAAAGCACAGCGTAGAGCAGAAAGCAGAGTGGAGGGAAGGGTTGGGAAATTTCCTGCACCCCCCTCCAGGCCCGGCCACGGACTGACAAGTGACCGAGAAAGGAAAGAGAAGGGCAGCCGTGCGCGCGCCACCGTCTTCCTTTTATTGGCACGCAGGCCGCAGCGCCGGGAAGAGGGCTTCTCTGTAAGGTGGCCCTCCTTGGAACTATGACACGTCACGGCCATTTTAACTGCCATTTTTTGCGGCTACAAACTTGTGCCTACGCTCCATGGGACCAGTCAGTGCTTCCGCATTAAAAGCTCCGCTATTATTCAGCTCACCGTGAAAATGCAAGCTTTTCGTTGCGTGGTTGGGTGGACAAGCACATTTCTTACCGATTCTGCGAATCCTAAGCATGCCAAATATAGTATAATATAGAAAAGTGCCCCGTACAACACACGTCTGTGCAAACAGAACTTATTGGCAAAGGGAGTCCAGAAAATGCCAAAAGTCTCGTTTTATTGAAAATAACATTTTTATACTATGTTTACAGTACTCTAATACACTGTCACAAGTAGTAATCATTTTTCGTTTTCTTCAACTTTTGGTACCGATTTTGCAAGCAAGTTCCCATGAACACGGGATATTTGGCTATGTTCGGACAAAATGACGGGACGCTAGAAATTAATTTGTAGAATGGGACTGTCCCGGCCAAAACGGGACTTCTGGTTATTCTAAATAAACCGGAATTTTTTCCAACACCAAAAAACACCGATCTGTCGGAAAAAGAATAAAATGAAACCTAGAAAAGGATCCTCAAATTTGAAGGAAAATTAGCTCTGAAAACACGGACTCATAGCCGTTAAGTACAGTGCTAATCACACTTGTCTATAACGTGCGAGCGTGCAGCTTTCTCAGGGGAGCGCTAGACTGGTGCCATTCGCGGAAACTAAGCTATTCACGTGGTGCAACAAGGAACGGCCCGCTCGAGGGGTGTCCTGCCCACTCTATCAGCTTGATAAGCGATAAAAGTAAACTGCTTTATGATATATTTTTGTTTTTTGATGACAACATCGTTGATGCTTTAGTTTGTTTATTGTTCGAGCAATGATCTGTGTAAAAAGCACGCGAGCAGCCTTCCGCATTCGCCGCCAGCTCTGGCATAGTATATGCCATGAGGTAGCAGGAATAGCATAGTCATAAACACCAAATGATAAAAAAAAAGTTGGGGCTCTAATCCACGCCGTGAAGGTGGATGGTCAGCGAAGCTGTGGTGTCAGCCGCAATGATTGCCTACTGCACCGTACGAAATGCCGCCGCCGGTCACAGCACGCCGCCGCAGGTCGTATTGCCGTTTCTTTTCCCTCTGCCGCTCCTCGTATTCACGCTGCTCCTCGGGAGTCCTAACTACCGGGTGAAACAAGGAGACGGTAGGCTCTTTAAATCGACCGGAAAATTCGGTTTCTTAACCTATCGTGCTACGACTTTGTGCAGCGTTGCCCACAGATGGTGCATTTTTTTCGTAAAATTTGCGATGAGCGGACTTACCTGAGGAAAAAGTAAAGAAAGAAAAAGGCTTAGCTCCTATGGAAACGCAGCGACGCCACCGGTCTGCAATCAACACGGCGCCAATTTGCACGGTAGACAAGAGATGGCGCAAGCGGTCGCGACGCCAACTGCCGCCAACGAACGAGCAGACGACGCCGAGAGCCGGCGTAATTAGCAGACAAGGAACTGCAGTTCCTTGTTGTTACCGCGCCTGTCTTTTTTGTTTCTGCAACTGTCGCCGCCTGCGGAACGCGCGCCGCTTTTGAGTCGAAAAGATCGTCTGCTAAAGAGCCTTTGAGGAATACCTCGGCCGGCTCTCGGCGCCCGTATGCTCGTTCGTTGCATTCGTTGGCGGCGTTCGTTGCGCCATCTCTTGTCTACCGTGCAAAACGGCGCCGTGTTGATTGCAGACCGGTGGCGTCGCTGCGTTTCCATAGGAGCTAAGCCTTTTTCTTTCTTTACTTTTTCCTCAGGTAAGTCCGCTCATCGCAAATTTTACGAAAAAAATGCACCATCTGTGGGCAACGCAGCACAAAGTCGTAGCGCGATAGGTTAAGAAACCGAATTTTCCGGTCGATTTAAAGAGCCTACCGTCTCCTTGTTTCACCCGGTATGTGTGGCCTATTCATCGCGGTGCTGCAGCAACAATGAAATCAGTTGCTATACTCTGTTCCATTTTACGTTTAAGTGCAGCGGATGTTACGAGTTATCAGAGCCAATCGGAGACAGTGTGAGTGTCGTGCGACCTTAGAGAGAAGGTGCAGCGACGCGTGGAAAGCGTATCACGGGCCACGTCCACAGAACGGGATTGTCTAAGATAGCTCGCACCATCCGCTACGACCGGATCTAAGATAAGGATTCTTTTATACGTGAAAAGCTAGTGACGTCATTCCCCACGTCGCAAGCTGCCGTCGCCGCGGCAGCTCGGGCAACAGTAATCTTCACCGGGAATGTATGCGGTGAGCGCTATGTGCTTCGCATTGCGGGAGTAACTATGACTCTCTTGTCTCCTATGGCATGCACGCCTTGGACTTCAAGGTGAAAGCAGATAGTTACTTGCTATGCGCAAAGTCAAACTCCCACCTGCTCATGGTGCCCGCCGATTGGTGAGCCTAAAGGGGGTGCATCACTGGTGAACTCGCCGTCAACGGGAGCTCTCGTATTTTTCGGTGAGTGTGATCCCTGCCCCCACTACCCGGCTTGGCCAGTAAAAGGGAACATTTTTCCAAATCCCGACCGAGGGGCCGGGGTTCCAAGTCTTAGAGTCCGGGCCTTGACTGTCTTTATGACGCCTTGGATTGCCTTAGGTCCTTGGCTGATGGCTCGCGAGGGTCCAAAGGACACTAATTGAGGGCTCTTGTCCTCTCACGTGTAGCAAATACGTTGGTGCGGCTCTAAAACCCGTTTTACACGGGGAAGTTTGGTTCCCTCTGCCCTGTCGTCCACAGAGCGACAATCGTGCTTTTTCATGAGATTCCGGGGTTTTCCTTAACACGTGGGCCTGGAATGGCCTCGTTCACCCAGTTTGGGACTTGCTACCGGCCCTTCATTACATGGTTAGGATGCCTGTTTTGTGCTTATTCTTAATTGAAACGAATGTTGTGCTGTATGTTGTATGCTTGGTGTTTTACTTTTCGCTTAAATCTTCTGATGTCTTTTTTGTCCGTGAGAACGCCGACACGAAAACACATACGGGGAGAAGGAATGTGTTTCGCATTGTTTGAATGTTTGAGGGCTTAGATGTGAAGTGCAAATTTCACATCAAAGTCCTCGTATAAAGTTTGCACTTCACACGAGGGCTTCGAATGACGGCAACCCCTTTCGAAGCAGCTGCAAACCTATCTTTACCGGAACGCGTGGGAGGGTATTCCTGTTGTTCACAAGCACCTTATCATCCATCATGGGGTTTTGATGCTTGTTTTGTTGATGCTTGTTTTGTGGTTTTCTTTATTAAAATGGATACTGAGCTGTATGCTGTATGACTGATTTCAAAGGAGATATGCTGTTTTGCCTTCAATTGTTCGCCGGGAGTTTTTTGCTTGCAACGCCAATGACACAAAAATTTCCTTGGCTGGTAGAGGGATACAGCTCCGCTGTAAAAAAAAGTTTTAGCTTTTCCACTCTGGTGAAGAAGGAAGAGCAGCGGAGCTGTAGGAGCTGTACTATGTGCCGCCGTCTGTAAACGAAAGCGGCAACCAGACAACTGGCAAGCCGGTTGTCTGGTTGCCATTGTCGTTCATAGATTACGGTAGCTGTCCAGAGGGTTGTGTCGGGATTTATTTGTCTACAGACTCGAAACTGGGGAAACTAGCCCTTGACAGCTCCGCTGTAAAAACTTCGGAGCTCACTTGTTTTTGTTCATCAGTAAAAAAAACTTTTTGGCATTCATTTATCGCCGTTGCATTGCTCAAAGACCGGAAGCTAGAAACCTTAGTTCCGCTACAAGATCACACTACCGGGAGGCTTCATGACTATGAAAATACTGTTTGCATATGGCATTATCGGGGCAACTAATCCCGGTACTATTAAAAAGCCACCTACCTCTCTTTCAGCGGTAGCAAGGTGCGAATAACTTAATTCATTTATCGGCGGTGACATGCAACTATGCAGGTACTTTGATCCTTTTGTGATTTCTAGACCCCCACAAATCTTACAAACAACCCTGTGCCATCCGACTTCCTCTGCCCGTCCCAAGCATAGCGCTCAGACAGACCGAGGCAACTCACTATAGTACATGTTGCCCAGCTGCAACTGGCCATCCACCCATCCCTGGTTGGCTGCCAGCAGGAAGTACTTGAACGCCTTGGCATAGTCCTGCACGATTGGATAGGGTGGAATCAACCGAGAAACCGATTGGTCCACTAACAGATCGGTTGGGCATTTTTTGCCAGCAAGCACATCAAAGTGCATGCTAAAAATGTGACCTGTCCAAGTCCAGTCCGGCATGGTAAAAGCAAATGGGGTAGCGGAGGGGTTGCAGGAGTGATTCTTGACGTCACGAGGGCTTAAAACTGTCCGACGGTAACTGCAGTCTAAAAACATGCAAATGAGGCTTTACTATTCATGGCACAAAGATTTCCCAAACAAGGTTCAGTAAATCCAATACGACAGGTTAAAAGGAAAAAAAGAAAAGAAATTGTCCGTATATGATCGTTGAATGTGAGGACACGTTCCACCAATTACGTGATCACATCTGGGAGGTGCCGCCAGATTCGATTACGAGATATGCCGCCTATAGGCACAGCATGCGACCTGCAGAGATTTAATTATGGAATGCAATGTAAGCTTGCGAACCGAGCTTGTCGCTTGAGGAAATAAAGCAAACCTTAATTTTTTAGGATGGTTAGTAGCACACTCCTATAAAGGTTTATGATAGCAGAAGTTAGTTGTTCTAACCGCGAAGTACACGTTAGCCTGTCACGGTGACTTTTTGGTCTAGAAAACTGAGACTTAAACTAAAAAAAAAAACACGTTCAGCCTTTCCACTTTTGTGAAGAAGGAAAACCAGCGGAGCTGTACTCGATACACTCTGTGCTTCTTCGTTGTCATCTGTTTTTCGCGCTGTTTCCTACGATGAATTCCCACCAACGCGCCCAACTATCCATTCTTCTATTATAGCTGAAAAGGTTGCCGCTAGCTACAAGCGACGGCGGAAACCATACTGGCTGTGTGCTTGCCGTCGTCGCTTATAGGTGCGGTAGCTGTCCAGGTAGGTTTGTGTCGACAGACACGGACACGTCCTGGGGAACCTAGCCCTTAACAGCTCCGCTGTAAAAAAGCTTTACTTATATGTAAACATAGTTTTAACAGGTTCCACATTTTTCTTTTTTTAATTCTATACCTGGCCATTGGACGACAAACCTTTTAGTGATGGGCTCCTTAATGAAGGCTGTAATATACCAACTAATCAAATTCACCCTTCGTAAAGTACAGTAAAACCTCATTATAACAAAATGGGATATAACAAACTAATGGATATAACAAAGCAATCATAATTCCCCTTGCTTGCTATAGTGGGAAGAAATGGACATTGGCTATAACAAACTAATAGTTATAACAAAATAATTATGACCGCTCCTTCAACTTTGTTATAACGAGGTTTTACTGTACACAATGACAACTTTACAGACAATGTGGGAAAAGGTATAACAATACCGTAAGAACTAGCACATGAGTTCAGTAGTATTCTCTAAAACATGATCACCCTTCCGCAAATCACCCAGTGTAGGCCACCCCACCCTCACCACAGGGACACCTTTCCTCACCTTTGGAACACCCTTGCCGTGGAGGTACATCAGTCCGAGCCCACTCTGACCCACTGCATTGCCCTGAAACATACGAGTGCACGCGTCCAAACCACGACGTAGCAACTATAACGCTAATAGAAGCAGGATCTGGCACGACTCGCTATCTTACGCAGCTATAAATTCTGTAGCTTGGGCTACATGCATCAATCAACCCACCGACCGTTTAGGCCTCCCCAATGAAAGCACATAAACATGTCCCGTGTCATTCGAAAACTTCTGTGCCGATTTGGCGGAAATAAGGGCGCCGCTACTTTTCCCATTATACAGTTAGGACCGGGCAGTCATTATCGCCGATAATATTGCACCGCAATATTTGGCGTCTGTCCGACACTTTGGCAACTCGCATTGCCGGAGGAAGCGAATTCCGGGTTGCCACATCGAGAACCCGGAATGCATTTGCTCGGCACGCGAGACCCACATTCTAGGGATGCCGTTTTTGAACACCCGGTTTGCTCCACTAGATGAATCTGCGACCTGCGAACCTCCCCGTCGTCCTGGCCACACCTCCTCTTCGAGCGTGGTGCCCAGAACGAGTCTTCAACTGGTGCATTCACCATCCTGTCCTGCCAACAAACTATGTCGCGGGAGGCGGCGTGCCGTGCTGTCGGAAGTCGCGATGACACGACGTATTGCACAGATCGGTGACGTGCTCCAGACGCCATAGGCACGAGGTTGCGCTTTCTCATGTTAGGGTTCTCACCCTAACATGAGAACCCTAACATGTTCTCACGACAAGCGACATGGACACACCTTGTCGGCGGCCATAGTGAAGTACTTGAGGGCGGTGTCGTTGCTCTGGGAGACCACGGGGCCTCCCTCGAGGAACATCTTGCCCAGGAAGGCCATGGCATTGGCATTGCCGGTGTTGGCCGCCTGGGTGAAGTAGCCCAGGGCCCGGGAATGGTCCTGCTCCACACCTCGCCCGCCCTGGTAGTGCAGCTGTCCCAGCCCCACCTGTGGGGACGCACGGGGGGTTGGCGCTGGGGCCCGGTGCCGAGTTTGAAGGGGCCCCCGAGAAGGTTTCCGAGATCGCCTAAATGTGGCGATAACTCACTCTGCTGACTCTAAGCATTCTAGAAATCCCTAAATCACGACGATATGCGGCCGGTTTCTCTACTAAAAGCAATCAAAGATTGCGACACACCAAGGTTGTCCCCTGCGATGGGAGGAGCGTGTTCCGAAACCAGGACTACTGTCGGCCAATAGCAAATGAAGGACCCTCACGTCTCCGACCCGTGGACCCACGTATCGAATGCGCGTGGCCCATCGCCCGGACAGCACGCACACCCAGACTTTGGCGAGTTTTTTTAGTTGGTCGTACTCACGGACGATGACGGATTGCAAAGCACACTTGGAAGTCACCTGCGTCACAGACGGAATCTGCGCGAGGAAGACCAATGACTCAAACCAATGAGCGCGTGCTTCAGAGCAGACCAGCAGACGACCAAACATATCACTCCCGCGGAAGGCGAAAAAAAAAAAAGAAAGGGTACACTATTTTTCAAGCATTTATAGCAGTATATTATGTTTCCACTCCACAAAACGTTAACATTTGTTTCATACTCTTAGTTGCTCTTATCATCTACAAAAGCATACACATTTTGTAATAACTGCATTTGCAATCTCAACAAAATGTCACATTTTTGCTGGTCATATGTCGACCTGGCTTCCAGAACAATGCTCCTCCCATCGAAGGAGGTGACCTCGGTATGTGGCAATGTTTGAGTGCTTTTTTAATAAGGAAATCGGCCACGCATGATTCTGATTTAGGAATTTCTAGCATGCTCAGAGCCCGCTGAGTGATTTAATGCCATATTTACGCAATTTAAGAAACCTCCTCCGGGCTCCTTTAAGGTGCCCGGGGCCGGGGCCCACCTGTGCCTGGACGTCCCCTTTGTCCGCCAGGAACTGGTAGTATTGGATGAGGTCGTCGTCGATGAGCCCCAGCGAGGAGCCCGGGTTCTCCGCCTCGTCCGGCAGACGAACCCGCTGGATCACCGTGGAGCCCCCCTTGTTCACGTCTTGCTCCACTAGAAACAGAGTCGCTCCGTCAATCCCTTCGTCGCTCTTCGGAACCCTTAGGACCCCGGCAAAGCGTTTCCTCATTGAGATTGAAGGAAGAATAAACGCGCAAGACAAAGGTGACACAACCACATCTTTCATGTCTTCGTCTTGCACATTTATTCTTCCTTCAATTATGACCCGCACCAACCCTCGCTTCGTCCATTAATGTTTCCTCGTGCTCTGTCCTCAAAATTCACCCGGCGTCACCCCAACTATATCTTGCGTTCGACGTCGACTTCCGTGCTCTCTTTCGAATCCTTAGCTGTGCCCCGATGCGCAACTGCGAGCCAAGCGTCGTTCGCAATTCCCGTAGTCTTCTGTACAGTTTTACGACAATACGAAACCCTTCTCCCATTGGGTAAGTAATCAGTCAGACTTATATTCTTTACCTCCACGCTCTGTTTTTTTTTCTTCTTCGATAAATTAGTAATATCGATTGGCTCGTGCAGTTCGTCCACACCGCCTCGGACAAGCAAGCACCAGGAGTCTGCCCTCTTCCCTAGCTCACTCACCCACTCTGGCGACCTTGCGGTAGTATGTGAGGGCCGCCTCGCAGCTCGTCAACACGCTCGTGCCGTACCAGTACCGGTAACCCTGCACCAGAACGGGCACGCCGGTCAACACGTTTCACGTCGGAGGGTCGGGGTCGCTGTACTTATGGTCGCTTTGCACAAGGCAATAGACCCTTTCCGGAATTGCAAAATGACGCGTAGATTATGTGCAGCCGCCATTAGTTGGTCTCGTTGCTTCTGGCGTGAAACCCGCGATGGCTTCCGAGTTTACAATGAGCACCGACGCTGCACTCTCCGAATGCTAACGAAGCGCTCGTGTCCAATGCGTTCTCGCAGTGCATGACCACCTAATGGCAGCCGCACATAATCTAGGCATCGTTTCGAAAAGGAGTAATTTCTTTGCACGACCGTGCGGCGTCGCATGTGCATTTGTGCAGGAACGTTTTGAGATGGCCTTTTGTGTACCGTAAAGGCTGGTTCACACATTTGCATCCGGGTGCGAGGGACTGCATTGCAATCGCTCGCCACTGCTTATGACGAACGGTGGTGCCATCTATTTACGGTCCATAAACAATGCAAGCCACTTAAAATTAACTTCTTTTATTTTGGGGTGAAGTGCGCGTCTTATGTGGTGGCGGCTTTTGGTGGTGGCTTTCGTCATCGGTGAGCCGATGTCTCGCCAGCTTTGCTCAAAATCCCATTTGTTTATCTATGGATGTTCGTTCTAGTGAAAGATTCTCATAACCGGCAATATTGAAAGTGGTCTTCACCGTACGTGCCGACTAAATGCCTCAAATAAATGTAACACAACAAAAATAAAAAAATGAAATTATGCGAGTGCAGCTACTGATGCTGTAACTCCAAGAGCAGCTGCCTTTTTGGAAGAACTATCATCCTTAAAAGAACGAAAATAAGGAGACGTTAAACTGCCCCGAAGCATCGCCGCCCAGGAGGAGTCTCTAAAGACAGCTAGCACCGAAAAGTTTGCGCGCTCCAACCGGCGTAATCAATTGGTCCAAGTGGGATCTTAAACAATACTAGAGTCTAACGCTTTTATGACAAACTCCAGAGGACCGGCGAAAAAATTTTTTTTGTTGGCAACGGTGGGAATTCATCACGGGTTTTTTACGGCGTTGACAAAAAAGAAGCAACTCACCAGTGCCATCTGTGCAAACGGGTTGCCGCCGAGCGCTCCAAAGGTGTAGTACACCAGGGCCTGTGGACCGCAACGAAAGGCATCGTATCTCGTGACAAAAAGGGGTAGAGAAAAGAAATCCCTTTCTAGCAATTCGGGTGCCACCTAGAGGCTCTCGGTGAAACCGTCACAACAACAACAGGGCGCTTCTTCGAGCTGCCTGGTCACAAATGTTAACTCGACGTGGTTTTCTGGAAAGCGGGGACGAGCGGTGCGGGAGCTATCGTCTGCTGCAGGTTCGGGATAGCAGGATCAGCTCTTCCCAGAAAGTCCTCCACTGTTTGCACTTTAGCAGACCAAGTGTTGGAGAGGAGGGACCTGCTACCGTTTAAGCTCATTAAACAGACCTGGTTACAACAGACATTTCGATAAACATACCAATTTGTGAAGTTTGATTGGTTTTCCTCTACATACTGTTGACTCAACTTCATATCTGCATACAACATACTCCTTTTACAACAGACCGAAATCTTAGTCAAAATTAAGGTCTGTTATAACGAGCTTAGACTCTAGTCATGAAGAACAGAGTTTCGTGGGATCAGCTTGTCCAGCTATTCTAAACCTGCAACAATGTAATGAGCTTAATGACGCAGGTACAGACACCTAACAGAAAGTGTAAAAAGATGGTATCGGAGTCTGGAGATTTCCAGAACTGGCAACGCTTAATCACCGGGAAATCCAATCTTAAAGGGGCACTAGAGTGGATTTTTAAGCCGCCTTTTTACAGTGCAAACTCCATCTACTTGGCCCAATCATCCTGGGAAACTAGAACTTAAAGTCATTAACGGCCTTTTTCCCCGTCGAAAATGCGACGAAACATCCCCACACTCTCCTCTTCTCGAGTCTCGAAAAAGGGGCGTAAAACTATGGCTGGTCGTGCTTTTAATATTAATAGAAAAGAATTGTGCACACGACCATAATTTTAGGTTTTCTAGGATGCTTAGTGCGCGTACTGAATTTGCGCCTTGACGATCTTGAAATCCGCTCTAGTGACCCGTTCAAGGTAGAAAATTTTACAAAACTCGGGCAAAATCTCTCAAAAAGACTAAGATGTATTAGACACAAAGATGTACAACTTGCCTTGGCTTGGTTCGAGTCGACTCCCAAGCCGACAGCATGTAGGAAACCCAGAAACTGCAAAAGCAAACCAAAGAAAAACGACGATGGCAGTAGAGTCACTGTATCTGCTCCCGAAGGAAGCAGACTAGTGCAGTTCTTTGTTCCACGCCTTTCTAGTCGGCACCAATCATGCAAGCAGCTGCCCCACGCAGTCCTCCAAGACGTGCTCCAAGCCCCTATGGCCAGACGCATCGTTACGAACGAATGTATGGAAGTGCTCCATCAAAAAACAAGAAACCGAATTCACACTTTTCAGAAGTATTGCGAACTATCTGCGAGGGTGCTTAGATGGCCTCCTACAGCATAAATGTCCCTACAACCCCCCGCGATATAAACATCCACACATTTAGGCTGATTTTTTCCCCAGCTTCCCACTGAGGCCGAAACGCTGGCTTCAAAACAGGGAGATGGGGGTTAGAGGGGGGGGGGGGGGGGGGGGGAATGATTGCTTTCCCATCCATAGACATTTCAGGAATTTCTTGTAAACAAAAGTGGGCACGGCAGCTCTGTCAAGTAGAAATGCTTTGCCGGATATAACGATTTCTGAGGAGGGTATCATGAATTATCTACTGAATATGGACATTAAAAAAAAAAACCGCATCTCCACGTGGTGAATGATATTGATTGGGGCGAAGCTCTGGTGGTGCTTGTCTGCGTAGATGCTGAACCGCAGCATGCCGAGTCTTTCGTTCGTTTTCATCCATGTCACGCTGCGCTCAAATGCTCAAATGCGTATATAACACTGTTCCATACCACACATTCTCTTTCTGACATGGATGAAAACAAACGAAAGGCTCGGCATGCTGCGGCTCACCGTCTACGCAGACAAGCACCACCAGAGCTTCGCCCCAATCAACATCATTCACAACATGGAGATGCGGTTTTGTTTTTTTTACCCTACACGAGCACGAAAGCACGTGCCCACGTGCTCGTGAGCACGAGCACCCGACGCCGGACATCGGACGGACATACGGACATGGCTAGCCCCCAAGGAACTTCGCCCCTAAAAGGCAACTGGGTCAGACAACATTCCTAATGCCTTTTTCAGAAGATACGCGGAATGGAGCGCCAAGTACTTGGTTCTGATATTCAGAAAATCTCTGGAGACTTCCACGGTACCCTCCAAGTGGAAGGTCGCAAGGGTGATCCCAATTTTAAAATCTGGTGACTCAAAGTCGGTTTCCAATTATAGGCCCATTTCTTTGCTTACCGTAATTACCCAATCCTAACGCGCACATTTTTTCAAAAAAAATACAGCTAGAAATGGCATGCGCGTTACAATCGGATACGAAACCGAAACAAAAACCGAAATCACGCTACCGGCAGTCTCACTGTCATCACTAATACAAGATGGCGGCGTAGCCTCTGCGCGACAGCGCAAAACACGTGGTCTCGTGGTCGCAATCTGAAGAGCTGCTGCAGCGATTTGCTTTGTTGTCAGTTGTCAGCGTTTGCGGAGCTGAAATGACCGCCGCACCAGCTAAGGCGCGGCAATTTCATTACGAGGCCGAGACGAACGGCAACAGAGCCGCTTCGCATACTTTCGGTGTGCCCGAAACTTGTCTTCGTGACTGGCGAAGGCAAAGAGAAAAGATCTTCGCAAGCAAGTCGACCCGGAAAGGATTCAACGGGCCACGGACAGGGCGGCCACGGACAGGTGCTTGTTTAAGAAGTGCGGAATTTAGAAGGCGCGGGACGGCACCGAGGACGACATGCTGTTGCACGTGGAGAGCGGCTGTCCGAAAGTGAGGACAAATGATATGCTTACATGTAAATAAACTTCGGTTGTCATTTGTGCACAAGCACAGATTTTTCTTGCGCATGAAAACCGGGTGCACGTTAGAATCGTTGACACGTTGGAATTCTCATTTTTGGGTAAGAAAACGGGTAGTATGTGCGGTAAGGTGTTGGAGCATGTGGTGTTTAAACACATATCAACAAATCTTAAACAAAATAATTTTTTTACTAATTTTCAACATGCTTTTTGCCATAAAGTATCTACCATTACCCAACTGACAGAAACTGAGCATGAATTTGCATCTGTGATTAATGTAAGAGGGCAAACTGACGTGATTTACTTAGACTGTGTTGACTCTGATATGAACCGTAGTTATTTCCGTATTGGTAATCTTTTTCCTTCATTATTTTCATTTGGTCAGTTATCGTCTTTCTCATTTCTCTTCTACTATACTTTTATTTTTCTTCCTTTATCTTGTTTCATATTACACTGAATTTCTCAAATTGGGAGGGGGAAAAATGTTGTATCCTGACTGATCATTTTATTCGTACTTCCTCTTCTTTTATGCTAAATTTCCTTTCTTCGTCTTCGTCATCTTCACTCCACAATAAAGACAGTCTGGTATTGGCCACCGCAACGTTCGGTCGCACATTCCCGACCTTTCGGGTCCACCAAGGACACCACATTAGCGTGGCTACCAATTCAAGGAGATAGCCTGGCGCACGACATTCGAGACACAAATGTTTTGGTGACTTAGATGTAACGTAAGAAAACGGTGCTGTATGATAAGTTGAACCGAGCTCAACTCCTTATGTTACGTTACGACAAGCCTTGTGTCCTTGGTTGCCACGGTAACTCACCATCCTAGCTCGTCGTCACCGAAACATTCGTGTTTCGAATGTCGCGTGCCAGGCTATCTCCTTGGATTGGTAGCCAACCATAATACGAAGCACAGATTTCCCGGTGACTTTTCGTAACGTACCGTAAAAAAACTGATCTGTGTGAACCAGCCCTAATTCTTTTGTCGTGGACTCTAAATAATTCTGACAATGTTACTAGCAACCGTTTCTTGCAGATAGCGCATACATTTTGGTCTCGCAAATACCGCAAGACCTTTGGTCTACGAAATGTCCCAGTACGAACAGTACGAACCGGATGCCAAAGTTTCAAAACGAACCGCTGTCTCCTTCGAGAGTTATAGGGTATTTTTGGAAATTTTCAACGAGAAAACAATGGCCGACAGTGCGAACAAGTGTCTGGGACTCAGTGATGCAAAACACCGAGAACGGGGCCCCCGTTTCCAATTGAAGGTTCCAAAAAATCGCTCCTAACATTCGAATGACACGACAGGTGGCTCTGGAACTTTGGTATCTGGTTCAGACCCCTAGTGCTACGCCCAAGCGTAGCGCTAGGCGACAAGGGTAGCGTCCCTAGCGGACGCTACCGGTGACGCGGATGCACGATGGAGTCTGGGCAAGAAGCTCGCCGTCATTCATAAACAAAGCATCGGAACACGATGTTGTCGGCATCGGTGCCAGTCCCGGTGCTCTTTCTCACGTTGGAATTGTTGATTCTATGTCTTCCTGACAATGTCTGACTACTTTAGCGGCCTCAGCGAAAATAACGATGCTTGTTACACGCAAAACGTTGCATGAATAATGTGACATGCGGCGATTCATTCTGCGTGGAAGCTGCAGAATGGACGGTAAAGCCTGATTTGCATGATGAGATTCTGGTTGCTATTTGCAGTCGCGACATCGCTTGAGCTGCAATATCGTGAACCGCTGCTGAGATAGTCAACGTCGATACTAAAAATCGCAAGCAGAATCGGACCAAGTGAATCAGGCATACCAAGTTGATGATCGCCACAAGTAACAATGATAAACATCTCCTTCTATCTACTGTTTACACTGAGCGTAATTACCCCAACCAACCATCAAACTTAAAAGTCGTTTGAGGCCTGCACTTACTTCTAATAGGAATTACCGGGTCAATGTTCCATCTACAGGATGCTGCCATTTGAAAAAGCAGACGAAAGTGTGAACAATCAGGCGGCCGTTTGAACTTGAAGACGCACTGAACATAGTCCGCAAGTGGTCCTTACAACTTGGTGGTTTTTCTGCCTTCATGTTGGAACAAAACTAAATCTGACGACCACATGTATCCGTAAATTCAACCCAAAAGTGCTTCCCGCACAAGCAATCGTGGTTTGACGGCGCTTGGTTCTCCTTTTCACGGCACTTACCGTATCCACGTTCTCGGACGAATTGAATAGGCAGAATACACATAAAAACTAACCTTTAAGCCTTTCCCCGACTCTTTTGGTACAGCCATAGCCACGGCATTCTGTCGAGAGGGCGGGTTTTTGTATAGTTTTAAAAAAAAAAAACAGGAATGCACGTCCTGCATGGTGATTTCTGGTGACTTCCGCCCACAGCTCCAGACCGAAAGTGCGCCTGACGTGCCACCACAGCACCGTGATGTAACAGAGCTGAGTTAGTGTATAATTAGACATAGGCCGGAAGCATTCTAAGGCTACAGGGTAGATACGCCAGAGTGTCCTTTCACCGTTAGGGTCACAAACGGTGTCCCGCTATAACGCAAATGTGCGAATCAGCCTCCGCACGTGTGCACTGTGCGCCTTACCATCTGTCCCGTGGGGGATCCCATGGATGCCAGGACCTCGAAGTAGCCTCTCGCCTTGACCACGTCGTGGGGCACCCCGTCCCCGAACAGGTAGGCCTGTCCCACCGCTTCCAGGGATGGCTGGTGGCCCAGTCCGGCAGCCTGCTCCAACAGCTCATACGCCCTGCGTTGGGATGCCAAATTCGGTTTTGCCGCGGTGTTTGGAACGCGTCTTCTGATCAGCGCACGCGCAGTGTCCCATCCTGCCCGTACATCAAAAGTGGTCGTATAGTGCCAACGAACGACGTCGCCAAAGCCTGCGCGTCGTGCCGACACCCGTCGCAGCCTGGCGGCTGGTGCTATGCTTTGTTTCAGCTTAAACGGACACTGACACACTATTTATGCTCACCGAGGTTTTTAGTTGTTCGTGACATATGAGAGCCCAACTACCCAGAACAGAATTTGCGGCTCAAAATTCGGTTACTTTCCGCCCAAAAACCGCCGATCAAGAACTGGCCGGTTTGAGTCACGCTCACTCTCTTCTCCGTGGTCACGGGCCGTTTTCTAAGGTTTAGACACAACCAGCAAATTTAATCAAAGTCTTGGGTCATTGAAAGAACACACTCAATATTAAAAAAGGAAAAAAATATGAAACCCATTATTTGAGGCTTCCAAAAAGCTGCAAATAAGTGGATTAAAAAAAAAGTTGCACAGAGAACCGGAAGCAATCTGTACGTTCACTGCGTAATTCTCAACATGACGTTGTATCGCGTATCATGGGTCTCACAGGCTGGACGGCGATGACCGCGTGCGACGGACATGGGACCTCTACCGCCAGAACTGTCGTTCGCGGTAGTGGCGAATCTGTCTGCTTTCGAAAAAGAAATTTTGGACCGATCAAGAAAATTGGCATTCATTGCGTACGACACGCCCGACCACCAAGCCGATTTGCACGAAAACGTCGCCGAGCCATTGCCCCTTTTCGTGGCTGAAAACATCGCTCGTGCAAACGTCAAGCACGAAGGGCATACTTTGAATTTGATTAAGCACGCATACATTAAAGGGTTGATAACTGGGCTGGTTGGTAGTTAGACATTTGAACGGTATTAGTGCAGACGTATGAGGAAGAGAGAAGAGACAGAAAAGAGCGCTATTTTCTGTCTCTTCTCTCTTCCTCATACGTGTGCGCTAATACCGTTCAAATGGCACGCATACGATTTCTTTACTAGGTGCGAATGTGGCCAATGAGTGGTGATGCCCGACTTCGAGCCTAGGGAGTGCCTTTGGTGGAGGCGCCCTGATAAGATACCCGGAATTTTGGTTCACTTTTCAAATCAAGCAACTCGAGATCTGTGGCTCAAGAAACGAGTATACATCTTAGAAAACTTGACAAACCAGGATAAAACACTTCTTTGGGAAACGAGAGAATGGGCAAAGGCAAACCGGACTTGCGTCGTAATATTTTACCTGCAGGCTTTTCAGATGATACGACGTAGGACTGCATTGTTTTCTCAACATCGAAATTTGACCGGAGTTAGCCATTAAAAAAGCCCAGTAAAATAAACTAATTCGCTCCTTTTAAACCACCGAGTGCAATGAAAGACAAAAATAATGTGCGCGACGCTTCTTTAATTTTAAAATAAATGAAAATGGCAAAAATGACACTTCAAGGGGCTAAAACAAGAGTTTCTTAAATTTATCATAAATATTAAAAAAATATATGCTCTAAATAAACCTAGATAGTTACATTCTTCATTTCTAAAGTATATGCATGCCACATTTGGTTAATTCTTGCGCACAAACTGTGAAGGTGCCCAAAACTACATGAAAATAAAAATGTGCTCGAATTTTAACATAAATGTGTAGCTATAACCTTTCGCAGTGTGAAAAATATTGTTGTGCTAGTCAATTTCCGCGAGACGTCAAAGCTACAGAATACTGCAATAGAGAGGAGACGGCTAGGCCTACTTTGTCAATGTATATGTGATAGTGGGCGACGTCGCAGCTCGGCAAACCATGCAGAGAAAAACGGCTCAAATTCATGCCGTTTTGGGTTGCTTGGAGGCCTTCAAATACGCATTAGACCAATTTCGCGATCATAACCGGCACTAATATTTTTTTTACATCAATATAAAGATTCAAAAATAATAAAAACACTATAAAACCCTAAAATCACACATTTCGCAAAATATTGCAGTCTTTTTACCCGCATCCTCCCTCAAGTTCAGATGCAGCCGACACTACAAAGTAATGAGACCAATCAAAGATTCGTTTGGTGGGAGCAGCACTAAAAGATGTGGGGACAGGACGAGGAAACGCACAGAGACGGCGTCGGACAGGTTCTTGCGACTGTAAGTAGGCGTGGCCGATGCCGGACGTCGTCGGCTTGCTTTCTTTGTTCTCTTCCCTTCCCCCTTCCCACGCTTTTTCCGTTTTTGCGCACCAATAGACTTTCGGACGTAGGTCGGCGCCCTGTCTGTGCGTTTCCTCGTCCTGGTCCTACATTTTTCAGCGCTCTTCCCACCAAACAACTAAACACCACCAAATCGCCCAACTACGTGCCTTGGTACTGACCAAAGTGCGTCAAAAGAGCAAGTCGCTAGGCCTTCCGCATACACGGCCGGTCCAGCGATGATGGGACGCATATGCACTTTCGACGCTGTCCGATCGGTCCTGTCGGCTCGTGGCACCGGCTCGGAATGGACTTCAGGTGACGCACAGAACTATCGAATTTCCGGCAAAAAGTATGAATAAAGGTGAGTGTCGCCGCCGTCGTGAAGTCCCATCCCCTGGCTGCCAACGCTTCCGCAGACAGTAAAGCCGGATACCTCACTGACCGGCAGCCGAATAAGCATTTGCCAAGCACACCTACGCCACTGCGCGACCACCGGGATCGCGACGGGCAATGGCGCGACATTTCTAAGACGTCGTCGGGCAGAAATTGAGGTACCACAAATCGGAGATGCATTCCGGGATTAACGGCTCCGTCGAGTTTGCTCCGAAATGGTGCGACCGCTTTAGGGATGCGATCCGTGCCGCTTGGCATCCGGACGGCCGACCGTCGCGATTTGGACGCCAATGAGCAACGAGACGCGGACGACGCGCCAATTTTCGTTTTAAACATTCTGGCACAAGCAATCTCTTTTTTTTTTTTTTTTTTTTTAGTATTTTGGTTTTTGGTTAGGTTGGGAGCGCATTGTCGCCGAACGGTGCTCGTGCGAGCGGAAGACGAGAGAAATGGAGAACCGGCACGTTGTGCTTTCAGGAAGCGAAATGCGACGACGCAGGGGGGCCGCTCACCTTTTTTGATCCGGGTGCGTCGAGTTGAGGAGCCCCATGGCAGCTTCGTGAAGGGCATTGGCTGAGGAAGAGAAACGTGTGCGGAGGTTTTGCAGATTTTTAACGACTTTCTCGAAGAAAAGAGGAAGGGTGCCGACTAGAAAATGTTGAAAAGATACCGTAATATCCCAAGTCATCGCCCACCAATCGGCATACAGTGCGAACACTTGTTCCAAGAGAGCATGTTTCTAACACCGCTATGTTCTCTTTGCTAATTAAAAAAGAAAAAAAATAAGTCAACAAGAAAATAGAAAAACCAACCAGGTGCAATGGGCAAGAGAGCGGACGAAAGAAACGACGAAGAGCGATGCTGGGGAAGCGGGAAAGCCAGCGATTGCATAGGCCAAAACTTTGACATGGGCGACTTGTCAATCGCAACTTTCTTGTTTGGTGCATGCATGCATACGTCCGTGTGCGGCGTGCTATCAACGCGGGTCGAGGCGGCTTTACTGCGTGGCATGGACGGCACCACGAGCACGGACCTCAAAATGGGACGCTCTACAAACGTCTGTATGCAGCGTTCCAGCAAATCTTTATTTACCCGTTGGTTTTGTCTCAAACATCACACAACCTTACCAACCGCTGGCGCAACGTTCCGCGAGAAGGAGCGGGTTTGCGGTGACCTTGCTTCGGTGAAGGCAGACTTTATTTTACGCTCCGAGGTTACATTACAGGATATAGGGCGTTCGCTGACCTCGCGATCCCTGAATGGGTGCCTGCTTGTGTTATTTATCCAACTTTGTTTTTGAAGCGCAGCTCTTAGGTGCCCGTTTCCGGCATGAGCGGCGTCGCCGTCGGCGTAATTGCGCGTTGCATTATGGGAAGTTTCCCATAACGACGTCACGAGAGTTATCTTCGTGAAAGTTACAAGGATTACTCTCACAAGGGTTACGAGAATACCCTCACAAGGGTCACGAGCGTTACCCTCACGAGGGTTGCGAGGGTTAGTCACCCTCAAAAGGGTTACCCTCACGGAGGTCACGAGGGTTACCCTTACAAGGGTCACGAGGGTTATGAGAGTTATCCATGTGACCATCGTGAGGGTAACCCTCGTGAGAGTAACCCTCGTGACCCTCGTGAGGGTAACCCTCGTGAGAGTAACCCTCGTGACCCTCACGAGGGTAATCCTCGTAACCCTCCTGAGGGTTACCCTTGCAACCCTTGTGAGGGTTACGAGGGTTACCCTCACAAGGGGGGTTACGAGGGTAACCCTCACGAGGGTTACCCTCATGTGGGTCACAATCGTTACCCTCACGAGAGTTGCAAGGGTTAGTTACCCTCAAAAGGGTTGCCCTCACAAGGGTCACGAGGGTTACTCTCACGAGGGTTAAGAGAGTTACCCTCACGTGACCGACCCCCCCCCCCCCCCCCCCCCCGAGGTCACATGACCTCAGGGAGTCACCTATCCCTCCGTACCCTTCCATCCTCCTCCTCAAGAGCTGCGCTCTAATCCGGTGTTACAGGGAGTTGTAAACAGCTTTAATTATTTTTTCCCGAACAAACTTTTTTGTAAGCAAAACAAAGTTTCATTTTGTTTTCTCCATCGTTTTCTTCTTGCACGCATGTAATAAGACATCGGGGTCGCAGAAGTTGGGGAGGAAACGCGTACACAAATAGAAGTGTCTTTCCTTTTTTCATTGTACTTTGACACGGACGTCCTTCAACTGTAAGGTCTGCGGCCGCGTCATTTGGGTAGGACTCTGTGTTTTTTAAGTAACTGATATTCGCCCAAAAAGTGGGGTGGGCGATGACTCAGAATATTACGATTGTTGCACAAAATTAAATACATAGAACAGGGGGGGTCTCCAAACTCTGGCCCAAAGGCTAGATGCGGCCTTTGGCTGGTCGCAGTTTTAAGCCTGTGGCCAAAAAGAAGCGTGTCTAAAGAAGGAGCGGCACGACACACTCCAAATGTGCAAACAAAGATATATCAGGAAGAGTGAGAGAAACAGCTTAGTAATGCGGGTCCTCTCGCCACCACCTTGTCCCTGCCTAACCTCTCTCTCCGACGAAAAGTTGCTCGTTTGTGTCTTTTTCACAAGATCTATCATGCTAACCCATACTTAAAGCAACGTCTTTTCATCCCATTATTCTACAATTCACCTCGCATCGATCATCACCTCAAAGTTGGAATTTGTAAATGTAATACCAACGCATTTCTACTATCATTCGTCACTAACACTTCTTTGGAATGGAAGCACCTTCCGACTTCTGCATTTTATATTATTAATACCCAAATGTTTAAAAATGCTTTAAACACTTTTTACTGTCCTGAGCCGCCATCACAAACCTCATGTACTCTGCCCTTTTGTTTCTTTTTGTGTGTTATTTTGTTACTCCCCCTCCCCTCATTAATTTCGATTGGCCTTGAGGGTATTTAAATAAATAAATAAATAAATATTATCAATTGAACATAGTCACCATTAGCATTACCACTCTTAGTCCCTTGCTTCATGCCTGTGTAACTACGTTAAAATTCCATTGCGTTATCGTCTACATTGTGCTTAGTGTCCTATGTCGCAACTATTACATATAGTCAGCATTAGGCAGTTTTATTTTCCTCATTAGACTTTTGCTTTACACGAACATGCTAAAGTTCCCGTACGCTTTGATTTACTATGCCTGGTGAGATTTTTGGCCACAAGTGTAGTGTAATGTCATAATTAGCTAAATATTAAGTTTTAAATTTGACGTATACATATTAATTCATCTTAGGGGTTTTTAATACTTTCTCTAAGATTCATTTCTGTGTTTAAATGCTTATCTAAATTTATTGACTTAATTTTCCATCGATTACAATTACTTTTTTTTTTTTTTTTTACAGCCCTCGAGACCATGACAGATCGCCGATCCGGCCCCCGAGCCAAAAAATTTCGAGACACTTGTTATAGAGCGTTAGAATGCATCACAACCGATTTGCGTTATGCTTGGGCTTATGCACATTTTGTGAATTAATAAAGAGGTGGACCACTCTGCACTAACTACTTTGTTTACTTTTGGTCGGGACAGCTGCTTTCCGTATGTACAGGTTCCCAAACTTGGTTCCTAGAAACACGGGGGTTCTCTGAACTCCAAAATTTCCTCAACCGTCCCCGTTAAAATAGAAGTGTTTCTTCCAAAAGAAGCAGTATTTTAGTACAACCGAGACATTCACCGATGCATAACTCTATGCCAAGGCTCCCTCCAGGATGCATATTATCGTTTACAAGGTCCGTAGGCTTCTCCGCAGCATTATTTAATCAATGCCGAGATCAGGAAGGGTCCCTCAGCTATCGACGAAAAGAGTTATAGGTGTTTTTCCAAGATGAAAAAGCTCAAAAGCCCCTGCCACGACGTCATTAAAAGGAAACATACTTTAGAAAAGCGGCAAAGCATTAATCCTGCAATTATATATACCACTAATTTAGTTTCGTTGGAAAAACGTGCAGATTAACGGTGAAAATTACTCAAAACCATGGTGCTTCTTTATGTCGTTAGTGCAGGTGTCGATAAGGTGCGTGAATTAAAGTTGCACATTTAACATCGGAAGAATTAACCTTCCCAAAAACCTAAGAGGAACTAAAAGTTCCGTACCAGTGTTGCTGACCAAAGTTGTTGTTGTTCTTTATTATCACACCCACATCTCGGAGGTACTTGTCACCCTCTACACGGTCACGGCATCCTCCAGCAGCGTGCATCGCTAGGCGTTATCAAACGTCTAGGTACTTCTAGATTTGCATAGACAGATTTTCTATTTTCCATCCACCCTGTGGAAAGTGTCGAGGCAGAAGTAGATCGACAAAACTCCGGCAGACAGACACATGTTCTTCTACCATAACATACCGAGCGAGCACCCGCGTCAAAATAAGTGCCCATCACTAGTTTCGAAAAGTTTAAAAACCAGGTAAAGAATGTTTAAAGCACGCACCCCATACTTTTGAGGCCACCTAACTAACCAAGATGCCCCTCCTCGTCAGCCCCCTCTCTGAGCACTCCGGCACGATTCGGTGAATCCTACCCAACCTCGTGCCCCTTCTGCATTTTTGCTCTTGGACCTCACAAGCGCTCATACACCGGTTTTTCACAATTACCTTCAGACTTTAGGTGGCCGCTTGCTCGGTATCGTCCAACAACTAAAATGCGCGTCAAAGAGACCGCCCTGTGTACTTGCGTAGGAACGTGATGCAAGCGCAAAGCGTAGAAAGGGGGGTCACCTTGCTTCTCCTTTTCCGTCAGCTCTCTCGGAGGGGGTGGGGGCGGGACTCCCCCCGTCTCTTCCTCGCGGTTTGTTGCCCCCGATTGGCCGTCGGCAGCCTCTTCTTCTGCGTCGTCGCCTTTTGGTCTCCCAGACGGCGCCTCTCTTCCCGTCGTCCCTTCGTCCGGCTCGCTGCTCGCCTCCGACTCCGGAGTTCCCGCGGATTTGCGCTGCACAAGAGCGACGGTCAAGTCGAGGCATCTGCAGTTACGTGGGCAATCTCGACTGACCATAAGTAGGCTCTATATGCTCAGTCACAACTTAGTTCACTAGAGTCTAGCCATACTAAGAAACCACTTCGTTGAGTAGGCTCCAGACATGGTAAGTAACCAGTTACTTGAGTACACCGTAGCCACAATCAGTCACTAATCATAATCAGTGACCAGTTAGTTGAATAGACTCCGGGTATAATTGGTTACAATTTAGTTTGGTAGACTGCAGCTATAATTAGAAACAACTTAGCTGAGTAGATGATACCTATAATGAGTAACAACCTACCGCAAAATACCGCAGAAGTGCCCACTTCATTCAAGAGCCCACTATTAACATTTCCCAAATTTGGGAATTGTTCAAATTATACGTTAAGTGCCCGATTTGACTGGACAAGCGTCCACGTCTAGATTAACTCAATTTTCAGTGAAAGTGGGGTGCTCACTCCTCCGGCATATTACGGTAGTTGAGTAAACTTTAGCCATAGTAAGTAACCACTTAGTTGAGTAGACTCTAGCCATGGTAAGTAACCGCTCGGTATGGTAGACTCTTGCCATAGCAAGTAACCACTTAGCTGAGTAGACTCTAGGTAGAATCCCTTACAACATAGTTTAGACTGTAGCTACAATAAGTAACAACTTAGGTAAGTATACAGTACCTGTAATGATAACAACTTAGATGACTACTATGTACTATAAGGCTGTTTCAGACATTTAAGTTCAAGCATGACCAACTGCGCTACAATTCCTTCCGCTACAGCTGTTAGTAGTCGCAAGAGGCTTAAAAACCGGTTCTAGGCTTCCCCGGTCGTAAGCATTCACAGGTGTGTGAACTAGACTTTACTATAAGCAGTCATAATGATGTCACTTACACTCGGATGCAAAATTCTGAACCACTCCATAGTCGAGTCGACTGAGGTCATAAACGGTAACAACTTAGGTGAGTACGCTATAAACAAGTAAGAGTTTTTTGAAGTACTGCAAGAAAGCATGTCATTCTAATGCGTGTTCATTATTTTTAGGAATTATTTCTTTCCAGTCGACGGAGTGAAACATCTTCACACTGTGCTCCGAAGTTCACAGCCATTTCTGTCACACGTCGACGTGGCAACACAAGATCTGGAAAGAACTTACGCTGCACTAGGATACAATTGCACAAGGATAAAACTACCCCTGAACATAAATTTCGGTCAGAGCTAGATGACTTCCCACTTACAAAGCACGTACCAATTTTACTAATCCCCCAGTGTGGCTCAGGGGCCAATGTGCAAGTGACTGTAATGACACGGCTGAAGTGAGGATAACGACAAGGTTGCAGCGAGGGTAACAGCACGGCCGACGTGAAGGTCATAACACGGCTGAAGTGAGGGTAATGACACGGCTGAAATGAAGAAATTAACCGCACAAGCAATCAAGAGCCTTTTTTAAACGTAATCCTCGCTCAAGGTTCTTTTTGAGTCGTCCAAGGGGAGACAGCTGGGCTTACCTCAGACTGCATGACTGGCCCCCCCGTGGTGCCATCAGCACTGGCGCTCTTCACCGATACCGGTTCAAACCGGTTCCTCGGAACCGGTTCGGGGGCTTGCCGACTTCCCTCTTTTTCGGCCAAGTGGTCCGACCGATCGGCTTCGCCCGATTGGCCAGTCCCTTCGAGCCGATCGTGAGGTGTCAGACTGCCAGATGCTGGTGGAGCCTGCCACAAACGGTGCTCGTGAGTGTCATGGGGCGTCGTGATTCAGATCTCGTGAGCGTCACAAAATGTCACAATGTTTATTAAAAGACACCCGCGAGTAATGCAAGTTGAAGCGACACTAATACAGTCAATCCCGTGCAGCCCACCAGGACGGTCGCTTGTGACCGTCGCAAAATTGTGAATCGTCCTACAAGACTCATTGGACATTTTGTGTTTGTGCCTCTTATTGTGTTTACAAAATGTGTTCCGTGTATCGCAGTTCATAGTAGCATCGATAAACAGAGCACATGCAGCCGCCGCAGAAGAAAACCCATAAATTGTCACATCTAGCGATGCTTGCATAATAATCTTGTGCTCAGTTATGCTTGTTCAGTCACAATTTGTGATATCCACAAAATACTTGCTCAGCATCACGAGGTGCGATGCTTAGCAGACACCTTGCAACCAGCCGTAAAAGACGCCTACGATCGTCGGAAGTGTCAGAACGCGGCCTGAGCGGCGGCATTTATGCGAGAAAAAAAAGGTGCACATAGATGCACAGCCTACCCCACAGGACACTTGAAAAAATCCTGAAACTGTCAAATGTTGCTATATATAGAAAATATTGCGCACTTGCGAGTATCACAAATGAGACAGCATCGATGCGACCGACTGCTTGCAGTATAGCACGAAAAACACCCATAGGTGACGTAAGGTCACGTGTAGCAGCAGGAACCTAACACGAAAAGCACATATAAACCGTTTTATCGTGGGTAGCGCCATTTTGAATACTGTAGTGCCATCTAGCAAGCGTTAAGATCTGCAGCCATGCTGAGTGCTTAGAAACGTTGGCGAAAGTGTTCTTTGCGGCAGCCTCCCGCGTTGGGTCTGCCGGTTGGGTGCTCCAAAGTGCTGGGTATCCGACTTGGGGTGCGTCTTGTGTCTTGCACGCCGCGGATGGTGTTTTGTAACTCATTGGGAAAGTTTCTTGACCCGCATTATGGCATCCGCCAGTGCGGAAATGTCGAGAAGAACGACACTGAACGCACAACCGATAGGGATCAGAGGAAAGAGCTCAAAATATTGTATATGTTTACAGCAGTGGAATTTCCCTTCAGGTTTTTTGTCATTTCAGATGCGGTTCACAGATAATATTTTTGGCGTTTCGTGTCGTCCACAACAACGAAATATAATCTAAACAAAAACGCGTGAAATAAGAGCATTGCAGGAAACTATCGAAGGCAGCTGCCTCGGGCTCGGAGATGTTTATAAAAGTTTTAATTGAGGATCCCGCGTCGACGAGTGTGTCCTTCGCCTAGAACTGCAATTAGCGAAGTCGAGATGGACCCACTGCCAGAGTGAGTCTATTAATTATTCCGTGACTCGAAAACCATGTTATGAGCATGTTTCAGCAATAGAAACTGAAGTTTTCTTTCCAGCTACGTAAATACTAATTTGCAAAATAAGTAAAACCCAGTCGCATTGTGACTTTCAAGATAAGTTCACGGCTCTCTGCCATCGCGCACGATATCGCGATTAAGCAAAAACCGATAGAACTAACTTTTCGATAATTTCCATCCACACCCCGCGGCGGAAATGAGCCTTCAACTAAGCGTTGTAGATGATAAAATCTAGTCAATGTCACCACTGCAAGATATTAGCATTAAGATAAATTAAGCTGAAACAGTGATTATCACGAGAATACTGGCACTCGCCTTGCCATGTTCATCGAGGGAACAGCGGTAAGTTTGGTGCGCGCTCTATTCACAAAATGTTCCGAGCAAACTCGAGAGGATGCCGTCCGTTAAAAGACTTTACAGTTTACGGACGCAAACCACTGCCGCCGGAGGTGTCGGTCATTTGAAAAGCGATGGAGTTTGAAGACATGCAGCCGCAGTTGCCTTGTTGGACCCCGTGAGTGATACAGGTGCCCTCCAATAATATTCTGTACATTTGGTTGTTATTCATGCAGCTTATTACCAAGCAATGATGTCCCGATGACCAGGGCATTGTCGTCACTGATTCTGCTAGCTCTAATTACACCTGGAAGTAAATAAAATAGAGGAAACCACAAAGAAAACAACCAAACTTGAAAAAACACAGAGGTTCAAAGCGTTCACCCCTGTTTCTTGCTCGTTCCTAACCACTCAGTGTAAGGAGGAAAGCATAAGCAGCCCTTTCCCCTTCTTCTCTTGCCCTCTTTCAGTAAAACTGTCTATCCAGATACTTGACACCATCACGTCACATGATGTCATGTGGCATCAATTTCTCCGCTAAATTTAGCAGGGAACTGCTCGGATGGATGAACAAACTCCCGGGATTTGGGTTCCGTTAGAAGGCATTTCACAATAATTTTTTTTTTTTCTTCTTTTCAAAAAGATTTTTTTTTTTTTTTTGCAACATTTTTTTGGGGTAGATGTATGCATGGATTACTATGCAGTGGACAGACATGCTTCTCCCGGGAAAAAGATATTTAAAATTTATTCCATATCTCGGGTCGTCGAACAATAATCTCTAGTCAGCCCTTGTGTTCGCAGCGACAAACTTGGTAGGTACAAACACATGTCAGCAAACGTCTCACAGTGACAAACGGAGAAGTGTGTGCATCAATGACAACAGCGACGGAGGCAACAGCAGCAAATGGGTTGCTGCTTAGTTTCGGTGCAAAGAAGCAAAAGACGGCCGCGAGATTGTGAAAAATGAATTTTCAGCAACGACGTCGCAAGACTTGTCGCCGAAGCAATGAAGCAGGCCATCCAGGTAAGTGAACGGTCTTTATCGGAGACGCTGTGCGAAGGATTGGGACTGGATTGGCAGTACATGATCATATTCTAGATCTATGACTACTGTGGTATCAGTGTGATAACAGTGTGACAGATGACAATGCTACATATGGTGTGCTATGGTTATCGATGGCGTCTGCAGGATCGCCTATAAAAGGGCTGACAAAATGCTTCCTTTTCCCAGATGGCCCGTGCAAGCGGTTCATTCTTCACTACTCGCAATCACACGTCGATAGTACAGCGGCGCGACAACTACCAATTTACTGCGACTAATGTTTCTCGGGCAAAGCTATCAGTATGGACACCTCCAATATGGCGGAAACTATAATTGATCGTAAGTACATTCGATGACGTTCTTTTTGCATATGGTCTCTAGCAGCTGCCCACGCTCGCTGCACATCTTTATACTGACGCACCTGCAACGCAGGGGATGGCACTTCTTTCTCCTCTCCTTCCTTGCTGCGAGATTTCGGCTCGTTTGCGTTCCCAGGCTCCTCGGAACTTGCGACACCAGCCGTTGCAATCAGGGCGAGGCACAGCAGTAGCAACGCTGCAACCATTTTTCTTGAACCACAGTGCATGGTGAAAGAGACTACCTGGCTACCGCATCTGAAATGTGAAAAAAGAGCAAGCTGGTGACTGTTTGTCCGAAGAAACAAAAACTGGGTGGTCCCTTTTTTCTTTTTCTTATACACTGATACATTAGATTGTAGCGATAGACCCTTTCCGAAATTCAGACAGGCCACTTTGGCCACTATCTTCATGTGAGGAATGACATCTGTATTGTAATTTTGTGGTGTCCGGTGAACAATTTGAAGATGTGCCGGAATCACGGTGTAAGATGATACTCTTCAGGTGAAAACAGTCCGCTCCTCGCGACGTGCCGATAAAGTTCGCTTTTCACTCGCTCTCTCTTTCTCTCTCTCACTATGGTTTCAAGCGGCGCCGGCAGATGATTCATCGACCCGTCGGCACGGTGCAAGACGCAGGAGGCAGGCAGCAATGCACAAGACGGCTCGTGCCGCCTCATGCTCCACACGCACAGAGCTCCAGCGAGGTTGTGGCACGTGCAGAAACACCACGGTGTACCGGGGAGTCATGGCAACGAGATAATTTTTTCTGCCCTCTCACAGTTTCGCCGTCTGGCCACCGGCGACACCGTCAGCCGCAGGCACGAATGGGCACAATGGCCGCGGAACAATGCAGCCGTTCGGATGCCCGTCGAACAAACGCTATCTGATTCCACGTGCCGCGCATTGAGCCTCACCGTGCCCTCACCTAAAGAGTGTATCTTACACCGTGGCCCGAGTTCATCATGCGAGGCTTATACATTCGAGACATCAGTGTGATGCATGAAATTAATACAAGAGCTGCGTAAAGGTCTCTTCAGACGATGCATCTTGTTGGCAAATCTTCGGTTGCGTTCAGACAAGAAACAGATTCCCCGTCTGAACACGACCAAAAAAAGTGGCGCGCCTCCGGAAAAAGTGGCGGGTGTTCCTCGCTTCTGGAGCAATTTTTAGCTGAAACCTCACCGAGGCCTCTCCATCACCCGAAGGAGAAACGTGGACGCTGCCAATGACTGCTCAACTTCGCTATGACGTCTGACTTTCGAGGAGGAGCGAGCATTTGGAGGGGTCTGAATTTTTGCCAGTTCCATATCCTAGCTAAAGCCGAAAGAAAAAAAAAAGCAAACATGGCGACCGACAAGCGGAGAAGCGGTGCGTACGGGCGACGAGTCTTGCTCCTACTCGGTTGCAGGTGTGTGAACGGCACTTAAGCGGTACGGGTTGGTGTCGTGGCGCAGATTTATCAACAGCCGCGACGAGTGCAAGCATCGCATATAAACATGATGACTTTGGATAACTTTCTTTATTGGCAGTGCAAAAATGTCCGAAATGCTTCAAGATCGTCTGCCTGTTTCCTGGCGTTCGCGGTCTTTCCTGGGTTTGGCAGGACTAGTAAACCCGGTGAGCTGAATCTGACGAAGTTTATTGAGTGGCATTAATAAAATAGACTGCCTCTTCACACTGTGCATACTTCATATCATTTTAATACGAAACTCTTGGTAATCTTGGTGCAGATGACAAGGTTTGGCGAAATTCTCGTGAGTCAATACGTTACAGGTTTTGCGCGTCAAACTCCACGTGTGAACAGGCCGATTTCGCGAAATCTCGGTTTTGCTAAACTGTGGAGTGTTGAAAAGATGCATCGTATGAATACGACTTAAAGGGGCCCTCCGGAGCTTTCTGCAATTGTCTGTTTATGTTGTTATATTGCGTAGTAGGTGCAAGTTAATATGTATACAAAGTTTTAGATTACAAAACCGTTTATTAAGCAGATGGCGATAGAAATATATCGGGACTATTTTCTCTTGGAAGACAATCCCCCATTCCCTGCCCATCGCTAAAACTTGACCAATGAAAATGCTGCATCTCGCGGGGAATGCGAACGTTATTATTGCAACACTTTTTAAGCTTGTTGCAAAGTAGAGTTTGAGAAAAACGTAAACTGATTGTGGTGCGGGAAACATAGTCTGCAATTATCGTTCTAAAACCAGCGAACTATGTTTTCTCCCCGCAAGCTTGTTGCTAGGGGGTGATGCGTCGGCGCGTCGGCTCGTCTGCTTCCCAGGGCGTGTGCAGGCGTGCGTTTGTGGGACATGTGTTCCTTCTTCCCGTGGATCCCGACTCCGAAGCCAGCTCTGCGATCCTTCCACGTCAGCCAGTCAAACTTTTCCTTGTCATCTGTGGAATGCGACTGCGTATTGCAGTAGCAGCACGACGATACGGTGCAACGAACGACGACTGCTGAGCACAAAGTCCGGGCTCCTTGACGACGGTCCGCGCGTGTTCGTGAGATTCCTCCGCGGGTCGGCGGTCGACCGCGTTGGTGACGTGCAGTGACGCCAGAATCTTCGCTTGCTATTGGCTGACGCGTAAAGAGATGCCCCTCCCGTTTTTCGGGGTCATCTCAAGAAGGGAGGCGTGCCGGGGACTTTGATAGCAATTTTAATAGGGAAATCCGCGGCACATGACCGTAATTTTATGATTTTTAGGATCCTTAGGGCCTGTAGATTGAGTTACCGCCATAAATAGACCATCGCAGAACGCTCCAGAGGGCCCCTTTAAGTGTTCCTTTCTATTTTTGGGCCCAACCAGTTGGCACACTATCGGCTAGCCTCCTAATGTAAACAAATTTATCAAGTAGTTTGTGTCGTTTGGAACTTTGTCCAGAAGCGGTAGCAGCTTTGTTATAACCGAAACTGAAAGAGATTGAGAAAGAACTGTACAGTGCAGAGTACATACTCGTCTGCCGTCAACTCGCAAAAGCGACGGTGCAACGATGAGCTGCAATTCGAACCACCGGAAGACACCGAATTTCGAAAATGGTCTTCTATCGTCATTAACATTGTTCGTTGTTTCTCGTGGCTTACGTCGCAGTTAAGGCCCGTTCACACTTGCGACAGTCGCTGGAGCGACTAGCGACTAGTGACTGGTTTTTGGTCGCGGAGCGACCAAAACAGGTCGGTAGCGACCGATTTTGGGCAGTCGCTCCCTGACCGATTTCTCAAGTCGCAAAACCGAGTCGCTGGATGGCGGGGCCAATCAGAGTCTCGTCGGAAGTGATGTGTGCGTTTGTTTACATCCGGCACTGCTTCCTGCGGGAAATAGCGACGCGCGCACGGCGGCGGTCACTGGCATAGAGTTCTCCGCAGAAGCTATTTGTTCCTTTACAATAAGCGGCACCCCGACCACAAGGATCGGGGCAAAAAGCTGGCAGGTACGTACCATATCACGGTTGAGGGCTTATTCACTGTGATTGAGAGAGCGCACAAATAGCCGTTGTTTTACGTTCCGAAGCACCATTAAGTTTTCTTGTTTTTTCCTGCCAACACCTTTGATCAGATAAACCTTTCACCCGGCTCGGGAAGGTGTTGATTACTCTCCGTTAGGTTGGCAGCGAGCCTGGCGACTCGTCGGTCGCTGAATCAGGTGTGAACACTGGTGGTCGCCAGTCGCTTGTCGCTAGTCGCTCCAGCGACTGTCCCAAGTCGCAAGTGTGAACGGGCTTTTAACCCGACGAATAACACTTACCCTCTTGTGCGATCTGACAGTTCGACCACGGGGAAGGAAAAACAAAATACTCCTTCGAATACTGTCAAAATGAACTAGGTGATACTGCAACCGAGATGAATCATTTTCCTAATCCACGGCTAACGATCGAAGCATGCTATCAAGGCTGCAACACCGCGATCCAATACCAGAACGCAACATCTCGGCTGAAGAGAGCTGAAGAAACGGGGTGGGGCGAAACACCACGCGTCGGTGCGTGAGTGACTTGGTACCCCGTGAATCGTGCACGAAGAATACTCACCGCTACGAAAGTCACCACCGCAGTATAGCCGTAGCGCGCGCAGAATAACGCAACGCAGCTGTAGCCGACAAGCGCTACGTCACGAATCCATTAAACCGACGTGTCTCAACTCCCCGGAAAGCACCGCAACCCCAGCGCGTGTCGGTCGCAGTCGGTCAAACGTTGGTCAAACGCGCCGCCGCCGCCCGAAACATCAATAAGCGATCACTGAATGTAGTGAGGTCCGCGATCTGTCGATGCCCCAAGCTCACAAACGCCCACTTGACTGGCAACGCGGTCATACACGATTCCTGGAACTTTTTGCTGTTGAGTCTTCTGTTTTCTGACACAGAGAGAGAATTCACTATCGGTGCATTACTTTGACAGTGAGGACCTACGAAAAAAAGCGAAATATTTTGAGATGAGAGCCTATGTGTTTTGTTGTCGATGGTGTTTGATTAACGTGCGCTCTTACCGGGGGATGATTGCAAGGTGTAGTGCTAGCGTGTTGCCTGCTTGCGCCAAAGGGTCGTTCGTAGGCGGCGGTCGCTAGGCATTGGTGAGGTGAACTATCGAGTTGATTAGAGACCGCACTTTAAATTAACGAGGTGACGCCAATACACGTAAAATACGACGATTCCTGACATGCCACGTAAAGCTAGAGACCATCGCAACGCAAATACTACGCGTCGATGCTCATTGGGACGTCTGCTGCGGACAGCCCTCAACATCTATGGCGATAATTTCGGGGTTGCGTTGGTGGCGCTAGCAGAAGGAGAAATAAAAAAAAAAGTGGTTAAAATGAATCCCGGCTGTTTGGTTCCAATATAAAATTCTACCTGCAAATGCACTTTTACAAAACAAATAAATTTGTATGCTACTATGTATGCCTATATATTGTAGCAGAAGTAGGATCAGTAGGGGGAAGGGGGGGGGGGGGGGGGGGGGGGGGAGGGAGAGGGGAGGACGGAGGTATCGCCAGTATCGCTGGTATCGACAGCCGAGTACAAATTAACAAGGCGAGAGACACATTCGATTGCTCTATAAAACGTAGTATTTATCGCACGATTTAATAGGAACGGTGAAGTACACAAATATTTCCTAATGCCCAACGTGAATAACAGAGCACTTTTATTTGACATACCGTGAACCCGTGGAGGCAACTTTATGCTCGAGACGGTTAGACGAAGTACCCAATTTCAAATGCTATCTTTTTTACCTATCGTCTTCAGATAAAGTTCTTTGTCCAACAACACGCACTTCACACGATGAGTATAAACGTCGGGAAGTAAAGCTTTCAAGAAAGCGTTTAACACCATCGCCGTCAACCCCCAGATCTTGAATTGACCCACCAGAAAGACGGGCATGGAATAGTCCGTATGACGCTTTCTAAACTGCGTGAAACGAAGGTTTGCGGGGTCACAGAGTTCGTCCAACGTCCTCGTGAAGGCAAGTTGGACCTCGTCGTCGTTGACGTTCAGACTCTTCTCCAGATCTAAGTCACTTCCTTGGCCCAGCATCCCCAAGACAACCGTCATGGTCATTCTGTCGAGCGGGTTGTAAAAAGGCGGGAAAGTCCCCAGCACTTTTATCTTGCTCCGCTGAAGACCCAGCTCCTCTTCAGCTTCCCTCAAGGCGGTGTCCAGGGGGTCAGCATCTTCGGCGTGTTGTATGCCGCCAGGGAAACAGACGTATCCCTTGTGGCGTGGAAGACGAGTGGATCTCAGGGTAAAAAGTATGGACGGTTTGTTGCCCCGAGTCGTGCAGAGTGGTATGAGTACGGACGAATGGCGGTGTCTGGACGAGTCTTCAACGCTCCGCGGTTTGGCGGTGCCGAGTTTGGTCGCTTGCAGCCTGGCGACGCACTTTTGGAGGTTAGATTCTGAGAAAGCGGCGTCCGTGCTTGAAGTTGAGTAAGTACGCATCGCCTGTCCGACGCGTGTTTTGTTGAACACGTGGCAAAACATTTTCTGTCGTTGACTTTGCTCCGTTTGCTCACATTCGTCCTCTGCAAGGTCCGAATCGTTTTCTGCTCGGCGATATGCTTGCTTGTCAAACTTGCTCAGCTCGCCTTTCAACTTTTGTTTTACGAAATGTCGCCGGTTGTTTAGATTACGATTGTCAGATGCCTAAGAATTTTCAAAATATGCCTATTTAACTCAAGGCATACAACCAATACAACTTCTAAACTCCCTGAAGTTGAGCACATATCGCCTCACCATCCACCACGCCCCGCAAACTTCCTCCCAACACAAGTCAGTGCCACAAGCCAAGTGCCAAGTGGCACAAGTCGCAAGCCAAGCGAAGGCGTATAGCGGAGCGAGCATCGTCTGCTATCGAATCGTTTTCAGTTGGCTTCAGGGGTCGTCAATTTCAGAACTGTTTTACACCGAGTTTAAAACCGCAATTCTGTGCCTTCTTTTGAGATTTAAGCTGACTATAGTGGATCAATTAGTCACGCTTAAGACACGAAGTGGTTATCCTTCAATTTTATAGGGTGTTAGCACAGGCGAACCGTTTTGCATTTTTTGAGTTCCGTCCTTTTAACTTTCTTTTTTGTTATGTTTTAGTTTAAATGCATAGCACAACCAAGAAATGAAGTAGAAACTAATAATATTGTTCAGCGCGTGGAAGAGGGTCTTTTGGCTGAACGTGTCTTGCCAATCCTGAAATAAAAACATCAAAGTAATTAAAAAACAATTGATTGTCGGTGCGTGATCGGAATAAATTAAACGGTGTGTTTGTCCGTCTTCTTTACCATAATTAGGTCCTTGTCAGTTTTAAATTTTCGCTAGTATAAATGGTAGAATCGTAATGTAAACTCCAAGATGACCCACCTTCGCCTGGAACGTTTGCGTTTGGCATGAGGTATGGAGTCTGACGGCAAAGACTCGCTCTCGTGGGGCTCCGGGTCAGAGTAGGACAGAAGGTGCGGGAAGCCGCTACGGTGCGGCTGCCAACAGCTGCCGATGCTGCTTCGGCTGCACACTAGGAATGCGCACCAAAACACGAAAGCTGCCAGGAACAATCGGTAGAGCCAGGTCGCCAGCCGACAGGAAACGCACAGCACAAAGGGCCAAGACAGTGGACTTAGGAGCACCACAGCTGATAATGTCGACGGAAACTGCACGAACAATTTTTTTTATGCTATTAGGTTGTCGGTTATTACGGTGTCTGTTACGACGTTGTCTTCTGCTAAGATGTCTGCTACCAGGTTGTTTTCTACTAAGATATCTGCTACCAGCTTGACTGCAACCAAGTTGTTTTCTGCTAAGATGTCTGCCACCAGCTTGACTGCTACCACGTCGTCTGCTACCACGTCGTCTGCTACCAGGGTGGATGCTACCGGGTCGTTTGCTCTCAGATTACCCGCTACCACGCCGTCTACTACCAGGTTGTCTGCTACTACGCTGTCTTATCGCGTCGTCTGCTATTACGTGTTTCGCTACCAGGCTGTCTGCTACCATGTAAACTGCTCATGGTTGTAAAAAATATATATATATATGCAAGAAACGATGTTTTTTAATAGTTTAATTAGTCCGCCAATGAGCTTGATTTCGCGTTTTAGCAAGAAATGAAAGTCGACGAAGTGATAAACGCACAAAGGCTCGTTGGGTAAATGACAGAGGGAAAACAAAACAGTGCACAACAATATTCGGACACGGGCTAGGTTTTTGTGCATATTTGATCATAATTCGGACGATTGAAAGCTGTGATCGTAATATGTAGGTATCCTGTCTGGAATGCGTACAACCAAGCTAACCGCCACAACATTGCTCACAGTAAACACATATCTAGGCGACGTTATGGTATAACTCATTTTGCAGCTCAGCGTGCACAAGTTCTTACATTGCAGCATCCGGAGAAAATCATGACTGCTATCTCTGGCCTGCTTCACATTTGGGCGCCAAGGGCGGAGTCTGTCATTACCCGTCTTTGTGGCGAATTTTTCGCGTGCAATTGTTCATTATACGGGCGATTGCAATCGTGCTGATGGGGACCCGGTTCGTTACTTTTCGGGCACTGTTTTACGAAATTATAATTCTTTACGAAAATCCGATCAGTTCTATTCTTATTGAAGGGGCAATTCAGAGAGATGTCAAGACCTTCAGAAGATGTCGCACGTTCGCAATTTCGCATGATCTTTCTTAAACAAAATGCTTGCTTATGTAAAACTGTGCAAAACTGGTAACCACTGCGTTTCCAATCGAAATAATAAAAAAGCGAAAAAAAAACAAAACATCTGGCGTTTGCGGCATTTGCTTTTAGTGCAAAAATACTCTAGAAGCTGGGCTTGATAAATATAATAACAAAAACGGCTTGACATAACAAAAATAACAATTTAAACAAGATGCCTCCCGCATGGGAGGCGAAACGTTTAATTAAATTGTTATTTTTGTTATGTCAAGCCGTTTTGTTATTACATTTATCATTTGCTTTTAGACATCACGAAATGCGCGAATTTGAAGGAATCGGCACAACGCCACGTTAATGCATCACCCGCATTGTTTCTTCTTATGAAAGCGTTTAGCTAACTCCGAATAAAGAGTACACTTTTTAGTAGCTAGCAGACGACACGAACGGTTTCGTTTCAACAGCCAACGCAATCCAAAGCGATCCGCTCGTTACCGTCGCAACTTTGAACATGGCTGCTAGGGACGCCGCCTCTGCGGCTACCAGTGCTCAAATCCGCGATTGTCTAAGCCCTGCTATCGCCGCATTATTCAAATGCAAGCCAAAGGACCCCATCTCGTTCTTCGAAGCCTATTTTAGACACGAAAGCGACCATGACACCGCAGCAAGGTCGGCGTTGGTGCTCCGTCATTGCGATCCCTTTCGAAGTGGAGCAGACACTTTGATCCATGACGTGTACTCTACCTTCGCCGAAACGGAACATTCTGAAGTCCTCCTTAGCCAAGAGATCTACAGGCGCTTCCTGTCGCTTTTAACGAATGATCTGCCCGAAACAGTTTCGGAGAAAACAGTCCACAAGCTGAGCCAAGCCCTAGGCGGGACGGTCTGTTTTTCGGACTTTCGAACGGGTGTACTCGCTGCAATGTGCCTCAGGCGCTTCGTGAAACGCTTTGCATCGGAAACGCAGCATCCTTTGGAGTTCTACGAAGCTGTCTTGATGAAGTTTAGTGATCTGGACGCGTTGTTGCGAAGTGATGCGACATTCGGGGTGAGCAGCGAATCTGGTTGCCAAGATTCAGAAACAAAACCGGAATTGGAAGCAAATGTCCAGTGTGCGTATGCTTTTTTGAGATGGTTAAAGTAGCAAAAAATTACGCCTCCGTTGTTGGTTCTTGAAACTAGCTATCAAACAAAAGAGTGGCCAAAGAACCTACCGTAACAGAGTGCTGTGACCATACCTCGGCAAACCTCACTCATGAGGGCCCTCACTCACCCTCACTCGCCCTCATCTTCACAGGTGAGGTGAGGGTGAGTGAGTTTCTGAACCAGGAAAATTCATGAGTGTGAAAGTGAGTGAGGTCCGTGAGGGCCGTGAGGGCTGTTAGGACCGTGAGGGCGGTGAGGACCGTGAGGACCGTGAGGGCCGTGAGGGCGGGGAGGGCGGTGAGTGGCGTGAGGGCCATGAGTGTGCGAGTGGTGTGAGGGCGGCGAGTGCGTGAGGGGTGTGAGGGCCATGAGTGCGTGAGGGCAGTGAGTGGCATGAGAGGCGTGAGGGAGGTGAGTGCATGAGGTGGTGTGAGGGCCATGAGGGCGGTGAGTGCGTGAGGCCCCCTTCAGATCGAGCATCTTTCTCAGCAATTTTGGTGTTAATGGCGGGTTGTTCTCAAGCTTCCCCTAGATCGACACGAATTGCTGAGATCGGGTCCGGCTCGAAATAAGCAAGCAACTCGGAGCAACTCGAATACGTTTGAAGCGGCTGCATCTAATCAGGGACGCAAAATTTTCATGTGATACCTCGTGCCGGTGATGATGACACCGAAAGACTTGGTTCTCGTTTGAAATCGATCGTTTTCTTGGAAACAAACTGTTTCAGAAAGGTGCATTAGTATTCTTAACAAGATTTAAATGCATAAAAACACGTTTATAACGCGTAATTGTGTCTAAATAGTGCAAGAAAAATAAAATTTTATGATGACGATGGCAAATTGCAGCAATTGGTTGCTGCGTGTGATCGCGGGCGGCGCGTGTTGCTGGTGTTGTGACGTAAAGTTTCTGGGCGAAATTGCCCCATCTGAAGCTGGCCTGAGTGGCGTGAGGGCCATGAGTGCGTGAGGGCGGTGAGTGGCGTGAAAGCGGTCAGTGGCGTGAGGGCGGTCAGTGGTGTGAAGGCCGTGAGGGCCGTGAGGGTGGTGAAGGCAGTGAGGGCCATGAGGGCTGTGAGGGCGGTGAGTGGCGTGAGGGCTATGAGTGCGTGAGGGCGGTGAGGACGGTGAGGGCTATGAGGGCCGTGAGGGCGGTGAGTGGCGTGAGGGCTATGAGTTCGTGAGGGCCGTGAGGGCGGTGAGTGGCGTGAGGGCTATGAGTGCGTGAGGGCCGTGAGGACGGTGAGGGCTATGAGTGCGTGAGGGCCGTGAGTGGCGTGAGGGGCATGAGGGCCGTGAGGGCCGTGAGGGCCGTGAGGTTCAGTGAGGGTGAGTGAAGGGCTGAAGGTGAGTGTGACTGAGGGTGAGGGTGATTGAGGGGCTGAAGGTGAGTGTAGCTGTGAGGGTGAGTGAGGGGCTTAGGTGAGTGTGGCTGCGAGGGTGAGGGTGAGTGAGGGCGACCTAAAATGCCGACCTCTGGTTGTGACACGGATGCAATGTGGTGCATCTTTGATGACTGTGCAACTCATGATGCCCAGGTGTTAAAACTTCAATTATGCCAAAAATATGGGAGAATATATGCACTGTATTAACATCACTTGGTCCCCCATTCTGTGGAGTTAACTGAGCAGCTCTTGCAATCTCATAGTAAATTCTTTGAATGTTAAGGCTAACATCTTTGTGTCGCTGTTGAATATGGTACAAATATGTATACAGAGGCTGTCACGGCCTAAAATACAAAGCATGTGGCTTAACAGTGTATTTATTTTTATTTAAATCCCAATACACGCCCAGAATGTTTTATATAAAACGCATGCCAAAGCCTGTAATTGACTTCCACTGTTGGCATGCGAAGCAGGTAAGTACATTTTCACAGCCACAAGTAATATACAACAGCCACACACACAAAATCAATCCAAGCACTCTTGCAACTCTATCAATCTAACTTTGACAAACTTTGTTCAAACCTGATCCTGAACCAAGATGTGTCGCAAAGGAAACAACATTGCATACGGCATTGAAACTTTTCAGAGTCATTACTTAGAGGCTGGCTTGTTCGATACCCTCCAACTGAATTGCAGACCACTGGCATTAGCTCGTGGCTTTTTGACGCACATATGTACATTGAAACTGACTGTCTTCCATAGCCATTGCGCATGCTCACAGCCTTCGAAGATGCTCAACCTAATACAGACTTGGACAATGTAAGATGAAACGACACGATTGAAAGATAAAAGTGATCCTCGAGACGAGAATTTAAAGTAACGAAAAGGGCATGTTCATGAAAATGCGTAGCACTGCGACTCTGCATGTCCTTTCCCGTGTTCCGAGACGCACTTCCGTGTTTGTCGCTCTTACGTGACATGCCCATTGTTTTAGAATGGCTCAACAAGTAGCCCAAGCTTCAGCCTCAACAGGGCCCACTTCAACGTACCCCGTGTCCGCACACTTTGCTACTGTCCACCCCCAGCTTGGTGCAGGCTCGATTATATCTGGCCAAAGCATTTTTTGTACAATCGGGCCGAGTCAGATAGCAGTGGGGCTGCACTTTTGTCTGCATATTCTTCGTCGAAGCTAGTTAAACCTCTCGTCTCGGAGTCGGGCGTCCAGCATCTCTTGCTTGTAGCCTGATCGTTTCAGCTCACATCATCCGAGACTGCACCGATGACACCGGTACGCAGTTGCGAGCCGCCTGGATGTACACGACACTTCCGGTCACTCAGAAAGCGGGCCCACCTCCGCGATTACTCCCAGTAACCATACGCCATCTTAAGTCCCCAAAACGGATGCTAGGGATCACTTGTTGGGCGTTCGGAAGGGCACCCCATCCACGCCGAGCAGCCCCGCCCCGTCCCCCGCCCCCAGCGCAGAGTCCCCCTCCACCTGCATCCCGCCGCCGCCGTCCTCCTCCTCCCCGCCGTTCTCGGCGGCCGCCCTCGCGTCCGACACCTGCTTGAGCAGCCCCTTGGCATCCTCCTTGGTCTCCGCAAACTCGGTGCACTTGTGGGCGTACTCGTAGGCCTTGTCCAGGGCGCCCTCGCGCAGGTAGTGCTTGGCGAGGAACACGCACGCGTGGGCCTGCTCCTCGTGGTCTGCCCCCGGCGCGCCGGGGATCGCCCTGGCCTCACAGTCCCGCACGTAGTCGGCGAAGGCCGCCCGTGCCTGCGGCTCGTGGCCGAGGCGCTCGTAGACGCGCGCCAGCTTGAAAAGCGCCATGCCCTCAACGTCGCCGACGGCGTGCGCGCGCCAGAAGCACTTCTGGGCCTCGGCGAGTTTATCCAGCTTCTCGTAGGCCTCGCCCAGGGCCACCATCATGCGGGAGTCGCTGGGACGCAGCTGCTGGGCTCGCCTGCGCAATCGAGAGAAAGGACCGCTTCGTTACGGTGCCCGCAACATGTCCTCGACCGATGCCCATTTAGCGTCCCGTTTTGCCCAAGCGTCGAAAGCAGTCCCCTAGGGGTGACGAACTACGTCACGAAAGCTGGAGCGTCACGCCATTGGATGTCACGATCCCAACAATTGGGCGTAAAAGATCAGAAAAAAAAAAGAAAAATCACATGACAATGCGAGTTCGGTTGTCGTTGCGCCGTCCTAACTCCTGGCTGTTGAAGCTTCCACGGTCTCCCAAGCCAGAGAGCAACCCGCAGCAAAACGAGCGCCTGCCACAGACACAGCCGGGATCGCGGCCGTCGACAAAGTGACACTTTTGCGATGTCGTGAGGCAGAAATCAGGGAATCACTTTTTAAGATGCGGTCAACACACCAGTCACTAACGCGTTCTAGTCACCCTGACTTCAGTATGGCTGGACTTTTCTTTTGTTAGATCATGGCAGCCAGCTTAACCCATTGTACCAGACAAAAAAAAAAAAAAGAAAATTCTTTAGATGACGGGAACAAGGCTGACGCGCACAACAACCTGTAGGGATGTCAAATGCTTGAGTGCATCTGTTCTTTCTACTCGGTGCGCGTCTTATGATTTCAGTCTCATGACCAGAAATGTCTTAAAGGCTGTCAGTGACATTTAGAGGTTGCCACCAATGGCTAGCCACTGGAAGATCCCAAGGGTGTTGGAAAACTACCGAGGAAGTATTGGAACACTAATTGATCGGCCAAGTTTGATGGAACACTACGAAGGAATCCTTCCGGCAGGTTGCTATGTTTAGGTTTGCAATAAATCGTGAGCGATGCTTGGATAAGCTATGGGTACATTTAGAATTTTCTGTCGATAACTTCTAACTTAATTATGTTTTGTGGAAAAAGTATAGACAGTAGTGCACAGGGCCGTACCCAGAAAAAAATTTCGGGGGGGGGGGGGGGGGGGGGGGGGAGGTTTCGAAGACAACGGCGGCCATTTTGTCTTATTTTCGCCTATGAATCATGTGCATCGGTGGCATATAATGGAGAGTTATAGCAAACCGAAGAACCGGTCCCGGTTTGGTACCCGGTAGCCGACCGGTGCCACTGCGCGTGCGCAGAGGTGGAGATTAAAATCAGCTGGCTGCAAGTGCACCGGCCAGGGCCGTACCCAGAAAAAAATTTCGGGGGGGGGGGGGGGTCAGAACCCCCTAACCCCCCCCTGGTTACGGCCCTGGTAGTGCAGATAGCTCAGTTGGCTTCCACGGATATCAATAGTACCTTCAATGGTTCTATACTGTTTCATTTTAGGTGTGAGTGTAGCAAAAGCTACAACAGCGAGCTCTGAACTTTCCGCATTCCTGTCAAGCATGCACCCTCATACAATGCAAGCATCATTGAGGACAACATGCTCGTGCGTGTAGCTTCGACTTTACTGAAATGGAGTATACCCCTGTCAATTTACTTTCTCAGAAAAAACAACAAACCTGTGCTGTGTTTGTGCCACTAAAGTTACAGGTAAAAGTAACAAAAAAAATTTGCACCTAAGGAACAGACAGTCCGCATTTAATGACTGGGTGAAAGTTGAAACTTTATAAGTGTGGCAGATACTTTTTGGCATTACGCCTTTCCAAGTGCACCTCTGTGACTTGTTACGCATTTCCGCGCGGTTCTGCCACCACGGAGAGACGACAAACCAGTTGTGGACAAACCCTCAACGCATCAATGTAAAGCGCTGTTTCTTTGGAGGCAAGTCGGCGATTTCTGCTCAAGCCCGAGGAAAACTCATTCCATCAGACCTCCGATGCATCTCTGTCGCTGCCACAAACAACAGGGTGTTTTCACATGATGCCAATCTGCCATTTTGTTCTTTTTAGATATCAGTCAGTGGTGTACCAACTTGTTTTTGCGGTGCCCTCGGTATCCCCTGGGCGCCACCAGCCAGTGTCTGCCCTGCCCAGTGGGGGCTGTTTTGGGGGAAAGGGGGGGGGGGGGGGGGGGGGGGGGGGGGCAAAGAACATGTCTTGCCCCCCCACTCTGAGAACGGGGGGGGGGGGGGGGCAGGCACCCTCCTTGCTCCCCTGGTTCGTACGCCCATGATGTCAGTGCAATGAAACACATAGGCCTCTGTGCACCGTGTATTTGACGGTGTCACGCGAATTCTTGAAATGCTTGCCTTTGACATGGGCCAGACAGCTCACAACAAAAAGGTGGACATAATGACGTTGATGAAAATACCCTACGTATTCACAGCATGGAGAGGCCAGAGACGCAGCAGCCCAGACCCACCTGTAGTAGTAGAGGCAGTAGTTGGGCATCTTGAGCATCTCGTACGTCTGGCCGAGCCCGTACCAGGCCCTGTAGTCCCTCCAGTTCACCTCGACCGCCTGCCGGTACGCCTGCACCGCCGCGCTGGTGTTCTTCATCTCCATGTACTCGTGGCCCATGAGCGTCCAGGCCGCGAAGTAGGTGGGGTTCAGCCTGAGTGCGCGCTGGAAGTACAGCACGGCCTTCTCGTGCTGGGACCGCAGCGAGTAGAAGTTGCCGATGACGCAGCACGTCTCCGCCCGATACTTGTCCACGGAGCACGTGTGGTGCGCCAGGTGGCTGAGCTCCACGCGCTGCTCCTTCACGTACAGCAAGTTCGAGTAGATGTCCATGTTGTCCAGGCGGTACGGGTCGACCCGCTGAAGTCTCTGGAAGCCCTCAATGGCCCGATCAACGACGCGCATGTTGTGGTGCGCGATCGCCACCTGGACCATCAGGTAGGTGCTGTCGGCGAAACCGTTTCTCTGCAGCTCTTCGTACGTCTCGAGCACCTCATCGTTCAGCTGAAGCTCGACGTACGTGTGGCCCAAGAAGAACTTCTTCATCCAGTGGTCGGGTAGCTCCAGACCTTGCAGGCTGTCTCGGTCCGAGACTAGCGACGCCAGCTCCAACCAGCCGCCCCAGTGGAGCGGTTCGGCGCGGACGGCTTCAACGAGCACGTCCATGGCCTGTCTGCGGAGTTGAAGTCGCTTCAGGACGACCCCGTAGAGGTAGAGGCAGTAGCCGTCTAGGGTGTCGTGGGCTGCTCGGAGCTCAACGTGGAGGTCTTTGAGGGCCTGGCTGGCGCCGCGCTCCGTCGCCGCCGTGATCGGCTCGACGATGTCGTCCAGTCGCTTCTTCTCGTCCGAGAGGTAGCGTGAGTAGAAGTGCAGGAAGCGCGTCTTGGGGTCGTCCAAGCCTTTGGTGAAGTGGGCGGCACGGTCGTATTCCTGCAGGTCGAAGTAGGAGCGGGACAGTTGGTGCGCGTCGTCGCCGTAGTCCGGTTGGTGGAGGGAGGACGCGTCGGCCGGCTGGACGTGGCGTAGGGCGAACGCGAGCTCGGCGGCCCATTTGGCGCTTTGTCGGAGGCCGCGGACGGTGCATTCGTGCCGCGAAATGCATAAGTCTCGCTTGATGCGAGCTAGATCCGCGTTGGATACCTGAGCGATCGCCATTTTTTGAGTCCCCCGCCGCCTCCGCGCTGCTCCACATTCCCTTCTTGCTTTCAGTAGGCGCAAAAGTGGCGCTGTATGTCAGTCAGATATGACCTTCCTCCTGAGAAACGCAGGTGAGATCGGGTGAGTTGAGGCGGGTGAGATCACTGGGTGAGATGGTGAATGCATAGAGTTATTATGCATTCACCCTAAAGATGCCGCGAACTTTTTTTTTTTTTTCGAGTATCGATTCAAGCGGTTCGAAAGGTTTGAAAGATTTCGATTGTAAAATTTGAAACTAAGAAGGTCCACGCTTTTCGACCCGTCGAACTTATGACTAGGGGTGTCGCGAACTTTTGTCGAACCGGAGTTTTAGGTCGAACTTTTGGGGTTCGACTGGGTCGAACCGGTTCGACGAACCTTCGACTTTTCACCAGATTCGACCGGTTCGACTTTGCGGACAGTGTGGCCAGACTTTGATAGACGCGTGTCTAGGTTTAGAGAATTTATTTTTATGCAAAGGGTTATTTTATTTTATGAACAGTTGGAATTAAAAGAAACCACTTCTAATCATTGAAGACGTTAATAACTTAATTTTTGTTGTACTGTATTAACTGAAATAACCAATCAGCGGTGCCCTTAATTCATCCCTTAGCCATTACCATCCAATCCGAAGCCAACTGGCCAGCCTGTCGCGCATGCGCACACGAGTCGAATCTCAATACAAGGTTCGTCGAAATTTCCACGAAAAGTTCGAACAAGTCGAACCTGGTTTTTTTCTTGACGCTTGACCGGCTTGACTTCAAAACCTGTTATGAACTGAACTTTATCATGGTGTTGTATTTGGACTTCGTTCATGGCGTTTCTTTTTCTTACTGCTGAGCAGAGAATGTACGCTTAATTTAGACTGCGAGTGTCTTTAAGTGCAATATTATGTGGCCTTTCTTACGTGTCGGTGGCCTTCATTAATTTTAATTTTCCGTGTAAGGACTACTCAGCACCAACATCTCATAAACATGGTACATTAAAAAGTAACAATGCTGATGCGCCACATGTCTGCTTTCTTGCTTTTTTATTGTGCTGTGATGAGCCTTGTATTAGAGAATCTCTTGAAAGCTATCCTTTTGCGAGTTCATACATAAAAAAGCTGAAGTAATTGGAAATAATAGACGCGACATTTTAGTGCTGGTGAAATCTGGTGAAATTTAGACCAGGATTTGGTGCCGAAGCATCTTTCCAATCTGGCAACTCTGGTAAAACCAGTAAAACTTCGACGTTCGTCGACATTAGGGGTGTCGCGAACCGGCCGCGGTTCGAGTTCGACCAGGTTCGACTTTTTCGAACTTTTAGTGGAAATTTCGACGAACCTTCTATTGAGGTTCGACTCGTGTGCGCATGCGCGACAGGCTGGCCAGTTGGCTTCGGATTGGATGATAATGGCTAAGAGATTAATGAAGTGCAGCGCTGATTGGTTATTTCAGTTAATACAGCACAAAACAATTAAGTTAATAACTTCTTCAGTGATTAGAATTGGTTTGTTTAATTGCAACTGTTCATAAATTTAAAAATAACCCTTCGCATAAAAAAAATTTCTCCAAACTTAGACATGCTTTTATAAAGGTCTGGCCACACTGTCCACAAAGTCGAACCGGTCGAATCCGAAGGTTCGTCGAACCTCGAAAGTTCGACTAAAAAATCTGGTTAGACAAAAGTTCGCGACACCCCTAGTCGACCTCCTTGTTCGTCGAACTTCGAAAGACCGGCGGACGGTTTCATTTGAATTCAAGTAGTGAGGTACATTCGTAATTCCTTTTTCTCTCGAATTTTTACATGCGGTGCTGCGTTCCTTACGAAAGACAATGCCGTTTATTTCTATGTTCTGGCGGGCTTAGTTTTAAAGAAATAATTTCCCGAAGGGGTGAGGAAGGACGACAGTTTTTCGACAATTGTCGTTTCTGCCATATTATGTATGGTAGAGGTGTTAAACCTTTTTAAGAATTATCTATGTCAGGGGTGGCCAGGCTGGCCTGGCCTAAGAGCCGCAAACAAAACCACGAAACTTCTAAGAGCCGCGGGGGGGGGGGAGGGGGGGGGGGGGGGGCAAACATAACTTTTGTTTAGAGTCTGACTGTACGTATGGGGGCACAAGGCTGTATGACTGTACGTATGGGAGTACAAGGCTGTCAAACTGCAAGCTGGAGTATGGTTTATTCTGAAATCCTTTCTTTTTTTTTTTTTCTTGGGGAAACACGAAAGGGGGCGAAGGCGGGGGGGGGGGGGGGGGGGGGGGGGGTCTTTTTACGAGGGATCCGCGAGCCGCACTTGGACCAGCAAAGAGCCGCGGTTTGGCCACCCCTGATCCATGTATAGCCTAGGGTGCCTTCATGTGCGCTTTGCGTAGGGTGGAGACATCTGGCCATTTTGTTCCCATTTTTACATTTATTTGTTGTTCAGAAGCGCGTGAAAGAGCGAGTCCCTGAACGCGTCTGTGGCGCTGACTGTGCTATGGCGACATTTTGTTTTCGTCGATTTCTTTGGATGGATGAATACGGCTGAGCCCTTTGGATCGAGCGGTAGCTTACGCCACCTAGCCATTTTGTTTTACCCCGTGAGCGCGTGCTGTCGGCATCGGGTACTACAAAGGGTGTCATCACTCTAAACAGAAGGTCATTGAGGCACCCTAGTATAGCCTAGGTAAGAGTCGTCTTACGATGTGATTATTGTTATTAGGGAGTTTTAGTAGATCATTCCGATACATCCGATAGCCCCGATAACGATACTATGCATGTGCAAGGGAGGCGGTGGCGGAGTATCGGGTATCGTTATCGGAGTTATGGGAACGATCTACTAAAACTCTCTATTTATGATTAGTTTCGAAGAAATGTCCAAACATGTATCTATGGGTAGTTATGCCCAAAACTTGATCTTTTTTTTTTTTTTCGTCTAAAGCGCCGTTCACACTCCTGCGACCGAGTAAGACCGAGAAAGACCAGACCGGTTTTTAAGCCTTTTGTGACTTCTTAGGACCGGATGCGATGCAGCGGAACTGGTCCTAAGAGATCGCAAGAGGCCTAAAAACCGGTCTGGTCTCTTTCGGTTTTATTCGGTCGCAAGAGTGTGAACGGGCCTTAAGTTGTTTGAGGTATCGGATTTAAATTAACACTATAGACAGTACATATCATTGCCATCTGCAGAATACAAAATAATGTGTTTATTGTTTTTTCACGTTCAGGATAAAATTAACTCATGGGAGAAGATAGTATTGTTCAAGTTCAGCACGTCATTAAAAAATAAACATTTGTTTTTTTTGCTTCATATTCTTGGGACGAGTTTCTTTTAGCCAGCACGTATTTTGGTGGGAGAAACTTGTTTCGAAGTTCTGAGCTACTGAGTATGCATGAATACAACACTTCAGCTGTTTATCCCCGCATTTATTGTTATGTTTATTTTTTTTTTTTTAATTTCTTTTTATCAATGGCACAGTTATTCAGGTCGAAACTGTGAACTTCCGAACCACTAAGCATGTGACGAGTAGTGCCTTCTGACAACGAGTTTTCGAGAATGACCATCTACTCGATCTTTTATGCAGTGAAGAGCAACAGTAGCTATACATATGGATAAATAATTTCAGATTAAAATAACCTCGACCACGCCCTCTCTCCCCGTATTGTTTTCTTTAACAGTCCGAAATATCTGGAAGGGAAAAAAAGTGAAAGCCGCTTACAACCAACACCTCCTAGAAGACAAGGCCGTAGCGCTCTCCTCGTGACGTCGCAAAGGAAGGCCATCGGGGGCGCGCGTCGAAGCGAATGCAACGCGCGTAGATCGACCGTCGTAACGCTTTTTAGTCACATACGCGTGTCATATTAGCTAAAATGAAAGCTGCACATAGCAACAGGCCTAGAAAACATTTTATTACACGAGCAAAATATTACACCGCTAAATAATCCGTACGAAATGGCACGAGGTATGCGTACAAGACGTCTATAGAAAGATGCGATTGTTTTAAGTCGAAAACATTGAGTCATGCAATTATTGTTGTAGGAATGCATATTTTATACAGAAATACTTCGACAAAATGGCGAGACACGCAGTGATTTGGAAACAGCAAAACAGAACAGTTAAAAATCAGGTAGACGTGGTCAACGCGGACGAGGCAAGACAAGTGTTTCCCACGATCATGTAAGCGACGTTATTGCGTGCAGTCACTGAATTCTTGCATCATACCCCGGCCACATGGCAAAATTAATGCAATTTCGATCGAATGACATTGTGGGGTCGACAAATCCGCTTGCGGCGCTCGTATAACCACTCAAGACCGCGAGCTGATTAAATCCTATATCACTGAATGAAAATATATTAACTTTTCCGTGTGGCAGGGGTACTAAACTTACTATTTAGTCTACTAATTTACTTCTCCCTATGGGGCTCGAGCTGCCTTTGAACAAGATATAACTTATTTTGTATATAATAATACTATTACCTTAATACAGTTAAGATTCTAGTATAAACGCGGAAAAGGCAATAAAATAACTTTAGTATAAATAAACATAGAACCACGAACAACGCACTTTCAATAATCACACAAACTTGTTTTTCACCTTTCAGTGAAAACAAGATTAGCGCGCATATTTACAAATGTCGACGAAACTGCACGCGAATCATGACAAAGAACAAAATTGCAATCTATCATGCGATTAAAAAAAAAAAAAAAACGATTGCAGCATCTTACTTGCGTTTTACATGACCAAGAAAGCCCGCAAATAAGTTGTTTCTCACCTGTCGATCGTATCCATACGTCCCACAATATCCGTGACGAACACATTTGAACACGAACTCCAAGAAGCCTCTCTCTGTCGAGAGGGGTCTATCGATTAATCGACCAGTCTTCGTTGGCTAGTTGTCACACATGTCACTCAAACCGAAGCAGGACTTGTTTCACGAATCCACGTGAATGCCGTAGTATCAAGCGAACACAAAAAAACTACCGGAGACTACGGCGATGACCGAAATACGACGGGAAACAAGTCTCAAAAGTACCACACACGAGAGCAGCGGCGACGAAAGGCTTGACGTTGTCGACCCATCTCTTGCTCGTGTGC